GACGCTACCCAGACAAGCCTGGCCCCAGGAGAACTCAAGATGGAACACGCCGTAGTTTGAGGAGGAGATAGTGTGATGACCAGCATCACAACGGACCAATGAGATTGTCCCGCATGCTCTCGCCCTCCGCACCAATCATGAGTCCCCACGTGTTTGTTTGCCCCCATGCATGAGCACGCGCCGTTGCCACCCGCGTCTACTGGTTTCCTGCCTCCCCCACCGCTCGGCACATGTCCCCGGGCTGTGCCAAGCCTCTCTCGCTTGCACACCAGCCACTCTCGCACCCCCTTCTCGCTTCTCTGTGATGCTCCACCCTTCTCGCCCACTTTTGCCCCTCGACCTTCTCCCGGTCTATAAATAGCCCTGCATGTCTGAGCCTATGTTGAACACCAGTTCGAACAAAACTTGTTCTTTGGTGTTCGGGGCTAAAAGCTAATAAAGCTCATACCAAGCACTTGGTCTTCGTCCTTGCGCTTGTTCACTCCTCACACGCTCCCACCTTCGTCTTCCCCTTCTTGTCTTGTTCCTCCCGAACCCCTTCGCTCTTCCCAAACCCCTTCTTCTGTTGTCAGTTCTCTTTCCCTCCTTGATGTACCTCCTCCTGTTGTTTGTTCTTCGGACATTGTTCAGAATAAAGTAACCGTCGAACATTATTCTGACCTTGTCCACGCCCCTCCTCTCAGCTCGGACGCTCCTCTCCGCGTCTGCAGCATTGATTACCGCTCGATGCGCGAGTCTTTGGATGCATGCAGGCATGGAACGCAACCCCTGACCATCTTTCAGGTCCATGTCCTGCCCACTGACGAGCCGAGCACTGCGACTGTCGAAGTGCCTGCGGAGTACAAGGACTTCCTGTCTGTTTTCTCTAAACAGGAAGCTGACTCCTTGCCTCCGCATCGCCCTTATGACTGCCCCATTGACTTGGAGCCGGGCAAGTCGCCAAAGTTCGGGCCTCTGTACTCACTGTCCGAGCCCGAACTTCACGCTCTGCGTGACTATCTCGACGAGAATCTTGCCAAGGGATTCGTTCGTCCTTCGTCGTCCCCAGCAGGCTCACCAATCCTCTTCGTCAAGAAGAAGGACGGCTCACTTCGTCTTTGCGTTGACTACCGCGCACTGAACGGTATCACGGTAAAGAACCGTTACCCTTTACCGCTGATCGGCGAGCTGCTGGACCGACTTCGAGGCGCGAAGGTGTTCACTAAGCTGGACCTTCGTGGAGCCTACAATCTGCTGCGCATCCGCTCCGGGGACGAGTGGAAGACAGCTTTCCGTACTCGATATGGGCACTTCGAGTACTTGGTGATGCCCTTTGGGCTCACCAACGCGCCAGCGACGTTCCAGCACTTCATCAACGACGTCCTGCGCACCGAGTTGGACCAGTTCGCAATTGCGTATCTTGACGATATCTTGATCTACAGTGCTGATCCGTCGCAGCATGTAGAGCACGTCAAGCAGGTCCTCTCGAAGCTCCGAGCTGCAAAGCTGTATTGCAAGCTGGAGAAGTGCGAGTTCTCCAAAACCTCGGTCTCGTTCCTTGGTTTCATGGTCTCGCCCGAGGGCATCGGTATGGAGCGATCCAAGCTCTCTGCGATCTTGGATTGGCCCATACCGCGCAACATCTCGGATCTTCGATCCTTTGTCGGGTTTGCGAACTTCTATCGACGCTTCATCGATGGATACGCAAAGATCGCGGGGCCCATGACTCGGCTCTTCCGGAAGACGCATGGCTTCCAGTGGTCCCGCGAAGCCGATAAAGCATTCAGATCCTTGAAGGATGCCTTCGTTTCGGAGCCCGTTCTGGTGCATCCGGACCCATCCAAGCCGTTCGTCGTAGAGTCAGATGCGTCGGACTTTGCGCTTGGATGCGTGCTCTCCCAGCGGGGTGCTGATGATCGCCTTCATCCTTGCTCGTTCCATTCGCGGACACTCTCGAATGCTGAACGTAACTACAGCATATACGAGAAAGAGCTGTTGGCGATCAAGGAGGCTTTCGAGGCGTGGCGACACTACCTCGAAGGCGCCCAGCATCCCGTTGCCGTTCTGACCGATCACAAGAACTTGGAGTACCTGGCAACGGCTCGCATCCTAAACCAGCGTCATGCACGGTGGTCCCAGTTCTTGTCTCGGTTCGACATCCGCATCCAGTACCGTCCTGGTGCGAGGAACGGCAAGGCCGATGCCCTGTCTCGTCGCTCGGACTACATCCCTTCGTCGGCCTCCGTGTCGAGGGATCCGCCTCTGCTTCTCGATCCTGCCGCGGTGATACGCGTGCTCCGAAGCAGAGACGCCCGCTCTTCGGTTGCAAGTCGCAGTGACCCTGTGGATTTGCTGCAGCTCATAGCCGAAGAGCAGGCTCGGGATCCCGGTCTAGACAAATACCGTCGTGACCCGAAGTTCGTCTGGAATGGCCAGTACCTCACCTTCCAGAACAGGATTGTGGTCCCAGAGTCGTGCCGAGTTCCGGCGCTCAAGTCGTGCCATGACCCAGTCGCTGTGGGTCATCCAGGCATCCGACGGACTCTGGCTCTGGTATCGCGACAGTTTTGGTGGCAAACCTATCGGAAAGATGTCAAAGAGTACGTCTCGACGTGCGACACCTGTGCACGCTCGAAAGCTCCGCGACACAAGCCGTTTGGGTTCCTGTTGCCACTCCAGACAGCCGATCGACCCTGGGGGACACTGACCATGGACTTTATCACTGATCTGCCAAAGTCCAAGGGTCACACCTGCATCTTTGTGGTGGTATGCAGCCTCACAAAGATGGCACACTTTATGTCCTGGCGTTCACTGCCGTCGGCGGAGGAGACTGCGTCACTGTTCCTCGACAATGTCTTTCGTCTCCATGGCCTCCCCGACACAGTGGTTTCAGACCGAGGAAGTCAGTTCACCTCTCGGTTCTGGAAGGCACTCTGCACGCAGCTCGGGATCCAAACCAGTCTGTCCACGGCCTTCCATCCCCAGACCGATGGACAGACTGAGAGGGTCAACCAGGTCATCAACCAATACCTGCGCTGTTACACGTCGTATCAGCAAGATGACTGGGCCGAGCTGCTGCCGTTGGCCGAGTTCTCTTACAATAACCTCGAGAACTCGTCAACACATGCCTCGCCATTCTTGGCAACCTATGGGTTCCACCCAAGGTTCGAAGTCCCCGTTGTCGCTGGCGGCCCTGATGTTCCCTCTGCCACGGAGAGGGTTGAACATCTCCAGCGGAACCTGGCACTGTTGAAGGAGAATCTTGAGAAGGCAAAGTCTGACTACAAGCACTTCTCAGATCTCCGGAGGTCCCAGGCTCCCGACTTGCGTCCGGGCGATCAAGTCTGGGTGCTGACTCGTAACATCAGCACCACTCGCCCAAGCAAGAAGCTGGATTACCAGAGGATTGGACCATTCACCATCCTCGAGGCCGTCGGGACATTGGCTTTCCGCCTGGACTTGCCAAAGGACATAAAGGTGCACCCGGTGTTCCATGTGTCTCTTCTTGAGCCCTACAAGAAGAACTCGCTTCCGGGTCGGGTGCAAGCGCCGCCCCCTGCGGTGGTCATCGATGGGAACTTGGAGTGGGAGGTCGAAGAGATCTTAGACTCCAAGTTCGTGCGCGGAAAGCTGCACTATCTCATCGATTGGAAAGGCTACCCGGTCACCGATCGAAGTTGGGAGCCCGCCGACATTGTCTTTGCCCCAACGGTGGCCGCGGAGTACCACCGACGCTACCCAGACAAGCCTGGCCCCAGGAGAACTCAAGATGGAACACGCCGTAGTTTAAGGAGGAGATAGTGTGATGACCAGCATCACAACGGACCAATGAGATTGTCCCGCATGCTCTCGCCCTCCGCACCAATCATGAGTCCCCACGTGTTTGTTTGCCCCCATGCATGAGCACGCGCCGTTGCCACCCGCGTCTACTGGTTTCCTGCCTCCCCCACCGCTCGGCACATGTCCCCGGGCTGTGCCAAGCCTCTCTCGCTTGCACACCAGCCACTCTCGCACCCCCTTCTCGCTTCTCTGTGATGCTCCACCCTTCTCGCCCACTTTTGCCCCTCGACCTTCTCCCGGTCTATAAATAGCCCTGCATGTCTGAGCCTATGTTGAACACCAGTTCGAACAAAACTTGTTCTTTGGTGTTCGGGGCTAAAAGCTAATAAAGCTCATACCAAGCACTTGGTCTTCGTCCTTGCGCTTGTTCACTCCTTACAAGAGTGCACTTGATGATTGAGTACTCGGCCTTGACTTGCTCGTTGGGGCCACAGTCAGGCAAGGTAGAGCTCCAGAGTGGGTTCTTCTTGGTACACAATGAGCTGCTGCTTTTGGCATGACCCTCTTCCCCGCACGTGGCACATACAGGGACCTTGGGTGCGGGCATCTCGACCACGAGGGCTGGGAAGGCAGTGTCCTCGCTGGGCTCGTCTGGAGGGGGTGCTTGGCTGACCATTTCAGCGACCGAGGCAGAGCCAGAGGCAGGGCTGCTGTCGATTCTGGCTGTGCACTTCTTGGTGAAGGGTTTGACGTGGTTGGTCAGTCCACAGGAGGGGACATGATTTGATGACGGGCTTCTTGGCCACAGGAGAGTCATTGGGTGATCCTGGGATCGGGATCGGGGGATGTCCTTTCTCTTGGGAGCCATCTGGCGAGAAAATAGCGACGATGGCTGGTTCTGCCCTTGGGGAAGAAAAATTCTCCTCAAAACCAGCGCATTTTGGGCAGGGAGTGATGCTCACAGTGGCGTCCTTGATTCCAGATCCAGAAACGCATCGCTCGCTCAATCAGTCGTGGGAAGACATCTTGTCAAGGTGAGTCTTGCCTGATAGCCAAACGATCATGTCATCTCGCTGACACACAGCCACGCTTGACTAGGTTTCCAACCAGAGAGATTCAGATTGTGGTGGTTCTTGTCCGCAATCGGAGTGGAGCTTCCAACAATGATACAATTGGTCATTCCTCCACACCAATTGCCCACCACCACCGTCAATCGGCTCAAGGATGATACCAAATGCCGTCAACCGACCATGGCCGGATTCCAACTTTTGCTGCTCCACATTCGACGTGACTTTCAGGTGACCGAGATGAGCAGCCGCGAGGGGCCGGAAAAAACGATCTGATCTGTCGCCTGTGCCTGTGCGCACTTTGCCAGAAAGTTGGTTGTGCAGCATTCACTCCCGATCCAGAGCTTCTCTTTCCAGCAGCGTCCGCACAGCCGCCAACCCACAGAGACATGCTGATCCAAAGCAGATCCCTGGCCTTCGTCGTCGCGAGCGGGCCGTCACGCTCGATAAGCAGCATCGCCCTGTCAGGTCCGCTCCGATATCGACCGGGCGCATCGATCTCGATTCTTCCAGCGCTGTCCACCTGGTCTCGGCCGACGACACCGCACTCACCGTTGCCGCGATACTATAGCCGGGCACCACTCCAGTCGACCGATCCTGCCACAGAGGATGTACAGACCTCGCCGCAGACTTCCGAAAAGACAGCCGACCCTTTTCCCGACGCTGCGAATGTCATGTCGAAATGCGAGCGTGAAACAACACCCAGACCAGAGGCCACCAGCACGAATATCAGCAGCGGCGGCAGCAGTACAGCCACGGCAACCGCCGCAACCGCCGCAACCGAACGACGGCGCCAGCTCGAGCTGGAGGCGATGAAGCTGCTGGAGGATATGAAGAGTCTGCCTGCTTACAAGCTGCTTCCAAAGGGTCGACACAGTCCCCACGCTAGCCGAAATCCGATCGTACTCCATAAGCCGTATGTCTACCCGCTCGACCCGCATCAGCTCCCGTGGCCGCAGAACAGCGCCGCGCCGCTGTCATTGCCGGCAGCCCAGATCGTCCAGCACCCGTGGTATCGCACGGTCGAGCGGCTCGAGTGCAAGCCCGACCACCCAGAGTCCGATCGCATCAAGGCGACGTTTGACCGCTTTCTCGAATCGCCGTCCTCGGTCGATCTGCGCGAGCTCGTATGGATCGTTAAGGACCAAACCAACGCGCTCTACTGTCTCGACCGCGACCAGGCATGGACGCTGTACTCGCACATTGCCGAGAAGAATGCGCTAATGTCGCTGGATGCTGCCGATTGGGTGCGGCTGGTGCGGCGGCTGTTTGGAGAGACATCGCTCTACAGCCGCGAAACTCCCGCCGACGATGGCACCAAGGCACTCATCGATCCTGCAGGCCATGAAGAAGCACGGCTGCGTTCCGACCGCCGAATTCTACGCCATCATTTTCCGGCCCTTCAAGAACGACCACAAAAAGATCCTGCAGATCCATTCGTACATGCTCCAGGAAGGCCTGAAGCAGGACCCGAAAAACCTGGCCGGCCTCCCCATCAGTGATCTCTCCATCCGGACGATGCTGGCCCTCATGCTGCGGAGCAAGCACTCGTTCCCAAAATCACTCAGTGTCGGCACCGAACTATGGAGATTCGCCAAGCAACGAAGCATGCCACTGTCGATGGAGACGTGCCTGGGCTTCCTCGAGCTACCGCTTGATCCATATCAGCAGTCGGAGCTGTCGCGGGAGCAGGAGCTCGTGATGGATGTCTACCGGTACATGAACATTCTCCGGGCCAAAGAGCCTCGGGTCTGGGACCAATCTGTGACCGAGGCCGTCCTGCGCACGTTTGCAGCCGTGTCTCTCACCAAGCCAGCCAAGGGTATCTGGGAAGACATTCAGAAGCCCGAGTCGACGATCCCAAAAACACTGTAAGTGCCTCGAGAGTCTCTGGCAAAGAGGCATCTTATACGCAAACGCAGCTTCCCGAACCAGGCCGAGCTGGCGGGACGCCGCGACCCTGGCCGATACTTGGCCAGTCTCCCTGCTGACGCTAAATCACACTCGGCCAACTCTCTTGCCATCTCCACGCCGCAGCCAAATGTACAAATCGATGCTCAAGGTCTATGTCGATGAAGAAAGTTTTAGCCGGGCATCAGCTCTCGGGCACGAAATGACCAGGAGGCAGTATGCTTTTGACGACGAAATCAACGAGCTGCTTCTGCTGGCGTACCAAAACATGGGTGATATAGACTCGATACGCCAGATCATCCACACGAACCTGTCGGCCGCCTCTGCAGAGCTTGTCCCCGAGGCCCTTGACGCCAGCGAAAGCTCTAGGGCAACATCAAAGTCCTATCAGGCCCTCGTCAAGACTTATGTGAAGATGAAGCAGTGGGACCGAGCACAGAGCGCCTACCGGGAGCTTGAAGCCGAGCTTCTGCAAGAGCGCACCCGCAACGAACAGAGCGGCGTCTACAAAGAATTCGAGTCCGTCAAGGCCAAGCTACCCCGCAGCATCGTCGACTCTGCCCAGATCAGCAACGAGATTGAGGTGACGGACGTGGCCCACCGCGGAAGCTCGCTGGCAACGGTGCCGCTCTCGATCTACAAAGAATTCATCACGATCCCACATCGCTCAACCCAGGCAGCGTACGTTTACACGCTCGCGCGCCGCCTGGATTTTGCCCGACTCGACAGGTTTTTCAGGGCCAAGGTCGTTACCCCGGAGGCGCTACGGTACCATTGGTTCGTCCGAGCCAAGGTCCAATACGCCACCTATCTGAGCCAGCTGAAGCATCTTGATCAGGAGACCAAGGCCACGCGCAACAAACGGAAGCAAGGCAGCGAGTCCATGACCAACATGGACACCCTTAAGGCCAAGCACCTCAACGCAAAGGGCGAGTTCTGTGTGTGCATCGACGACGCTGTCGGCTTCAGCGGACCCTTCAAGTCCGTCTACCAGAGCCTGAAGGACGGTGTGCTCGACTACACCAAGGACCTGGAAGAGCAGTGCAAGGGCAAGTCGCTCGGGCAGCTCGATGGCCCAGGCACCCCGGGTGTCACGGCCGAGTCGTCGATCTCGGTCATTGTCGCTGATATGGATCGATTCACTAACGAGATGGTGAGGTACGAGACCAAGCTGGCCTATCAAATCACCTTGAACGAGTTCAAGATCCGCACAAAGCTGCCGCGAGCCATCGCCCCGGTCGAGAGCGGAATGGTAGATACGGCCTCGATCTCGACCTCCGGCTCGGGCTCAGCCCGCGAGCTTCCCCCAAAAAGCGGCGGCGCAAATGACGCGGTTGCCTCATCCGGGCCAGACGACTATCCGGCTCTCGAGCCAGATCTCTTGGACTTGGAAGCGGAGGAGCTCGAATTCCTCGATGAGATCGATAAGGCCCGAGAACCACCTGGAACCCAGCCGAAGCGCAACCGAGGCCGTGACCGGTCGGGCAGCCGGACTTCCAGGCGCGCGTAGAGTGAACAGAGCTGTTGGAGGAAGGCGCACCCATCTTGCTGAGCGCACCCAGTCACTGCCGCACGGTCTGGACGCAGAGTGGGTTTCAAGATGCGACACGCTCTGAGATAAAATTCGGTGGATGGGTTTGAACAATAAAACGTAGTTCACCCGAAACGCCCATGGCAGCACACTGGCACACACGACATCCATGCTCGGTGGGTCGTCAGTGTTCGCCGGGCCAGCGAGTTCCATCCAATGGAGATGACCTCCGAATACATGCAGATCGACTAACAAGCTGGTCTGTTCGCCTGAGCCCGCAACAGTCCTGCCGGCGGCTGTAGCTGCGACATCCCAGTCGAGGACAGCATCGATGCTGTGGACGCTTGTTGGGAATGCTGGACAGAGTGTGGCGCAAGCGCCTTGCTCTCACATGACCGGGCTCGCGGCCTGCCCTCGTCCATGCCCAAGGGCATTCCCATCCCTCTCCGCCGCGATCAAGACCGCTCCCCGCACGAACCAGGTCCGGCAGCCCAGCAGCGATCCGCCAGAAAGCACCCGAGCGACCCAGCGGCGATCCGACAGGCGCCGGACGACACAGCCATCCTGCCTCTCAGAAAGGAAGATGCAGCGAGTAAGCGCCGATCGCGTCTGGGACGAACGAAGGGCCGAAGGTCCAATGCTGCCGAATGCACTCTGGCTCCTCTCCGGCTGCTCCTCTCTGGGCAACACCGGTCCAGAGCGAGACACGGAGCTCCATCGATTGCAATGCAGCTCCGATACGGGAAGTCGTCGTGCATTTACCATTTCGCTTTATGGCACATGGGCATTGAAGCACAAGACAGCCCAAAAGCTTACCCCGCAGAATCCCAAATATGCCAAAGTCGGGTAAGTTGCCTCTGTTGGGTCCTGGCTGTCCTGGCTGCTGTCCTGGCGCTGTCCTGGCTGCTGTCCTGTACGCACCCTGCGACTCAAGGAGCGCACCCAATTTGGCGCATAAAAGCATCAGCACTCTCGTCAGCTCCGCTCCGTTTAGTCCAACCTTGATTTCAAGGACGGGGTGCTCCGTTCCTTTCCTGGTCCGGCACGGCCGGATGGGACTGGCCCTCGCTGACGCTATGATTCTGTGGATTTGTCTCGGTGACCTTCCGGGGACATCAGACCAACGCTCGACACTGGCGCATCGACATCAAACGCAAGACGCAGAATGGCTGCGCGGATCCAAGGTGCGTGCCGCTTGGGAGCGCTCCCCCATGTGCTTAGTGATCTGTTGCAGTTGGACGGGTCGGCCTGGCTTTGCGAGGGAGCTCCCGTCTGCGGCAATGCCCTCGTCTGCGGCAATGTCTTTGTGGGCGATTCTGTCACGTCGCCGCCATGTTCCACCTCAACAGCCGACGGATTGACATGGAGTATGCTCGGCTCAACAGACGGCATTGTCACCAAGTCCAACGAGCCCTTTCAGAGGCTCACGCCGCGGGTAAGATCGCCAAGAACATTGCCTTGATGCCGACCGGTATAAGTCCCGGGTACAAGGCCTGACCGCTTTGTCGATAGTGTGGCCAGAGGGCGCTTCATGAGCTGAGTCTTTCTTAACACACAGGCACTGGCTGCTCTGATGCTGCAAGGCGCTGAGACGTGCGACTTTCAGTACTGGGAAGACGTCTTTGTCAAGGAAAGACAATCCAATCCAAACGCCAACGTCTTGAAGCGACAGATAACGCTCTCTGACCGTCAGAGCTCGCGCGAAAACATGAGCCGGATCATGAAAGCCCATGCCGACATCACGCCCGATATGGCGTCCGCAGCCGAGAGCGACGGTGGCGCCCATAGGTCCGATGCACCTGAGCCGACACACTCAGCGCTGCCACTGCTGATCCTCGATGTGCGCGAACCCGCGGAGTTTGAGGAATGGTATGTGCACTTTGGCTGAACGAAACATGGCGCGTGGACGGTTGGTCCATACCGCGGGCACTTTTGACCGTTTCCGACGACAGCAACATGGCATTTCAGATAGCCGCCGCCGTGTATCCTGCTGGAGCAGCCCGATTATCCCAGCGATGGAGCTCGCTTTTTGAACTGACCCGTACATGCTCGTATTCCGCCCTCGCCCTCAGTCATATCGTCACATCCAAGAACTATCCGGTTTCGACTCTCTCGCGAAGCTTCCAGTTCTCAGGCGAAGTGCTGAGACTCAAAAACTCCCCTAGTGTTCTGATTGTGATCGTCGACGAGGACGAGCGCACTTCGAGCGCGATGATTCGTTTTTTCGTGGAGCGCGGATATGAAAACGTGCGACTGCTTAGCGGAGGTGAGTTATGCCAGCAAGTTTACCATGGGAGGACCAAGGAACGTAGTGATAGACGCGGTATTTGTAAGAGCGCCATCATCCGCGATCCCACACTTTGGTGCCCACTCTCCAGATCGGTCTCGGCTGTTGAACCAAATCTCCTGGAGCTGCGCGGCCGGCTTCTGCATTGATTCTTTCGCGCGAGCAGGGGCTCCACTATTTGCGAGATGTTGGCATCTGCTCTTTAGACTCATCCTATCGCACTCTACGTTTCAGGGATATCTACACTAGCGCGGAGGGTGCATGGCGTCTTAGTGGGTGTCCCGCCTGTTCGATGGTTCTCTCCACCGACCCAGGCCCCAAGCGCACAGTCCAAAGGCGATTCACTGTCGCATCATTCCAAGAAGGGCCGTGCCTCACCCCATGCCCCCCAGCGGGGTCAGTCGCATGCCTTGACTGACCCAGAACACGACAACTCCATTGTTGTTGTCAAAAACACCCAGCCGGCGGAACGCTGGAACGTAGAAGCACTCAAATTTAGTCTCGAAGCCATCAATGCAGCCACCGGCAAGTCCATCATACATCCCGCCAACATGGATGCGTGGATTGTGGATTGTGGATTGTGGGTTGTGGATTGTGGATTGCGGTGTGGGGAATCGTCTCGCAGGCCCTCAATCTTTCGATGATGCTTACTCCGCCATTGATTCATTCCAGCCAAGCTTCCAAGATCGCCTGCCCCTTCAAAGCCTCCATCGCCACATCCATCACCATCCCAGTCAATGGATCCGAGCCGATGCAGTACCCCGGACAGTTTGGCGCATGGTGTCGGGACACGCACCTCAAGCACCCGCACCACGCCGCTCGTATCGGGACGCTCCACGCCTGCTGGTACCAACGAGAGCGAATACGCCGCCGAGATGACGCTGCAGACCTTCAAATCCACTCCGCCTATCCGCAGTCGTGTTCTGGGAGGGGGGTTGAGGAAGTAAGGGTATCTGTGGTGGGGGTTGCTGCATGGCATCGACACGATGTCGCATTGTCCGTTTGCTAAAACATTTGAAAAGCATTTTGAATAGATTTCCAATGACATTCGGATGTCATTTTGATGAAGCATGGATGGTATTGATCGATCGGTGCTGGGCTATTTAAACCGTGCCCTCTCCGTCACTCTCCGAGCAAGCAGGTGGCTCTGTCTCGGCTGTTGTCAAGGCATTCGAATAGTTGTGCCAAATAGCACTCGCTGAGCGTCATCATGTTCTTGCAGTGGTATCGGGGTCTTTCGGTCCAGTTGCTTCGCATCCGAGGTCGAGTCGCAACCTCGGGTACTGATCCGCCGGTTAAAGTTTGCCGAACTGGGTGAGCGCCCATGCTGACTCATGAGCCGGGCTGTTGGGCAATTATGGTTCTGTCCAGCACATCCAGACCTGAGCTGGCGGGACATGCCGCACAGGACCCAGCCCTTGATGGCGCTGAAGCCCGAGAACCCTCGCCCATCCCATCGAGATTCAACGATGCCTTCAGCCGCATGTCGTATATTTGTGCTGGGCAGTAGAGGAGCATGAATTCAGCTGGTGTTCGGGCGATGTTGTTCTGCAGCTGGGTGACTCACCCCGGATCAATTGCAGAGCCCCCTGGACTGCCGCAAGCGAAGCAGCCACCTGCTCCAGTTCCCACCCTTGGGAGATGATGGAACGGCCTTGGCTCTGGAGCTCTGGAGGTGTGTTGTTACAACCAAATGCGGTTCATTAGTGTTCTGGTTGACCTCGGCCGCGCCTTGCAACTGACCTGCATCCAGACTGCACATGACGGGGCAGCCAGCCTCTGGCATGGTGTCTGAACGATGCTGTTCTTCGACAGGTACAGTTCCCGCAGACCACGCGGCAGTCGACCCGATGCATGCAATGCCCGATGCATGCAATACTCACGGTGTTCGATGTCTCGAGGCTGCCCAGCGTCGTGCATGTCCATGTCCAGATTTCAGCAGCGGCTTGTCGCTCGGAGGACCTTGGATGGAGTTCGGACAACCCGATCCCGTCCGGCTGCCCTCGGCCAGGCTGGTCTCGTGTTGTCGGAGTTGCCTCGGGAGTCTCCTACAACACCTCCCGAGCGACCATCCCCGCTCGGCTGCCGCTCCTGCAGGGCAGCATAAGAGTCTGGTGATCCACCTCAAAATAGCCAAGCTTGGACGGCGGCCCCTCTGTCCTCTTCGACTGCCCCTCTGCCATATCGGCCCCATCCCAAGGCATCAATCCAATGATCAGTCCAATGATCAAGACCAAGGGAAAACTACGGCTGCTGGATCCTACTGCATTGGCATCACCCCGCGCCAAGCCTTCAGCCCGCCATGTCAAATCGGAAGCCGAATCATCAAGCTCCACCCATGCAGCCGATGCGCCGGCCGATGCGCCGGCGCAGGGCAATGCCAGAGAGTCCGTCCAAATCAAATCTTCTCGACATCCTCTCGAGGATCTCTTTATTCCCCCAGCCAGCTCGCACGGATCGCAACCCGGCTCTGCCTCGGACGAGTCAAGAATCAGTCCTCCGTGCTCGCTCAAGTCGCCAGTATCAGAACAGTCGCGCGATCTCTTCCCGACAGCAGCCGGTGGTGATATGAGTGAGCACGAACCCGCCAAGAACACCGTCTCGGCTGCTGCCATCCACGAGATGCACGAGTATCAAGTGCCCGTTTGCCTTTCCAGAGCACACGCCCTTGTATGCCACACCGCCAGCCGCCTCTCGGTTCACTACCGCTTTGGAAGTGTCTCATCACTCGTGTCGCAGTACCAGGCCCTGGTCCTTGCCACAATGGATTTTCTGCTCGTCTCTCGCACGATGACCTGTCAGAGATCCCCAATGCCCGCCGCGGGACAAAACAGGCACCGAGTCTACCCCGAAAACCCTCAGACAAGCGCCGCCGCTCACTCAACGATCTACCAAATGCTCTCTGAATACGAGGATGCAATTCGGATGTCCCTAGGAGTCCTTGGCGAGGCTGTATGCAGCCTCAGCTCTCCGAACAGCGAGGATTCGGGTTCGACCAAGGAGCCTCTCGCTGGCGAATTTGTGCCTCACTCGCTGGGCACAATCCGGATTCCGAGGGCCAAATCAGCCCCCGGCAGCGCCGGTGCGCTTGAGCAGCCTGACGGGATCTTTGGACGCTCTATGAGTGGCTTTATCGACACTCTGAAGCGAAGCTACGCCGGAGTCGTTAAGCTTGCAAGTCTCGACCACTCATCGCCCGCTCCAGAAAAGCGGAAGGGGCGCCTTCCTTATGATATCGGATCCATCCGCAACAAATCTAGTGTTCGTTATCCCAAGCGACATTCACCCCTCGGCCACTCAAACTATGACACCATTCGGTGCAACAACAGAGGGGAGTTTGTTGAGCTCAATGAGCAGTTCTACAATCCGCTTCTGGATCTCGCCCAAAACGGAGACTCGGGTGTGCCTCTGGATTTCGCCGGCGTTGTCAGTAAGCTAGGCTCAATGAAAGCAGTGATGCAAAGCAATCTTGAAGAGCTGAGAGTCGTCAAGAACCATCTGTCAGCAGAAGGACAGGTGCCGCCTGGGGTCGTCATGGACATTGAAATACTCGAGCGCTGTTACGATGTAAGTGCGGCAGCACTGGATGCAATGACCCCAGTCGCTAGGCGTTCAGTTCCGTGCTACTCCAATCCTGCCGCTGAGCTGGATACCATGATTTACTTACGCACTGGCGCATATGTCCATACCCGCTACCCATCCAACAGAGCTGTGTCAAAGATTTTGTATCACTGAACTCCACCGTCAGGAGCTCCATTCAAGAAATCGTCACGCAAACGCTTGCACAAACCCAGCAGCTTGAAGCACAGCTGACTGAATCGTCAGAAAAGCTTTTGGCCAAGGAATCTGAGATGAGCCGGATGCAGTTTGAAATCCTCCGAACGAAACAAGAAGTCAAAGATCTCAAAGCCAAGAATGCAGAACTCAAGAATCTAAACAAGGCACTGTCAAAGAGGTCCCGCGAATCTGTTGGACCCGTCTCCCGGGTACAGTCTATTACACTACACGAACCAAACGCAACATCAATGACATCTTTGAATGAAATGCCAAGGCGGCTGTCTGCGCGCAAGCCTCTCCCATCCATCGTACCGGATGCGACAGAGCTTGCGCTGACGGCTGCACACGAGCGAGTTCAGCCAAAGGCACGAGCATCCGCGCCGCAAGATGTTCGTGGCAGTCAATTGATTAATGTCGCTACAACGGTAAGTTCCTCGTCCTGATTGTTATTGATTGCCTTATCCTGATTGTTATTGATTGCCTCATCCTGCAAGACTGCGGTTCTGACGCTGTGTCGTGAGCCTGCTGTTGTGAGAGCGTAAGGCATGAGAGCGGTGACTCTCCCAGTCGCGATCCACTATTTGACTTGAGCATCTGCGGTTAAAACAGACGCCCAATCGTCACTCCTGGAACTCAAACCCCTTTGAAGTATCCCTAATTACAACGGTCCAGGCGCTGTGGAGAGGCGAAAGTGCCCGCAAGCTGTACCGGAATCACATATTTCGGATGATGAAGGTGCAGGAGATTGTCAAGATCGAAAGGTCCTTCGTCAGTGGGCTCGCAAAGATTGAGCAGCAGTACATACGGCCAATTTGTCAAAGAATGAAGGAGGGGCGAAACATCATGAGCGAAGAGGATTTCGAAACAATATTCGATCCGATCAATCGGATCCATGACTTTAATGCCTCGCTGCTTTCGGAGCTGGAGCAGCGTGTGTCCAGCTGGCATGTCGACCAGATGATCGGCGATATCTTCGCGAACAAGGTATGCCGTTGGAAGTTCAGTCCCCAGCGAAGCCACGATCAAGTACAATTCTAACAGTCCAGAGCCAGTTGGGCCTCTCAGTTGACAGCTGTAGAGTCGGAAGATGTCGCCCCTGTGTCCTTACACCTATCCATATCTATTCACAGGCTCCTGACATGGTCATATATTCCGATTTCATCGTCAACTACCAAAAGATAAAAGACATGCTCTCAAGTATGGCCCAATCTGACGGTGGATACAAGTTGTTTCTCCTGGTAACCCCTCCGACTGCCACTGTACCTCAATCGAATCCGCTGTTGCGTGCATACGCGCGCTCGTCACTGCGGCGTTTTTACAAGCGATATATGCGAAATGTGGCCTTCTCTGTCGCTGGTCGTGAAAACTGATGATTCGCGCCATTGATTCTCGTCACCAGGCAATGGGCCAGCGTCTCGGCAAACGATTCGTCAACATCAACGACCTCCTCATCACTCCCGTTCAGCAGCTGCCACGGTATAAGCTACTGTTACAGGTAGGGCCCGATTATGGGTGCATAAACGCTGCTACTATCGCAAGGCACATCGCCCCGGGAAAGTCACTCCATCTTCTCAGGTGTATGTGGCTATTGCACTGCCTCATGGTCTATATCTCACCTTCCCCAAACCAGGAACTACTGAAAGCCACGGAACGGCACCATCCAGACTTTACGAACCTGGAAGAGGCTGTTTCGAATCTCAGCGATATCGTGCTCTATCTGAATGAGCGCAAGGGTGTCTCCGATCAGCTCAGCCATCTCGAGCAGTGCTTCGTCAACGATCTCCCGTTTGTAAGCCATTGGCCGCAGGGCTTTGCGATGGTCTGCAAGGATGAACGGTGGTGGGCCCACTACCTCGCTTTTGGCTCTTAAACAGATTTCAATGCCACTAAATTTATGCTGACGGTGTTACATTGATAATTTTCAGGAACTAAATGTTCCTGGCCGGCATCTCGTCAGCCAGTGCCAGGCCGCGGAGATTGTCGTGGCCGAAACCAAAGATGTCCTGGCTTCTGCACGAAGGGCACGGCACCTCTTCATTTTCAGCGATATTCTCGTGAGCGCTGAAAAATCACGATTCAAGGCATCAAATCAGTACCTGTTCAAGTGGGCCCTCCCACTTCGAGACATATCTGGCATGACCTGTTCGGAATGTAAGCACTTGAGTGGACCGGCTGATTTGACGCTCCTCTGTTGCCCGATGGCTGTGTCACTACTACTGCCAAGTACCAGAATCAGAGTGTACTTTCACTTCATGATTTGTTTTTCCACATGCTTTTGTGGCGCTGTTGTTTGTCGAGCTCTTGCACAGCGATATGCTTGAGCAGAGGCTGTGGCGTCAGTGCATCATCAAACGGATGCTGCGACTGATCCACGATGTGCCCCCAATCCACTGGCATGCGCTGATGCCGATATTTGGCCACTTGTTTTCAGTGGATCAGGGATACGAACTGACTATCGAATGGTCTGACGACAACTGTTGCGATGAGAGGGACCGAGCCGATGCCATCAGGTACGGAGCTGCTTTCGCTGCCGGCTTGTGGATATGTCTCGATTAGCTGGACAGATAACCTGAGCTCACGTCTTTGATGGTCACTCGCAGGCTCTACTTCAATACCCAGGAATCAATAGACTCCTTTTTCAACAGTACGATGACGCTGCAGCATAGCTTGCGAGCATCGAGTCTCCAGCTGCCCGTCGCCATGATGGGTTTAATACTACCGTCTCCGGTGGCGACTAGCCTTGAATCCAAGAAAAAGGTGCGTGAGGTATGGATAATTTGAACGAAAGCCCACTTCTTGTGTTAGTTCGCCGCACACGCTCACAAGCCAGCGATATCGCAGCCACTGTGGCAGCGCAGTGGGCAAAGTAGAGTCACTCAGTCTCTGAGCCAACACCGTCCCGACAAACAAAATCGGTGCTCATCTCCAATCCGATTTTTAATCTCAGCTGGATCAATTCGCCAAGAGCACTGTGCGCGTCCTGGCCGATCAGATGGAAAAGTTTCAAAAGCAGCTCAACTCCGAGACACTCGTAAGGAATCTGCCCATCGAATCTGCAATTATAACATCGCGATACTACTGAGCGACGACTAACATTTTGGCATAACCCCGCGGCATACCCCACTAATTTCTTGGGATGCCATGTGCCTATCTATCTATCGGTACACAAGGCCCGATGGAACAAGTCGTAATACTGTCTTGTCTATGACTCCAGCCCTCTGGGTGGAACTATGGCCCGTTCAATCTGGTGGCTTGATAGAGGCCTTGGATTGGCTGGGCGAGAATGTGCTGTGGAAGGCGGATATGGCTTCAGGATCGAGAGCGGATGTGGCTTCAGGATCGAGAGCATATGTCATTGCACCCGAACACGGAGAGCCCTGCTTCGTTTCATGAACATTTACAGGCAATCCAATAAAAAACGGGACACCCGGGTTTTTGACCATTCATCGAATATTTTGTTACCCAATGTTATCGCGCGCTGGCCATGACCATTCGCCACACATCCGACTTTCGCACCGCCGCATTGCGATGCTACGCCCTCATCCATAGCCTGCGTAAGGTCGCCTCCATATTCAGTGTATCCAAGAACACCATCCATCGATGGCACCGAGGATGCAAGCTGGATGACCCATCCCGGGTCCCAGCTCGCAGATCCACTTTCTTCGAGCAGGCATGTCCAGTCATTCGCACCCTGATTGAACAGGACCCGTTGCCAGACTGGTCCTGTGTTGCGATGCAAGCTCGAGTCCATCCTCCAGAGGAAAGTATCAGCTCTCACTCTGCCACACTGCCATCCACCGAGCAGGTCTCTCACACAAGAGGGCAACACACCTCTACAAGTCCAAGCGACTGGATGAGCGAGTGGCACAGTTCAGGGACCAGGTCCGCTCCATCGACCCACGACGATTCGTCTTTGTCGACTGAGACAGGGGATCAGGAGATCCATTTTCCCTCTTTACGGATACTCGCCGAAGGGTGCTTCTGCTTCGCTAGCGCAATCATATGAAGCACAAGTCTGTCTCGGCTGCATTTGCCATCAACCACTCTGGTGTGCTGCATCGCATGTACATCCCCACATCATTCAAGACACACTCGATGGTCGAGTTCTTTGAGCGAGCGAGCTTCCCAGACGACTCTGTGATTGTGATGGACAATGTCAGCATGCACAAGACAAGGGCTGTCCTGGACTGCATCGAGCGCCGAGGATGGTCAGTGATCTTCACCCCACCTGCTTCACCCGACTTCAATCCCATCGAGAACTTCTTTGGGATTGTGAAGCACCAGTACAGGAAGGCAGGAGCGCTGAATGCGTCCGAGGGTTCAAGGCCGGGATGGTCATATTGTTTGAGTCTGCCGTTCGGAGGGTGCTTCCAGATGTCTTCCCACGGCTGATTGAATGTGCGAGGTGCTTCTGGGTCTGAAACGGCCTGTCAACTCCGCCATTCTCACGATCACATCCCTGGCTTGAACCTCTCGGCGATTTTTGAACAGGGTCGCTTCCAACCAGCCCGCAAAGACGGGCTCCTGCTCTCGGGTATAAATGCCGCACCTTCGTCTCTGCTGCTTTCTTCCCTCATCTCGCCTTGATCTGATCATCGCGCCATTGTACGATAAAGAGAAGTCTCTGTTCTGACCAGTACCACTGGCAGGCATCCAGCATCCTCTGCCCCCATGCCTCCGAAGCGCAAGGGTACCGGTGATGGCCAGCCTCGGCCACCCAGGCCCAAGAAAGCCAAGTCACAGTCGGAGCCTGTCTCTGGTTCGTATTCTGACCCCACGCATGCTTGGTCGTCTGTTGCTTCGTCGCTCACCACCACTGCTTCTGCAGATCCAATGGATGTCGATCCCACCGAGCCTGGTCCATCTACTTCCTCGAGTACCGGCAAGCGATGTCCCAAGTGCGATGGCACCGATCACGAACGTTGCAACACCAGCAAATGTCCCAAATACCGGCCCCTCAAGAGTTCTGTCGTCCCACTCGTGGATGGAAGGTCATCGGCCCCTCAGTTCAGCTGCTTCAAGCAGACCATGGATGGCTGTTGTCTCAATCCCGCTCTCCGCGACAAGATCCAGGCCACCGTCGAGGCCATGACCCAGATCCAGTTCGAGGCATCCAGGCTGCTCAACCTGCACATCCTCCGGTGCATCGAGCAGGATCTTCCCGTCCCTGTCATCTCCAAGTCCACCCCTGCTTTCGTTCGCCAGTGCTTTAAGATTGTCCAGGCCGGTGCCCTCTCGACGGCCAGGGATACCAAGAAATACAACGAGCATCTGGTCGCTTCCTTTCGCGACTATCAGACCACTCGACACGCAGACCTGCCTCCGGCCCCTCGTCTGCCTGATGGTGCTCACAGTCAGCTTCTCACACTGGCTGTCAATGCCTATGCCACCAACTGCACCACCCACCTCAACCTGGCCTACTGGCGACTCCTTCGCCGCTTCTGTGCTGCTGTCTTCCCAGCCAACAAGCATAAGCACGAAGCCATCGAGGCCTGTCTCGAGCTCTTCGAGAAACCAGGGACTAGACTCCACCCAAGGCCGATCTCGAGTTCCTCTATCCCGAGTTTGGCCACATCCTGGACGAGTTTCGGTACAGCAGCGACCAGGACCGCTTCCGGGCCCTCCATCGCCTCTCACACCATGTGAGAATCCTCGCCCGAGACAAGATGGTCGACAATGTCCACAAGTGGATCGACTGTGACATGTCCCGCCCTCCGAGTCACCGAGCTGCAGCGCCAGGCCAAGCTGGACGAGCCTCACCTACCCAAGGCATTCCCTCCGACGACAAGAGGTTCACCAAGGCCAAGTCTGAGCTCGGCACCACCAAGTCCAAGATCAACAAGCTGGCATCCAATACTCAACTGGGCACTCAAGCAGCTCGCTCTCGACACTCCTCCGGCCGTGTGCACGATGGTCCCTCTGTGCACAGCCAAGGCCAAGTATGTCAAGATTGACACGGTCACTCTTTGGAATCTCCTGGGTCCAAAGAAGCGCCTTGGACTCACCAGGGACAAGCTCAAGGAAGAAGGTGAGGACGGTGTCAACAACCAGGATCGTCTCTGGCGCAGTTGCTTCAAGCTGCGTAGTTCCCTCTTCCAAGAGCGGGACGTGAACAAGAAGCTGTTCAACTACGAGATCAGCACCGATGGCATTGGATGCACCATCGGTCTCGTCAAGTTTCTGCCTCGAACCGATCACACCGAGACCATCGAGCCTCCTCCGACTGCCGAGCAGCGTATCCAGGCCCACATCGGTGACCCAGACCCCGATCGCACCACTTGGATTGGAATCGACCCAGGCGTCGGCTCCATCTTCACGGCGGTCATCCAAGCACCGGGCCACCAAGACGAGGTGGTCTCATTCTCGAATGGTCACTATCAGCACATGTGTGGCCACAGGTCCGATACTAAGTGGCACAATACCAAGAAGAAGCAGCTCAGCATCGAGACCTGGATGTCGACCACCCCCTCGCCCAAGGTGTCGTCCTCGGAAGCCTTCAAGGTCCATCTCACCCATGTCCTGCGACCGGAGCTGCGAGTGCAGCTCGACTTCCACCTTGGCAAGAAGGCCCGTCACCATCGATTCACGGGCCACAAGAGGCGCCAAGTGGCCGTTGACAAGATGTGCAAGGCCGTCCTGAGGCACGCCCCGATACGGACCGATGTGGTGATCGCCTTTGGCAATGCGTCATGGCGACAAGGCAAGGGCTATGCATCCAGCCCTCGGAGGCAGCGGTTCGCTCAGTACTTTGAGCAATTCGAGCACCACCGTCGCCACCCACATCGCCCTCATGGAAGCATCAAGGTGGCCTCGACGAACGAGTTCAACACCTCGCAGGTGTGCTCCAAGTGCCTGGAGCCAGTTCGGTTGGAAGGACTCGATGCGCCCAGTGTTGCGAATTCCCACTTTGTCAGGAGCTGCAAGAATCCCAGCTGCCGGACAGTGTGGAATCGCGACGTCAATGCGGCGCGCAACATGATCACAGTGTGCAGGTCGATTGTGGAGACCGGAGAGCGACCGGCGGTCTTCACTCGGAGGCTGCCAAAGTGATCTGTTTTATTTCTTGTGGCTTTGCTAGACGCGAGCACAGCACATACTACTGTTCATGGAAACGGCTATATTATCTCGTTTTTTTTCTGAATAAAGTGTAACACTGGCATACATCCATGCACCCATACACTCATCCACACCAGGGGAGATGATCCTCTGTCCTGGCCCGGTCCTGAGCCTGGACTGGCGGATCACGACAGGAGTGAACATGGCCCCCCCCCCGCACTCTCGATTTCTGGGCCGGCGTGTTTGACATCACGATTGCGGCCATGCAAATCGACAGCAGCGACACAAGACATTGATCCAGAGGTGCCCCTCGTATGACTGTGTGTATTTTCATTTGGTACTCGTGCTGTGCAAGACACAATCAAACAGCAAGGATATCTCCAGATTGGAGGCAACAATGCCGCAGACAGATCGAAGCGTCGATGCTCACCTCCTCGCCTCCCTCTGCCCGACCAAATTGCCAATCGACCCTGAGAGATCTGTGGGAAAGCGACTCCGTGCACATACACAAGTGCAACTTGCATCTCTGGAGCAGATCCTCTTTCTGTGGCAGGCGGTCGGGAGGGGACTGAACAAGCGATGGAGGCAGGCGTGCTCGCCGAAGCAGTTTGTGGTGGTCGCTGGCTGAGGCGAGGCAATGGACTCGCATCCGATCACAGGACATTGGCTGGGAACTGAATCCACAGCCTGCGGCCAGAACAATCCCGAAAGAACGCAATCCAGAGCGCTCGGGAAGGAGGGATGGTGTGCGCCGGCCTGGCCAAAGGAAGCGCTTAGCCGACGGACTGAGCGATGCAATGAAGGGTGCAATGAGGAGGGAATTCGTTCGACACAACGGAACGTGATTGCTGTCGAGCATCTGCGTACTGGAGCATCGGGATGCACTCCCTCCCCACCTCACCCTCCTTTCCTCGCCCATTCAATCTGCTCCGAGCTTGGCTCACTCGATCACCACCACCACCGCCGCCGCTGCTGCTGCTGCTGCTGCTGCTCTATCAGGCTCTGACCCCTATTACAGCCCTCGACCGCTCCTCTGCAGCAATCTCGCTTCCGGCACACCTATCCCTGGGCCCTCATACAAGCTGGACAGTCAGTATTCCCCTCCCCAAGAGATTCGGTCCATCATTTTGTTTGTTCTTCATCCATATATTGTTTTCACTCCTTCCTCCCCTCATTCGCCCATCATCGTCGTCGTTTGCCTGATCCTTGCCCCGTTCTTCACTCTCTCACACTCACATTCACACTTACGTCAGACCGTTAAAAGCACCTACAATCTTCAACCAGTTGCCTCTGCGGGCTTCTCGCGGCTTCCTCCCGCTTCTTCTGCCCTCGTTTTCGTCAAAGGCGAAGATACCGCGTTCCTGGAGCATGTCGACGGAGCAGCCAATGCCGAACAAACTCATTTCCACCACCACCACCACCACCACCACCGTCACCTACACTACCACCACCGCCGCCACCGCTGCTGTAATGCGAAGCGGTTCGCTTGCACCCAACCCGACGGCCAATGCATCGCCGTCCATGACCAAGTCGGCCACCCACTCGCGCGCATCGACAGCAGCCGGAACCGATACATCGGCGAGTCGGGTTCCAAACTCGATCAGCGTCGTGGAATACAAGCAAATGCGATTCTTGATCTTTGATGCTCCCTCAAACCGAACCTTGGATGCCTATTTGGCGGTAAGAATTTGTGCGGGGAAGATAGGATGACTGCTGTTCTAGTGTCATGATGTTGAGGCGGGGGGGGGAGGGCCTTCAAGAGGCCCCAACGAGTTGCATCAGGGACAATCACGACGGCAATGGCGATGACGATGGCGATGATGGTAGCAGTAGCGGTAGTACTAGTAGTAGAGTGGTGGTGGCAGTCGCAGTGGTGGCGACATTGAAATCAAGGCGGGGGCTGCGGCTCTATTGGAATGATGCGCCTGAGGCCAGCGGGACCCAAGTGGTGTGCCTACCAGTATCGCAAGACAGCACCATTGACCGATGCAATCCGCTCGGCCAGGAAATGGCCCGGCACAACGTCACGGACTTGGTTCGCGTCTGCGATCCAACATACGACCGAAAGATTGTCGAGGGCAAGGGAATCGCCGTCCACGTAAGTCTGTCGGTGCAGGATATGGCCCGCCAATGCTTGTCTTTGGTAGAGGTGGTATCTGGATGCGACATTCTCCTCGACTCATTCGATCCTCATCAATCTGCTCCCCCCCCCCGCACTCTCTACCATTCTGCCCTCGGCCCTGACTTTGGATCCCTCCTTGCCCGCTGGGACGTCCGAGACAGGACTGGCCGTTCCCAGACGGTATGTGTATTGAACAACAAGGCAGTCGAGGATGGTGCTGGCTCGCCAGACACGGATGGCGAGTCCCGATATCCCGTGTCCGCTATTATCGTGTGCAGATGGTGCATCGATAGATTCGTGACCAATGAACATGCATTTACCGTAACCCACGCAAGACGGGATAGGCCAGCTCGAGACGAGGAACTCACTATTCTGTATTTGAACGTTGCGAAGGTGATCCGCCGCCAGACTCGGTCATCGAGAACTGGCTCTCGCTTGTGTACACCCGGTTCGGAGTCTTGAAGGAAAAGGGCAAAGACGGCGCCTGTCCTGGAACGCCCGCACCGGAAACGTCGATTGCCGTTCACTGTGTAGCCGGACTGGGAAGGTACGTAGACAATGCTTGGAGTGCTGCGACCTGGACGGGATGTGCCAGGCATGTGAAGTGGACGGAGAGATACGATACAATGCGATACAATGCGATACAATGCGATACAATGCGATACAATGCGATACAATGCGATACAATGCGATACAATGCGATACAATGCGATACGATGTGATACAGTGCGATGAGATGCGATGCGATGTGGCTCGTTTTGTCGGTTACCCCCGATGACAACTATTCCGACCGAGATCCTCGGATCTGAGCGCTTGTCAATCGAGATATCCGCAGATTACCTGCATGTGTGGGCACAAAAGTACTTACCACGTCGCGACGCATCGTATACAGAGCACCGATCCTGGTCGCTATGGCACTGATTGAGGCCGGACTGGCCCCATTGGACTCGGTCATCTATGTTCGCGAGAGGAGACGAGGGGCCATCAATGCGCGGCAACTCAAGTTTATTGAAGGGTACAAGCGGCGGGGGCTTGGAAAGTCCAGCGGCAAAGAAAAAGGATGTACGGTCTCGTAAGGCGACGAGAGGTACGATATCCGCATACGGCCTTCCCTGAACACCCGCTTGCCACCCACAAGACAACGGACAGTCGCTGGTCGACGGAAGCAGACGTTGGAGCCGGCTGTTTGATCGATGTAGAAGCGACCTCAATGATTAGAGCCGGTCCTGGACGGTGGGCTGAGACAAGGACAATTGGCAAGCGAGACGATGAGGATAGACAGCCGCAACGGTTTCCACTGGTGATGTGTTGCTGCAAAGCGGCTCGGCTGCGGGCGACCTTGTCGCCGGCGGACTGGTCGGCCATGTCAATTTTACAGCGCTCACGAAGTGAAGCGGGATACCCCGTGTCTGCGGCCGGTGACGGCGATTTCGTTCTGAACCCTGAATATACAGTGATGTCCAAGAGGCAGCCCGACCAGAGTCAGCGAGCAGAGCTGGTGAATCGGGATCGATGTGCGATCGGCCGGTGTGATCGCCGTCGCGGCAGAGGGATCTTGTTGCTGAGCAACGCAGTCGGTTGGTGGCGCGCGCGTGATGCTGACACGGGTGGCGTGCAGCCGCTCGGCGAGCACAAAGGGCGAACCTGTGCGCAGTGGAGGACCACGGCCGTGGATCGGACCGAGCCGGGGGGGGCTGATGGAGGGGGACAGAGGACAAACCGAGATGGCAGAGGGGAGCGCCGGCGCCAGCAGCACCGATCGCTGCATGCAAATGATAGGAGTGAGTGCTGAAGCGGGTGCCTGATGGCGAGTATCGGAGAGTGGGTATCGGAGAGTGAATCGCAGCGGATTCCTTGCGACCGTGGGGGAAGGTGAAATGTCGCACACGGAACCATCCAAAGGCCCTCCCAGAGAACGGCCCCTCGACAGCAGAAGAGGCATCGGCAACAGCATCGGCAGAGGTCAGCTGCGGCGGCGGGTCCTGGATGCAATGGCAGACGCTGGTTGTGGTGGCGGGTACTGGCGGTTTGGCAATTTGCACCGCCGGCATGGGCAGCAACACCAAGGAGGATGGGGATCGGGGATCCACCAACCGACGGCTTTGGCAGTAAGGGTGGCGGACGGCGCTTGCAGCCAAGACCACAAGGTCACGCCTGTGGCCTGGGTGCTGAAGCGATTGCGGTGGGGTGTTGGGGATGGTGTGAGTGCTGGGATATGAAGTGATTGTGCTGCGATTCGAGTCTCTGCATGGATCGCATTCCTGTGTGGTGTGCATTGCGGATCGATTGCATTCCTGGGTGGTTGTATTCCTGAGTGGTGTGCATTCCTGAGTGGTGTGCATTCCTGTGGTGGTTGCATTCCTGACGGCCCAGTCGCCATTTGACTGGTCGTTGCTGATCGCTAACATCATTTGACTGAACCCATCGTGCATATCACAGCGCCCAAATCAGCGACAGCATCAACAACACCAGCATCAATAACAACAGCAACAGCATCAATAACAGCATCAACAACAGCATCAACAACAACAGCGGCGCGCGGCTCCAGCCGGCTCCAGCCAGCATATCTCACCACAATCCCTTGCCCATATCATGATGTGCGCCGTGGCGAGCCCAGGCCGCACCTGGTTGGCCGGCGCCGTTCGCCCTCTTGCCGCCGCGCTCGTTGGTGGGGCTGTCTTTTCGCTCTCGCCCCTTCCTTCCACACCCGCTCGCTCGTCCTCCCGGCCCGCCATCGTCATCATCATCCAGCACTATCTCTGCCTCCCAAAGTAATCTCCCGTCCAGCACAGCCACAGCTCGCCCTCCGCCCTGTTAGCGCAATGTCCGCCACCACCAAGGATCCGCGGTACTGCCGATGGAATGAATGCAACATGTTGTTCGGGTCTCAGAATGACCTCGTTCGCCATGTGGTCTCCGCCCACGTCAAAAATCTCAACCTGTCGCTCACGTAAGTGTACCCGCCGGCCCTACCACCGCCGTCCCCGCGGATCTATCCACACTACCCCCGTCTACCTCCGCCGAGCTGGCAATCGGTGCATTAGCATTTGCCTGCAACATGCTGTTCCGTGCATTGGCTCGTCTTGTCCCCCACCCCCGCCTCGCAGCCCAATCGCCATTCCGTCCATGAGAACCGCGGCCGTTGATGGCGAATGTGATACCGGCTCCTGCAGCTTGACCGTCGCCAGGGCCAAATGCAGCCATATCAGATGGGCCTTGATCATCGGCACGGCCCACGCCCACTGAAATGCAAATGCGCTGCTCAGCATGGCTTCTTACCCAGCCATCTTACTCTCCCCACATTTTCCAGGCGCAATCAGCGATGTCTGTGGCACGGCTGCAAAAACACTGCCGTCTTGCCCTATCACGGACGTTTACTGGGTAAATTTCCCAGCTCCATCTCGACAGCCTGTCGACCAGTCCCCGCGGTACTCTTGATCGCCCGGGAACTCTCTCTCTCTCATCCCAGCCCCAGCTGCAGTTGCGGTTGCAGTTGCGTACATGCCATCGCGGTCGATCCAGACTGATATTCGCTCTCTTTGTGCGAGACCCGCCTCGCCCCGCCCGGCCTCCGGAATCCTCACTGCGTTTCTTGTATCCGTCCGATTTAGATCACTTGCGTGCACACACGGGTGAAAAGCCATTCACTGTAAGGGCGCCCGATAATGATGCACGTCCCTGGGGCTGCGCGGGGGGAAACAAGAGTGCACATCGCTGCCGTCCAAGACAATAGTGGCCAGCGGGGCCAATACCTGCATTTTGCTTGCATTTCGCCTGCATTTCGCTTGCATTTCGCCTGCATTTTGCCTGCATTTCGCTTGCGTTGGCACTCGCGTGCGGATCGGAATGGCAGCCGCGCCGGTGTCTGTATCGCCATTGCGGTCGCCATCGCAGTGTCCAGACCTGCCGATCAATAACCGAGCTGCGGCCGTCCCTGCTAGTGTCCGGCCAAGGGCTGCGGTGCAAAATTCTCGATCCGGTCAAACTGCCTGGCGCATGGCCGCCGCATCCACAATCGTTTCTACAAGCCCATTGAGGACATGATCGTCGCCGACGACGACGATGGCGATGTCAATGATGCCAACGATGTCAATGATATCAGTGATCTCAACGATATCGACAACGACAACAACGACAACAACGACAACAACGACAACAACGACAACAACGACAACAACGACAGCAGCAACGGCGACCATCGCGACGACGAGCTCGACAGCGATGGACCCGATGCCGTGCAAGATGAAGCCGATGCTGAGCGAGCGGGCCCCGCAACCTCTGCTGTCGTCGCCGCCTCCAGCAGACCGACGAGGGAGCAGCGGCCTCGGCCCTCTCCTCCTCCTCCTCCTCCTCCTCCTCCTCCTCCCAAGCCCTCTGGAAAGGTTGGTGTGGGTCTCTGGTGGCTCTGGCTGGACTGGCGGGGAGAAAGATATGTCTAGATCCATGTGCGGGGGATCAACGGGGCTGGCGGCGGCATGCAGTTGCTGCATCAGCAGCGATGCTATCCCGCCAGGCCGCTGCACGCTGCCTTTGCTGGCCTGCACGGTGCTTCTGCGACCATGAAGCGCACAGACACGAGCCAAGTGCCCTTCTTGGCTCTGGACCAACCCTCGCTGGCGATGAGCACCCTTCTTTGGGTTCCGTCTGCGCCGCTGCTGTTCGTCCTTCTCCAGAGTCTGCCGCGGCTAACATGGCTTCGCCGACACCCTCCCCCCAACACCTGGTGCAGCGAAAGCGGGGCCAGCCCGCCGCCACCGCTACTGCTCCCGAGGTGCCCTTCAAGCTCAAAGAGGCCGTCGTCTCCAGATTCATCGACCGGCAAACCTTCTACCGCGGCGAACTCGACCGGATAGCGGTAAGTGCCTGCGCGAAGACCGGCCGCGATCTCTGCGATTACAGCGATTTCGGTGATTTCAGTGATTACGGCGATCTCGCCGGACGAATCGCACCAGACCGATCTGTCGTCCTGCTTTGCCGTGCGATTTGGGCTTCTCAGTCGATCGTTCCTTCACCACCACCGCCACTACCGCTACCACTACTGCCACTATCACTGATGACCTCATGGCGCTCTTCCCGTGTGCACCCCCCAGAATCTCGAACCAAACCTTTTCTGGAGTCCGCCGCCCTCGCTGGCTTCCACACCGCTCCCTTCGCCGATCTTGCTGCCCAACTCGCTCCTGTCCGTGCCGCTGCCGAGGACCCAGACGCCGCCCCCCAGCACCCTGGGCTCGTCCAGGTCATCGGCGAGCGAGTCCTCGGCCACAGCCAGCCCCAACACTGCCTTTGATGCGACCCTGGAGCTGCGAGCCAAGGCTTTCCACCTGCAAGAGGAGCTGAGGCACCTCTGCACCCGAGCACAGGCCGCCTTTACCCGCTACCAGACCGAGCTCGAGAAGCAGCAGGCCCTCCAGGAGCAGCAGGAGCCCAGCACCAAGCGACGGAAGGGTCCCGGGCGGGGCTGGCGTGGGCAAAAGCATCTACAACAACAACAGCAGCAGCAGCAGCAGCAGCAGCAGCAGCAGCAGCAGCAGCGATTCCCAACCCCGTCGTCCCCGCAGAGCCATCGGTTACGGGTCGGCGAGGACGACGATAAGAGCATCGCCGACGAGGCCGATTCAACTTGTTTCAGCTCCAAAGAGGACTCGAACGGAGACGAGAACCACAACACCGGTGCTCCGGCCAGATCTCTGTCCCCAGCGAGCTCTGGCGAGGGCGAGCGAATCCACCGCCGGCGCAACTCGCAGCCCCGCGCAAGCAAGATTGCAACAGATGGTCATGGCAAGGACTACGGCGGCCCCAGCGACCGCGACTCCGAGGGCAACCTCGTCCACACATCGTCCGCCCGCTCGTCTCGGTTACAGGCCCGGTAGCGGAGCGTCAAATGGCTGTCGGAAGAGTCTGAGGGGATACCTCGACCCATGCGTCCAAGGCAGCAGCATCCCGCCGCACGGCCCCAGCGACTCTGTGCACTATGATCGACGGATCGCTTTCTCCCCCTCCCCTGTGGCTGCCGTGGCTGCAGCCTCGAAGCAGACTGCTGGAGACAGCTTCAGGCCGCTGCCCACGCCCGCTCCCACCTGTACACTTTATTCAGAAAAAAACGGGACAACATAGCCGTTTCCATGAACAGTAGTATGTGCTGTGCTCGCGTCAAGCAAAGCCACAAGAAATAAAACAGATCACTTTGGCAGCCTCCGAGTGAAGACCGCCGGTCGCTCTCCGGTCTCCACAATCGACCTGCACACTGTGATCATGTTGCGCGCCGCATTGACGTCGCGATTCCACACTGTCCGGCAGCTGGGATTCTTGCAGCTCCTGACAAAGTGGGAATTCGCAACACTGGGCGCATCGAGTCCTTCCAACCGAACTGGCTCCAGGCACTTGGAGCACACCTGCGAGGTGTTGAACTCGTTCGTCGAGGCCACCTTGATGCTTCCATGAGGGCGATGTGGGTGGCGACGGTGGTGCTCGAATTGCTCAAAGTACTGAGCGAACCGCTGCCTCCGAGGGCTGGATGCATAGCCCTTGCCTTGTCGCCATGACGCATTGCCAAAGGCGATCACCACATCGGTCCGTATCGGGGCGTGCCTCAGGACGGCCTTGCACATCTTGTCAACGGCCACTTGGCGCCTCTTGTGGCCCGTGAATCGATGGTGACGGGCCTTCTTGCCAAGGTGGAAGTCGAGCTGCACTCGCAGCTCCGGTCGCAGGACATGGGTGAGATGGACCTTGAAGGCTTCCGAGGACGACACCTTGGGCGAGGGGGTGGTCGACATCCAGGTCTCGATGCTGAGCTGCTTCTTCTTGGTATTGTGCCACTTAGTATCGGACCTGTGGCCACACATGTGCTGATAGTGACCATTCGAGAATGAGACCACCTCGTCTTGGTGGCCCGGTGCTTGGATGACCGCCGTGAAGATGGAGCCGACGCCTGGGTCAATTCCAATCCAAGTGGTGCGGTTGGGGTCTGGGTTGCCGATGGCCTGGATGCGCTGCTCGGCAGTCGGAGGAGGCTCGATGGTCTCGGTGTGATCGGTTCGAGGCAGAAACTTGACGAGACCGATGGTGCATCCAATGCCATCGGTGCTGATCTCGTAGTTGAACAGCTTCTTGTTCACGTCCCGCTCTTGGAAGAGGGAACTACGCAGCTTGAAGCAACTGCGCCAGAGACGATCCTGGTTGTTGACACCGTCCTCACCTTCTTCCTTGAGCTTGTCCCGGGTGAGTCCAAGGCGCTTCTTTGGACCCAGGAGATTCCAAAGAGTGACCGTGTCAATCTTGACATACTTGGCCTTGGCTGTGCACAGAGGGACCATCGTGCACACGGCCGGAGGAGTGTCGAGAGCGAGCTGCTTGAGTGCCCAGTTGAGTTTGGATGCCAGCTTGTTGATCTTGGACTTGGTGGTGCCGAGCTCAGACTTGGCCTTGGTGAACCTCTTGTCGTCGGAGGGAATGCCTTGGGTGGTGAGGCTGTCCAGCTTGGCCTGGCGCTGCAGCTCGGTGACTCGGAGGGCGGGCATGTCACAGTCGATCCACTTGTGGACATTGTCGACCATCTTGTCTCGGGCGAGGATTCTCACATGGTGTGAGAGGCGATGGAGGGCCCGGAAGCGGTCCTGGTCGCTGCTGTACCGAAACTCGTCCAGGATGTGGCCAAACTCGGGATAGAGGAACTCGAGATCGGCCTTGGGTGGAGTCTGCCCTGGTTTCTCGAAGAGCTCGAGACAGGCCTCGATGGCTTCGTGCTTATGCTTGTTGGCTGGGAAGACAGCAGCACAGAAGCGGCGAAGGAGTCGCCAGTAGGCCAGGTTGAGGTGGGTGGTGCAGTTGGTGGCATAGGCATTGACAGCCAGTGTGAGAAGCTGACTGTGAGCACCATCAGGCAGACGAGGGGCCGGAGGCAGGTCTGCGTGCCGAGTGGTCTGGTAGTCGCGAAAGGAAGCGACCAGATGCTCGTTGTATTTCTCATTGTCCCCGGTCGGGGAGAGGGCACCGTCCTGGACGATCTTGAAGCATTGGCGAACGAAAGCAGGGGTGGACTTGGAGATGACGGGGACGGGAAGATCCTGCTCGATGCACCGGAGGATGTGCAGGTTGAGCAGCCTGGATGCCTCGAACTGGATCTGGGTCATGGCCTCGACGGTGGCCTGGATCTTGTCGCGGAGAGCGGGATTGAGACAACAGCCATCCATGGTCTGCTTGAAGCAGCTGAACTGAGGGGCCGATGACCTTCCATCCACGAGTGGGACGACAGAACTCTTGAGGGGCCGGTATTTGGGACACTTGTTGGTGTTGCAACGTTCGTGATCGGTGCCATCGCACTTGGGACATCGCTTGCCGGTACTCGAGGAAGTAGATGGACCAGGCTCGGTGGGATCGACATCCATTGGATCTGCAGAAGCAGTGGTGGTGAGCGACGAAGCAACAGACGACCAAGCATGCGTGGGGTCAGAATACGAACCAGAGACAGGCTCCGACTGTGACTTGGCTTTCTTGGGCCTGGGTGGCCGAGGCTGGCCATCACCGGTACCCTTGCGCTTCGGAGGCATGGGGGCAGAGGATGCTGGATGCCTGCCAGTGGTACTGGTCAGAGCAGAGACTTTTTTTTTATCGTACAATAGCGCGATGATCAGATCAAGGCGAGATGAAGGAAAAAAAGTAGCAGGACGAAGGTGTGGCATTTATACCCGAGAGCAGGAACCCGTCTGCGCGGGCTGGTTGGGGAAGTGACCCTGTTCAAAAATCGCCGAGAGGTTCAAGCCAGGGATGTGAGCGTGAGAATGGCGGCGTGATTGGGGAGCTCAACTCCAAATTGGAGGAACTCAACCCCAAATCGGTGGGGACTCAACCCCAAAGAAGTTCTCGATGGGATTGAAGTCGGGCGAGGCAGGTGGGGTGAAGATCACTGACCATCCTCGGCGCTCGATGCAGTCCAGGACAGCCCTTGTCTTGTGCATGCTGACATTGTCCATCACAATCACAGAGTCATCTGGGAAGGTCGCTCGCTCAAAGAACTCGACCATCGAGTGTGTCTTGAATGATGTGGGGATGTACATGCGATGCAGCACACCAGAGTGGTTGATGGCAAATGCAGCCGAGACAGACTTGTGCTTCATGCGATTGCGCTGGCGAAGCGGAGCACCCTTCGGTGAGTATCCGTAGAGAGGGAAAATGGATTTCCTGATCCCTGTCTCGTCGACAAAAACGAATCGTCGTGGGTCGATGGAGCGGACCTGGTCCCTGAACTGTGCCACTCGCTCATCCAGTCGCTTGGACTTGTAGAGGTGTGTTGCCCTCTTGTGAGAGAGACCTGCTCGCTGTAGGGCAGTGTGGCAGAGTGAGAGTGATACTTTCCTCTGGAGAGTGGTTGTGTGGCGAATGGTCATGGCCAGCGCGCGATGGTATTGGGTAACAAAATATTGATCAATGGTCAAAACCCTGGGTGTCCCGTTTTTTGGTGGATACGCTGTAATGATCCCGGATTCTCAATATACACTTGGTGTTTTTTGACAGCGCGACGCCGGATCGAGATCGAGATCGAGATCGGTGCCGTGGCCAGACCCCCGGCGCTCACGGATTCATCCCTGCCTAACGGCACTGTCCTCGGTCGAGGATGCTCCCTCGCACTCGAGACAGCGATTCAGTCGCCACCCGAGGCGTCACAGCCAGCACCACCGACAGCGACGCTGCCCAGGGCCGCCCAGACTGCACCGAGCTTGCCAGGGCCACCATGCTGGAGCGGCTCGAGCCGGCCGCGTTGTGGCGGATCCAACCAGCGGCCCACCGAGATCGGCGGCGAGAACACTCTCTTCCCCCGCCGCATACCACGACGAGCCCGGCAGGACCAGCCAACCCGGCATGACCGCTGGCCATGACCCGGAGCTGCATCTGCCGCAGTGCTTGCGAATGGTCGCTCTGATGGACTGGGCTGGTCAGCATCGTGGCAGTCGAGCCTCGCACTCCGTGTCGCCGAGACGGCACGAGAGCGGCGGGCGAGCGAGCGGCGCGCTCGGGGCTGTCTCGGCTCGTGGTGCGGCCCTGGCTTGGCTTGCATCCAACGCAGCGCTGGCTGTTGAGCGATTCTGCCGGGTTGCAGTCCATCCCCTCCGTCTTCCGTCCATCCCTCCCACCGACCGGCTGCTCCGGCTCGGCTCGCTGACTGACTGACTGACCGACTGACCGCAGGGCATGCGCTGACCTCCACGAATCCCTGTCCACAAGCCGGCCCTTTTTCCTTCGACCCACGACGCCCGAGCCGCTGCCATTCGTTTGGACGCAAGGTCAGCTCCCTCCCTCCCATCCTCAGCACCTCACTTCCTGCCCGACCACAGAGCCCACTGGCAGGAGTATAGGGTATCCGCACTTGCACGGCCGTACTTTATTGTTGCCCGAAACCATGGCCAGTCTCGCAGAGTGCACCGTCGGCAAATCGGCCGGCTTCCACTTGCCGGGCTGCTGCAATTCCGGTCCCCACCATGATTGCGTCTTTGGGGTGGCTCAAAACAGCTGCCTGCCCTGCATAGGCATAGTGTACACCGGGCAAAGCCACGGCTTCGTCGTTGTATTAACTCTCCAGCCGATCCCATTGCTCTCCCTTGGACTACCCATCGTCTGCAGGTCCTGTATCTCCGCACACCACCAACGCCGAACTCCCCATCGTCCTCTCATGCCATGAGCACACCCAAGATCACGCTCGAATCCATCTCTCTCGGAGCCTCGTATGAGCCTGTCTCGAGCCGGTCCGGCGACGAGTACCTCCCTGCGATCCCGGCCTTGGGAGCACCGCCATCCCTATCGGCAACATCACCAACCCCGACCTCGTCCCCGCCGCTGTCGCCCTCGGCGCTGTCGTCATCATCGCCCGTTGCCAACATTGAAAATACCCTAGTGGAGCACAGCAACGGAGCTAGCACTGGCGAGCGACTGGAGCGAAGCATCGAATCTCATCTGCGACTGGACGAGCGCACTTTCAAGGGTAAGGATGTTGGGATGAGCACGAGGCGATAGCGAAAGATTGGCGGATCAGGGACGCATCTCGCCCTGGAATGACTTCAGTGGCACGGGCATGGATTTCATGGATACGGAGCTCACTAGAGAGGCATGCCCGGAACCCTATCCGAATCGGTTGCTCGATGGACCAATTGATGGATTGCTCGATGGATCTGCCTTGATCTGTGGCGTCGGGTCGTATCCATTGCATGGTGCTAGTGTGCCATGGAACTTTTGCTTTTGCTGCACCAAAGGACAGCTGTATCGACGCCGATATCGCCGAAATGCCACGGGCACTCATGCATCTAACCCGATCCCTTCCTCATCGCTTAACGGGGAAACCCAATGGTGTGCTTCGACATGATCCGGAATTTGATCGGCACAAACTTGCTTTGCTATGTCTGGACCTGTTCCGGCCGGTATCTTATCCCTCCTCCCAACGGTGCAAATCGGCCAGACCTCGCCATTTTTGAAGAGCGGCTAAGAATGAACATGGAGCGCTTCAACAGTTCCCGGCGCAGATGGGAAGGTGAGTGTGCGCGGAGGGAATGCCGGATGGCTATCGAGAGCCCCCGGGACTCGGGATCAAGCGGACGCCTTTCCATGTGCTGACTCGTTTGCGTGAATCAGCGGCATTTTGCATGGTCATCCTGGCCCTATTCTTCTTTGCGTATATGCTATGGTCCGATAAGACAGTCGACGAAGAGGTGAGCCGCCTATGGCTGCAGTGGGTGTGAATGAGGTCGGCCTGTCTGCTTCTATGGAGCGCTGCCGGTGAAAACACAAGCTCGGCTGCGCTCGCTGTTCTAACCATTCCGATCTCACAGGGGCGAACGAGGCCCAACCTCCTTTTCTTTGGTGGCTTTATCTTCTTTGCGGGCGTGCTGCTCTGGTTTATTGCGAGTGGCACATACACCGAGAAGGTGATCAAGCCAGCAAAGTAAGCGGTCCGGATGCCGCTCTTTGAGTCGCACAGATGAAAGCAGCCATGTATATTGACCCTCCCCTCTCCTTCCCTCCCTCTCTCTCGTTCCAGGTACATTGTGCAAGCCAATCGAGCCCTGAAGCCTTTCAACATGGAGCTTGGCCGGGAGCGACCAAACGAACTCAGCTTCTATAGCCGGATACCGCGCAAGTTCCAGGACGAGTTTTTCACCTACCGAAACCTCCACAGGCAAAAGCGTGCCCGCAGTATCGAGAAACAAAGGCTGAGGAAGCAGCAGCAGAAGGCTGGGCTTGCAACTGGCTCGCCATCGGCCGGCGGTCTCGGGTCCAATGCCACCAGCGGCGGCCGCATCAAATCGACATCGCCGGGAGACTCCAACAAGTCCGTGCGGAAAATGAGCTTGCAATCCAGCACGCTTGTCCCCGGTGCCCCAGATGACGGTTCGCTGCAGAAGGGATCTGCCCTGTGGAAGCTGAAGAAGAACTCTTGATGGATACACCGCGGTCCCTGTAGAGGTTGTCCTTGTCGCCGACCCGGCTGCACCACCACCACTACCACCACCACCGACACCACCACTACCGCCCTGCAAGCCAGGCTTGTTCGAGCGCTCTTCTCGAAACACGATGCGGCTCTGAGGACGTGGACTTGGACTTGGATGAGCGCTGGCGACAGTGGTGGGGAGAAGTTGTTATCGAAGCATCGACCCATGTGTCCGGGAACAAACTACATACACCAGAGCCTCTTTTGCTCTCATCGATTTGCATGGGACTCGAAACCAGGAGCCGATCTCACCGAGCTTTGGCGATGAAAGACGAAAGAGGGCCCACGCGGCATCCAAGTCGACGAGATCATTCGTGCAAAATATTGAGCGGCGGGAAACAGAGCGGGGCAGGCAAGGGTGTGGGCATGATACATCGCGGATAGCTCACAGCTCCGCGACGGACATGAACCATCTGATACTGGAAGTTTGCTGCCATCGAGTTATGCTGATCGACGGCCTGGGCCACTCGAGGTCAGGCTCGACAAGGAGTGATCGACCAGCACACTGAGATCTCCAGGCTGTGTCCAGCACCTCATTTCTAGACTGCGACAAATCTCACGACGACTTGACATGTAACGGATGGGCGAGTGATGATACGTTTGGTACATTTTGGTACCCTTTGGTATCCTGGATCGAGAAAGTGAGAGAGGCGGCTCCGGAATGTTGTATCTTGAATCATGCAACCTGCCGGGTGCCTTTCGTCTGTGATCCTCTGCGAACCAAATCAAGACAGTCCTTCGGCCCCCCCCCTACATCTAGATCGTCACGGCAGAGCACGGTTACTCATCGCCACTCCTCAGATCCAATGATTCGCTTGTCGGCGAAACCAATCGAGGTGGAAGAATCAATCCAAAGAGCAGAGCGTCGGCGTCCTCTCACCAGCACATTCGAGCACATCTCTGCGAGCCGCTAGGAGTATTTGCTGCTCGCACATCAAACGGGCAGAGTCTTCCTCTAGAAGCGAAAACGAACAACCCTCGCTGCAGCAAACAGCCGGCCTGGACCGCACCGGTGTCTGGTAACTATTGTGTCGGCTCTGCACTTGTGCCGGGAGCGTGCTCGTCCGAGTACTTTGAGACCCTCCTCAGACGGCCCCACAAATACATGCGCGGATACTGCTGTTGCGACTGTAGCAACATCTGTTTGATAATCGAGAGTGGCGATCTCCTCCTGACATATTCCCACAGCAATTCTGTCCAGATCATCTCGCCGAACGCGACCGTTGAGACCAGGCCGAGTCATTCGCTCGACACCCTGGGAATCGCATCATCTCTCTCTGGCGATACCTTCCGAGCCGCTTTCTCCTTTGATTTGCATCTACGGCCTTTTCGTCTCCGTGGCCAGCGTCGCGACTACTCGGTCGATCCCAAAGTTCTGACACTGGCTCTCCCGGCACAATCGCCGACAACCACGACTGACCCACCAACATCGCCAGCATTTCGATCGACTGCATTTGAGTACTCCCAGCGGCGCCCTTCTGCGTTCGTTGTCTCTGAGCCGATCCGCCGTGCATCGCTCTGACGAGCATGTTTGTTGGAAAGAGTGGATCGATCGCCCAATCGAAAGCAGCAGCAGCGGCGGCGGCGGCGTGCCGAGCTCCGATTGCACCCTCGCCGTTCCCAGCACCCGCTCACCGTCACCCCGATCTGCCGCCAAGCTACGGCGCCCTGCTATCGGGCGGGTCGCCCAGCACGGGTGCCGGCGATCACACCAGCCGGTTTCAAGCCCCAAGTGACCCACAGCATCATCTGAGCAGTTGTGGGCCAGTTCTGCTCCTGCATCCAAGCCCGAGTCCAAGCCCGCTTCCGCACCCCGCGACCGGTCTGGTTGGATCAATGTTGGTCGTATCGCCGCTGGCTTCGGCGATCAAGTCCTCCCAGCCCCCGTATCCAGCAACTCCGTATCCGATCGACCTCACCGGCGCTTCGACGGCGTTTCTGGGCACTGCCTTTGCAGCCATGACTGCGACGATCCAACCCCCTGCTGCATCCATGCCGATACCAAAAGCTGCTGTTCCCATGATGCCCTCGACGCCGGCCGAGGCTGCTGCTCCGGCTGCCGGCTTGCCTCCTGCTGCCACGACAGCACCAGCCAAGTCCGTGGCTCCCCTTTCATCACAGTCGCAAGAGATATGTACCTTTCTGGGGCACTATCCTTGCGATATGAACCACCTGGTCGCGCACGATATGGGCACTCTTCGGGTCATGAACCACGTCCGGCCGGCAGTGATGACGCTCGGCCATGACTCCTCTCGACCACCAGCACTGGCCGTTGGTCCATCCAGAGACGCGCCGTATCCGAAACGGCTTGGTCGGCCCTCTTCATCAGTCTTCCTATCTGTGGCCTCACCAACGAGCCTGCCGTATCAACACCACCAAAATCTGCAGCATTTGCAAACCCTCCAAGTCCACCAAGTGCAGCAGCGGCAACAGTGCCTCCAGAATCAGATGCGACAGCAGCAGCAGCAGCAGCAGCAGCAGCAGCAGCAGCAGCAGCAGCAGCAGCAGCAGCAGCAACTTCACCATATCCAACAGATCCAGCAGCCGCAACTGGCCCCGCAAGCCATGCAACAGGCACAGCAGCGACTGCCAACACAAATGCAGCCGCATCCCTCGTTCGTGGTTCATCCGAGTCTCGGCTTGCTCACACCATCGTTCCCGCGGGGAATCGACTTGGGTCCGACGCTCTGTCGCCCCCTCGGACCTATGCCAATGCCAATGCCGATACCGATGCCGATGCCGATGCCGATGCCGATGCCGATGTCGATACCGATGCCAATGCCAGTATCAGCGTCAGCGACGGTACCTGTGCCAGTGCCGATGCCGGCGTTGCCGCATTCCACACCCACCTCATCGTTGACAGGAGCACTAGGCCCGGGGGACTCATCCGGTCTATCCTGCTTCACCATCGGCAGCGTCACGGGCTGCACGGCCGCCATGAGCTCTGGATCTGGATCTGGATCTGGGTCGGAGTCTATCTCTGAAGCACATAGCGGCAGTCAGTCTGGTTCGCAGCAAGACTCGGCCTATGGCGGCAGTGCGGGACCGGGACCGGACTCGCCAAGGGACGGCGAGACAGCGAGGAAAAGGGTCAAGAAAGCACTCAAATCCGAAGGCGTCCCTTACGCCTGCAACTTCAGCCAGTGCACAAAGACCTACACGACTATTGGAGGGCTCAGGCATGTATATCCTCGCGCGGGATCAGTGTCCCAAGCAGGAACCGAGGCAGCGGTTGGGCTTGGTGGTGCAAAGCAGAATGTTGTTTCATAGTCCAGGCCTCGGTCTCGGCCATGGCTGCTCGGCGGTGCTGCCGCCCACTGTGTTAAGCAAGATGCCATTGCAGAAGAGCACAGATTGATACCATTCGATTACTGACTCTCTGCCGTCGCTCGGTGCTCATGGTAATCGCCTTTCCCACGACCCCATCGTTCCACATCGTCGCTCTGATGTCCCTCCCCGACAATCCTTCACGGCCACACACCATCCACTTGCACTTCTGTGCTCTCTCGCCTCCAGATATCACCTCAAGACTGTCCACCAGCTCTCGTCTCTGCGACAACGCAAGAATGGGTCGCGCGAGGAGCTCTACGCCCCCTCCGAGGAGGACCTGAGCGGCAAGACTGTTTTCGTCCGCCCGGTCTTCAGCTGCGATATCTGCCACAAGCACTACACCAGCTCCAGCGGCTTGCGATACCATAAGCTTCACTCGAGCCACACGAAGGACTAGTATTGCGCTGGAGCGAGGTGTGATCCAGCTATGAGATATTTGCGACCTCATTGCCGGTGCTCCTCTCGACCAAAGCATGGTGGATTGAGCGTCACCACCTTTCCCTCTCAACAAATACACTGCTTGAACCCCTTCTCACTGTATCTAATCCACCTTCATGCAGTCAAATCACTCCTGACTCACCTGCCTTTGGAAACAACCAGCGTTCGCATCGACTGTGCTGCTCGCCTGCACTCGGCATTATTCGGCATCGCATTGCCTCCCCCTCTTTATATCACCTACTCCTTCGTAATACACGCACATCTTGGTATGCCCGTGGGTGTCTCTCCTCCACTTGCTTCTTCAAATTAGACAGGCGCTTGGCTGTTTAGCCGGTGTGTGCGTGTGTACGCTTCTCGAGAGTGTGCACAATCCTCACACCGCCATGGATTGGTGATTCAAAGTGCAAAACGACGATATCGAAAGTTTTACGTTTATTCCATACGTTGTCCGATCGACCTAAACCGAGTCTGCGAAACGGACCCGGCTCCAGCCCATCGAAATCGAAATCGATATCCGAGAGGCCGTGGGCAGGCCCATCATAATACTTGTTCGCCGTTGGCCACATTGGATCATAGCACTACCTCGGCCCGCTCACAGAGCAGCCTTAGACATTGATCCACTCGGTCTTGCCGTCCTTGGTGACGATCTTGACCAGGGAGCCCGAGACGACTGCATCGGAGTTCTCGGACCATCGCTGGAGGCGCCTGTGGGGGTCAGGGGCAGGAGCAGAGATGCATGGCAACATGACGACATGGCGACACATTAGCATTCGATTTGGCACACAGGAGCGAATGACGATTTGATGCCCGGGTGTCCGAGTGGCATTGCCCTGGCCCTCCAAAGAAGGGATGCAGCTGACCCTGGTCGTGGAGAAAACATGTGTACATACTCGGCAATCTCAGAGAGGGGAGTCCACGAGGAAAAGTCGGCGTCGGGCATGAACTTGCGGTTCATGGGAGTGTCCAGGGTGACGCTGTGGAAAATAGACATCGGCACGAGCGTGAGTATCAAGATGTGGTAAATGGAATGGTGCGGATCCCCAACGGAGCTTTGGTTCGTCGCCGCGCTCAAGCGAGGGGTCAGTCCGAGAGCTGCACCCAGCAGCTCCGGGACCACGGTCACCAAAGACGACACTTACGGCAGAATGCTTCAGATGATATCGGGGATGTTGGTCAAGGGAGGGAAAGGCACAGCATGAAGCATTAGCACGGGGCCTCACTTTCCGTGATGCCAACTTCCAATGCGAATATGAACGTGAGTGTGATTTGGCTACTTACGCCACCGTGCGAGCACCCTCAGGAAGGCCGCTGCCGTTGGAGGCCAAGCTCTTGACAAGGTGGTGAACAGCAGCCTTGGCGAGTCCGTAAGCGATCTGTAAACGCGAGCCGGTGGCATCAGTATCGACGATCGCATGCTGAAGTGGAGGCAACAACGCAGCACACGGAGGGACCGACAAATGGGCCGGAAAGGCTGGCGATTCATCATACCATGCCTGCAGCAGCGTTTGTTCATGATGACCGCGCGAGAGAGACAGAGTGAACGAAAGAAGAAAACGAGAACGAGCGCCAATGAGATTGGCACATGTCGTTGTGATGCAGGTAAGTTTGTGTCTGAGACGTTTGCCAATGGTGCAGGTTGTCCGGAAGAAGCACGAACGACCATGTTACCGGGGGTGCCAGAGACAGCGGCGCCAGCGCCGACGAGGGTAAGCAGACCGCCCCTGTTGCAAACCGAAGAAAATATAGGGTTAGAGCGACCTGGGCTGGTGATGCTCCCCACCCAACGCCCCGGAGTTGCTGCTGCTGCTGCTGCTGCTGTGTGCGTACAAGTCGGATCAGATCACACTTACTCCTTAAGATGGGCGGCGGCAATGCGAGAAGCAATGACGGACGAGTTGACGCTCTGCGAGAGCATCAGGGAAACGTTCTTGTAGAGATCTAGCGAGATGGCCAGGGCAGGAGTGAGCACTCCGAAGCTGTGGATGTCTCATCGATGGGCAACACCGACACCAGCCAAGAGGACAGAGGCCAGGAAGAGTGCAGGCCTTTACCTTCGTCGAGGATGTTGCCACCGGCCCAGCCACCAGCGACGTTCAGGATGGCATCGACCTTCATGGTGCCAAGCGAGGCAGCGACGGCGCTGGCGATGCGAGGGCCAGCAACCTGGAGCTCGGCAGCACCGTCCTCGCGGGAGATGACAACGTTGGCATCGGCCTCCTCGTTCTCTCTGAAGTCGACCGAGGTAACGTTCTGGAGAGATTCAGAGTCGAGAGCGCGACGTTAGAACGGCGGGTGTGGATCAGAGAAAGGGTTGGGCCGGACCAGAGACATGGCGGGCGATCGCCCCCCCCCCAAGCCATACAACAGGCGATACTTGCATAGTTCAGGGAGCGAAAGTGCGCAACCAGAGCACGGCCGAGGGCACCGGAGCCGCCGTAGACGAGGAGAGAGCGGGACATGGCAGAAGACGGGTGTGGGGAGATGCGAGACAGGCAGATGGGGGCAGACGGGGCCGGGCGGCTGGAGCACCTTTTATAGGCGCTGCCGCTGCTGTTGCTGTTGCTGTTGTTACCGTCATTGCTGCTGCTGTTCGGCGCGGGCGCTGCCCGTCCTCGTCGCAATGCTGCCGAACATTCGCAGCAAGCGGCAATCGACAAGGGCACGCCGTTTTGCTTCGACAATGTCGACCACTTGGACCATCCCAGCAGCGGCGAGCAGCGCGCACAACGGTGCCCCGGCCCGTCGCTGCTGCCGACGATGGTCATCGGCGATCACCCGCCCCGGTGCCTGGCGACGGCATTTTGCCGGACGGCCACTTGTGCAGCACCGCATTTCAAATCCGCGCTGCCGCAGAACATTCGCGGAGGGCATGCAGGCGGTCCAGCGCAATGCCGGCGCGGCCGCGGCCATGATTTCCGTCCCCTGGCAGGACCAGAACCACCACGGCTCCAGCCGAGGACTCGCAGCAGCTTGTCGCCGACATACGCCCCCTATACTACTCGTCAACGAACATGCTCTATTCCAGAGATCCTCCAGAGATCCTTCAGCGACAGTCTCCTAAAGCCGGTCTCCCTCCTGCAGCTCGTATTCCTCGACGTGGCGGCGGAACTGGCCCAGTTTCGTCTGCAGCTCTATCAGCATCTGCATCTTCGTGGCCAGCACGGCATCCAGTCCGTCAATGTACTCGTCAATGTCGTATCCCTCGGTCGACACCGACATCAGCAGCCGCTCCTCGTCCTGGATGATTTTGGCGTTGGACGTGAGCGTCGAGATGTGGTAGTTGATCAGGGCGTCCTCTTCCTCGAGCAGCGAGGATGCCGTCAGCGGGCGTGCGGGCTCGTGGATCTTGGCTCCATCTGCATGCTCTGCCCGGGAGGCTTCGTCGGCACAGCGCGACCCCTCCTGCTTGGCCTCTGGCTTGGTCTTTGCCAAGTCGACATGTGGTGGGCTGCGTGCGCCGCCGACTGGCTCCGTGGTGGCCGGACTGGACCTCTCCGAGCCCATCGACTCGTCCTCCGAGCGGTCCGGATGCGCTGGGTGGTCGTCGCTCGAGCCCGAAGGGTGGATGGAGCTCTTGAGCGTGCCGAGTTCACCGGCCACGGCCACATTCTCATCGCCTTGCTCCTCGTCGCTGTTGTTGTCATCGTCGTCATCGTCGTCGTCGTCGTCATCGTCCTGGAGCTGCATCTCAGCCAGCGACGGAACGCAGACGCCAACCACCTCGTTGGGGCTCATCATCGACTCGTCGTCGCCGTCGTTGTGTTGTGGGCTGGCAGAGTCGTTGCCATCGCTGCACTCGGGGTCGTTGTTGTTTGTGGTTTGCGCTGGGCCGTCAATGACCAGTCGGGTCGGCGGCAGCGACTTTGCCCGGGCACCTTTACCTTTGTACTCCTTCACTCGGTCGGCATACCGCAGGGTGTTGAGCGAGTGCTCGGCCGAGTTGGACCCTGGGCTGACGGTCGCCACCATGACGGTGCACGACTTTGGGTCGACGAGCGAGTCTCGGAGAATCTGCGTGAGCTTGCTCCCTCGGAAGGGGATATGAACCTCGTTGGCGGCGTGCTCGCCCATCATGCTTCGGCGATGCAGTGCCCGGATGCATTCTTTGAGCGCCAGTAGGCTCTTGTTGATCTCGCTGCCCTCGGATCGACGGACCTTGTCGATATCCCCGGTGTCGGCGCCGCGCTCGGAGCCAGCCAGATCAATCAGTGAAAACTTGCCAAAGACTCTGGGGCTGGTAGCCCAGGTTCCATCGGTCCTGCGTAGCTTATGCTTCAAGGTGATCTGGAAGACAGCGTGCGACCGCGAGGACTCGGCGTTGGCTTCGGTTGAGCCCGTCGTGCGCATCTGGTTGCCGTGGCATCCGATCTGGTAGAGCTGCTCGGGGCTCGCAATGTCTTTGATTTCGGTGAGTCCCACGACCTTGAGCTCTCCCTTGCCGTCTTCGAGCAACTGGACTCGCTTGCGCTGGGGATGGGAGCGCTCATGGCTGAGAAGGTCGTAGGCCTTGCCTCCATAGACCTCAAAGTAACTTGCCTCGACCGAGTAGCGGAGATCCTGCTTCACATTCACATTCACATTCGCATTCGAACTTGGATTCAGACTCGACTTTGTGCCGTGGCCTTGCCTTGGCTTCTCGGAGCGCGAGGCAGGCGAAGCAAGTGAGGCGAACAGATCCTGGCAGATGTAGTAGTAGACGCCGGGATCCTTGGGCTTCCCAAAGATGGTGTGGGTCTTGCCGCTGCCTGGGAGCAGTGTGGGAGCAGGATGGGAGCAGTGTGGGAGAGTCGGTCGGGATCAACCATGCACGGCGGTAGGCATTTGCCGATTCTTCCGATCTGTGCCAGCTTTGCCGAGGACAGCATGTCGAGCTACAGCAATCACTGCGGCAAGGCGACTGACGGATACTGCACAGGAAGAGAACAAAGGTGCCTAACCAGTCTGGCCGTATGCGAACAGCGACACTTTGCCGCCATCGAGAAACAGTCGGAGCAGCGGCCGAGCGGCCATCTTGTAGACTTGCTCGTTCGAGGACTGGTCATCAATGACGTGGTCAAAGAGGAATCTGTGGGTGTCGATGGTCTTGCTTTGATCCAGCTTGATCTTGGGCTCGTGCAGATAGATGTGAGAATAGGGATAGGAGGCCGTCGCCGTGGTGATGATGTCGAAGGAGCCTTCAGCAATCTCTGTGAAAGTGAAAGTGAAACAGAAGTGATAACGGAAGCGAAAACGAAAGAAAGGCGGATGGGAAGGTGAGGCCGTTGGGGTGCGAATGCTTGGCTGATGTCCGTTCGAGCAACAGAGACAGCCACCGGAGCATCGAGCGCAACGAGCGTATCCTATCGTATCATGCACCGCATGATATGCTGCTGAATCGCTACACGGCGGCAGCCCGCCAAATGACACCATGTCAAATCACCGCATCGCTCCTGCCGCTGACCTTTCTTGTTTATGGGTCGCTTCCGAACGCAGACCCGGATACGGTCGTCCGGATTGTCGTATGAAAGTACTCGATCCTGATTCCGCGACTTGAGGATCTGTGCGTGGACCTTTCCAAGGTCCTTCTGGAAGATATCGGTGAAGCCGTCGATGGTGGACCTGTACTCGAGTGTCTTGGCATCCCGCTCGGTCAAGCTGCTGCGATATCTGCGTGTCTCGAACTGCATCAATCGCCGTTCCGCGCGCTTCTCGGCCAGCCTGGCGACCTCGAGCACGGCCTTGGAGGGTGCGATACTTGGTGCGGCCGCTTTGGACGAGGGCAAGGCGAGGTTGGAGGAAGAGCGCACGCGTTTGTGGGATGAGCCAACGGACGATCGAGCCGGATCCGGGCGAGGCGACGGACGGGGAGGGGTCTTGGGCGTCGACGGTGTCGACGGTGTCGAGGACAGGCTCGCTCTTGAGGCGGAGAGCTGAGTGGTGGAGCTGGCCTTGATCCTCTTTGGGTGGTCATCTGCGCATTTCAGCGGTGTCGGTGCCGATGTTGAAGGATCCAGCAGCGACGGGGACGACACTGACTTGTCTCGGCCCATCTTGGTTTTGTGGAGCCGAGCAAGCCGGGCCTGAGAGCGCTGGACAAAGGACGCAGGCGGCTGGAAGGCCGCTGCTTCCGAATTGACCAGAGACATTTCTTCGTCGCTCATGATGCGTGTGCGAGAAGAGCAAGGAGGCGAATGAGGGAGGGAGACCGAGCGCGCAGATGGGCCGTGGGAAGCGGCAGAGCAGATGCAGACAAAGCGGTGCTGGATCGGCACTGGAACCACTCGTGCTGATTGAGGGACGGCGGTTGCACCTCTGCTCGGTCAGCAAGCGCCTCGCTGGTACAAATGCACAGAAGCACCGAGGTCATGACGGCCGGTGCTGCCAGCTCGATGGATGTGCGGGCCGTCACGGAGTGTCATGGCCACATGCACACCGCTGTTGCCGAGTGAGATACGATACCGTGCTGTATGGCTGCACGGCCACGATGCTCGACTGGGTAGTTCGACTGGGTAGTTCGACTGGGTAGTTCGACTGGGTTGTTCGACTGGTTGTCAGTCTGTAGGTATATTCTAAGACGGTCGTTCGACTGCGTGGTGGCGGTAATCGAATCACAGGACGGCTAATTCCAAGTGCTGCTCGATGGCGAGTATCTGCACTTTGGCCCAGATCCGCCCGCCCGACCTGTCCGCGCTTGTTCCTCATCCACTCTGTGCCGTGAAAGAGCGTGCATCGCAATGAGACCGCCCGTGGCGACGAGGGTGAAAGGGAAATCCGCTATGTGCATCCGGCCGCGTGAAAGCCCATTGGGCATGTCCGGATCTTCGGCAAGTCATTTCAAATGCAGCCATGGCTATAAAGCCACCGATCAGAGCCACACTTCATCCGCATTCAAGTCCCCGGCCTCGCCTGCCCTCGCTCGCTCCTTTGCCTTTGCTCCCATCAACCCTGCTTCTCGCCGCTTCTGCCGCCGCATCTTCACCATGAGCTCCGACTCGCCCTTCTACTCGTTCAAGATCAACGACCTCCGTGGCAAGCCCCTGGATCTCGCCCAGTTCCGCGGCAAGGTCGTTGTCGTCGTCAACGTTGCCTCCAAGTGCGGCCTCACCCCGCAGTACACTGGCCTCGAGAAGCTGTACCAGGACCACAAGGATGAGGGCCTCGTCATCATCGGCTGCCCTTCCAACTCCTTCAACCAAGGTCAGTTCCGGAGAGGTGCACTGCACTGCACTGCACTGCACTGCGTGTTTGTCGAAGTCTGTCGATGCCGCTGATGAAGGAGGGGCTGTTGCTTGCTGCTGTGATCCCAACCCTTCCTCGTTCGTCCTGCCCTCCCTCTGCCGTTCTCCAGAGCATTCCGAGGTCGATGCCATCGAGACTGTCTGCCAGCGCAACTATGGCGTCAGTTTCCCCATCACCGAGGTGATCAGCGTCAACGGCTCGGACGAGCATCCTCTCTACAACTACCTCAAGTCCGAGGCCCCCGGCATCCTTGGCCTGAAGATGATCAAGTGGAACTTTGAAAAGTTCCTGGTCGATCGCGACGGCAAGGTCATCCGCCGCTTTGCTCCCACAACGGTCCCCGCCGATATGGAGAAGGACATTGTTGCCCACCTGTGAGAGCCGGCTCCCGAGCCCCATACTGCCCAGCCACATTCCTTGCCCGGTTGAGAATGCGCTGAGCCACCATCCAAAGCTTGGCCAGCGACGGACCCGACGCTCTTGCAGACGCTCTTGTCCCCGCTGGTCTCGTCGCCGCATCGGATTTGATATGGATTGGTACCCGGACCAATCCAGTGATTTCAGCCATTCTTTTTCCGCAGCGCCATATGTTGATTTCTTCCGCCGACAGCCCTCACTCTTGCTTGTGTTGTGCCTTTGAAACGACCGGCATCCGTTTTCTTTTTTTTTTTTGCCGCTTGTGTGTACATATTCAAAATAACGGGACACACCCATTTCAATCGAACGCGGTGATCTGCATCCATTTGCGATCGAAGGATCGCCCTCTGGTCTCGTCAACCGCCACGCACGCATTGATCATGTTGGTAAATACCAGTCTGTTCGAGGTGTCTGGCATCCAGTGCGCATGTCCCAGCCAGCCGATTCAAAGGTCGGGTCAGTTGCGATGCTGCTGCCCCTCGAATAGCTGTCGCTGCTTGGCGTCAACTGCCGTTTGTTGGTGTGCTGCTGCCTCGCCTCTCTGGGCCGCATACAAATCGTCAACCGCTCTGTCCAAGTGCTTCGACCCTGCTGGGCACCACCACCACCGCCAGCTGACCTTCCGACTCGCCCCACCGACCCTGCGGTCGTATCAACAAATGCCCCTGTCTGGCCTCCAGACAGCCGAGCGACGCAGCAGCCACAGGACAAATGCAGGGAGCGGCGGACAGTGCAAGGGGGTGTGTGCGCTGGACAAGGAACCTGGTCGGCCCCAGCAACAAATCGCAACAGCGCCTCTCGAGACGGCCTGAGCATAGAGCAGCCAATGTCAGCGTCATTGCGGCGGCAAACATTGACGGCGGCATCGCCCGCAGCCGCTTGTGTGAGGATCCAGGTGCAAGCTTCCCAGACCCATCTGCATCCTTGCGGCCCTTGTCTTGTCCCAGGGGAGGCTCTATTGTATTCTCCACACGGGCTCGCCTCCTCTCTGCCCTCCTCGGCCCTCCTCGGCCCTCCTCTGGTCCGGCCCCGGCCATCCCTTGCGCCAGCAAGCTTTGATTTATCTCCTCGCACATCTCCTCACGCTTGAGACTCGCTCGGCATCTTGTCTCCCAAAGCGATCAAAACTGCACCCTTCTAATCTCCCCTGGGTACACTCCAGGCAACACTTCCCACCACGAACTCTGGTCTGTCATTGCCTCGGCGTTCCCACGGCCAAGCCAAGGTTCCCTTGAAGGAATATCGCAAGCACTCCAAGCTTGCTCTGAGTACCTCGGAATACCAATCGACCTGCCGACCCATCCGGTAGCCTGCTTCGTAGCCCATCTGCTCAGTGATCCATCTCCCCAGCCACCCCACCGAACCAGCCATGGGTCCTCCTATCTACCGACACTCAAACGTTGAAGTCACCACCCAGCCCTGGTATGCACAGGACGGCAACGACGACGACGACGACCGCCCCAGCAGCGACGAGCTCGATTCTCCCAGAGACGACCGGGCCGAATCTGGGCGTCGTCCAGGGCGAGGCTCTCCCTTTCGCCACCGCCTCGGGAATCATGGCGGACACCTATCCGTGCGAAACGACGATCGCGACGGCGGATCGGGCGGCGGCATTAGTTCCTATAGCAACCTTCCCACGCACATGCGCAAGATTCTCAAGAAGCTGGAGCGATACGGCGGGCTACAGCTGTTTAGGTTCTTCGAAATCCTGTTCTCGGGGATGTCGGTCGAGAGCCGTGCGGCTGTCCTGCAGATCCTCAAGGCCGGTCTGTCGCCGATCGAGCTGGAGCAGTTCAAGGGTCTGGAGGAAGACTCTCGCCCGTCTCCGCGCCCGATCGGGACGGCCGGAGCCGGCAACGACGGCAACAACGGCAATGCCAGGGGCCGGTCAGGGGCGCTCGGGCTGTCGTCGTTTGCGGCCTCGGCATCGTTCCAGCCAAGCGGCTCCGTGGCCACATCTCAGTCTGGATCCCGGCTCGACAACCTGGGCTGGAGCCCCGAGCGCATTGTGCGGTCGCTGCATGTTCGTCAACGAGCACACCGTCCCCGCTCGTCATCGCCGTCTGGTCCTGGATTGTCGAGAGTCGGCGGGAGTGGTGGGTCTGGACTGTCGACGACATCTCCACAAAGCCCACCGGGTTCTTTCTCACCCACGATCCGGTACGGCGGCGACTGGTCCGAGCCCGCTCGTCCCGCCGGCCCAACCATCTTCCGCATCCCTCTGTTTGGCAGTCCAGCTCCGGTCTCGGCCCCAAACAGTCTGAGCGCTGCGCTATCGCTCGAGGACCAGATCTTTGGCATGCTCGTCGAAGTCGTTGAGCGTGCCGAGCGTGCGGCAGCGCTGCAGATGGCCAACCTGCAACACTTGCAGCCGGGCACGGGCTCGGGCTCAGGTTCGGGTCCAGGCTCGGGCATGGGCTCGACTTCGTCTCCTTTGGGCACATTGCCATTGGCCCTACCGCCTCGCACCACCTCGCCCGTGGGCATCGCAGCCCCACCGACACCAACATCGGAATCTCCAGGATCACCGACACGCGAAGAGTCCGGCACTCAGCAACCATTGCAACCATTGCAACCACTTTCGCCTTCGGCATCGTCGGCATCGTCGCGGTCTGCCTCGTCGCCATCGGCATTCTCTCGCCCTTCGCCTCAGTCGTCCCAGCAGCAACAGCAGCAACAGCAGCAACAGCATCAGCAATATCAGCCGCAGCCATTCTTCATCACCCGCGCCTTTATTCCTTCTCCAGTATCACAGCCAAGTCCCGAGCCTGCGACCCACAATCTGGACTCTCCCATGAACAACAGCGACGATGACGAATCTCCGTCTGGAATCGACCGCATCTTCTCCAACACGCCTCATACGGAGTACGAGCGGTAGTGAGGCAAGATGCCTTGAGCGTAGAACCTGTCTCGGATTTGCTCTTCCTTCATTCGTTCCTTCCGCGCGCTATGTCGGTGTTGCTTTCTCTCTCTCCAGCCCTGGGTCCAGCCGATCCTCGCCCCTGCCATTCACTTCGATGCTCTATTTGTTGGCTGATTATATTTCCCCGCGACGATACCTTTCTCTTGCCGAGATGTCCTCAAGGTTCTCCCTACGTTTGTTTTAGTATTTTGGTATTGAATGAGCACGCGCAGAGGAAAATCACCATTGCCGCTCAAAGCCCGTTGCATTCGTTCAAAAGCACTGTGGGTGGGAAGGTAGCGAATCGGCGAGGAGAGAGCACACGGATCTGGTGCTGCCGTTGGGCTGTCTGGTGTTCCGAGAGACCTGGCAACAGGCAAGCAGCACAGGACAAATCTGAGGAGGAGGGGACGACTGGTTGGGCAGAGAATGCCATGGACAGCTGTGGGTGGCTCCGATCTTGAGCAACATACGTGGCGGAGTACACGAGAAAGAATCAGAGTGGAGGAGGTGGAGGGAAGGGAAGGGGAAATAAAGGAGCGACATCCCCCGCCCCTTGTTTGGTCTGGATTTTGGTCTGTCAAGAAATGAGGACGACTGTGGTCCATGGAGGGCGATGGAGGGGTGTGTATTCAGGACCCAGGGAAAGTGACACGGCTGGCTCAAACAGGGTGCTCCGTTTCGGCTGGGGAACGCTGCATTGCGCCAGTGCGAATCAGTGCTGTTGCTTTTTTTGTTTTTGAAAAAGTCGAATCTCGTCATCGGCGTGTGCGGCGGGAGTGGGAAGGGTCGACGGCGACAGTGGCGGGGGTGGTGGAGGTGGTGGAGGAGAATAGCGGCGACCAGGCGGGGTGAGGCGGCAAAAATAAGGCATGGTGGTGGTGGTGGGGAGTGGTGGTTGTTTGGGATGAAAAGGGACTCTAGAGTTGAAACCTGTCAACTGCAATACCCAGCCGATGGGATTGGGTCCAATGTGCAAACAGAAAAACGAAGATAACGACAAAAAAAGGCGGTCCTTGGACAGGGCGGAGCAACGGGCTGCCCCTCCCTCTCCAGAATCAGGGACCGGGGGCTTCAGATTCATCAGCTTAATCTGCTGCATTAATAAATAAGAAATGACAATGGTGAGGAGGAAGAGGGATGAATGGTGAAGAAAGATAGGGGGGGGGTGATATGGGAATGTGACCGGCGGATAAGTCCGGTTTTGAAGGGAGTGGAAGGCGGAGGTTGGAAAGGGGGGGCCGAGACTGGATTAGCGAGGGCAGGGAGAAGGAAATCAGGACCAAGAGGGAGAGGAGGACACCACGGACACGGAGATAGCCCGTAAGACAGGAATCGAGATCCGGCCTTGATCGATTGACACCCACAAAAAAGCAAAAGCGCGAGGGAGGGAGGGGTCGAGGAAGAAGAGAAGATAAATGATATCGAGTTGCAGCGACGTTGTCTCGTCTCGGAAGCAGAGATTTGCAAGTAGATCACAGCAAAGAAGAAAAGGTCCAAGAAGGATCAGAAAAGTTGGGGGGGGGAGGTAATGAGCCAGCAAGCGAGATTTGCGAAGCTGTCTCTGGCCTGTATCTTGAAGCCGACCAAAAACAAGGAGGATTGAGTAACAATCGAAGGGGAAATGTGTCCGGCACGGACAACATCTTGGGGGGCGGAGACGGTGGTGTGGGAAATAAGATCTGGATCGGAGGCCGCAAATGGGAGCCTTCGAGGGGGAGGGCAGCTGTCCGAGAGGTTGTTGCGGAAGCATGGACTCGCCGTCGGACTGTCTCAAAAACGTTGGCTACGATCTTGCGATTCACGAGTCCAGCCTCAGTCTGGCCAGGTCGAGTCCGGTCCAGTCCGGTCCAGTCCTGTCCAGTCCGGTCCGATCCAATTCGATTTGCTTGGGCCGTTACATCGTGTCGTCCATGATAACGCCAAAACTGCTCTTCTGGTCCATGTCCGGATATACCTCGTACGAATCAAAGACTTCGATCTGGCGATATCCTGAGACGATACCCTCGGTGATCCGCCAGCCGTCCTGAGCAGAAGGCGCTCGCGCCATTTCGATCGCCCAGCGCTCGGGCCGGGGAAGGTCTGCAAAGTACGAGGCTGCAGAGTGGCGCTTGGGCCTGGGGACGCCGCTGCCGGTGGGTTCGATGGGCTGGCTGGTCTGTGGCTGGTACTCGGTTGGCAGTGCCACCACCGACGCAGGCACGCCGTCCTGCGAGCTCCGGGACGCCTCGTGGCGGTCGCGGTCTGCAGCCCGTCCAACATTGCCGCGATTTGATGTAACTGTGGTGGCCGTTTGGGCGCCGATCGAGTCGCGGGATCCTGCACGAGCACACAGAATCGAATCCAGTCGCTCGGGCTCCGTCGGCCGGCTGGATATCGGTGGCGGCGGTGGCGGTGGCGAAGCACGGGGCGGCCTTGGCAGTCCTTGGCCCAACGCAGGCAGCTTCGTGTCGCCCGGATGAGGAGGCGTCAGCAGATGCGGCGGGATGAGTTGTTTCTCAAGCAAGTACGAGTTTGCGGACTGCGACAGACCCGGAGACGGGGACCGGTTCGGCCGAAAGGCCAAGAACGGGCTTCGCTTCCGGGCCATCGCTAACGAGTCGGCTGGGGGCAGGCTCATGGTCGTGGTCGTGGTTGTGGTTGTGGTCGTGGTTGTGGCTGCGGGTGCGGGTGCGGTTGTGACTGTAGCCGAGCTGTCGACTGACAAGGCTTGCCGCGATGAACGAGAGAAGAGGTTGCCAGGAGAGAGCGGGCGCCCGGGAATGGACGGATGCAAGGACGACGGCGGCTCGTGGGAACGGGAGGGTTTCAGGGATTTCGTGCTCTGCGTGGGCGAGAATGGGGCTCCACCGGTAGAAGGAGGACGCTTGGCAAAGAGCCTGAAGGATTCAGAGAAGGGAGTCGGACTGGTGCTTGACCTCGTGGCGAGCCTGGGAGAGGGCGAGCGGCTGGTGAGGTCGGTCAGGGAGATGGAAGAAGCAAGCGGTGAAGCCGGCAAGCGGCGACGAGACGGCGGAGATTCGTAGTTGGCGGGATCAAAGTTCTCGATTGTCAGCGACAGCTTTGGCTCTGACGAGCGGGGCTGGGCCGGCGAGGTGCGAACAAGGATCGACGGTGCCGACGACAGCTCCGGAGGCGGCCATGAGCCCGGGGCAGCGACTTGATCGTGGGGGGCAGGCTGAGTGGACTGGATATGTGACGGAAACGAAACGGTCGAGGAGAGATTGGAGGGTGGAACGGACGACGGATAGGAGAAGCGCTTTCTGGACCGGGCCGAGCGAGCACTGTGTCTGGATGGGCTGAAGAAGCTCCACAGCCCCGAAAAGAACGGAGGCATGGAGAACCGCCGCTTCTTCTTGATGGACGAGCCCGAAGCCAGTCCCAGCGGCGGCGAGCCACCGGGGGCAATGGTCGAAGTTGAGAGTCGGCCGTGCCGGGCAAGATCGAGAGAAACGGACCGGGAATTCTGGGCTTTCAGACTCCTCCGCAGGCGAAGCGAGGTGGAGCGGAAGATTGAGTAGTGGGTCTGCGAAGGCTTTGTGGGGTCGAGAATGGACGATGTACTCGGCTCGGTTCTCATGACACGGTCGATGATGTTGCCTTTCCGCCAGCCACTGGATGCGGACGAAGCGTGGGAGATTTCAGTCTGGATGTTCAGCGGCGACGAGGAGGGAAGCAGGGAATCGGAGCCGACGGCGTTGCTCGGTGGGACAGTGGAGAGCGGCGGACAGAGCGGAACAGGGCACTGGGAGGTTTCGTGGCTGTGGAAGGACGGCGGCTCGCGATCCAGGGGTATTTGCGGCGGCCTGGGCAGGTCGACCGAGGTCGAAGGCGACGGGGGGAAGGGCGTATTTTTGGGGGCCTGGACGGGATCCTGCAACGACAGCGACGGGCGGGGTGCCAGCACGACGGGGGGGAGGTGGAGAGGATCGGTAACATGGTCCATGTTGAGAGGATCCATGGGGGCGTCAAGGAATGGGGGCGACAGGCCACTGGGATCGGCGCTGGGGTCGGACATGGCGACCCAGAGGCTGGCAGGCCGATGGATGGATGGATGGACGGAGGGGACAGCGGCGGGATGGGTGGGTGGTGGGATCAAAGTGGCACGATGGTCGGGACTGTACCGAGCTCGGGGTCTGCCGACAGCGAATGGTGTTGTGGGGCCGAGGGAGCGGCGGTTATGTTGTGGAGAGGGGGGGGGATAGCCAGTATCAAGACAGTCAATATCAATAGGTAAGGTCAGGGCAGACAATACCAGGGCGGTCGAGATCCGACAGTCGATATCCGGACAACGGAGAGCCGATATACGAGTGGGCGAGGCAGCGGTTTGCGAGGACAGTGCCGGAGCGATAGCAGAGAGAAGGCGGGCGAGGGACAGCAGGCGGCGGGAGTGGGCGACAATAGCCAAAGCCAACGGAGACGGCCGAGGAGACGAGGATATCCGAGGGCATGGAGCGAGCGCGCGAGCGGGATGAGATGCGATTGAGTGAATAGAAAAGCAGGGTCAGGAGCACAGCAAACAAAGCAGCGAGACGCCGACCAACAACAGCACTGCCGACAGGATCGCAGTAACATACAACGCGAACGACAGAACAGAGGAGCGGGCAGCCGCCGAGTGAGGCGGGGCGAGGACAATACGCAGGATCGGTCGCTGCCGACAAAGACCCGGGCGAGAGGGAGTCCAGCGCAAACAACGGCCAGGATCAACAGCCAGAAGCCACAATCGGAAGCAGCATCCGGGAGCAGCAGCAGAGGCGACTTACCTCGGCGAAGATCCGTTTGGAAGAGATTTGGAACGAAACAGGGGAGCGATCGAGGCGATCGAAAAGGTATCAACTAAAGCTTGGATTGACGGGAGAGCCGACCAGAAGGCAGGTCGATGGGCAGATTTAAAATTTTGCTGTTGTTGTTTCTGGTTCGTGGGGTGCCCAAGGCAATGAGATACGAGGGAAAACGAGAAAGGCAGAGAACGTACCGGCAGGGCTTTTTGACCTGCTCGAAATTAACGGGACAGCGCATGTGCCGAGGGTCGGAGCCGGTGGGTTCTTTGGACAACGACAAGCCGACAGCGGCAGGACGGCCGGAAGCGATGCGAAAGGGGTGTATGGATCAGGAGAACGGACAGCCCAGGCAAGGCCAGAGTCGAAACAGCGGCCTGGCAAGCGACAGGAAACCTGGTGTGGTGGGTGAGTGGAGCGAGCACACGGCGGTGCAAAGAACCAAAACGGGCGCGGCAGTACAGAGACAGAAGCAGGCGCACGGCAGGCACGACAAAGGACGGGAACAAGCCCGCAAGCGCAAGAGCAGCAACAACGCAGTGCCGTGGGGCAAGGAAAGCAGCATGCGGGGGACGGTGGGCACTTGCGACACAGCGCAGATCGCAGGAGCCCGAATGGCAAGTGGACAGAGTCGCTCGCATTGACGTGGCAATGTGATATGGGAATGTGATATGTGATATGTAACATGTGATATGTGAAATTGATATGTAACATGTGATATGTCTATGCGATATGTGATATTCGTATCGACAGAGCAGCTCGCATTCAACAACACAACACAGCACATCAGGGCACGTCGTGCAGCATCGCCACAGCCTGCTGCGCAGCTGTTACACACGACGCCACCAGCGTCGCACGGCCGAGGCGAGGCACGGGCAGAGTGCATTCGAGCCACCCTCGAGCCGGCCTTGTCGCGGCGCTTTGTCGGGCTCAGCGCGGCGGGCGACAAGGGCAGCAGTGCAGGGCGATGTGGACAGCGTGATTCTGCGAGGGAGCGGGGAGATGGAGAGGACGATGGAGGGGGGAAAGTGAGAGGATGCACCCGAGGACGAAACCGTCCCCGGCAAACAAACGTGGCCATGCGAATCGCAGCGTCGTCGCGGTGCGTCGATTGCCCGTGTCGCTGCCACGCATCGTGCTCTGGCCCGATCAGGGCAGCGCCGCTGGTCCATGCTCGCGGTGTCCATACAGCCACACAGCCCGGCTGCGCGCCGAACCAATGGCCGCCCGAGGGCCGGGGTGGCACGGTGCCCTTGGCTCGCTGTCTGGCCTTGTCGCATCGTCGCCACCGGCCGGCTCGCGAGGAAAGGACGCCTTCGAGCTGCGCCCCTTGGGGCGACCTGCATGATGGTGTGTGGTGCGCCTGCCACGGCGGACGCCGGGTGCTGGCAAAGGAAGCATGGGGTCTGGTGCGCGCAGCACGAGAGCGGGAACGGCGGTTGCGTCGCAGATGAAGAGCATCGGGAAAACCAGGTGCAGCGATGCGTCGATCGACTCGCAACTCTGTCGGTCCACTCGAATGCATCGAGTCGATTCTGCATGCCATCCCACAACCCACAACCCACAACCCACAACCCACAACCCACGACCCACATCCCACATCCCACATCCCACAACCCATCACCAGCACAGACACCAGCACAGACACCGACTCGACAACCGATACAGCGCCCATGTGACGGCACAACCCCGCAGTCGTCGCTGTGCAGATCTGAGCAGACGTGCGCATCGTGACTGGTCGCTCTCTGGATCGGCTTGTCCACACCTGTGTGCCGCACTGCTTGGGCCTTTGCTGGCTGGCCCAGGGCCAACCGCTGTGCTGCTGCGGCCGGTGCTCCAGACCTACTATGGGCCTTGCTGCGCGGGCGTTGTGTTTGCTTCAGAGGCGTTGTGTTCGCCCCAGCACCAATCGAGATGGCATGTCGGTTGCACTGTGGCGCCGATGCGGTCCTTGAAGTTGTGTCGTCTGCGGCAGCTGTGTGGAGGCAATGTCGACTGTGGCTGCTGTGGTGCTGTCGTTGTGTTTCTTGCGTGGTGGTGGCATCCGACCCCTCAGTCTACACAATCGCTATCCCATCCCCAACCTCACCTGCAATCGTGGCCCACGCCGGCACATGGCAGTCAGTCGAGCCGCCCCTTGGACCCGCCTGACCCTTGTTGCCCTGCCGCGGCCGAGTGGTGCTTTGGTTGCTTGTGCGCTGCTCCCGCGGTATCCCTGTGTGGCCCAAACATTTGTCGCGCGACCGGAGGCGGCAATACGGGGCTCGACATGAACTTGCTCTGTCGACTTGCGCATCTCTGCCCGTTTGCACATCGCTCTGCCCACTTGCGCTCCTGCCTGCACACCCCGGCAGCTGCCCATCACCTCGTCCACCCTCTGTTGCTCGCCACAGCAGCAACCCAATTAACTGGACACCCCACCCTCGCCATCCGGCCCATTTATAGATATCTTCCTCTACCAGACCCCCCCCCGGCCTTCGTTTTCGCCCGGCCCTGCGTTGGCCTTTTCTGTATCTGACATTTTCGGCTCTCTCCCGGCCTTTCCTTTGCGGTCTTCTTTGGAGCCACGACCTGGTAGTTCCCACTGTCTTCTGCCACTACTCTGTCTTCTGCCACTACTGTCTTCGATCGCCACCAACGACCACCACTGAAGACCACCACTGAAGTCCACCATCTCAAGCAGCTTCAACACCACACTTCCACCCGCTTGTGCTTGATCCACTTATCCCCCCCCCGAAACTCGCTCGCCCTCGCCATGGCCTCTGCTCCCACCATCTCGAGTCCGCTGCAAATCTCGAGGCTCAACTTCCGGCCTCGTTCCGAGCACGACCCGCTGCCCCCACCGTCGCCCTCGTCCTCCGCGCCGCTGTCGTCGTCGTTGCCAGCGCCATCGTCGGTGCCCATGACCTCCTCGATGCCCACCCGGCCGCTCTCGATCCAACAGTCCCGGGTTCGCCACACAGAGCCGCCCAGGCCGCTGACCGATGAGCCCACCGACTTTCGTCTGCCTGTTCCTCGGACGCCGTCCCAGTCGGCCACTCCGCCCAAGGGAAGCGATCTGCTGCTCAAGCGCTCCATGTCGTTTTCCCGCACCTACAGCATCCCTGCAAACATGTCGGCCCCAACCCCGGCGACCCCGGCGACCGCTGCTGCTGCTGCTGCCCCGATGGTCTACCCACACCACTCCCTGCACCCCACCGACACCCGCACTGCCGAAAGCCCGGCCTCGCTCGGCTCGGACGACGGCATCACGGGCAGCTCGCCCCGCTCCTTCGATGCCAAGGAGCGCTGGATCGCCCCCGACTCGCCCTCGGTGGGGGCCACGGGCCATGCCCAATCCCACGCATGGGTAAACCCGGCTCGGATGTCGTCCCTTCCAGAGGCCCGGCCCGACCAGCCCATCGAGCCCGTCCGCAGCTACTCGGTGCACTCGCGCTACTCGCAGATGAGCACCATCAGCACCACCGCCGGCACCCCTTGCTCGCTCGCCTCCTCGCCCGACTCCCATCCTGCCGTGTCGTCGCCCTCAAGCCCGCACTGGAACTCGCAGCGAGACCTGGTCTCGCCGAGCCTGACACCGTCGCCCCGGCCCATGAGCCATCTCAGCCGCTCGCTCAGCGTCGGCGGATCGGCCAGCAACGGCATGCTCGCCCTGCAGATCCCCGTCGCCCCCTCTCGCACCGTGCGGGCCGGAAGTCGATCGAATGCCGTTGGGGTCGATGTCGCTCCTCCTCGCTTCTCGCGGCCCCAGGATCCGTCTTCGCCCCTTACTCCACACTCGATGCCCCTCCTGCCCGTCCAAATCTCGGCCCCACCGGTCTCGCCGGCTTCCCGTGATACCCCTCGCTCATCCTTTATCCAGCACGCTCCCACGACGCCGCACCCGCCTTCGATGAAGCCCTCGGCATCGCTGCCCGCGACAGCCTACGGATCGCCTCAGGCTGCCCCCGTGGCCTTCCCGGAGATGGAAAAGCGAACGCCGTCGGGATTCCGCAAGTTCTTCAAGTCCTTCATGGAGCAGGTGCAACTTCTGGACGATCAAGATGACCCCTTTGCCCCGCCTGGCCCGAACTCGCCCGCTCCAGCACCGTCCAGCCCGGACGCAAAGCCCATCTTGAGACGGCCCCGTACCCTCAGCACCGGCAGCACCACCGGCAACGGCGCCAACATCATTCCGCCCATGCCCAGCCCGATGCTCATGCCCCTCAAGCCTGTCAAGGATGCAGAGAAGGCCGCTCGCTTCGAACTCTTGCTGCAGCGCATCGAGAACGACCCCGAGGAAAAGGTCGAGCCCATCAAGCTCACCCTCACAACCGAGTACAGTCTCATCCTGCAGAAGGACTATGATGCCGTGGAGCTTCCCGGAATCACAGCGCCATCTGCCTAACGGACGCCGAGATGCACTGTCCTTTTCCCGATGAATACTTTGGCAGTCCCCACTAGCCGTTTCTAGTTTCAAGGGTATTCTCCTCCACCTGGCCTTTCGCCCCTATTCTCTGCCGGGCCCAACCATCTGGTGTCGCGACATCTACGCTCTTCGCCACAGCTCCCTGGGCCCACCGTCTCAATCTGCAACCCTGCTTTGCCCCGACTTTCTCATTACTGTCTCCTTGACTTTCTCGCAGCCAAGCCCTGGCTTTCTTTTTTTCTATTTTTTCTTTTTCGCTACTGCATCACCTGGCCTCCCGCCGCCGCCGCAGCAGCAACAAAAATATGTACTCTTCAGCAAGTTATTCGACCAAGCCGTCAATCGACCCTTGGCCCGTTTCATAGAATCTCTCCACAGTCGCCATGGATCGAGTAACAAGTTTGTCTCCGGTCTCGTCTGCATATTCCACATGTCTCTATGGCAGACTTAAACCCCCCCTCCTCAGACACAGCGATTCCATTGGCTTGCTCCAGCTTTGTCTCCCCCCCCCACCACCACGCTCTCCACGGTTCTTTCGTGGCCTATGACTCCTTTTATGATGACCACCATCGACGACGCTGCCTTTCTCAGTTGTGCCGGCTCGCTTTCGGTGTTGGGAATGTCCTTTTCTTTTTTTTGACTCTGTTTCTTCTCGGGCTTGTACCCGCCCCCATCTGTATCAAGCTTGGTCTGCGCGCTCTGCTGCATTAACCTTTGCATATGGCCCTTGGTCCTTTCCTTCCCCGATCGGCCATCGTCGGCCCCACTCTGCATTGACTGCATCCATCCGTCGGCTCGCACCCGTCTCTTTGCCCTGCCCCCCCCCGCCCTTTCTTCCAGGAGACTTGGTATCATACCACTTTCCAAATCCCCAGCCCAACGCAAACATCCATGTGTTGAACAATATAGAATACAGCTTGTACAGATGAACGGCATCACTGTCCGAGCTTGACGGGTGCGTGTGTGTGGTGAGAGATTCCAAATTCCAGCCGCTGCAGGCAAGCCGGCTCACCACAACGCGGTCATGAATAGATGAGGGATTCATCTTCATGGACTGGACGCGGATCATTGACTGGAACGCTGTGGAGAACGGCCGATGGCTTTTGCCCCTGGATGTGCCGACGACGATCGCAACCCTGCACAGGCCGTGGATCGAGATGGGCCATCAGAGTGCGATAGATGGGGCATTGTGCGTGCTGGGAATGATTCTGCCCGATGGAACCGACGCGCTGGATGTGCTGGGTATGTTTGATTTTCTTGGTCCAGATGCATGCGACTCCATAGGCCTCAATCCCATCACCGAGGAGCCCCGAGTTGAGCCGGGCTGGACTGGGCTGGACTGGACTGGGATTTGTGATGGGCCCATTCCAGCACACTGCGGTTGGTTGGCCATGGCGGCAAACCCGATAGGCCTCGGCTGCGGTTGGGCAGGGGATTTGCAATTCCCGACCACTCAAGGCACCCCACACTCCCCCCCCCGATCCAGCCCTGCACTTCATCGACCTCTCGAACAGTGATCTGTCCCAACACAACCAACGCCATGGAAGTCCTTCCCGTTCCCGTCCTCGAGGTAGACAGATGGCTTGGTGATCTTCGTACTCTCATGGCTCAATGGTCCGCATGGTCCAACGGCTCTGTCTGCTCCATCAATGATAGGAACTGACCCTTGCCCCGGATGTTGGTCCCAGGACAACTATTCTTATGTCGTCGTCGACAAAGCCACCCGAACGGCCGCCCTCGTCGACCCCGCAGTCCCCAAGACCGTGCTTGAGTTCTTGAAGCACCACACCGATCTGAATGTGGTCGCTGTGTTGACGGTGAGTCGGCTCGAAGATTGCTGCATACCAGGACGGCTGCGACGCTTTGGCTGTACATGCGGATACCCACCAGACATGATAATCATTCCCTTTCGGCTGGTATGCCCTGCCCTCTACGCTGCATCCTTCCTACCCCCCCATCCTCGGGCTTCATCCCATCTCGCCGCTGCCAGACCCACCACCACTGGGACCATGCCAACGGCAACCCCGAGATCGCATCGCACTTTGCCGGCATCCAGATCTATGGCGCTGACGACCGCATCCCCGGTCTGACCACGCCCGTGAGCCATAACCAGAGCTTTGCCCTAGGCTCGCTTACGGTAACCCCGCTGCTGACCCCATGCCACACCCGCGGGTCATGCTCGTACTATGTTCACGATCCAGCCTCAGGGGCCAAGGCCGTATTCACGGGAGATACGCTCTTCATTGCCGGGTAAGCCTGGGAGGGACATGCAGCTGGGTGCCAGTTTGTAGTAGCGGCATATCTTGACAATCCAGCGACCATTCGCCGACCACGACAGATGTGGCCGCTTCTTCGAAGGAACCGCCGAACAGATGCATGCGTCGCTCTCGACGCTGATGAGCCTGCCAGACGACACACTGGTCTACTGCGGCCACGAATACACTCTGGTAAGGCTCCCATAGAGCGGCTCGAAGCTGCATCTCCCAAAGCCGCCTGGTGCGGCCGAGCAGAGCGGAGCTGCTTGGAGGGACATGCCTCGCTCTCGTCTCCATCGGGCCTGCGATCGGCGCTCGATTGCATCATCCGTTCGGCATCATCCGTTCGGCATCATCCGTTCTGCTGGATGCTCACTTTTGCTGCCACTCCGTCCACATCTCCTCCTCGTTGTGTCCTTGCCTGTGTCCAGGCCAACTTGAAATTCGCAGCCTCGGTCGAGCCCACCAACCCAGCAGTCCAGGCCAAGCTCCAGTGGGCGCGACACCAGGCCCAAACGATCCCCGGCACCATCGGTGACGAAAAGCAGATCAACCCGTTTGTTCGAGCCCACGTTGCCGAGGTGCAGCATAGTGTTGCCCAGGCAGTCGGCAATCTCTCGGAGCCGTACGATGCGTTGCAGATCCTGGCGCATTTACGAAATCTCAAGAACACCTTCAAGGCTTGAGGCCGGCCAGCTCGGTACATTCCACGGCCACAAAGTCGTCACTTGCAATCGCTGCAGAAGCGATGATCAATACACTGTCGGTTGATGAAAGCATTGTCGATCCTGGAGTGGTCCTGGAGCGGTCCTGCTGGGCGATGGGTTGTGGTTGGCCGAGCAGCGAGAGCGCTCTCGCCGAGCCAGCGAGGGCGCCCCGGTCCTCCACCCAGCCCTGTCCGGTTCCTTGACCGCCTTCGTCTCCATCCATCGTCGTCATCATCATCCATCGCCATCGTTCATCGCCATCCACCATCCACCGCCATCCACCTCTGCCTTTGATATCGTGTCTGCTTACTATCTGTCTCGCCCACAGACTCTCCCTCGTCTGCTGTCCGCTGAGCTCGCAGCCGTGCATCCACACTTTCCCTGCTCCCTCGCTCTGCCCATCCAACCACGCCGTCCGGCTGCTTCCTCGAGCCATGTCTTTCTCCTCGACACCGCTGCTTGTATCCAAGCCCCAGGGCTACCACTCTATCGTCTCGCCGTCGCCCCTGGCTCCCGGATCGCACCTGTCGCCTCCTCACCATGCGCCTTCTCCCGGAAGCGTCTCGCCCAGCCCTCCACCGACGCTCCCGTCGGCGCTCCATCCAGCCGCCATGCGTTTCTTCCGGAGCCAGAACCAAGATGCCAGCATGAACGACCAGGACGAGCCTTCCTCGCCCCAGGTCCTCTTCGATTACTCGCGTCAGTTCATCCAGGAGCTCTGGAGAACATCCAATACTTCGCTCGTGCCGCTGCAAAATCTCCAGATCGCGCCCAAGCCCCGCTTGCTGTCGCTTGATATCTTCCGGGGACTGGCCCTGGTTTCTATGGTACGTCATGATCCGCCCCCCCCCCCGAGCACTGCGTCTTGCACCCTTATACTGCCTGTCCCATCGCTCCTTTGCGGTGCTGCTCGACTTTGTGCACTGCGTTACTGCCGCTCTTTGCTGCTGAACGCTCAGTCGTGCCCAGACCACCGGTGCCGAGTGCTGCTGTGGCCTGCCGCTTGTTGGGCCTCTGAATATCGATTTCTTCGTCGAGCCCCCACACCAGCCATATCTCGACCCCGTCCCCGTCGTTGCTGTATTCCGCTTTGCTGCGAGCGATAGTGCTCCCATTCCCAACGCCTTGGTCTCGTCCGTCTCTTCCGGCACCTTGGTGGCTCCGCTGACCTCGCAGTCTCATCTACTTCGCCTCTCTGCTCTTCTACAACCGCATCCGCAACCACATCCGTATCCGCTTCTTCAGATCATCGCAAACTACCAAATCGAAGACAGCGCGTTCTCGCTGCTGCTTCATGCCGACTGGATCGGACTGACGCTTGCCGATCTGGTCTTTCCGTCCTTCATCTTCATATGCGGCGTGGTAAGCGGCAACTTGGCCATATTGCTGTGCTCGTTGCTGTGCTCGGTCTTGTGCTGTTGCATGGACGGATCGCTGGTGGACTGCAGCGCCAGGACCACCAGCTTCGGCCGCCTTCCCGAGTCAGAAGCGGCCATGTCGCCAATCATGCAGCCCAGCTGGATCTTGTGCTGACCCTGGCCAACCCCCCCTCTCTTTGCATCATCGCCGGTCCTCCTTCGCTGCGACTGTTCTGCAGGCCGTCCCCCTTTCGTTCTATATCCGTGAGCACGACTCGAAAACCATCTTTGTCCGCTCGCTGTGGCTGTTTTTGATCGGAATGCTGTTCAATGCGGTGCCGAGCCTCATATCCCAGTCCTGGGTTTCATATCGCCCGCTTGGTGTTCTGCAGCGCATCGCAATCGTGTATTTGGGTAAGCCTGGCTCATGCTTCCGTCTGTCCAGAACCGCACTCCCGTCGGGTGTTTCGCAGTGCTGATGCGTCGTTCTCTCCATCCAACATCCAACATCCAACATCCAACATCCAACATCCAACATCCAACATCCAACATCCACACCTGATCGCCCCTGTCCAGTCTGCGCCTTGACATACAAGCACCTGTCGTGGTTCGCCTTCCGTTGGATCGTTCCCGTCGTCCTCATCGTTTCCTGGCTCTATCTTTCGCTGCTCTTGCCGCTGCCTGAATGCAACCCCACTCAGTCGCTTCAGATTGTCCTGGACCTTGACCTGGAACACCGCTGGGCCCCTCCTGAGTGCACGTCGCAGTCGTTCATCGATCGCCTGGTGTTTGGACAAAGCCACCTCTACGGCGGGCACGTCTTTGACAACGAAGGCATTCTATCGACCCTCATGGCGATCCTCACAGGCTGGATCGGTGTCCTCGTCGGGGTCGGACTTTTGCGCTGCCTCCATGTCGATTACACCGACGGACGATGGCGGATCAAGGTCATGCAGAAGATGGTGGCATCGGGCCTGATCTTCATCATCGTCGGCACCATCCTGAATCAGCTTGGCTGGATCCCGGTCTCCAAGAATCTGTGGTCGCTGAGCTTTGTGCTGGTGTCGGGCGGCATCAGCTTGATGCTGCTGACACTCATCTATGTGATAGCGGACTACAGCGACTTCAAGTACGGCTCCACTCCGTTCGTGGCGCTGGGGCGCAATTCGCTGCTCATCTACATCTGCAGCGAGTGTGTCGCCTGGACCACCACCACGATCACCCTCAGCGACGGCCCGGACTCCGAGTCGAGAGCCACCCTGTGGCTGTGGCTGTTCCGGAACCTTGGATTCGCGACCCACCTCCCTGCGGGATGGAACAGTCTCATCTGGTCGCTGGCCTGGTGCCTGCTCGTATTTATTCCCTTTGCCATCTACATGAAGCACAAAAAGTACTTTGTCAGACTCTAGACTCTGTCAAAACGCTCTCTCCCCCCCCCTCACTCCTCACCTTCCGAAACCAACACTTGCGCTCAGCCGTCTCTTGCCACCCTATTTTATCCAACAGTCGTTTCACGACCGATGGCTTGCTGGCATCGCCTTGATAGGACCTGTCCTCTGGGCCCCACTTCCTCCGTTTGCCGTGCAACCCAGATCGCTCTCCAACAGCTTTCCCTTCCGTTCACCATGTCTGTCTATACCATGCGTAGATTCCTTTGGCCGTGCTCGTTTTTTGTTTCACCTTACTTGTCTGTAGTTGTGTCTGCTCTCGTTGATTACAGTTTACTCAAACTCCAGCAGAACACGGGACGCATCGATTCCGCTGGCTGTGCAAGTGTGGATTCGGAGCCAGTCGCGCTGTTTCCCATGGATGACATTCATCGTGGAACTTCATGTGTACACCATGATCTGATTCGTGGGATGCACCCACCTGCCAGATCCGGATAGCTGATGGTCCAGTTGGCTGGCTGTCCGTTTCTTGCTTCATGCCCATCCACCAATCCGAAGATTTCCCCTGTCTGGTACATCGCACCGCGCGGCAGAATCGAGCATTCCGTCGACCATGCTGGCTGTGGCGGGTGTGGTAAAGTCTTGGCCGAGATCGGCAGGAGCGCCAGCCACTGCTGGAACTGAGAGACGGCTCATCATGGAACCGCATAGGTGGGACCCGGCTGCGACGACGAATGTCCGTTCCCAACGCCGCTCCAATCAACAGTGAGGAGCCATGCTGTCAACGATGGGGAGTGTCCCGTGTTTCGTAATTGCCTTTGTGAGTGATGTGAAGTGCCTCTTGCTGATATGGTCACACTTCTTAAACGGTGTGTTGCCTGTATTGACGACCCGAAAGCGACCGTGCTCGCCGTTCAGCGAGCCCCCCAAAGAACTTGACCCGACGCATACCCCATATGTCGAGGCTCGTGGGCCCCAATACATCACTCGCGACCACCCTGATCGTCAGCGAGGCTTTCGGGAAGATCGGGAGCCCGCACCTCATGCTTCGATTCGGCCAAGTCATCTTGGTCTGCCCGCCGCTGAAGGAATCCGTTGAGTAGCAAATGTCGATATCGCAGCTTGACATGCAGAGCCTTGAATCGCCGCCGAAACATGTGCTGGGCAATGTCGCCGAATTTCGTGTCGTACTTGAGCAGGCCTTGGTACAGAGCCTCGTCGTCCTTATCGTTCCAGTGCTCGAAATTGCGGTTCGAGAGAAAGTTGATTCGGTTGGCTAGATGGAAGACCTTCATGTGGCCGAGTCGGCGACAGAGCTGCAGCAGCGGCGGACGCAGACCCGTATCGGAATCGAGGGCCTCCAGGATGGCTTCATCATCGTATGGCGTCGTCCAGTCTGTGGCATTTGGGATGGAGGTGCCGCAGCCAACAGTGTAGATCGGACTTTTGGAGTACCAGAGCTCGTGCAGAACCTTGTCGAGATACGCCTCGTCCCAGCCGAGCGACTCGGCAACCCGGCTGTTGCTGTGGCCGAGGATGCACGTAGCGTAGACAATGTCGTGGATGACCTTGGACGACAGGCGCAGGACGATCGAGTTGGCGGGGACGTAGAATAGCAGATAGATCCGCTGTCTAAGCGTCTGCCAGGTCAGGTCCGGAAAGAGACCGGCGCGGATGACCTGGTAGATGGAGGACTCGCGGGCGCCCAGATAGCTGGTGTTGCCGATTTGCCTCAGATACTCGGATGCGCTGACATAGGCCTCCATGAGACGGTTGTCGTCGTCCTCGGACCAGATCTTGTCGCTGACGGGCGTGGCCATCATCGTCGCGGAGGCATCGTCTTTGGTCATCTCCGTGAGCGTTTCTTTGACGTGCGAGTCGGTGACGGTGTTGTCGCCAGGACGCAGCGAACTGCGAAGGACCTTCCACCGCTCGTTGACATCGTACGGGCTGCGGTGGGTCAAGATATTGTTGGCGATAAAGACGGAGATGCCCCGTTTGCCCCGGGCGTTCTGGAAGGCCTCGACGAGGGTCTTGTCTTCCTCGGGCGTCCATATGGCCCGCACCCGCTCCGGAGAGATGGTGAAGTAGCGCTTCTGGGCCTGCTTGCCTGTGCAGAACCCAAGCTCCTCCGAGATCAGCAGCCACGAGCTCTTGCCGTACTTTTTGACGGCATCGAGCAGCTTCTGGTCCATTTCCTCGGTCCATAGCTGATGCCGGCTGGCATAGAGCCGCGGAAGCAGCCGATTGCGCAGCTTGACCTGCAGGGAGCCGAGCGTATACTGCGGAAAGTACGCTGCTCGAATGTCGGCCAGGCGGTTGGGGCCGAACTGGCTCAGGCCCTCGAGTAGTTTGAGATCCTCGGCAGAGGACCAGAAATTGGTAGGCTGGCCAATGACCGGCGGTGGCTCGATCGGCTTTGTGCTTTCCTTGGATTTCTTGCGACTTCTGGTCCGCTTCTGGCCCGAACTCGGTGCCTGAGACGATGAATTCGATGACGGCTCCGAGTCCTGGGATGACTTGGGTGGGGCTGATTTTGGGCGAGGTGCCGAGGTGGCGGGTGTGCTGTGGAGTGATGAAGCTGCGGCGTATCCGGTGCAAGCGTGCGGGATTGTTCGTAGTGCGCTGGATTTGAGCAATCCAACGAGAGGGCTGCCGGCCCGCATCTGGGCGAGCGATCGATGCGCTATGGATGTCATGAGCACGAGATGAAGTTGATGCAAGGTGAGCGGGGCAGCGGATGAGGGAAGGGCAGACCGAAAGGCTTCCAAATGATCAGTGGCAGACCGTGGGCGAGAGAGGATGCAGCAGTTGAGCGCACTCGGCCAGCTGGATCTAGCCCGGGCAGCGGCGGCTCGATGCAGATGCGATAGATCAATGTGGATCTGGAGACAGCCGATCTGAGCCAGAGGCGATTCCCGGCGCCGCCAGGGCGCGGCGAAAATATCCAAACAAGCGGCCTTGGGCAGAGACTCTGTTCTCTCTCGCCATCTGCGCTTCTTCCGGCTCTGTCGCAGACAGCTCCCGTCGGCACCGGCAACCGTCGCTCGGCATCTCGGGCCCGTGAAAGCAAGATCTGCATCCGGCAGAGTCCGGCCTTGATAAATCGGTGCTCCTCTGGCGCCCCTCGTGCCTGTCGCTGACTCGGTCGCCCTGTCCTGCGTATCCGATGTTTAAAAGACTCCCCAAGGAATCCAATCCATCACCGGGCCCTGCATCGCTGCCTCCGAGCCAGAACAAAAACACAGCGCAGCCCATTGCATCGCATGGCGACGGACAGTCTCGGCCGGATCCGGTCCATCGCCTTCCGAGCCATGTTGGCCAGCACCTGCCTTCCGACGAAGGGATCGGCCGTGGTGGTGCTTTGCTTCGAGAGCCCGGCTATCGGGAATCTGGCCTCGGTCAAATGCTGGAGCCAGCCGGTCGGGGCCCTGATGCAACACACCCCTGGTCCTCAGCCGTGCATCCGGGATCAAACCCGGCGCCGACTGACCAGTCAATTTATGCCGATCTGCTCTCGGACGACATTGACGACGAGCTCCTCGATCAAATTGACATGAACGAATGCCACTTTCAAGCGGCGCTCGATAACACCAGACCGTCGCTCGGCCATCCTGGTCCATCCATGCCAGCACCGACAATAGCACCCACCGATCAACAGCCGCTGGTCGCAGCGACAGCATTGCATCCGCAAGCTTCGCATTCATCGGCGGTGGGACCACCTCCTTCCCGACCCTTGGCTCCGGACACTCAAAAGTTCAAATTTACCTCCGGTCTATTATCCAGTCCTCTCCTGACCCACTCAGGCGGTGCTTTAAAGGTACGCGAGCATAATGCAGCACAGAGTGCGCGAGATATGATGCAATGTGTGGTGCTGAAGGACGAGGGTATCCCGGCCTGCCACATAGCCTCGCCATCCCGCAATGCGAAGCGAGCCAGGGCATTGGGGTCCAGGCCCACCTCAATTTGATCAAATTGCTTGGTTGGGTTGCTGTTCTGCGATGCTGACGCCGCTCGGACTGTCGCTTTTACGATGGGTATCCAGCAATTCCAGTTCAAGCCGACTCATGCAATCACGGCATCGCAATCCAGCTCGGCACATCCACAGAATGGCCCCGGCTCGCCTCGACCTGGCTCCACACAGAGTGTTTTAGTTTCCACTACCACGCCGACAGCCGTCCGAGGTCATCCGCTGGCGCCGCTGCCAGCTCCATCGGCAGGAACTGGCATGAAAAATACCCACAGCCAACCAGCTTCAGCAGTCACCCCGCAACCCAGGCATCCGCTGGGTGGATATGTCCCACCCAGCACATTGGCAACAGGTCCGTCGGCACCAGCACCAGCATCAGCTCAGGTCACGGCAGCGTCGCCACAGACTCCAGCAAGACCACAGACAAACCCTCCATCGCTTAAATTCAAATTCTCAGATATAAAGTCCAATACGACCCCGGTCACACCCTCGAGCTTCGGGTCGATGTTGCGGCAGAATGCATCTGTAACCACAACACCAACCACAGCCACAACCACAGCCACAACCACAACTGCGCCGGTTCCGACTCGAGTTTCGCTGGAGACCACACCAGCACGCACGCCGATGGTCAGACCGACTCCTCCGTCCGCGCCAACATCGATTGGAATCGCAGCTGGTGCACACAGCCCATCAACCCCAACCAAGGCAGCACCATCTAGCTTTAATTTAATGCACCCATCGCCTCTCAACCACGTCAGTATCTCTGGAGCCAACGCACGCCCGACAGCGCCGCCCGTTAACAGGCACAACATCCATACCAGTACATCTGCATCAGCAAGCATTGCTCGCCACGGAGTCGCTCCCGTTCAGCAGCTCAATCCGACACCGCGCCCACAAGGGTCCGTTATGAGTGCATATCCTCAGTATACACACCAGGGGGCGGTCTCAACGCCAACAAAGCGGCCGTTCGACTCTGTAGATATCAACGATCCACATGGTCGCTTCTCTTCGAAACCCAAAATCGAGCGCAAGTTTCCCGGACCGGCGGGTGCACTTCCGAAGTTGGTAAGTGACTTCGAAGGACGACAGCTCGAGGCTAAAAGTGAAATATCGATGCATTCCGCGCGGTATCGGAGGATCTCCTGTGAGCCGTGGCTCCACCGGCGGCGATGATCGAGCACTGGAATGTGGACTGAGTCATATTGCACACAACAGAGCGACAACGAGAAAAACATCATGTTCAAGTCACGGTCTCCGGTCAAGGCCCCAACACCTGACGGCAAGAAAGTAGTCGACTTGATACGCAACGGGCTGTCACGGAACTCGTCGTTCGGGCTCAGCCGGTTGGCATTTTCGACTGGACCAGAGCAGGGCTACGACGAAGATTTCGAGATGGAGTCGTGGCGGGCGATGCTGCAAGGAAGACCGGGCTACGATGGTAAGACGCTCCGCTGTTGTTCTCAACGCAGCCTGGTGGTGCATGGTGGACGGTAGCGAGCACACTACGCAGGACACGACAAGCAGAGCAAGCACGCAATTCATGATCGATGCAACGGGGGCGATGACTGATGCGGCTGCGATCTGACCTTTCTTGGGACCTGGATCATGCCCCCCCCCTCACACGGCAATGCCGCAGTGAGACGAGATGGAATTGCCACTCTGGGACAGAGGCCAGCCGGACGCGTCGATCGGCTGATCGTGCTGATCAAAGAAGTCAAGCAGAGCGAAGCAGAGACTGGAGTGACGGTCAAGGACCCGTTCGGTAGGACCAGAGTGCGATCAACCCAGAGAACCCAGCATTGGATGTGACTTTGCCGTCAGAGCATCGGTGCGATTGTGGACTCTGAGAAACTGATGCTGTGCGATGACATGTTGCGGACGGCGTTGAACGACAGGCGAAGTACAAGGCACGATTGACAAGTCGGCATTGGATCTGTACCGCGACAACTTTGCGGTTGGAGTTGCACTGGAGCTACAGCAGGTGGGGACACAACGATCGGTTTTGCAAGATGGGATGGCTCGGATGGGCCTTGCCAGGTCGATCCAGTATCCCAAGGCCAGGACTGGCGCGGTACAGTCCCGCTGGAGCATTTTCTGATTTCCCGACAGGTCTAACATGTGGTTCATGGGCGAATGACAGGTACCGCTCTTCAAGCCGTCGAGTCGCTCGGTGCATCTCATCATCAGACAGGAGAACCTCGTGTGCTTTCGCCTGCCAAACGGAGTGGCATTGCACACTCAGTAGCAGACGATGCGTGGTGGCATGCAAAAGATCCTATCTTGTCATCAACACGATGACACTGGCCTTGGGCGCAGGCATCCTTTGTCCCGGCCTGCGTTCATCCAGGGTTCTACACGGAGCGCTGGACAGTGAGGATGCGATCGGAGAGCAGAGCGGGAGCAGGCACAAAGGTGACTGTAGTCGCCGCAAGGCAAAATGCACCTAGTGAGTACACATGAAATGCATGCGGAGCTTTCTGGCGTGCCTCCTGCATGGATCCAACACTCGGCCTTCTGCTTGCGAGGCAGACGCACAAGGTGTGTGTCGTCTGGGCCGTGGGTCGAACCCGCAGCGCCGCTGATGTCTCCGATCCCTCACAGCCCGGCCGATGTTGCAATTGGTCGCGCATGGCACGATTTGTCAGGCCGCATCCGTTTCGAATCATCGACCCCATTGTCGGCCAGATCTGCGTTTTGCGAATCGTCGGCTGATCCGCCCAGAGCCCATCACCTTCCCCCCCCCTGTCGCTCGACAGCATCATCGTCACATCCGATTGTCTCTGCATTCCAACACCACCGCCTACCGCAAAAATGGCTCCTACCGTATTCAAGGTATGCGACGGAGCGACTGTCGGCGGGCGAGACTGCTAGCTGGTGCTGCTGGTGCTGCTGGTGCTGCTGGTGCTGCTGGTGCTGGGCGATCAGCGATTCAGGCAATCCAGACCGGCCCGGGTTTCGCTGTACTCGATGTCCCTGGCTTGGGCCCCTCTCCTCCAACACCCGGCCTGAATGAATGTCTATCCTATCCACCCTCATCTCACCACCGGACACTCGACTCCTTATCCCAAAACGATTGGCCCATCAATCGTCCAACCCGACCAGTCCGAGTTCGCCGTCAACATGACCTGCTCGTCGTGTGCCGACTCGGTCCGCTCGACACTCTCGGGCATCGATGGCATCGACAAGATCGACATCCAGCTGCCCGAGAAGCGGGTGATGGTTGAAGGCGCCGTCCCCCCTTCCACGATCTTTCGGGCTCTCAAGGCCACCGGCCTTGCCACGGTGTTGCGGGGCCAGGGATCGACCGGGTCTGCCAACATCGGAGCCGCCGTCTGCATCTTCGAGACCTTCCAGGGTGCCAAAGGATGGGCCCAGTTCAACAACAAGGGCCTGGCTCGGCTGCAGCAAGTCGATGAGCAGACCTGCCTGATCGACGTTGCCGTCGACGGTCTGCAGGAAGGCCACTGGACGGCAGCCGTCCACACCCTCGGCGACATCAGCAAAGGCATCGAATCGACCGGCCCCGAGTTTGCCGAGCTGGGCTCCTTCGAGGTTGGTCCCTCGGGTCGCGGCGATCTCGTTGCCGAGACTTCCAAGCTGAAGGTCTGGGATGTCATCGGCCGGTCGATTGTGCTCTCGCATCAGCCCACCAGCGGCACCCGCATCCCGCTGATTGCTGGCATCATTGCCAGATCGGCTGGCATTTTTGAGAACGCCAAGCGAGTGTGCTCGTGCTCGGGCCGGACCCTGTGGGAGGAGACCACTCCCTTCTAAGAGCCAAGGCATGTATGTGCGCTCTCGCCGACAGCGCCATTTGGCAGTGCGATGCACCATATCGTTGTATCGTTGTATCGTTGTGGTTGGGCTGCGATGGAGCCAGCGCCAGTCGACCCCAACCCAATGCCGGTTCGTAGCCCGTGCCCATGTCTCATCCGAACACCGCTTCGGCTCGTATGTGTCGCTGCTTCTTGTCGAACAGCGCCGATCTCGGGTGGTCAGAGCCCAAAATATAGAGCAAGAATGTGCACCAGCAGGAGACTCCATGCGGAACCATCAACTCACGGCGTGCATCGAAAGGTGAAGGCTGCCATGATCCCATCCCATCCCATCCCAGTCGCTCGCCCCCAGCCCCCCGCAGACCGGCGACATCAATGTGAGATCAGAATATATGACAAATTAGCAATTAGAAATTCACATGTAACAATGTTGTCATTTGGCATTCCATTCATGCACAGGTCAGAGCGATATCTACAATCAAGTGGGGGGGGGAAAACATGGGTCGCGATTCTCTTTTCCAGCCGAACAAGTGAATCATTTGGTAACGAGCAGAACTCCCGTGATGCAGCAAGCTTTGTTGTTGTGGTGTTTCTCTCTTCCATCCATTGATCTAGACATCCGCCGTTAGGCTCGCAAGTGAGCGGGTTTAAGCACCGAGGCTGGGGAAGGCGTCGGTGTCGTCCAGCTTGACGGCGCTGGCGGTGTTGGGGCGAGTTCCCCGGCTGGGGCGGTTGCCGCCACGGTTTCCACCACGGCTGCTGTTTCCACCGCGGCGCTCACCACGTTCACCACGCTCGCCACGCTCGCTGCGCTCGGCGCGGGCGGGCTCGTTGAAGCGCTGCTCGATCTCAAAGACGGCCTTGACGGGCTTGGCAGCAGCAGCAGCGACCTTCTTGGGCTTCTGCTCCTTCTGCAGATCAGCAAAAAGTATATGTTAGTCGAGGAGGTTCAGCAGGGAACGGCGATCTCTAGGCTCGGCCGAAAGGGGGGCGTTGTCCAGCAGGCGGCGCCAGCTCCACACAAAAACCTACGTTGCTGAGGACAATGAACTCCTCGGCGGTCTTGCTGAGGACAACACCATCCTTCCACTGGGCGTTGTCAGCACCCTCGTTGGCACGGCGGATGTTGGTGGCGGCAAGAGCGTTGGCCTTGGCGTTCTTCTCGGCAAGGAACTGGTCGAGGGTCTTCTTCTTCTCCTCCTCCTCCTGCTCCTTCTTGAAGGCGGCCAGGCGCTCCTCCTGCTCCTTCTTGATAGCAGCACGGCGCTCCTCTTCCTCGGGGGTCAGGACCTCAACGGTCTCCTCGGCGCTAGAGACGGCAGTCAATCAGAGGAACCCGTTTGAGCGTCAGTTTGGTTTGGTTTGGTCGCCATGAGCAGATCCGCCACGCTGTGTCGGGAGGAAGGACTTACAGGACAACGGCAGCAGCTTCAGCGCTAGCCTCGGTGGCATCACCCCAGGTGCCCTTGCCGGCAACGTCCTTCTTGTGGCTGTCCTTGCGGTCCATGCCAGAGTGGCGATCGAAGGGACGGCCACCACGCTCGCGGCGGGGACGATCGGCACGCTTCTCGGAGCGCTCTATCAGAATCGAAGCGAAGCAGAGCCGAATGGGGGGTCAGCAACGGTGCTTGGCGGGTCTCAGATACAGAGGGATATACTCTCGCGGTCGTCTCGGTCCCGGCAGTTCCGATGCCACTTGCTCGTCGAGGAGATCGCAAAATGGAATGGGGTGGGTTGTGGGGTGCCGATTGTCTGATCGTCACTGTCCGTGTTGGCCTCGAGGACTCTCGGGAGAGCCGACCCGTGTCGTGCATGCCCAGGGCGGTTGTTTGATTCTGCGATCGAGCCCGATTGTCTGCTCTGTCGGGCAAAGGTGATCTGGCCACATTTCCTGCGTGCCCTCCCCATAATATCGATCCCGATGGCTGCCGTCCGTCCATATCGGCGACAACGTATCAAGACCTCGTTTCGGCTGCAGTCCAGTTCACAGAGATGTAGTCTGTGGCGTCTGAGGGGTGCCCCGGCGACCGATGGTGGAGGACAGAGGGCAGGGCGAGTGAGCGGCAACTAATACCTTCGCCGTTGGCGACCTGGCCGCGGCCATCGCCACGGGGGCCACGCTTGCCATCGGAGCGGCCGCCGCGGTTGCTGCGGGGACCAGCCGACTCGGACTTCTTCACATCCTTCTTGGCATCACCAGAGGCGGCCTTGTTGCCAGAGACGGGCTGGAAATCGTCATCGAGGAGCTCGAAAGGGTTCTTGGAAAAGACTTCAGTCATGGCTGGGCGGGGATTCTTGCGAAGCGGGGCTTGACAGAGTTGGAAAGAGACCTACGACGACGAGCGTAAGGTGTCCCTGCGGATGGATGGATGGATGGATGGATCGAGGACTCGGCCGGATGAATCCAAAAGAGCTCTAATTTCAAGCAACCAGTGCCGAATAGGACTGTTTTTGAAATTATGGGGGAGAAGGATTTTTGAAAGATTCGGCCAGAGGCGCCGCCCTCATGAAGGCGCACACACACACGCCGGACACCACCGGCGCCACAGAAACAGCGACACGGGCGGTTTGCGCGTGCGCTCGCGAGGCACGCACTGTATGCGCCGGGCGGGGTGTGACGGGCGGTCGTGCACGTGCGACCATGACCATGACCGAGGCGATCCGCCCCGGCTGCGGGGCGACGCGTGGCGCTGAATCCGGCCCAATCGGCTCAACCGACTCGGTCCGTTCACCCAACCGGCTCATGCGATACCCTGCCGGTGCATGTGCCGTTCGCCGTCACTCGGTGTGGTCAAGAGATTCTCTGTGCATACGCAGGCACGCTGATGTGGCCGCGGCCCCTATCTCGGCGTTTATTTCTTCTTGGCGGGATACTCGTAGAAACCCCGACCCGACTTGACGCCCAGGCGGCCCTGCTTCACAAGGTCATCGAGCATTTGGCTCGGGGCGACCAGCGAGTCGCCAGAAAGAGGCGAGTTCTTGTTCCATCCGTCGTTGATGAACTTGAGGGTGTCTAGGCCAACGTACTGCATGAGACGCGACGCATAGAGAGGCCATGGTGAGAATGGTGAGTGGCAGTATCTGCGGGCGACAGCCCATCCGCACTATTGCGTGAGAGGGGAAGGATCCAGTACAGAGAAGCAGAAGCACTTGCTGCAGGCGTGGACTTACATCCATAAGCTCAAAGGGACCCATGGCTGAGCGGGGTTTGGTCGATGATGTTGGATCGATTCCGTGCGCGGCCAGTTAGTTGCGGCCCATTATGCGGCATGCGTCCTCTCGCCTGCCTCGATTTGCACGCCGACGCTTCAACCCTCCGCCCGCACTGTCGCTTACGATAGCCTGCACCGAGCTTCATGGCGGTGTCGACGTCCTTCATGTTGGCGTCGCCGCGCTCCACCAGCCGCAGAGCCTCCATCATGTAGGGCACCAAGAGGCGATTGACAATGAAACTGGCAGTCGATAGCAACGATGTCAGTGCAAGGGGCGGCGCACAGCCCATGCGGACTCGTTATTCTCCAGCGCCAAGAACGACATCGCTCTGGATCGGCATCGCCAGATATCATTGTACCAGAGACCACCACGCGTTCTGCTTGTCGATCCGCTGCGAACGTACCCGGGAGTGTCGCCACAGGCAACAGGTTCTTTTCCGACGGCCTTCGAGAAGGCCACGAGCTCATCAAAGACAACGCTGGACGTGTCCTTGGTCTTGATCACCTCGACGAGTTTCATCTGCGGGACAGGGTTGAAGAAGTGCAGGCCACCGAAACGGTCGCCGCGCTGGGTGGCCGAAGCAATCGCCTGGATGGGCAGCGAGCTGGTGTTGCTGGTGAAGATGGTGCGGGAGGGTGCCGCTGCATCCAGGGACTTGAAGAGCGACCGCTTCACATCGATGTTCTCGACGATGGCCTCGACGACAAGATCCGAGTCCTGGACGGCCTGGGCAGAGTCGGTGGACAGCTGGATGCGTGTCCATACGTCCTTGATGAAAGCGGCCTGGGCCTCGGTGTCGCTGGCAAACTTTTTGCGAGCGATTCGTCCAAGCGACGAGTTGATCAACGCTTCGCCCTTCTTGAGAGTATCTGGGGTTAGGTCGACCATGGTGACGTTGAACATGGACTGAGCAGCGACCTGGACGATGCCGGCGCCCATGAGGCCTTTGAAATTGCGTGGAGATGGTGCAAATCGAGTCAGCGGGAGGGATCGACACCAGATGGCAGGGATCCGCACGAGCCGACAGACACATCGGGCTGAGCCTACCTGAGCCCACGACGGTCACATTCTTGATCTGCATGGCCGAAGCGCTCGAGGAGAAGAGGCGGCGTCCGAGCGTATTTGCGACAGGAAGCGGGATCATTTCGGCGGTATGGAGATGGGCGAGGGGAGGGCAGATGTTGGCAAGGAGACAAAACGGAGATGCGGATGGCTGGCCGGCGTTCCAGAAGCGACTGATGGTGGGGGGGGGCCGAAGGCGACCAAAGATATATCAGGGGATCACATGCAAATCGCATCTGTTCAGATCATGCGGCGCTGGCCCGAATGAGGCAGCGCTTTGCAGGCCAGAGGGCTTTTGCGCGCCCCCCGCAAGGCGATCGACGGAGGGCCGCTGAAGCGCTGTTGGCGGCCGTCCTCCGGGGCTCGTCCTGCATCCCGGGGTGCATGGCGAGCAGGACCATGGCCCAGGGCAAGCCAAGACCATGGGCTGGAGGTGGCAGCGCCACAGGCGGCGGGAATGCGCTGTCTGTGTGGGGAGCCGCAAGCTGCGGCTGTGGCTGTGCAGCACCACTGTCGCTGTGTGTCGTGGCAAGGCGCCCACGTGTGCGACATTGAACCACCCAATGTCACACACGATGTCACGCGGCACCCCACGCATTCTGTCGATGTTGTTCATGTTGCTCCTCGGCGATACCATCAGTTGGTATATCGACGCCGCCATCGGTTGATATATCGAGGATACCATTAGTTGATATACCGACACCGCTATCGGTTGATATAATGACAATGATATCGCCTCATCGGCAATGCCATCGCCTCATCGACAGTGTCGCCAGCCCAGCCTCGGTGGCGCTGGCTCCCCAGGCCGGAGACATGAGCAGTCAAGCGCGCATGGACCTGCGCGGGTGCGCTGTTCGTCTTGCCAGCACGCCTTGGCAAGCAACTCTGCCAATGCGGTCTCATGCCACCCTTATGCGATCCCCCCCCCCAAAATGCTGGCCAAGTGCGTCATTCGCAAGCCCGGCCTGCGCCGTATATAGCACGAGGCGCCCCCGCCATCTCCGTCTTCCTCCTGCTCGTCTCCTCGGCACTCTTACGATTCTGCCAACTCCAAACCATCTCGGCATTCTGCCTGTTCTGTCTGCTCTGTCTGCTCTTGTGTGCACGATGGCTTCCCTTGCTCCTCAGTTCCCCAGCGAAATGCCCGATGACTCTGCCATGGTGCTCGACATCATCACCATCGAGGATGTCTGTGCTCGCGAGGACCTGCTATTGGCCCCCTGCGACGACGACGACGAGGACGACCTCGAGGCTGCTTTGGGGGTGGTCGTCCCAGACTCGCCCATGTGCTGTGCTGAATCGGAGGGCCCAGAATCGCCGTCCATACCCATTTCACCCACCGAGGCCTGCTCGGTCGTCATCAGCGGCCGGTTCACGCTCCTGATAGAGCCCCTGCGCGGGAACGAGCTCGACCACCACGACCGCGAACCCCTGGACTGCTCCGACGACGACGACTCAACGCGGATATGCTCTGACGACAACGCCCGTCCCCTGGACTCACCCGATATCGCAGACCCAGCCGCCGCTGTGCTGGTCGACGACGCCACCAGGTTCGTCGTGGAGCACTCGATACTCAAGCTCACCGAAGTCGAGAGACCGCTGCAACACCGGACCACCGTCCGCCAGTTCCTGACAACCATGCCCAGCAACTCGTTTCTCTACCGGCAGCCGCAGATGCAGGCCTACCGCTACTATACGCCGCCGTCACCGCGGACCCTAGCCGGTACTCTGGTCGAGTGTCGAGCCCGAGGCATGCTGTGCCCGCCGCGAAAGCCCGTATCCAAGGCATCGACCCTGCGAGCCGTGCTGCCGGCCACCAACCTGACCCTGGACTCGCGGTCAGAGCTGTCTCTTGGCAGCCAGTTCCTGGCGGCGACGCTCTCCGTGGCCACGTCCAGCAAGCGCAAGGCCATCAACTTCCATCTGCCCCGTTTGCCAACCCGCTCCGAGATATGCCAGCGGATCCATGTCAATGCCCATTTCTGAGGCCAATCTGCAGACTCGCTGCTCAGATAGAACCATGGGAGATGGGTGGGGCCGGGGCGTCGCTTGAACCGACTCTGCACACCATTCGCGCGGCCCTCTCTCCCCTCTCCCAGATACCCTTGAATAGCGACCAAAGTTGAGCAACCTTGCTTGTGCCAACAGCGGCCCTTCCCTTCCTTTCGATGCTGAGACTGTTTGTACATAGGTATTTATGGATATCCAAGAGAAGCACGGATATCCAGCATCCAATATATGGAATCTGTTGTCCATCATAGGATACTCTCATAGGATATCCATCATGGGAAAGCCCTGGTTTGGCATGAGTATCCTGCGGCCCTCTATCGGTGGCCGTGTGCTCTTGGATCCACTGCATCGACATCGTATCCCCTCCATCCACCCACCCATCCATCCACCCAACGTCCATCCATTCGCCCACACCCAGGGCCCTCAGTCAGCCGACAGTTGTGCATCTCGTGCCTGCCACATCCACCACCCACCCGCACCCGACCTGATGTTGGCACCGATATCCCTGCGTCGTCGCCAACGCTCGCCGGACGTTCGGTGAACAGATCCCTTCAGCCACCAGATTCCCGCAGTCACCTCCGTCTGGACACACGATACGTCACAGCCTTCGATCAGCAGGTTTGCCGCCCTGGCAGATCTGCTCGCGTGATCCACCCAAACTCCATCTCATCTGCCAGGGCCCATGCGATTCATTCAATCTGCTGCTGCCACTCGGACTATTCCACTCGGTCAGGTTGTCGTGTTCGTTCTGCTGGTCCTGTTCGTTCTGATCGCTCTGTCCATCCGCTTCCCACGGTCAGCCGGCCTCGCCTCCGCTCACATCGTCGCCTCACACGCACATACGTGCATCTTCTATGCACTGATTCCAACCTCACAGCACCTCCGAATTCCACCCACCGTACCACCCGCCGACTGTCAGCATGGACTACGCGCACAACGATCAGTCGGATCTCTCGGGAGAGTCAAGTGACGAAAGCGACACCAACGACGACTACGAGCCGGCTTCGTCCTCCTCCTTCTTTGGCAAGTACGAGCGGCGGCAGTCGATCGAGGCCACGCTGCAGATTCGCCGCAACGCGGAGATGCGCATGAAAAACAAGCTGCTGAACAATCTGACGATGGAATCGGCGCGGCTTACCGGGATGGGCGGCGACAGCGGGAGCGACATTGACGAGGCCTCCGAGGATGGCGGCGAGTCCCAAACCACCTCGGCTGAGGCCAAACCCGCTCGTGGCGGACGGCTGTCGCTCCACGGGATTCGGATCGGCAGTCGTGGACGCATCATGGTCCCCGTCGTCGGCGATTCGGATGCAGAGGAGGAGGAGATGAGCGACACCTACACGGAGCTCCCTCGTCTGTCCCTCACCGCGCTCGGTGGGCTTTCCTCTCTGCCGCAGCCTTCGCTTTCCACCAGGCCGAGCACCTCCACGGCCCTTCCGTCTCGATTCCGACGCACCGAATCGACGCGGTCGACCCAGTCCCAGACCCAGACCCAGGCGCAGGTCCAAGCGCGGATGCAAACGGGCGGTCGCCGTGGATCGTACTTTGTGAACCAGTCGCTCATGCCGCTGGCCATGCGCAAGCTCATGAACCGCAACAGCTCGCTCTCGGATAGCGGCGGTGCACTGACACCAGGTCAGCCACCACCACCGCCGACCATAAAGGCCCTATCGCCTGACGGACTGCCCGATGACCGGTATTCACACGATTCGTTCCGGTCTGCGGCGTCGCTGCTGATCGATGGGTTCGAATATCCACTTGGAAGTGCCCTGGGAAGCACTCTCGGCAGCACGCTCTTCCACGAAGGCTTTCAGTCCATCGACCTCCCGATGCCACCGCTAACCGGCGGTCCGCATGCTCGGAGCGACCAGTCCCTAGAGAAGCGTCCGCTGTATCCGTCGGCGATGCCCGCTGGCCCAGACGGGGTTAAGACAGAGCAGCCCGAAGACGGGGCCGAGGCCGGGACCAAGAGGACAGTCGTCATCGTTCCAGGCCGAGGAACGCACCGGGTGGGTACTTTGTTAATGCACGGCCTGTACCTGGGTGAGGCAGTCTTGCCACTGGACCATGCGCCGTATGTCTGCCGGATGATCCACGGGCATTCGTCTCTTGATCGCTATTGGGTCTGGATCAACTAGCGACGAAGCCCGCTCAACAACTCCTGACTCTTCCCCCCTCCCGATTCCCACATATCCCTTGGGATTTCGCAGTCCCTGTCGCATGTGTTCCGCAGGAAGGACATTTACATGCAGCTGTGCTTCATATTTGGAATCGTTCTCCTTGGCGTGGCCATCAACGACTACATCTACATCTTTGTTCTCGAGACGCCTCCATATACGACTCGCTGGCTGATATCCTTCATGGTAGGACACGGAGTGGGCTTGTTGGATAGACGCAAGGTGTGAGCAATGACTAACTCTTCGGGGGGGGGCATGCGGGGGGAATCGTCCACGAATCCGACAGGTTCTCCATGTGTTTTCGTTCTTTACGTTCCTGCTGGCATTCATCTACGGCAACGAGTCCGGCGACATCCTCAGCACCCGCATGGCTCTTGGAGGAGGGGGTAAGCTACAGTGCCATTATCAGGGGGGGGCAGAGCGAATGGCGAATCGGCTTGGGAACACTCGGACCCGCATCCTTCAGTTTCGGCCGAGCTTAAACTCGGCGCTCCCCCTCCTTGGCCGCAAGTCGACCTCCCAGGTTGATCCCGGCGGCAAGGCTCGTGCATCCGCGACCACATTTCGTTCCTCTCGTTGATCTCTGGCCCCGTTTCTGCTGCCTTGCGGCCTCCTCCTCCGTTATTTGCTCCAAACCACAGTGATCAATCTGCTGGCCTTCACAATGGAGGCGGTGTTGCGTATCGGCTTCCAGGGATACTTTCCCAACTCAACGACATACTCGGACTAGCTCTGCGGTCTGTTCTGGGACGGCGGCAGCGGCAGCGAGAGTGTATGGAACCAGGAAAGTACCCGATGGCCACAGCCGGTGGGCTTGGTGCCTTGTGGCAAGTTGAGCCGGACCTGGGGTCGAAGGTTTGGCATCAGCCCACGGGGCTGGTGCTGGTGGCGAGGCCGATGGCGAGGCCGATAGCGAAACTCGATGACGAAGCAGCGAGCCCAACGGAGAGGGGTGGATGTGCTTGTCCAACATGGGAGGATGCATGTGCAATCAGAGTTTGTCCAACTCCAGCCTTGCGGCATCCCGCTGGTCTGTATCCGCATTTGCCAATATAGAACAATATAGAACAATGGTCCCCAACATTCACTTATATATGTATGTATATTCTTTTTTTTTATTCACAAACGCGATAGGAACGCATGGGCGATGCCATCAAAATGGAGGGAGAGGATGCCGCGGCAGTGTCGTTTAGTGCGCATCAACCAAAAAGAGAGAGGTGGTGAGGACCGTGGAGGGGCCGGGGAATAGTAGGGGAGGAGAGGGAGGGGGATATTTTTGATCTATTGAGGAGCATCGCCAACGATAGAGGAACGAAGGCGGAAGGGAATCGGGGAGTTGCCAGCGGACAAGTCGGTATCAGGCGGATGTTGCGTGCATGGCAGGCTCATGGCAGGCTCATGGATACTCGCAAGGCTCTGCGACACGATTGTTTCGCTTCCTGTAGAAGCCGTTGCCGAATGCATCCACACGACTGTGGATGGAGGAAGGCAGCGGGATATTCTGGGGTTTCTTGTAACAAAGCTTTGATGGGCAGCGCAAAAGATGGATGGGTGAAATACAATATGTACACATGGGAGAAGGTGAGAGGATGGGAACGCAAGGGTTGCAGCATCGGAATGGGCTCGTAGATAGATATTGCAAGGAGGTATTTGGGTTTGTAAGTGGGATAGCAGTGGGCTGCAGTAGGGTTGTTGCTGGATCACCATGTTCGTGACGGCTTTTGACAGAGAGCTGGATGGCGGCGACTACGCCGAGACCTTGAGGGATTTGGACCCCGTCCAAAACGAGTTGAACTTCATGCTGATCCGATGGAGCTTCTGCCGCGTCTCGTTTTTGATGTCCTTGATCTTTTGACCCCGGCAAGCCGAGTCGGCCGCGGCGGAGGACGACTTTGAGGACTTTGTGGAGCTCGACAACTTGGAGTCCAAGGAGAATCGTTTATCGACGGCCGAGGACTTGCCACGCTGGCCGCTGCCTTTGGTCGCGGGCTCGTCCAGAAAGACGTGGCGGAAGTGGGTCGACCGAGGAAGCAGGCGCTTGAGACCAGGCGATGAGGCGAGCGGATGGGTTGGGCTGGTCGGACTGGTCGGACTGGTCGGGAGGTGGTGCATGGCGGGGCTGGACGGGAGATCGGCGAAGGAGAATGACAGCGGCGGCAGGCCGTAGGCGTTGTGCTCGGCGTCGATCTCGGTTGGCAGTGGCGACAACGGTCGGTCCGGAAAGTCGTAAAAGTCGGTAATGAACTCGATCGGGCTCCAGTTGTCCTGGCTCGGCAAGCCGGTGCCGTTCTTGGACGGGGTCGCAACGCCGGCGGCGGCATCGCGATCGAGGTCAAAGTCATGGTTGAGGTCAAGGCCGACACTGACATTCCGCAGAGGCGACGGGCGCTTCCGGAAGGGATGCCGCCGGGGGGTGCTCCTCTGTCTGGCCTTGGGAAGGATGGGGTGGCCGTTGCTGGCGGTGCGAGGGCAAGGGTAGAAGGTGCGAGTGTCCAGGATTTCGGCAGGCCACTCGCCAACCTCGATACCGGCGTGGATGATGAACATGTAGAGCATGAAGGAGGTGATGACGGCGCGATGGTGCAGGGGCCGCCCGACCTCGGTCAGCTTCATGAACGAGCGCCGATAGAGCTGGCGCTCGACATCGAAGGGATAGCGGCGGGGTAGACCATCGGCATGGCCACGATCGAGACACATGGCGGCGAGCTCTCGGCCATTGCAGGCCGAGTGCGGTCGGTAGAGGAGCTCAACCGGGAAGGGCTCGCTGGCCGAATACGCCGAGGAAGGAGACACAGGCGAGCGTGGGGCGGAGGTTGGATGGGCCACAGCCGAGGAACAGGTTGTGGCGGAGACGGAAGCGGCAGCACAATGATACGCGGAGGCTGTGGAGCTGCCGACCGAGCTGCCGACCGAGCTGCCGACCGAGCTGCTGCTGTGGCCTCGCTGGATGAGAGGACTCTCGAGCGACAGCGACCTTGAGCGCATACCACCGCCATCGGCGCCGGAGAAGCCAGCAGCGGCGGCGGCAGCAGCGGCAGCAGCAGTAGCAGAGCGTTCGCGGGCTGTGGCCATTGTCGGATTGGACGAGGAATGCGCAAGAGCAGGTGAGGAGACCGGGCGGTGCTTGCTGCGTCGCTCCAGGCTCAAGTGCTGGGTTTGGGTCGGACGGCTGCGGGCAGGATATTTGTACATGGATGCAGGCTGGGACTCTTGTGGGCGATCGGGGACGTAGACGTGGATGCACGAACTGAGGGAGGTCTGGCTAGCCGGCAGCAGGCCAAGTACCTCGCTGCAGTTGATTTTTTGGGCGACATAGTACGAGTCGCCAAGGTCCAGATAACCCATGGCTTGGCAGGAAGGCGACGGCGTGAAGGTACTCGTAAGCGTAGATATGCACAAAGCCAGACGATTGTGGCAAATGACGATCGCGAACAGCAACAGCGGCGGCGGATGAGATTGCCGGTAGTTCAAATGGAAACAGGGCCAAGGGACGACCGGGGGGAGTTGAGTAGTCGGGCTGGAGAAGGATCGGGTCTGAGGGCGATCGAGTTGGGTCGAGAGTGGGAGAGGAGGGGGGACGATCGAGCCAGGCAGGAGGGAATAGCGGAAGGCCCCGAGATGGCAGGTGTTGATAAGGGTGCTGGGCTCAGGACTGCGGGTCGCAGCGGGGAAGAGAGAATAGGGTCGGATTTGCAAGCGAAAGCAAAGGTCGGACCCGCGCAGGATCAACCCCAAGGCAGCTGGACAGCAGGCCGCGGGCCAAGGGCAACAAGGGCAGCCTTATAAATGGGACGGAGGTCGGCAGCGCCATCGCCATTGGCATCGCCAGGACCGCCCAGCGGGGGCAATGGGCGGGAGCGCAGGGGACCGGAGAGGCCGGCAATCAAAGGTGGTGGTGGGGGAGGCTGGCCATCCGACCACGAGGGCACTGGCGGATCGTGGCGGCCGAAGAGCGGGCTGGGTGTGCCGGTGTGTGTACAGCGACGAGTCGGGCGGTGGTTGGTTGGGCGGATGGTTGGGCGATGGCAGAGCGGATGGCAGAGCGGATGGCAGAGCGGGCGGCAAGAACAAGTGGGCAAGAACAAGTGGACAAGAACAAGTGGGCAAGAAAGCGGGCGAGCGGCCGTCGTCCTCGAAACGCAACCACCCATGTTGCAATCGCCAAAGTCGCATTCACCCGGGCATGCATTGGGGGGGGGATCGCGGCGGCGCTGGGACAGTCTCGATGTAACATGTGCAAAGGTCGTCGAGGATCGGGGTGGGCCTGTTTTTGGATCTGCGATAACGACGTTGCGATCATGTTGTTGGACTTGTGCGATGATGTCTTGGGGCTTGTGCGATCTGAGTGGATCTGTGGGCGATCGATCGCGCATGTTGTGGCGAGAGACATGCACTTGCCCTCCAGATGTCCTTCCGGATGTCCTTCTGGATGTGCATTCCAGGTGTAAATTCCGGATGTCCTTCCGGATGTAAATTCCAGTGTGCATTCTGGGTTGGAAGGTCCGATGCTGGTGCTCTGCACCGTTATTCCGTCCCATGTCACTCTCCATCACACCGAGTCGCCGTTGTCGTTGCCGTTGCTGGACACCGGGGTGCATGTGTTCGCAACCCGGTGCGGCCTGCCGTCGGCAGACACAGCTCTGGACTGTTCGTCGATGCCAAACCCAGCCAGCAGCACTGGACGCATGACCTGCTTTCGAGACTCGCTCCTTTCGCCGATGGCGACAGCGCCGAACCATTCGGCTCGCTCTCGGCTCCTCCACTTCGGGGGCATGTCCAGCACCGTTTCCTCCCTCAGCCCGATCCCCCCCCGCTCGTCCAACATGCCTCCGCCCTCCGCCCAGAGCAATCTCGACCTCCCAGCCGCGTGCACCGATGGCATGGTTACCAGTTGGCCGATGGGCTGGCCAAGTCGGCCAGGCCGTTGCTCAGCCGAATCGGAGACCAGCGGCTTTCCTCGAACTCGAACATGTATGTCTGCAAGGAGCAGCAGGCGTAAGCACAAGCACAAGCAGCAAGCGACAGTGTCCAGAACAATGTCAGTAACAGTGTCGGTAGCAGCCTCCAGGCATCCTGCCAGGACAGCCCGCTCGTTACAGCCGGGTGCTTCTTGCTCCTCTCCTTCCCCATGGCAAACCCTTCTGGGCGGTACCCGAGACCGAAGCACGCTCTGATGTCAGGGGCGGGGAGAAGGAGTGAAGGAAAAAAGGACAAGACGCAAGGGAGGTTGTTCCTGGAGTTTGCAAATCCCGCCCGTCCCTCGACACATTTCAAATGGGAGCCAAGCCAATCCCAGCCTGAACCGGAGGGGAGATGCGCTGGTGGCATCATCGCCGCATCGTGCCGCATCGCCGGCCAAGACGGGGGGTGTCGGTCTGAGGGCCTCCTTCCGCTCTCCCCCCCAAAGATCTCCGCCGCCCAGCTTTGCGGACGACCCCAGCCAAGAAGCCACGCGTCGGCCAAGACATGATCGCCAAGGGCATCCAACAAGGCCTCCGCAGTCGTCGGCACATGCGACGTGGGTTTCCAGGATCCGCTGCGAAATCGGCCCGGCTGCGGCTTTGGAAGCCTGCGGGAGAGAGGGACAGGCGGGCGAGCCAGCACGAGCCAGCACGAGCCCGCCTGGGCAATGCCCGGTCAAGCTATCTGCAGGCCCAATCTCAAGACGGAGGCGAGGTGGAATGGCTGTTGGTGTTGGCAAAATGCCCATGGACTGTCCGGCCCTGCGGGCAACCGCACGCCGCTCAGATCCATCCCACTGGCCAAGGCCGATCCCTGGCTGGCCATGAGGGCTCTTGGATTGCAGTAGCAGCCCGCCCGTCTGTACGTCTGTCCGCTTGGTGCGTCTCCCCTGGTGCGCATTCGTTGGGTTGGTGAGGACATGTTCGTCCAAGGAAACATGTTTCTGTCCAACGGGACCAACACAACCGCGGCGGCGACCCATGCCGCTGTCTCGAATGACCCCGCATGTCCGCCCAGGGACAAGCCCGTGCAGGGACGTGCTCGGTCTGTCCATCCAGGGCGACCAAACGTCCATCCAAAAGGTGGTCGAGTGTCCATCCAAAGAACGTCCGTCACCGCAACATGATAAGCCACCACCACTACCACCGCCGTTCATCCATCCACCGCATGCACATACACTCTCCGGAACCTGATCAACTTTGTGGTGCTCAGCAACCAGGGAGGGAACTCTGTATTCACATTTTTTGCTCTCCTTCATCGACATCCTGTGGCAGCGGCAGTGGTGGTGGTGGGTGGTGGTGGATGCCAATCGCCGACATCGGCGAGGATCACAGAAGCAGTACAGATCGGCGGTGGGAGATACAGGGCACACCGAAGGCAGGGCACGGCTGAGGCAGGACCAAAAACAACGATAATGGTGTCGACAGAAGGAAACCTCGTGAAAGGCTTCCTTGGGTATTTCTTTGCTCAATGATAATGATACAAAGGGTGCCGGGCAACGCAAGCGCAAGCGCATGGGCGTGACCGGCGGCGATACAGACGGGGCAAGTACAGATATGAGGCGGACGCAATTGTCGGATAGATGGCAAAAGGCATGAGCGCGTGCTGTTGTTATTTGGAATGTATCCTCCTCCCCTGGGCTTGAGGATGTGAGCGAGGGTGGGGATAGATGTCCGAGCACCGCGGGGCATACCGAACGACACAAATGTGCCAGTGGGGAAAGGGAGTGTGGGGTTTTGTGCCCCTCCAAGGAACCTGAACTCGACCATTAAGATTACATGTAGTATGAGGGATGATGCAGCGATGATGGAAAGGGCGAGAGGATGAGAGCTGAGGCAAATTACAATTCGTCAGGTTCAGGGGAGAGGAGGGGGGGAAACTGGTGAGGCGCCGGGATCGGCGGGCCAGACGCACTTAGGTGCTCAAGACAGCAATCGGATCGGTCCGGGACTTGAGGTACGACGAGATGCACTTGAACTTGCGCTCGACAACCGAGGACAGCGACGGCGTCGACGCCGGCTTCTTGTCCTTCTTTGGCGAGGCCGCAGTCCCAGGCCCACGCAGAGACAGGTCGCTCCGCCAGCCGGTCTGGTCGATGGTTAGATTCAGAGCCGTCATGGCCTCGGCAATGAGCCGGGACGTGTCTATCGGGCAGCTGGGCGCAGGCGGCGGAGGTGTTGGCGGCCGGTCGGGGCAATCGAGGCGGCCGATGGGCGGAAGAGGCTCGATCCTGGTGGCGGTGGAGTCCGAGGAATGCGAAAAGGCCGGCAGGGAGTCCGCCGCGAGAGGACTGTCCGGGGCGATCAGGAATGTGGCGGGGTCGATGCTGGCGGACAGGAGCATTGCGGGCTCGGCAGGAACAAGTGCGTCGACGGCGGACTCGCACGAGTCGATGGACGACGGCGATGAGGGTGCGGACGACTCTGGTGAGCAGTCCGACTCGAAGGAGGCAAAGTATTCGGGGGAGGACATGGGCTCGGACGAGCACGACTCGGACGAGTAAACCGATGCCGGCGAGCAGGTCGTCGACAGTGCCGGCTCAGGCGAAGCGGGCCGCGAGGGGAGCGTGGGAGACACGATGGTCATCTCGCTGTCGTCGTCGGCAGAGTCGTTGTTGCAAGTTTGGTTCTCGATCGGGAGGGCAAAGGCCAGCGGGTGCATGCGCTTCGGGGTGGGAGTGCGGTTGAGGCTCCTGTTGCGGATGCGGGCGGCCTGCGCCGATTTGTGATCACAGCGAGTAACGAAGCAGCCATCCAGCGTCGATCTGGAGGGCGATTCGTATAGCCGCTTGAAGGTGGGCAGGTTGTCGAATGGATGGATCAGATGCACACCAGGGTGCACCGCCAGCAGGCGGATGACCATGGCGCGGATGTTGACCGAGTGGGTCATGGGGCGATTGGACTGATAGAGTCTGTAGTAGGAAAGCTGGTACATGTACCGCTCGAGCTGGGCGTTAAACCGACTCAGGAGTGGAGCGGCCGATGGAATGTGGGCCGGAACATAAGCGGGCAACACGGCATCGTCCTGCTGAAGCAGGTATGAGCTCGTATAGTCTGAAACAGTGGCAGGTTGCATTGGGGGCCCCAGAGAATCAGGATCAGGGAGGGTGGGAAGCAAAAGTGGGTTGAGGCAGCAGGGCGGAGGAGCGATCGTATTTATGGGGGGGTGAGGGAGGTGTCCGGTTGGCCGCGCAAAGCACAGAAAAAAATCGATGGGGATACAGCCGAAGCAGGGGGCGGCACAGAGCGGCACAGGACCGAAACGGGGCCAAACGGGGCCAAACGGGGCCATGCTATCGCAGCAAAGGCAGAGTCACGCCGCCGCCACCGCAGCGAGGGCAAAGCATTGCGTCGCCGGTCGTCGTCCCCGCCCCTCGCCGACGGTATCCGTTCTGCCAGGCCGCCAGCACCGAGCAACAAATGGCCAGCGCCGAGTGCTCAGTGTCGAGTACCAGGTATGAAGTGTCGAGTGTCTGGCAGAGGGCGAGTGCCAAGCAGCAATTACCAAGCAAGTGTCAGAGAGCAATTGCCAAGCAGGCAACTCTGCCTCGCAATTGTCAGCGGCGGGTTTACATTTTTCTGTCTCGGTACCACCTCGGCATCGCCCTCTCGGTACCACCTCGGCATCGTCGTCGTTCTCGGCGTGGAGCCTGGGCTGGTGGATCTGTCCCACGCGAGCGCAGCGGCCGATTGGGCGAAACAGCCGCCTGCTGCGATCATGGCATCGGTTGTATGGAGAGGCCGTCGCACAGGCAGCCCGCTGTTCAGCCCCAAGGACTCTTGCGTTTTTCTCGCCGCTTGGCCACCTTGCACACGTAGCATGTGCAACGTGGTGCGATGTGGTGCGACATGTGCGAGGCAGCCGCGCGCCTGCGAGACTGCCAGCGGAGAGCCCGCAAGGCCAGATACCCAGCCCCAGCAGTGATACCCAGCGCCAGCGAGCCTGTGTTTCAGCGGCGGCGCCGAGGGAGCAAGCAGCCGAGTGTCCGTTTCGAAGAAATCTCTCGCGTGGCGATCGGCTGGGTGGGTCTGAGAGGGCAGGAGGATGCTTCCCGCTCTGCCCACGATGCAGCCGGGCTCGCACGGGCAAAACGAGGCAACCAGATTTGGTTTCATGAGCGATCTCGGTCTCGTTGCAGGTCTCGATCTCGGTCTTGGTTTCAGCCTCGATCCAGCCCGCCAAGACAAGCGCGTGAACGGCAAATCCTATGCGGCCGGCTGCCAAGATTGCTTCAGCCTCACCAGCCCTGCGCTGTCGGTCTTGGCAATCCACTGCCAGTCCACATGCCAGTCCACAGGCCAGATCTTGGCTGCTGGGAGAGACACAAAATCCGACCTCGAGCTTGCATGCCACCGGGCAACAGCACTCGAGGGCAAGAGCGGCCAATGACCCGATCCCGTCAGCCGGCATGGCGACGGCGTGCTGGAGCGATAGGCTGGAGCGCCAAAGGCAGCACACGGCCAGGTGGCGTGCGAGCGTGTGCCGCCCAAGCCGAGCGATGATACCCGACGCGCTGGCCAGACCAACATGGCCCAAGCCGACATGGCCACGCCGACATGGCCAAGCCGACATGATCGGGCTGCCCAAGCCAACACCACCACGCCACCATGATCGAGCCGCCATGATCATCCAGGCCCGGCACTGCACCCCGTGGGACTGGCGAGCCCGCGTGCGTCGCTGTTGTGGTCATCGAGTCATTTGATTGCGTCCGCAGCGCGTCCGGGGGGCAGTGCTGGTTGCTTGCCACACGATTGCCACACGATTGCCACACGATTGCCGCACACTTGCTGCTCACTCGCTCCATCTCCTGGTCAGCCGGCCCAGCCCTGTCTCCTGGTCACCCGCGCTTGTTGACAACACATTTCGTTTGTGCTCTGCCCAAGGTTGGCTCCGGGGCAAGCCTGACCGGCACTGCCATGTCGATTTGATTCATGCCATGCCATGCCGCGTAATCGCAGACAAACAGCGGCCGGCAATCGCAGACGGGCAGCAGCTGACAATCCCGGCTGTCGCCGATGAGCCGTTCCAGCCGTAAAGACACTGCCAACCACGTAACGATCCACTGTCGTCCATGCAAAAACTTCCTGTCAGACAACACCCGCCATCAACCGCCGTCAACCCGCACCGACTGGCGATCTCTTCTCCAGTCGCATGCTGCCCGGGGTCCGTTTTGTCGTTTGTGCTCCATTGTCACCGTCGTTCGCCCAACAAGGTCGCTGGATCGCCGTGGCCCATTGGCCTGCCGCCCGTGCGTCGCCCATATCTACCCGGTGCGCGTTTGCGTGCTTTGGACTGCGGCCATATTTAGGCCGACCTCGCCCCCCTCCGGCATGCCCGATTGCTCTTTCGGCCCGACCCTCCTGCCGACCTCGCCCTTCGCCTATTCGCTGCATCTTGTCTGCCTTCCTGCCTCGCCAAGCCTGCGTCAAAGTCGGCCCGTTGTTTCGTCCAGCCCCAAGCCTCTCCCTTCACGTCACCGATCCCGTCCCGACCCGTCATGACTGCTCGCATCCATTCCGCCTATATAACCGTCGCCCCGTTGTCGGCGTCAAAGCAACATCCCGTCGTCCTCATCTCGGCCAATACTCTCTTTGATGAACCTGAATCGCTTGGATCCGAATCCGAATCTGAATCCAAAGCCATGAACCTGCCATTCCCCAGTTCCCCCTCGCAAGACTTATCGCAAGACCTATCGTCGCAGACCTTGGACAGGACTCTGCCAGCATCCCTACCCGGAGCCCTTGAGCAGGCGGCTCCAGAACGAGGCCGTCCAGTTGGAGTCCGTCGCCGGTCTCGATCGCTGACTCCCGAGCGGCCCTCGATCACTCCCCTGACTCTGTCTGCCCCTGTCGCCCGGACCGACGACCATCCAGTGTCGATCAGCGCCCCGCGTCCCTTCTCCGCCTCCGACATTCTCCTGGCCGAGCATGGCTTTTCACAGCCCACGAGCCACCTCCCGGTGCGCTATCCGTTCGACACCGAGCGGCTCATCTATCGGATCTCATACTTCAAGCTGACCCAACCCAAGCGTCCTGTGCACCAGCGAAGTGCCATCATCTCGCTGATGCTGCACGCCCTTGCTGTCCATCCCGGCATCGAGCTGGGCGAGTGGCAGTCGGGCTCGCAACATGCCTTCCGAATCTATGCTCCTCCGATCCGAACAACTCTCCACGACCGCCAGGTTCGACCGGCACTACGGCTCTCAAGCGCCCGCTTCCGCCGCGAGCTTGTCGGCATCAATGCAGAGGCTCAGGCTCTGGAGCGCTATGTCTCTGCACCTGCTCCCGATGGCTCCGCCGCCCTGGCCGCCCCGACTGCATCCACCACTACCTCCAGCTCCATCACCACCACCTCAGCCACCACCCTGGCTGTCTCGGCCATGCCTGCCCCTTCCTCGGTTCTTGGACGCCGGCTTTCTCGCCTGCGCGTGAGCGTCTCCAGCAACACTCTAGAATTCGACACCACAGCGAACCTGGCCGAGCCCACGCGGACATCGTCCGTCAACTGTCTCGCCAGAGTCCCGCAGCCCGTGCAGGCTCCAAAGCGCAAGATCTTTGCCACCGCCGAGGATTTCATTGGCGGCTCGGTCCCGCGAACAGCGGCGCTCTACGAGATCCCCATCCTCGTGGTCACGCCGCCGACCGAGTCTCAGTTTGTCGGGCCTGCTGCTTCGACCAGCACCGAGGCTGGCTTGGTATCTGAACCCAAGGTCGGCTCGAGTCTTGCCACAGCCGCCATTGTCTCCACCAGCCTGACCAGTCCGATAGGCCCAGCCGGGCCAGCAAACCCAACGTCGACGTCAACGCTAGCGTCGACATCGATAGCGACAGAATCGACAGATCGGGTGATCCCAGTCCGCCACACAACCGCTCGTTCCCGACGGAGCGGCGCTGTGGCAGAAGAGGACGATACTGATGGCTCGTCTGCCACCCGGCCCGCAGCCAACGACCTCGAGAACCATCCCACCAGCAGCGGCCGCAACTTTTTGAGAAAACTCAAGCTGTTCCATAACTTTACTGCCAACACGAACCTGCGCAGCGACGTCATGCTCTAGAAAGCACAATCGTGGAGATGTCTGTGTTCTTGAACGCCGCTCCCAAAGCTCCTTCCTCCGTTCCTCCCACCACAGGGTTGTGTCTTGCGCTCTCAGTCGTCCCTCACGCACTACCCAGGGTCGCTTTCGCCGTCGCCCTTCGTTTGCTGGCCATTCCAAACCATGTATCATACTCTCCTTCCTCTCAATACAGGTTTTTGTTTTTGGTTTCCAGCCCATCTCGATCCGCTTGGAACTTGCTTTGCCACCCGTCTTGCTGCTCCTCCCTCTGCTGTTGCGCTGCGTCGGGTGGAAGCGACGACCGCCCTTGCATGCGTTGGCTGGCGGCAAGCGCAGGCCAGAGCCGATCCCGTTGTATCCGCACTCGCGCGAGCCAGGCAGTGCAACGGAGGGCCCATGGTCGGAGATTGGCCCTCATGACCGCGTTGGCCATGGCCGCTGCCCCGCGGCGATATCGCACGACCCTGTTGGTTGTGGAACGTCCCTGCGAGCCGAACAGGACGCTGAAACCGCAAGGGCCTTTATCGGTCGCAACGTGCGTCTGCAGGTCCGGCGAGCCCGGCATGGCCCGTGTGCTTTGCTGTCTCTCTCTGCGTCCCGCTGAGTCTCGGTGCATCGTCCCTCCCCCCCATACACCCCAGATCCAGTGTCCGCGCCCACGGCCAGCCAAACGCCGGGGGCGGTGATTGTGTCATCCCCGCGGAAGCAACCCGTTGCCGCCCGCCTCTTGCTCGCCATCCGTCTGTCTGTCCGTCCGTCCGCTCACCCTCGCCTTTCATCTGCCCTCCCCCATCCTTGCTCTCCATCTGCCCGTCCTTGTCGTCGTCATGATTTCCAGTCCTGAGATACCCACCATCGATTTTGCGTCGTTTGGCGGCCCCAACCCGGCCGTCGCCGTCGCCACCGACGAGGCTCGCATCAACACCGCCCAAGAAATCATGGATGCCCTCTGTCGCTTTGGTACGCACTCCCGGGTCACGCGCAGGTTGCTCTGCTTCGGACCAGGCCTCCATTCGTTACGACGGATTTGAAACTCTGTCGTGATGCTGGATACATCTGCCATCATCCTTGGCCGCATGCCCGTCTGCCGCAGCAGCACCCGCGGGGCATGAGGCGATGTGCAGGGACCCCAGCCCCCCCCCATGCGTGCTCCGCGGTCCCTTTGGTGGGAAGAAAGGCTGGCCGTGCGGGTCTGGGACGACAGCTCCAGCAAGACTTGTGGGGCTCCTTCTCTCCCCGCCTTCTGACGGCTGCATCTCGCTCGCTCCGACTCTCTTGCGATCGTAGGGTTCGTCTGCCTCAAGAACCACGGCATCGACTCGGACCTTCTCGCCGAGTTCTTCGTCCTGGCCGCGCAGTATTTCGATCGCCCTCTGGCGGACAAGTTGCGCCATGCCTACGACCCCAACGACAACAGCGGCTACACCAGTTTCGGCCAGGAGGTGCTCAATCTCGATGACCCCGTCGATCAGAAGGAGGCCTTCAACCTGCGACCGTTCAATGGGCTTTTTGGGTCCAAGGAGACCCTGCCCGAGCTCTTCCAGGCCCACTTTGACAGGATCGAGCAGCTCTCGGAGGTACGGGTGTGCGCATTTGGCGGCCTTGATCGAGATCGTTGGTGGTGCCGATCGCCGTGTGTGCAGCCGGTTGGGCCTCGGTTGAGGTGGGCGACTGACACTAGCGAGAGGACACGATGGGATGCGCCATGATGTTGCCTCGTGCAAGGCTTTGGATGGGCATACGTATGCTCCAGTACGGGCTCCTATGGCTCCTGTGACTCCTGTGGCTCCTGTGACTCCCAAATCCAGCCAAGAGACCTTAGATATCGCTGACCAGATTGAAAACGTCTAGGACCTGCACCGCCTAATGCTCCGAATCCTGGACGCCGTCTCGCTCGGCCTCCAGATTCCGGCCGAGGCTGGCGGCATATCCTATCTGTCGGATCGTCACCGCTACCAAGAGCCGTCGGGCTGCACCCTGCGCATGCTGCGCTATCCACCAGCCAAGACCGGCAGTATCCGATGCGGTGGCCATACGGACTATGGGTCGTTGACGCTGCTCTTCCAGGACAGCGTTGGGGGGCTTGAAGTCTTTGTGCCAACCTCCGAAACGATCCGCGATCCTGCAGTCGATGGCTGGATCCCGGTCGTCCCGGCCCCAAATACCCTGATCGTCAACGCCGGCGATCTCATGGAGTTCTGGACGGGCGGGCTCATCCGAAGCGCTCCGCACCGAGTCCGCGGATGGCCCGGCTCCGAGAGCACGAGCCGATACTCGGTCGCCTTCTTTGGCCATCCCGAGGATAGCACCCCGCTCGACCCAATCCCGAGCCCGCTGCTGGCGAAGGAGACCTTGGAGGGCACGGCGCCTACAAGTGTCCCTAATCGCTCGTTTGAGGCTGGGTCGCTGCTGAAGCGCACCATGACCGCCGGCGAGCATCTGCAAATGCGCCTCGACAGGTCATACAACCTGGCCTGAGCCACGACCCCAACGAAGCACTTGCCTTTTCTTTGAATATGAACCCGGCCATGTTCCCAAAGCCTGTCTGTGTGCCGAGATTAGCAGCTCGACCCGCGTGATTTCATCATGCTGGAAGATTCGACTCTGTTCGAGCGAGCGCATTCGGCAATCGTGCTTGAGAACGTGTTCGCCGGATTGCCCATGGACACGCTCGTCAAATGATGCCCACAGATCTGAGCTCCCCAATCCGAATTCTCCGAAGCGTGCTCGCAGCGACAGAACACCAACGGCATGTGAGTCCCGCAGAGAGATCGTGACCCATCCCCCCCCCCAAGGCGAGCGGCGCTCCAGGTTCATTTCCGCACCGAGAGCACAGGGTGCAGCACATCTGTCATTCTTGGATCACGCACACGGCACAAACGCGAAGGCGACGGCTGGCTGAGGCGCCCAGACAGCGGCCCCAAGAGCAGGGCTGCGAGGCACCCAGCGCCCACGCGATAGGCGCATGTGGGTGGGTTTCCAGGTCCGGTCTTTGGATGAGCCGGGACGCTCTGTGCCCGGCAACCCAGCCGGGCTCTCCAGATGAACCATGTTGGACAGCCACGCATCGTGACCGCCTTGGGATTGTCTTGGGATTGTCTTGGGATTGTCTTGGGATTGTCTCGGGATTGTCTCGGGACTCGCCAGCAAAGCCCTGGCCCCACACCCCTTTCGGCGTGACCGTGGTGTTGTCGCATGGGCCTGCCGCGCAGGAGTCGGGCCTGTATGGACAGGGACAAGCAAGGTTGGTTTGGGCGAAATGAGGCCAAGGAATGCCAAGCAGGAAGGAGCACCACCCACCAACAGAGGGACTCATGGTCCGCCCCCCAAGAGCAAACATGGACACTGGCGACAAGGCTGCCGTGGGGCTGGGGTGGGCGACGCGTCTGTGGCAGGGCACCGCGCGTCTGTGCGACATTGTGTGGCGACAGTGGCTTCATGGACCGTGGACAGCTGGGCTTCTGCTGCAGAGACTGCGAGCGCAACAGGACAGCATCCTCGGCGATGGCATCTGGGCGTGCGGCAACCGGCACCGCGCAGCGACCAATTGCATCTGCACCGATCAATCAGACATGCATCCCTCTGCGGGCACGGTCTGTCTATCGACTGGATGCCAACAAAAGACGCAAAACAGAGCCAGCGCGACCACAACAGCAGACTCGGTCACACCGCGACACAGCAACAACGCAATCGAGCTCAGACAACAGACGCCGGCTGCGCACACACCCAGAGCCGCACAGCCACAGCCGGGGGGGCGGTCGCACGGCGGGTGGCGATCGGGGGCGCCCTTGGCTGTGCGCGTCCAGGCGCGTGTCAAGAGGCAAGACCCGTGGCGCCTGTTGGACAAGCGCACTGTCTGTGTGTGGCGCCACAGCTGCCTCCGCCGCGACGCACGCGCCTGATTGGCCGGCGCCCGCCCCGCTCTCCTGGCGAGCGCTCCTTTTCTTGCCGGCAGACTTGCCGCGGCCCTCGGGGTGTCCTTCCTCCATCGTCCTTCCTCCATCGTCCTTCGACTGCAATCTCCCTCTGGATCCGTCTCGCTCTCTCGGCCCCGATCGCCGTCGCAATGTCTTTGCATTCCAGCAGAACGGGGGTCTCCAAGACCCTCCTCCTCCTCCTCGGCCTCTGGGCCGCCTGTGCCAGCGCATCTGATGCCACAGTTTCCCAAACGGTACGCCGCCTTTGGCCGACAGCTCGTTTTCGCGCTGGCTGCCACACTCCTGGTCTGCTGTTTGGCTCCCTGTCTCGATCCTCTCGCTCTTTTGCGTCTTTTCTGTGGCTGCCGTTTTCTAGTCCGTCGCCGATGTGGAACGGCAGTCGGCAATCGCAGCTGTCAGTCCGTGTTCATGGACAACCCCCCCCTCATGGACAACCTCCCTCATGGCAACCCAACCACCCGATTCGCCACCGCTCCTAATTGCACAACCGCCTCCCCAACACTAGGGCCCATGTATCATCGGTGGACAATGCAGCATCTCCATCAGCTTCAACGCGAACCTTCTGGGCGCCTTTTCCCCTGGCGAATCCGTGACCGTGAACGTTGTCGACGGTGGCATCATGGTAAGCCACGGTCCTATTTACATCTCGCAATATCCATTTTGGTCAGGCCTTTGCCGACCTGACCTGACCTCACCGCTGCTTCTCCAAGAAACCCGCCTTCCGCTGACCGTCCCTCGCTGCAATTCCAGACTGCGGTGGCTTCCGTCAAGGCTCCTCTCCTCGGGGCATCGACCCAGGGCGTCACCTTTGGTCTGCCAACCACCCTGAGCAGCCTGGCCTTCATCGCTCTTTGCACCAACCCTCTGAACTGTCCCACCATCTTTGATCCTATTTTGACTACTCCGGGCACCAGCTCCACCAGCGCCGTTGCCTCGACCTCGTCCCTGGCGCCGTCGTCCTCGTCCAGCTCGTCCTTGTCGGCTACTTCGGCCACCACCGCCGCCAGCTCTTCGACCACCTCAACCACATCCGCCCCCACCGTCGTCTCGACAAAGTCCAACGGCAGCCCATCGGCTTCGACCACCTCCCAAACCTCCTCAACCGCCACTCCCACCAACGCCCCCAGTGACTCGCAGGGTCCCAGCACCGGCGTGATTCTGGGAGGTGTCGCCGGCGGCATCGTCCTCCTTGCGATCATCATTGCCATCGGTAGCTATTTCTACACCAAGAAGAAGTACAGCCAGCCCAAGTCACCCGGCCTACGCAACTTTGAGCTGCCCCCGCCCGCCAGCAACGCCTGGAAGCCTCTTGACGAGAAGCCCGAGTCCTATCCCATGGGCCAGACCAAGTACGGCTCCCAGCTGCCCGGCCCGCAGTCTGGCTATTCGAGCGCCCCTCCGGCTGGCTACATCCCTCCCCCGGCCACTGTCAGCTACTCGACCCAGCCTCAGTACGACTTGGGCTACAACTCTGGATTCAGCTCCAGCTTTGGTGCAAGCGATGTCCCCCCTCCTCCCCCGGCCAAGGTCAACACAAGCGACGCCCCGGTTGCTGGAGGCTTCCCCGTCTACGCCTCGGCTGTCCCTGTCGCAGTCACTGCCACTGTTACCGAGAGCAAGCGCAACTCATCTCTGGCGGCCTCCGGCAAGCCCCGCATCGTCAAGGCCAACAAGGCGGCCGACAACCCTGACGAGCTTTCGATCGTGGCCGGCGAGACCATCACGGTGCTCGAATCCTTCCCTGATGGTTGGGGTCTTGCTGTCAACTCGGCTGGACTTCGCGGTGCAGTGCCCCTGAACTTCCTGGACGAGCCTCCTGTTGCCGCCACCAACACCAAGAAAGTCCTGTGTGCTCGCCCCGCTGAGCAACCCGATGAGATCGAGCTGATCCTGGGCGAGGAGGTGACGGTGCTGACCGCCTACGACGACGGTTGGGGTGTCATCAAGACTGCCCGTGGCGAAGGCATGGCCCCGCTCAACTTCCTGTCGTAAAAGTATGCGGGCGCGCTTTCCAGTCTCTGGGTCTGTCGCCATCCCTGACGCCAATCTTGCCGACCGACCTGTGTGGACTGGGGGTGCCTCCGCGGCCGCCGACCGTTCGCTAAGCTTGCGATCCTGAGACATGGCGCCCGCCCGACTCAGACGCCGCCGTGGCGATCGATCGCATCGTACCGCTGCCTGGTCTCCCCCCCCTCCTTCTCCTTCATCCCCACTCGCTATGCGTTTGCTGTACTTATTTCTCGTCCTGCTCATCCGTCTTTTGTCGACACCCGCTTCCCCTTCCCCTCTGTTTGATCCTGCTTCTGCAGGATGTCTCTCCTTGTACTTGGTCTGTCTGCTCAGTCCTAATCCGCACCATCGCCACCCCCCACTACGACTGGATCGGTCTTTGCCTCGCCATGTACTGCTTGGTTTCTCGATTGTGCTCATAGACCCGGGTCCAATTGCTGAAATGAAGCATGGGTTTGCTGTTTGTGGACAGATTCGCCTGGCTATCCATCTTCCTCCCCGGATCCTGTTGCTCGATTGCTTGCCTCAGTAGACCAGTCCCAACACGCGCCCATCACAAGGCAAAGGCCAACGTCGCAAATCACTCTAAATACAATGGCGTGTGGTTTTATTGTTATCTTCGTCGATTCCTGACTCTTGCTACATTTCTATATTCTCGACCGATTGGTCAGCCGTCTTGCCAACTGCCGTCTTGCCACAGGAGCCGCGTGATGGCGAGCACCACCACGGCCCCCATTTTACATGGCCAAGAGGCATCTATCGACGGCACATCGGCCCGGAGGCATGTCCTTCACGGCACGAGCCTCGGAGGCAGCATGCGTTTGTCTTTGGCAGCGATGAAACACTCTTCCGCTGGGCGCATTGGTGCCATTCACACTCACCGACGGGAAAGTCGCCGCCCGCGCTGGGAATGAATTATAATGCAAATGTGTGAAGTATCATTGGTGGCTCATGCACCGCTGCAAGATATCGGTGCGCAAGGGAGCGGGGGGGGGCAGATTTTAGATGGAGAAGAGGAACACATGGGGAATCGGCGCGCACTTCCTCAGCCAGATCAATCATCCGAGGGTTTTCCTGAGAGCCGCCTTTTGCGAATCGCTCAGAGACGACGGGAACACGACGTTGAAGACGATGATGAGGTCGCCCTTCTTGCCCGGCAGCTTGCTGATGGGCATGCCCTCGCCTCGGATGATCTGGCGCTCGCCAGGCTTGATCACCCGGGTGCCCTCGGCACCGGCAACCTCAAGGCTGCGGCCATCGAGGGTCCGGATGGACTTTTTGAATCCAGTCAGGGCCTCGGTCAGGGTGACGTCGATGTCGATCTTGAGGTTGTCGCCCTCCCGCTTGAATCGGTCGTGGGGCTTTTCTTCAATGACGAACTCAATGTCCTGCAAGGTGCCATCGGGCAGTTCGTCGCCCTCGCCCGGGAACTTGATCTTGGTGCCGGCCTTCCAGCCAGGCCTGACGTCAATCTGCAGAATCTTCTCAGGATCCCGGTTCGACGATGACAGGACCTTTCGCGTGACCTTGAGCTTCTTGGTTGCGCCAGTGTATAGGTCTTCGAGGGTGACGGCCAGTGACCGCTTGACCGACTGAGGCTGCGAGCTGAAGGATCGGGACATTGGGAAGATGCCCAAACCAGCGAGGGAGCGACAAGCAGCGTCAGTGGACTTGCTGTCTGGTTGCTACAAATCGGCCAGCCCACATCGGAGCTGCGTAAAACTTCTCCAGTACAGATGAGTCTTCCCTGCGCTTGCAAGACTCTATCCAACTCGACACCAGCACACCAGCACACCAGCACACCAGCCCTGTGGCACTTACGCATGCGAGCTACGGCCGCCGAACCCTCGGCTGAATCCAGATGCTCGGTGGGTATCTTCGTCAAAGTCAAAGTCGTCGCCACCAAAGCCGGCGGACGCAAACGGGTTGCGGCCGCCAAAGAATTGGGCAAAAATGTCATCGGCTGAACTCGGAGTGAAGCCACCGGGACCGCCGGCGCCTCCAAAGTTGGTGAAGGTGAAGGTGTGGCCGCCGCCGCCGTTGCCAAAGTTGAAGCTGCCGCCTGGGAAGCCGCCCGGGAATCCTCCGGCGCCGCCAGGACCACCCGGACCACTAGGACCACCGGCACTACCCTTCAGGCCGGCTTCGCCAAACTGGTCATAGATGGTCCGCTTGTTCTTGTCCGAGAGTACCTCGTAGGCCTCTGCAAGCAACGGGCCGTTATGGATGTGGTGGATGGAGTGTCGCGGATCGAACGAATCGTCGTTTCACGTTGTTGCGGGTGCATGGTCGAGAGATGACAAAAGACTGGGTCAGATATGCCGTGTTTGAAGCCGACTCACGCACAGCACCAACCGCACGAGAACGAGGCCGCTCCAGCGAAGAGCCCGGTAGCAATGCCCCAGCGTTTGCCCTGCAGGACCAGCCTCCTCCGCTCCCCCTCCTCCCCTCGCAGATCCAGGTCTCCATTCCACACGAGCCATCAACTCGTTCTCTAGAGACGGCGATATTTGCAGCCGGTGGGCGGCTTACCGGCCAGCTCCTTGAACTTTTTTTCGGCCTGCTCCTTCTTGTCGGGGTTGCGATCGGGGTGCCACTTCAGGGCTTGTTTTCGGTATGCCTTTTTGATTTCGTCGTCATCGGCGCTCTTGGAAACACCTGTGGGACCAGAGCGATGATCGATTGCAGAGTGAGTGAGTTCCACGTCTGACTCGAAGAGCATGACAGGAAGAGGATCGCGGCTTGGCAAACCTACCGAGGATGTCGTAGTAATCCTTTCCAGGCATGGCGGTGTATGTGTGTTTGGGACAGTTGGTTGGGTGTGATGGAAAACCAAAACGAAAGGAACGATGCTGCGGATGACGGTCGTATATGTACACGAGTGGGCCACACGGGCGACCAAAGCGAGCGCGGATGCGGGATGCAGAAAACGCAGAGAGCAGAGATTCGTCTCGATGCCAGGGGCGTTGGAGGGGAGTCGCCCGCCTCCTATATGCTGTCATCGCCGGGGGGGGGTGCTTCTCGGCGATTCGGGATGTGACTGGGCGTGCCAGCGGCTCGCCTGACACGTGTCTCTGGGTGTGGCTGGAAGATGCTGGAACACACCAGAAGACCGGCGGCCCAGAGTCATGGCGTGGGGCTGGAACATCGGCGGGGCAGCTGGTGTGCCGCTGGATTGCGACCGGGCGACGCCGGGGCTGCGGTGTGGGTGTCGACTCGTCTTGCGGGTGCAAATGCCAAAAATCGATCCGAGGTGTGTTGTAGGATTATATATGCAAATGTGGAGCGACTCAACAAGGGCGTGTAGATCAGTGGATAGATCGTCTGACTTCGGATCAGAAGGTCGCAGGTTCGAACCCTGTCTCGCTCGAATGCTTTTTGCTCGCCTCAATTTTGCCCACTCTGGCACACTCCGTTCTGGTTCCGGCGCTGGCTGTGGTATGGTCTATCGGCTCTATTGGTGTGCTCTATGGGTTAACGGGTCGACTCGCTGATGCTGTGGATGACGAAAGGGATTCACTGCAGGGAACGGCAGTGACAACGGCGGTGTCGAGGGCGGTCTCGAGTCGCTGCCGGGTTATCAGACCCATCAGCGCGAAGGCTCAGCCGGCCTCGACACCAGCCATCGATACAAGTCGTTGTGATTCTCGGCAGCGTCCTTTTCTTTCGGGGGCAGCTGGCCCCATAGCAAGATCTGGCTGTTCTTGCCCAGGCGTTCGCTGCAGGAGATTTCCTGCGAGAGGAACATCCAGAAGTGGCCTGGGTGGCGGAAAAACACAGGCAGAGCAGAGAGGGCGGCGTTACGAACGATAGAGGCTCGGTTGGTGGCTCCGTATGGGCATGGCAGCGGGCGTGGCAGCGGGCATCAGCGGGACTGTCCGTGTCGGGGCAGTGACATGTCCGCCACCGGCAGTGGCAGTCACGGCGGCAAGCGGATGGTGATCACCCCGACAGAGCAGAGGCCGCACGGCGGTGAATGGCCATTGGCGTCGGATGTCGTCGACATTGCCCTTACCGTTGTTGCAGGCTTCCAGACAAGTGTCACATGGTTGCGTGACTGCAGAGCGGACGAGCCGGTTGGAAGTTGGCCGCCGCGATCCACCATGAAGCAAGCAAGCACCAGAGCAGATGGATCAGCGTCTTGCCGCCACCAGACCAGCGTCGCGGCTGACCTTCTCCGAGCCCGTCCCGAAAGCGGATCCTGGCACAGGGCCGTCGCATCGGCCGCTGGTTCGGAGTGGTCCGGGCTGCCAGGGTTTTCAGGGCGGCACCTGATGCCCGACACCCGAGCCCGACACCCGATGCCAGCCGAGCTGAGCAACATCGGAGGGCACCTCGTTGGTCCCCAGTATGCTGCTCCGTTGCAGCAAACTTACCATGATATCCGACAATGTTTCCGCTGCACGGTCAAGCAAACAGCAGTGGTGTGCCAGAGAGATGTGAGCCGGGACGCAGATGCCGCTCTGGGAACTGACCAACACCAGACCCGACCAGCATCGGCAGCCAACCCGTCTCGATCTCGACGGATTTGCCAAACAACGCAACCAACCAGCGACACGAATCCGACCGGGCCTGCGGCATTGCTGACCCACGCCGATCACCCTTATCGTCTGCTGGCACTCTCTCCACCGCCGTGGTGATCTCCACGATCAGCCTCGATCAAGTGACAGCCTCGTCCGACGGAGATGGGGCAGATCACCACGGTGGACGAGTGCACGCACGGCCCGAGTCCAGCAGGAAGGCATGGGTGTCGGTGCAGAGGGCCACTCCCCTCCGGCGACCACTCTTTCATCAGCCACCAGGCCGGGCTGCTGTCAGCCCCCACCAGCCGCCTGACCAACATGCTCGCCACAACCGTCGCCACACCGACGCCGCCATGCCATGGCGGATCAAGCGCATCCTTTGGACTCACCAGGTCAGACAAGCGACATCCCTTATTTTGCAGCGACAGTTTCGGGTCACATAGTCCTTATCGACCAACTGAACTTGCGATGGTGGCGTGTCGGTGGAGTAGAGCTCGACCTATCGCAAGAGCCGAAAGTGCAACGTTTTGGCAAATCCAGCAGATGCCAGCGCGCGAGTAGGGGATAGAGAGCGCAAGGGCGGTCGTTGGTGAGTACGCAAATCGCACAGGTCCACAGACAGAAATCAGGCGGCATGTGCGTGGGCCTTTGGACAGCGTGCAGCGCCAGCAACCCAAAGACCGCCTGTGGGGGCTCCATCACTTGCTCAGGACTCGAGCCTGGGCTGGTGGCGGACCGGCATCCAAGTGTGGGAACGCAGCCGGTCGTGGCAAGAAGTGTCCGAGCTTGCAGATCAAGACCGTCATGCCAAGCCCGGTTCTCGCGGATCCCGGGCAATCGACGGAGTATCGGTATGAGCTCGCGCTCAGCCAAGCGACGTGTTTTCTTCCTCTGCTCCTTTCCTCCTCCTCCCCACCGGTTTCATGTTGCGCGCGTGCCTGCGTGCGTGCGTTCGGGTGTGATCGTCGTGCCTCGGAGCGCACACGCCGGTTTTCAAAGACGATTGACCGCTGCTTGACGGCGATGCCTCGGCGAGTCTCGTCGTCGGATGTGCATCGAGGAGACCATCGAGAGAAACATGCACAAAGGCGGCCACCACTTACCCGGGTGTCTCCTAGCAAGATGGCCTTCATTCCACGATGGCATATTGCCGTCTGGCAATGGCGGCAGGTCAGAATACAGACGACCTTGTTGCGGAACTGTGGGTGGACCGACGGCGAGTGGCTGGGACCGCGAAAGGGCGATGCCAACGCTGTCGCCGAGGGTAACGGCGATGTCGGCGGCGACGGCATCGGCAATGGCAGTGGCAGTGACGATGACATTGATGGTATTGGTGCTCTGCGGTGTATCAGCGACATGTCCATGAAATGATGCATTCGCCGAGACTGTGACGACGTTGACGCTGTCAAAGTCAATGATGATGATGCCAGCGGCGATGTCGAAATCGAGCCAATGATGCTAGCGGTTGATAGATTTCTTTGCAGATTCCTTTGGCGCACAGAGAATGTCGGGTTTGACGAGGGCGGGGGAATATACATCACAACAAGGACGGAATCTGAACGGCCGGGCGGCGGAAGTGCAAATCAGGGACGGGTGAGAATTGCAGTATGGACACGAGGAATTACTCTGCCCATCGTGAGAACAACATCGGTGCTGGCAGGGGACTCGGGGCAGCATATCATTGCAACAGCGCACCCTCGGCAGATGCAGCGCATATTGCAAGCCTCGATCGAAGCGCGACAAGGGCGTGAGAACGACCATACTCAACAGCAGATTGACCAGGGGCGGCCGATACGCTGCCGCAACGGTCCCTCGTGAGTGCAAATTGTCCGAAGGACAGCGGCCCGACACGGGAGAGTTGATACTCACCAGGGATAGGGGGGGGGCTGTATAGAAGCTTATAACTGACCGCGCCAGACGCCGCCTGCCGAAATCCCACGCCAGATGGTGTTGTTCTTGGGAGCGACTTGCGACGGAGGCTTGAGCGAGCACAGGAAGCGCGGATGAGAAGGGGGGCGGGAAGAAAGAGCTGAGGATCCGACGCAGCCCGATAGAGGTCATCTATTCACCCAGATCTGCGAGTACGGCGGATTGATCAGCTGGCTCACGTTGGACCAGAACGTCAGGTTACGAGATTCGTCTGATTCAACAGACGATGCGGCCAAGAATGATGCTCTGTGATTCAGGCGAGGTGGCAGGGCCACTCAGTCTCTCGGGCCATGGATATGCAATCAAGCCCAGCATCGCTTTGTCTCTGGCCAAACCCCCGTCCAGAAGTCGATTCCCGGAGTTGGAGAAGTAAAGGAGTGCGTGATGCAAAAAAACGTGTCTTTTATTTTATAGTGTGTTTGAACTGTGGATATTTGGATTTGGGGAAACCAATCTAGAAATCTGAGGTTTGGAAACCGATAGGATCGGGGCATCTACAGCTTTGACGAAGCGAGGGACAAGATTCGGTTGCGAAAGAAAGGAGAAATGCCTGGGAAAGAGCCATGGTGATAAACTGACAACGATGACGCAAACAGAGGAGTATAATGGTGGCGAAAAGCAAAGACAGGAGAGAGAAACAATCAAACCGCAAGCAAGAGAGAGGGAATGACAAGGTATACGTGGAGAGGGAGGGAAGGCAAGTAGAACAGGTAGCCAACTTGGGCCATGGAGGTGATAAGCGAGCCAAGAAAACCAAGTAATAAAGAAAAGAAAAAAAGCACTGCAGGTATACGTAGAGTCCAGGAGCCGACAAGTTGACACAGGGAAAGCGCAGTGCTTATGAGGCCTTGCAGCTTGATCGATTCGAGGAAAGGACCGGGGGGAGACTTCTTGAAGGATCTGGAGGACGGATCTTGCCAGGTTGCCAGGGTAGCCGGGAGGGAGGAGTAGAACTGAGCCAAGCGACGGCGATCCTGGAGGGCTGGCAGACATTGGTGAAACGAGAAAATAGACCATAGATGTATTTCTGTTTCATCCTTCTCGACCAGCAAGTAGAAGTGCTTTAAATCATATCCGGTATAAATACGTTGACGATGCCAGGAAAAGAGGGGCGGGGATGCAAAAGAAAAATTATGAGATGAACTCGAGGCAAGGCTAATCCAGTGGCAACGGTTGGACAAAAATGCAAGGTCAGTGCAAAACGGTGTTAGTGGGGAAAGGAAGAGAAAAGCGGCGGCGACGGCGGCGGGGGAGCGGAGGAGATGTCAGCGGCTGGGCGCGGCGGCGGTCAAGACCATGGGATCATGACCAAGTTGCGATTATGAAGTGAAAGGGGTATGAAATCACACCAAAGACAAGATGCCAAAGCGGAGGGGGAAGGGGAGAGAGAGAGAAAAAAAAAGAGGGGAAATACAATTGGGGGGGGGAGGGATCCCGAACACCAGTTGAGGACAGACCAGTGCTGCCATCCATGGCATCAATCGGGCAAAGTGTGCTATGAACAATGAAGAGGGGCGGTGGCGTAATGGGATGACGACGGAGGATTGCGGAAGTAAGACGGGCGAGAAAGTCAAGTGGACCTAGGGAGACAAGAGCGAGCGGTGGCGGAGCCAGCGAGAACGAAGCGGAAAACAGGCGATACCGGGGGCTGCTGGTCGCGGGAAAGCAGCCACCGGAGAGGTGGGAGGGGCGGTTTGCGCCAAAGCCGGCAGAACGAATGAGAAACCGAGCTGGAGTGGAGAGTGATGTTGGGAGAGCGTTGCGGGAAAGGGCCTTGGCAGGACCTCGACAGAACCTTGGCAGGACCTTGGCGAGCTCCCAGCGGCCCAAGCCCAAGACAGGCCAGCGAGTGCGAGGCCATGACTAAGCATGCCACCGCTCGGTGAACTGGTTGACGGTGATGCGGTAGCAGCGGAGGTTGGTGCCGTCCTCGGCGATCTGGAAGTGATCGGCAGCCTCAAAGCCCAGCTTCTCCATGACGCGACTTGCGGCGGGGCTGCTGTCGGGGAAAAAGCAGAGCACCGAGTGCACGCTGGGCTTGGTGCTGCTGGGGTGAAGCCCAAAGAGGAAGTTCAAGAGCCGCTTGACGGCCTCGGTGCCGTATCCGTTGTTGGCTTCGCTGGGAGAGATGTACACATCCAGGCGAGCGGTGGACGGGTCGGCGGACTGGCTGACCTGAACGGCGCCGATGTAATTCGGGCTGAGCGAGCGATCGGCCAGGTCCGAGACGATCATTGTCGAGTAACTGCCGGGAATGGCAATGCTGGGGCTGTAAGGCGCGAGGTCGGGGGTTTCTGTCAGGAACTCGATCGACCACAGCTTGCAGTCGGGAATCTCGCACGGCTTGAACGATCCCGGTGGCCAGGAAGCCGACAGCGACACGGGCGAGCTTGCGGCGCTGGGCGTGACGGCATCGGCCAACCACGACGAGAACGGGGCAGCAGTCTCGACCACAGGCACAAGCCTGAGCCTGGGCGAGTACAGCACAGGATGGAGGGTGGCAGAGGAGCTGGGCGACATTGGTGGCGATAGCATGATCGAGGGCGAGACAGCGGGAAAAGGCGACATTTATAGCTGAAGAAATAACCGAGAATGGGGGGTCAGCAACGAGCCGTTCCGGACAGGGCGGATAACAGAGGGCAAGAAAAAAAAAAGAGTGTGCTGGGGCGCCAGCAAGGAATATATAGCAAGATGGGCGAGAACGGATGGGCGGCTGACCCGAGCGAAACGGCCAGAGCACCGTGCTGGATGGGTGTATGCCCACGAGGCGACAGCAGTCACAGGCGACAGCCAAAAGCGGGCGAGAGGGCGGTGCGGGTGGCGGCCAATGCAGACGAAGGGCGATCTGGAAAGGACCGAGGCGAATCGCACAGCCGCGACGGACGGGAGCGCATGGCGGCCAGCCGGTCAGCCGGGCGAGTGATGGTGGTGGTGGGCTTACCAGGTGACGGAGACAGTCGAGACGACAGGAGCAGGAACGTGTTAGGGCCGAGGATTATATCGGAAACGGACGGACGAGCAGGCCCCAGGACGAGGCCAGGACGAGGCCAGGACGAGGCCAGGACGAGACGGCAAACAAGCCGGGCCGAGGCATGGGCCCAGCAGACGACCGGCAAAGGGACCCGTAAAGGAACCGCAAAGGAACTCGCGATGGCAGCGCCGATCGAAAAAACTTTTGCAGACGCGTGTGCGCAGCGCTGTGTTGCCGCTGCGGTTGTGCTGTGCTGCTGTGGTGGGCTGTTGTTGTGGTGCATTGCTGCTGCTGTGGTGTGTTGCTGCTGTTGTGGTGTAGCGTTGTACTGTATCGGGGTTGTGCTGCTGCTCTCCGGCCTTTGCTGCAGTGCTCGCCGCCAGCTGTCGCTGCTGCCGCCCGCGGTGCGCACCAAAATCCGTCCGCCTGGGCTGCGCCGACGCCTTCATCGCTGCTGCGCACACTCACCGCTGTCCGCAGACCACCCGCTGCGCAGCGCCGCCCGCAGTGCCTGTGTGTGCTTGCGCCCGGCAGCCGCGCCCGTGTTTCCTTGCGCGGCAGTGCGGGGGGTGGAAGCGAGGCCGCCCGCCCATTGGCCGACCCGCGCGCGCGTGGTCCGGCTGGAACAGCAGGCCCCTGTGCAACGCAAACTCTGCCCAGGCCCCAGGGCCCGCGCTGCCGCTGCCTGTGCTGCGCGTGCGCCCCGACCCACGCCGCCCCAGGGCCGTCGTGTGGACGTGCTTGTGTGGTGTTGGCCTGTTGCCCCTTGCCCTTGTCGCTTCGTCTTTTCTCTTTCCGCCTGGGTGCTGTCGTCAGTTGGCCCTGGGAAAGCATGGCCTGGGAAAGCATGGCCTGAGAAAGCCCCGGACCTGGTCACTCATCCGGTTTGTTTGCCCTTGCGTTTTTTGTTTGCCCTCTCCTGGCTGCCGCCTTCCATCACCTGGGTACTGGGTGCTGTCCGCCTTGCGTTTTCCTCGTCGCTCGCTCGCTCGCTTGCCCTGCGATTGGTACCGCCGGCGGCCGAACAGAGCCAGCCAGCGACGAATGGAGCCCGACCAGTCGCACCTCGGTTTCATCAGTGGGAGCCTTGTCCAAGCGTTGGCTGGGCAGGCGCCGACATTGGACTCTTGGTAAATGTGCTGTGGGCGTCGCAGGAGTACACCGTGTTGAAGAAAGAATGGGACACATTGTCTCTTTCGGAACAACACGGCGAGGGCTTGACGGCGACGCTCAGCCCGCATACTTGTTGTGAGAGCCGAGCCAGTGGGCCAAGCCGGCGCGGCCAGTTGGCGACCATTCTGCGACCATTCTGCGATCAGCCGGCGACCAAGGTTGCAAATCAGGTGGATCGGATTGGTCATGGTGTCTCGGACTCGTTCGCATGCGGTGCGCCGGCCGGAGCAAGGGGATGGAAACGCCCGCCCTGGTTGAACCGAATATCATCTGGCCGAGGTCGGTGGATGGTGCAGCTTCGATGGATACCACTGCACCGAGTGTCCCTGCTTCGATGGATACCACTGCGCTGAATGTCCCTGCTTCGACGAATGCTCTTGTTTTGATGAATGACCCATATTGCCAGGTCTCTCGCCTCAGCAAATCGCTCGTGCTGGTGAGCGGTACTTTTACCCAACGAATGTCGAGCCAAGGAGGTATCGCTGTCCCGGTTGAGGCTACGACTGTCTGCCACCTCCTTGCGCCTGTGACCGAGTTGAATAGAAAGAGCGGCTGTCTCGACATCTGAAACCTCGGCGCATCTGCGTGCTTCTGCGTGCTTCTGCAGTGACCCCCCTGCCAAGAGCAGTTTGGATCGACACAGCCCCGGTCTGCCTGGGCTTGCCCTCCCTGTGTATCCCTCCGTCTCATGCCCCGATTCTGTGTGGTCGGCAAACTTGTTCAGCCGGATCCCGATGCGACAGGGTATCAGCCCCAGGGCTCGCTCCCGGCTTGGCAGGACATTGACGGCATGCGCTCGGTGTGAGCAGAATGGCTGTCCTCCATGCCTCGGCCCACAAAACGCCTTCCTGGCCAGGGGAACTCTCAATCTCCGACCCGCGCAGCCGACAACAGCCGACACCGTCCGCCAGGCTGGTCTGTTTGGGCATCGCCTCCTTGGTTCCCGACGGTCAGCAGAGCCGAAGCGTTGCTGCGTTTTCTCATCCTCGATCGCCCTGCGCTGCACTCTGCCGACGGTGCGAACGACTTTGACCCTACAGCGAGCAGTGGCATGTTGTCCCCGGTTGGCAACATCCGTCGTGTATTACTGTTGCCGAGCCCTGGTTGGTTCGGTTGTTGAGGTGCTCGGCCTCGCCAGAGCTCAAGGTCGATCTTGACTTTTGGTTTGGCTTGTGGCTCTCGACGCTTGCCGTCGCACATGTCCACAGACGAATCCTGCTGATGCATCTCACTGGCATTGCCGTCCGTCATGGATAGTGCTGACTGCCGCTCATCTTGTTGCCGTCTCCTCTGTTTCGTCCAGATCCTTCTGGTTGGTTCGTTTGGGCGATCGAATTTGCATCCGCTGTCGTCTCAAGGCCAGCCCATCAAGCATGATTCAGACCGACACAGCCGAGCCCAGCCACAGGCTGGCTGCCATCGTGCTGGCTAGCCATCATCCGGCCTTGGCTGCACAGCCTCCACTGCGCCGTCCTTGCTGGGGTCCTTTGTGGCTCAGGCGCGACTGCGCTCACCCGTTGCGGGATTAATGCGGGCCAGGGCCCTGGAGCGCGCACGTGTGTTGGTCTGCCGCCAGCTGCACAGTGTCTGTGGGCTGGCTATAGTTGTGGCGTACCAAGATGCACCAATCGAAGCACGGTGGGGGCAGGCCAGCTGTGCCTTCAACGTAGTCTGTGTGCGAGAGCAAGTCGCTTGCCGCCGGATCGACCGCGAATCGCAATTTGCACAGGCTGTGTCAAGCGCGTCCGAAGGGACACACACGCGCTGCTGTATGACGCCGCGCGCGTGCCGCCATTCCCGTTCGGGCTTCCACTGGCTCGCCGTTGGTGCATGTGCGTTCGGAGAGCCCAGTGCTTGTTCAGGCTCTGTCACCAGCAAGGCCGCTGCCCTGTCCTGCCCTGCACCTGCCCACCCGGCCGTTTGGAATGCCGTTCTATAAAACCAAGCCACTGCCGTTCTCTCCTGCGGTCGTCTTTGCTCTTGTTCGATTCTTCGTCCATCCGACCAGCGACATGCTCCGCACGAATCTTGGGGCTGGCCTGCTCCTCCTTGCCGGAGGACTGGTGTCCGTCTCTGGTACGCACCCTGCCCACCAGCCAGCCAGCCAGCCAACCAGCCAGCCAGCGACTGTCCTTTGCGACCGCCTTCCCCCCCTCCGCCAACCTGCCGTTGCTTCCAAGTTCTGTGCCGCTAATCCGACTTCTTCATATGGGTGAATCCCCAGCCCAGCCCAATCTACCCTCCATCTCCCCTTACATTGGATGTGTTCTTGATGGCCCGACCCGTCTGCTCGACACCCGCATCGTAAGTCCCATGACGCTCTTGCGTTTTTCGCTGGTGCTGCGGTGCCACAACTCCTCGGAGGCTTGGCCACTCACATCATTCTGGCTCCTTTCTGGCCATAGACCATCTCGCCCGTCACCGTTGCCAACTGCCAGGCCCAGTGCGCCAAGAGCAACTACAAGTAGGCTGAGAGTTTGAGCTCCCCTCCGAGCTGGCTGGCAGTGTTCTGACATGCCCGCCCGCCAGCCCGTCGCCTGCAGTCATGTCAACCACCACCGATCATCACCGAGTCTGCTCGACAGTCGTCCAGCCTCGGAACCTCCACAGGCGACCACCTGACCTGACCTGACCTGATCCACACGCCCCCACCGACCCATCCAGATTTGCCGGTCTCGAATATGGAAGCGAGTGCTGGTGTGGCCAGCAGATCCACTCGGGAACACCCGCCGGCACCAACGACGGGCGAACGGTCGGCACTCTGGTCGCCGATAGCCAGTGCAGCATGGCCTGCTCCGGCGACAGCACCGCCAAGTGTGGTGCTGCCTGGACCGCCTCTCTGTACTTTGCCGCCGGTGAGGGTTGCTACTACGACAGCAGCAGCCGAGCCCTGCGCGATCTCACCGTAAGTGCCCCTGTGTCTGAATCGACTCCGTGCTTGATGTCGGTCGGAGTATCATGAACAACCCACGGGATATCCTTAAGCATCCTCGGACTCATATTAAATTGCCGCGAACGCCTCCTTCTTCTAGGCTCCTTCGGGCAGCTCGCTCAGCTGCAAAAGTTACTGCCTGGGTCAGAACTACTAGTAAGTTTTTGGATCACATGCATTTCTCTGGGAACCGTGCAACTCCACCGCGTACTGAGCAAGTCGGGGGCAATCGTCTTTCATCGATCAGCTACTTCGGCTCCGAGTACGGTGGCGAATGCTACTGTAGCAACACTATCTACCAGGGTCCCGGCAACGCCGGAAATGCCAACGCTCTTTCCGGCACTCTGGCGCCCTCGACCGACTGCAACCAGCCCTGCAGCGCCAACCCGAGCTACTACTGCGGCAACAGCTGGAGAGCGACCGTTGGCTTCACCGGCCTCAAGCCTATCTCCGGCTCTCCTCCTCCTCCCCCTCCCCCTCCTCCGCCGCCGCCGCCGCCGAACCAGATCTACCAAGGCTGCTACGAAGATAACTCCAACCGCATTCTTCAAGGCGCCAAGAACGTAAGCAGTTCTGTGCAGCTTTGCATCTCTGGGAGATCCGAGTTGTGTCTAACCCTTCCCGCATCCTCCAGTATCAATTGGTCTTGAGCTCTCCCACAGTTTGCCAGAACTACTGCTACACCCAGGGCTTCAAATATGCCGGTGTCGAAATTGCGCAGGAGTGTTATTGCGGAAACACCATTGTCAGCGGTGGAGCTGGAGGCGACGGTGCCGCCACGGCCGGAACTCTTTTGAGTGACAGCCAGTGCTCCACCAAGTGCGCCGATGGTAGTGGCTGCGGTGGCCCCTGGAAGCTCTCTGTCTACTTGTCTGTTGCTCCCCCGCCTCCCCCTCCTCCGCCGGCCAACCCGCTCTACCAGGGCTGCTATGTCGACAGTCCCAACTCGATTCTCCGCGACGCCTCCACTGTAAGATCCGAGCTCATTGCATCGCCGCCATTCGATGAGCGCGCACCAATCTTGACTGCTTGATTATGTTGTACAGCGTTTGCCACGAATCCCGGAAACATCCACTTTTATCGGGAGGTTATTCCCCAACTTTTACCAGGAAACATGAGCCCTAACTTGTCTATATTGCTTGTTTGTTCGCGTAGACCCAGGTCAGCTTCAGCTCTCCCGCGGCTTGCCAGAACTACTGCTACACCAACAGCCACACCTTTGCTGGAATCGATGCTGGAACGTGCTACTGCGGCTCGCAAATCATTTCTGGCGATACAAGTGCCGACGGCAAGACTGCTGGTACCCTGGTTGCGGACAGTCAGTGCTCGCTCTGCGCCGACGGAAGCCGCTGTGGCGGCACCGCCCGTATGGCTGTCTATCTCAGCACCGGAGCCGGCTGCTACATTGACGGCGCCACCCGTGTCTTGACGGGACAGTCTCTGGTAAGGCGCGAGTGGCGATGCCTGGATAGGGGCGACAGCGACAACCGGCGTGGTCACCGACATCGCTTCGTGTCTGTTGTGTGCGAATCGCATGTGGATTGCGTGCTCACCAGTACCTGACCTTTTGTGAATCCAGGGAAGCAGTGGCACCCTGACCCAGGAGTCGTGCAAGGCCAGCTGTCTCGCCCAGAATTACATGTGAGTAGCAGCCTCGCAACTATTGGTCGCTCTTCGTTCCCATATCCGTTCCTAGACTTTGGTTGCTCATCCGCTCGCTTGTCTTGATGCCTGCATCTATCCACGCGCGACAGCTACTACGGCACTGAATACAGCTCCGAGTGCTACTGTGGCAACACCGTTGCCTACGGCGGCACCGGCGGCAGTGGCAGCGGAGTCATCGGCAGCCTGGTTGCTACTTCGCAGTGCTCCTCGCCTTGCTCCGGCAACAGCAAGGAGACCTGCGGTGGTGGATGGCTCGCACAAATCGGCTTGACTGGCTACATCCCTCCCCCGGCGCCAGTGTCCGCGATCACCTTCCCGATCCAGGTCCCCACGACCTGCCAGACGATCACCACCCGCAAGAGCTGGTATGACATGTCTTCGACCGAGCGCACCCGCTACCTGAACGCCCTCCAGAAGCTCAAGACCTCGCCCAAGGCCTTTGGCGCGTACAACTACGACGACTTTGTCCAGATCCATCTGGACAACATCTACACCGCCCACTATCATGTAAGCCCGTCCGCTGCACAGTCATAGCATCACATCTTTGCAAGTCGCTTTGCGTCGAATCCTCGGGGAGTGTCTGGGGGGGGGCATTATATTTGATGGCTCATTCACCAACATCTGAACCCCATTGGCGACTCGCGGGGTTCTCTCTCTGTTTCCAGGCTGCCTTCCTGCCCTGGCATCGCTGGTTCATCTTTGTCTTCGAAAAGCACCTGCAGCAGTTCGATTCCTCCGTCTTCTTGCCCTACTGGGACTGGGGCGCCGACTCGCACAACCCCGGACAGTCTGTTGTCTTTGACCCCACCACCTTTGGAACCCACAACTGGAACGGCGACAACTGCCTGTTCGACGGTATCGCATCCGGTACGTATGGTTTGTGTGGGTGGCGTCGTTGGCAGGACATGAGTCGCGATTGCGACACCTCGTGCATCGTTTCGGTAGCCGCTGTCGCGTTCACCAGCCAGACGCATTCTGCTGGCGATTTTGCAGAGCGTCAGGGGCTGGTGTTGGGTCTGTGTCGATTCTGACGGTGCCACCCCCTCTCCCGCATTGCTCACCATTTAGCCTGGGTTAAAGCCTACCCCACCAACCTTGCTGGCGAGTGTGTCAAGCGCCAGTGGGACAACCCCACCTTCATTACCCAGGATGCCTTTGCCACCAATGCCGAATTGGACTCGACCCTGGTGTACGGTACGACCGACTACAACTACTTCCGCACGACTCTCGAGATCTACCACGGAAGCCCTCACGGTAAGTCGCCCCACTCGAGCGGCCGATGCGAGTCAGCTCCATGGACAGCAGATACGATGATGGGTATCAACCAGCGAGTACGAGATCAAAACAGTTTGTACTAAGCACATCTTTCTGGTGCCACAGTGTACGTTGGTGGCCCCAACGGCGACATGACTCCGATGTACTCTCCCAACGATCCTCTGTTCTACCTTCATCACTCGTAAGTGCATGGTGACTTTTGGCCTTCCGGCTGTCGATCGATCTGTCTGGATCGGATCGCGACTGCGACCGCACAAGCGGATAGAAGTCGTCGCATGATCCGTATCAATTTGATACGAATCCATCCTCTGCTCCCGACCCGACACTTGTGTCGACATTTCGATGCTTGTATGCTCATCATAATGCCACCATCCGCCTTTCTCCAGGAACGTTGATCGCATCTGGAACCGCTGGCAGAAGGCCAACCCATCGGTCGCCAACACCTACGCCGGAAACCCCACCGATGGCCTGGCATATCCGACGGATGTGCTTCCCTCGTTCTCCCCCGTGACGGTTTCCCAGGTTCTGGCGTCGGGCTCCCTCTGTGTCCAGTACCAGGATCCTCTCCCCCGAGCCAGCAACGCCTTGGCAGACCAGACTCCTCTCGAGTACGGCCCCACCATTCCGCTTGAGTGGTTTATGGGCCGCGTCGACAATGCCACCCTGGCTCAGTTTAACCAGCTCCATCGCGACTGGATCGATAGCTACAACCAAGGCCTCGGCCTTTGAGCTGTCTTTGAGCGACTCTCCTCACCTCGATCCTCGCTAACCCGACCAGCGGCCCTCTATACAAAGCCCTCCCTTTTCCCTCGACATCCTCGTTCTTCAGAGATTCCTCTGCTTTATTGTTCCAACCAACGACGCACAGGACACGCCTTCAGGCCTCTCCGAGCCATCTGTCCCCTTCTCGCCCACCACTGCCCCCACCACCATCTCTGCTCCTGCAAGGCTGTAGCAAACTGAAGTTTAGACGCTGGGCTCCCAGCAACAACAACCGCCCCTTTCCTCCCGGCTTTTGTTTATTCGTTCTTGCTGTTTGTTTTTTTTCAGCTTCAACTCTGACCCCTCCTCAGTATCTTTCTGTGGAGCCAAATGTGTAAATCGCCACAACAACCCACCGTCTTCTGTCTGACTTGATTTGTGAAATTCATTGTGAAATTATAGTATCCGTTTCAATCAATCAATGCTCCTATCTCGGCCGATTTGCATCACGACGTTGCGACTGATCGTGTGTGATCTGTGCAAAACGGTGATCTCCTCTGCGCCTCGTGTTCGACAGAGTGAGGTGGCTTCGGGAATGGTGGCCCTGATAAAATCATGCTTTTGGAAGTGATGGTGGTGGTGGTGATGGAGCGATGGAGTGATGGTGGTGGGAGGACGACAGCCATCCGATGCGACTGCGCGTGGGTCTGGCTATTCGCGGCCAGCCACGGACTGGCCAATCGCAGCAACCCAGCAAGGGCTGGGGCAAGGGCTGCATCATGTGTTGCTGCGCCACGGTGAAACCCTGCGCTGCCCTAGCGCCAGCCCTCGTTTCGCGCCCGCCACGACCGAAACGGAAAACCGAGCGGGACAGGGAATTTTGATACTCCCTCTTTCCATCATATCCTACTGCCGTTTGCCCCATCAATTCGGTTAGGAGACATCAGCCATGGGTAACTACTCCATCATGCCAGAGCATCCATCCATCCATCCATCCATCCATCCATCCATCCATCCATCCATCCATCCATCCATCCATCTATCCATCCGTCCATCCATCCGTCCATCCATCGATCTGCATCCATGTCTGGCTGTCGAGCCGGGTTATCTGGACAGTCGTCGAACGGCCACGGAACAAGAACCAAATGGCAACTGTCTGCCTCCCGACAGAACCCCACAAGACGCACACGCATCAATGCACTGGATAGAGGCAGAACACAGGATATGTGTGGCAGCCAGAGGAGCCCAACCGAGCCGCTGCTACAGTAGCTCCGCGCACCATCAGCCGCACCGATATGGACGACCCGCGGCATCGAGCATTCGCCGCACACGATGCACACATCAAGCCATCTGTGGAACTGATCGTTGCAATGATCCGGAAGCCACAGATACTGCGCTCTGCCAACTTCGCTCTATTGTCGCTCGGATCCACTTGTCGGGGATGCTTTGACCGCCAGCCTGTGTCCGGGGCACATTTGCACATGGATAGCAGGTCACTTGGATCGACCGATGCCAGTGTTTCAGATCAGCCCATAGCAGCTTACCAATTGGGACAGACACACAGATGGATGGATGGACTGGAGTGTGTCCCGTCTTGCGGTGCATAATCGGCGTGTGCTAATCTGGCAACCAACGCTCCTCCACAGGTATCAGCAGAGACAGTCGCCACAAGCGCTCGGCCACCGGTGCCAAGCGTGCCCAGATCCGCAAGAAGAGAAAGTTCGAGCTCGGTCGCCAGGCTGCCAACACCAAGATTGGTGCCAAGCGCATCCACACCGTCCGTGTTCGTGGTGGCAACCTCAAGTTCCGTGCTCTCCGCCTGGAAGCCGGTAAGAGGCTGTGGCGGGTATCATTGGTGTTTTGTAGCTTGAGGCTCTACGATCCGTCGGTGATCGAGTGAGTCGGCGCATGATCAGACGAATCAGTGGATGCAAAATGACTGACTGCTGCCGTCGGCTGGAATTGCAGGCAACTTTGTCTGGGGCTCTGAGCAGGTCGCCCGCAAGGTCCGTGTTATCCGCGTCGTCTACAACGCCTCCAACAACGAGCTTGTCCGCACCAACACCCTCGTCAAGGGTGCCATTGTCGAGATCGATGCCACTCCCTTCCGCCAGTGGTACGAGGCCCACTACGCCACCCCCCTCGGCCGCAAGTCCAAGAAGGTAACGCATCTCATTGCATCTTACTGCATCTTACTGCATCTTATTGCATCTTATTGCATCTTACTGCATCTTATTGCATCTCATGGCAGTCCAGAGGCTCTGTTTGGTCGTGCTAACAGTCACACGCGAATGCTTGTCTTGGTACAGGGTGTCGCTGACTCTGAGGAGGTGAACAAGACCCGCTCCAACCACGTTACCCGCAAGGTTGAGGCTCGCAAGGCCCTCGCCAAGGTCGACCCTGCTCTTGACGAACAGTTCGTTGCTGGTCGCATTCTGGCTCGCATTTCCTCCCGACCCGGCCAGTCTGGTCGTGCTGATGGATACGTCCTCGAGGGCAAGGAACTCGAGTTCTACGTCCGTAAGCTCAAGGTAAGGACTGTCGCTCGCACGCACCCGAGGCCCCTCCAGCCTGCCTACTTTCGTCTGCCTACTCTCGTGTACCCTGATCACTAACTGGTGATTCTCTCGTAACCTTTCTCTCCCTCTTTCACATCGCATGCGCTGTGCTCTTCGACAACAGGCCAAGAAATAAACTCGCAGCTGTGTGTGATGTTTATAGTAAGCTTCTTCTCCATCTGGATCAATAATACATTGATTCGTGCCGTCACAGCATCCGCGCGTTCTTTCCGGACGGAGGCTGTGGGCGGGTTGGTGAGCAATGTGTGAGGCTGTGTCATGGGTGCTGGCGGTAGAGTGGGGCATGGAATGGAATGCAATGCTCCTGACACCATGGGAGTGGCCGTGGACGATGCGGACACCGCAAGACTTGATGGGCGATGATGTTCCGGGGCGATGAACGTGTGTTGGAATTCCAGATTCGGCGGCGGGTGTTTCCTTCTGTCCTGGGTGTGTAGGTGTGTGTGTGTGAGTGCCAGAGATGTGTGTGTGTGGCTATCACTCCACGTTTGGCGTGACTGTTGTGGAGCCGCAAACAAACCGGCCCAAAAAGGCAACCCAGACGCGCCTGTGGGAGACACTACAAACTCTGTTGTCAGGGAAGTGCCTGCTGTTGCTGCCGCCTCTGTGTCTGTGTCGCGGCAACGGCATTTGTGGTGCTCTGCGACGCGCTCTCCGTCGCGGTTCCCAAACACATCCTCTGCTGTTTGGCAGGCTCTTCGCTGCTGGAAAATTTGGCTCCCAAGGGCCCTTCTCCGAAAGAAAGCCCGCATAAAAGCCCTTGCCTGCTGCTCCCCCCCACCTGTCTTGCACCCACGCTTGCTTCTTGCCTGGACCATCTCCTCCATCCTACCGCACCTTCTCGCTCGATAGCCATGCAATTCAAGACCGCTGCTGTTGTCCTCGCCTCGGCTGCCCTCGTCCAGGCCCAGTCCTGCCCCAACGGCCTGCAGGCCACCTTCAACCTCTGCGTCTCCAACGCCCTCGGCGCTGGCAACAACGACGCCTTTACCGCCTGCACCCTGCTCCAGAACGACCAGCCCAGCTACTACAAGTGCCTCTGCGACAAGTTCACTGCCGTCAACCTCTGGTAAGCATGGTCACCCCGCTTCCTCCTCCATCTGGACCAACAGGCGATTCTGTTGCCTTGATCAGCCGGGCCCTTCCTCGCTGTCAAACAGCCTTGTCCATTTTCATGTCGATGAACCCGGTACTGGGACCGGACGGGACGGGGCCGGGGACTGAGACTGGGATGAGGCACCGGCACTCGTCAAGCCGCCTGTGGTCCTCGGTTGTGCCATCGATCTCGCGATCTCCGACCGTTGCTGCACCAGGGAGACGCTGCCCCTCGGTGGTGATCGATCGAGGCACCCACATCCGGCGCTGTCCTCAAGGCACATATGGATCACATTGCTAACGACGACTCTCTTTGGTTGCACCTCCACTCTGCGCTTTTGTGGCTCCTGCTCGCAAACAACAGCTACAGCAACTTCTGCAGCACCGATCCCGGCGCCTCGGCGTCTCTGCAGCAGCAAACTTCGTTCTGCGGTGCCGTTAGCAACCTTCCCGTTGCCCCCGCTTCGACCACCTCGGTCCCCGCCTTCACTCTGCCCAGCCAGCCCACCACCAGCAGCAGCACCAAGCCCAGCAGCAGCGCTTCTCCCACTACCTCCACCTCCGATAGCCACATGACGGCCCCTCTGGCCGGCGCTGCCGCCGTCGTCGCCGCTGTCTGCGCCATGCTGTTCTGAACACCGCTCACCCTGCCGATCCCCTCCTACTCAACCATAGAATAATAAACCTGAAGACTGTGCCCAGCAGATCCGGCGAGTGGATGCAGCTGCGCTTCGAGCTCTCCTCTTCTCTTTTCTGCAATGCAGTGCATTAGCCTCTCGCGGCTGCGCTCTTCGTCCTTGGCCGAGGTCGACGTTTTCTTCATTTGCCTTCGTATCTCTCTCTCTCTCTCTCCGCTCGTTGCGGCAGCGACATCGATTCCTGCCCGTTTGTTGGCAGCCAAACCTCTAGAACTCTCCGCCCTATCTACACGCGCACCTCTTGACTCTCAAACCCAATACAGCTTTCGCTTTTCATGCTCAAACTGTGCGATCATCGGTCTTGGCGAGATCAAGACCGTGCTCCGTTCGCTGCGGGTTTGCGCGGTGGCGCTGTGCGGGGCGCGGGGCATACATCTTGTTCCGCGGCTTCGACACCCAGAACGACTCGGGTTGCCAATCTCTCTCCGCGTTCATGCCAAGTTTGTCGCCTTGCAGAGCGGAACGCCGTCTATGGCCAGCAGTGCCTCGGTCGATGCCGCTGCTTGCGGATGCCATGAAGCCGTGACTGCGAGGCGGCCCAACGGCCGTGCTCGGCCAGCGGATCGTTTCGAACTCGACACGCACAGGCCGCAAGGTTTTCAAGGCCGTTGCCAAGAACGGCTTGGTGCGGGGAAGTGTTTCGGCCATGGCGGTGCCGCACCGCACCACCCGCGAGAACAGCGAGGCAACAGCGAGAGCGCACGAGGCGAGAGCATCCCCGGCAGAGGCGATGTCCCGCCATCTGTCCGAGGGCTTTCTTTCTCGCCGCCTGGTTTGCCTATTTATCGCTTTCCGCCTCTTGTCGCTTCGGCACACACTCGCAACCTTCTTCTCCGCCATCGCCCCAACCCCCGATCGCTGCAAACCACATGGCCTATCAACCACCCAACCAATACGCCCCGAGAGGCACTTACCAGCAGCCATACCAACCCGGCGGCTACTCCCAGGGCCAGCAGCCACCATACCAGCCCGGCGGCTACTCCCAGGCCCCGCCAACTTACGGCCAGCCCTATCAAGGCCAACAATATCAAGGCCAGCAGTATCAGGGCCAGCAATATCAGGGCCAGCAATATCAAGGCCAGCAATATCAAAGCTCGGGCCCCTATAGCACTCAGCGACCGCCGTACCAGCCCGGCCCGACTCCCTACAGCCCTCCGACTGTCCATCCCACTCTTAGCCAAAAATCCGACGGCTACCAACCCGTCGCCCCGGCCAGGATCGCCACTCTTCCGCCTCCAGGTAGCGTTTTCTGGCAAGCATTTCGGCAGAGTGCCTGCGACTGTCTGGGTTCGTCGCTCAGGCCTGGTCATCCCCGACGCCGTCCACTCTCAAGGCAGAGCTGTTTGGCGAAAACAGCCCGGTCGCCGCCTCTCGCCTGTCCAACACAGGGATCTCTCCTCGGGACTTGCGCTGCGTGGCATTCCCATGTGCCCGTTATGCTGCAGTGCCTGCAATCGCCCCTTCCTCGCCTCGATTTGCTGGGTTTTTTGCTCACTCTGACCTATCGGTTCGTGGTCCCCTTTAGGCCAGCCAAGCGATCCATATGTGCTATTCCAACGTGAGCCATCGACCGCCTCATGCGGCGGCACTTTTGATTGCTGACGACTGTGTCATTTTTGGTACCGCTGGCTGACCGCGCTTGCTCTGTCCAGGTGCCGATCGAGACAACAGCGGCCGAATCGATGCTGCAGAGCTCCAACAGGCCCTTGTTAATGGTGGGTAGATCGGTCGCCTAAACGGCCAGCCAAGATATGCGTGTTGAAGCAGGAGCGGCCTACCGGTTTCGTATCGACCCGCTGACCATGCACACCGCATCGTCGCTTCCTCTCGCCGCTTCACGCACAGGCGACTACACGGCGTTCAGCCCCGAGACCGTCGGCACCATGCTTCAGCTGTTCGATACCGACGAAGATGGCCGAATCACCTCCACCGAGTTCCAGAGTCTTTGGAAATATCTGAGCGACTGGCGCGGTATCTTTGACCGGTTCGATGCCGATCGCAGTGGCAACATCGATTCTGGCGAGTTGACACAAGCGCTGGCGGCTTTTGGATTCCGCATCAGCGACGCCACTTGCCGCACGCTTATCCAGCGATTCTCCAAGAAAGGTATGCGATCCTGTCGAGCAGATCGCAACGCGGTAGCTGTGGTGACCGAAGGCGTGTCTTGAATTGATTCGAATGAAAGCGCAACGGCCCTCGACGGGGAGCACAATCGTGCGGCGATTTGACTGCCTTTTCAGACTCTGCGAGCTCGATGTCGTCCAGGTCGCATGCCTTTCTGTCTCACTTTCGGTTGTAGTGGGGCCGGACTGACGTCGCTCCCTTTCCAGGCCGCAGCGATATTTCATTTGATTCCTTTATTCGGGTGTGCATGTCGATCAAGTCTGCCACCGAAACGTTCGTGCAACTGAACCCCACCAGCGTGAGTACTCGATGCAGGATGAGGGCAGCATTGTTGGTGGTGTCTCCTCCGGGTCCCTGCTGTCGTTACTGCAGCTGGAGTCGTGGGCGTTCGTCCTGGCTGATCAACTTGTTTGTACATTAGGACAACCGAGTTACATTGGACTATGAGCAAGTAAGTATCTGAGATAGGGTTGATGATCTGCGGCACCGCTCCAATGCTGCCGAAGAAGGGCTCTGATCGTGTGGATGCCATGCTCGTGGGTTGTGTGTGAACTACGTTTCTACATCCATCAAGCGATCTTACTCGATTTTGTCTTCCCATTGCAGTTCCTGACGGCTGTCATCCGAAAGTAACTGTTCCTGGGCAGCTCGACAGCAAAGCCCGCCGTGCAGCCTGGATAATGTCCACAACTCATGAACTCGAGGTGCCAAGGGCAGTCTGCATCCGAGTTCGTCCAGCGCCAGTTCGACTCTGAGTGGAGCACATCTTCACACCCCCGGATCGGCTTTGTTCTTCTTGGATTAACTTCTTCGGGTGTGATCGCCGGCCGTGAGCGCGTGTCTTTGTTGATGATGAAATACAGCACTTTCGAGCAAGTCAAGACGCGACGGATGCACCAGGTGGTGCCCTCCTCCCATAGATCATGCCAACGCCACGAACGAGCCACCTGAATATGCACTGTTTGGCCTGGGAATGTGCTTGGGCGAATGATAGGCAAATGGATGAACAATGACTGACCGATCTATGGCCGATCTATGGTCGATATGTGACCGATCTGTGGTCGATATGCGAACGGCGGTTGAGCGATGGTGGGAAGGAGGTGGGTCCATGGGATCACTACGGTCATATAGGGCATTGAGGGAATTTCGTCAAGCCTTCTTAGCACAGTGGTAGTGCGTCTGCCTCGTAAGCAGAAGGTCGCGTGTTCGATCCACGCAGGAGGCAACTCGGAATCTTTTTGGCTCCCGATTTCTGCACATCGCCATCGAGCTTTTGCCATGTCGGGAATGCAGTAAAGCGACCGCCGTCGAGCAGCCACAACTTGTACGGCCGGTGGCTCTGCTTTTGTACAGGTCATTGTGTGGTTTATTGTTGGCCGGTGGTCCTGACGAGCGGTGGGTATCGCCGGGGGCGCTACTGGAAATGGCCCTTCAGCTTCTGCAGGGCCTTGAACCGATGCGAGATGGTGTTCTTCAGGTCCTTGTCCATCTCGGCGTAGGTCTGGTCGAAACCGTCGGGCTTGAAGATCGGATCCCAGCCAAAGTTGGCCGGACCCTGAGCCGGGACGATCGTGCCGTCGGTCCGGCCCTCGAATAGAATCGGCTCGGCGCCAGGGCCCTCGCTGTAGGCAAAGGTGCACAGAGCATAGGCCGAGCGGTCTCCGAAGCCGATCAGCATCTTGTTCAGCCCGTCATGGCCGAGGCTTTCCAGGAACCACTTGATGTAAGGGCCCGGCAAGCCCTTGAGGGCGTTGAAGCACAGCGATGTGTCCTCGGTGATGACGGGCCCTTGGATGATGGCGGCTGCACGGCGGCACTTTTCCTTGGCAATGAACTCGGTGGTTCCCTGCAACTCATCCAGATCGAGGGCTCGGTTGGAGAGCACAATGTTGCCGGAGCCGCTGAGGATGGCCGAGACCTCCTTGAGCTTGTTGGCGTTGCCAGTGACGAAGGTGATGTGCTTGGACATGGTACGGAGGACGATCGGGAAGCGAGATCGAACCGATCACACTATCAATTTTTCCGGCCCCTCGCGGCTGCTCATCTCGGTCACCTGAAAGTCACGTTGGATGTGACGCAGCAAAGTTGGAATCCGGCCATGGTCTGTTGACGGCATTTGGTATCACCTTGAGCCGATTGACGGTGGTGGTGGGCAATTGGTGTGGAGGAATGACCAATTGTATCATTGTTGGAAGCTCCACTCCGATTGCGGACAAGAACCACCACCGTCTGAATCTCTCTGGTTGGAAACCTAGTCAAGCGTGGCTGTGTGTCAGCGAGATGACATGATCGTTTGGCTATCAGGCAAGACTCACCTTGACAAGATGTCTTCCCACGACTGATTGAGCGAGCGATGCGTTTCTGGATCTGAATCAAGGACGCCACTGCGCAGTATCTCTGCCAGCCCAAAATGCGCTGGTTTTGAAGAGATTCTTTCTTCCCCAAGGGCAGAACCAGCCATCGCTGCTATTTTCTCGCCAGATGGCTCCCCGCAAGAGAAAGACACCACCCAGGCGACCAAGTGGATCCAGAGCACCCACAAGATCCTTGATCTGCAGGACTGGATGAGTGCCACACCAAGTCCCAAGATCCCTGGGTTGGCTTCCTTCCTGCAATACATTCGCCATGTGTTCGATGGAGACATGCTGGACAAACAGCTGTACTTCAGCCTGACCCGGCGACGGCGATTCAAGCGACTCGATCTCCACAGCAAGCGACAGCGCACCGTCCACGAGATGTGCAAGCAAGTCATCGACCAGGCACCAAAGGAGACCGAAGTGGTGATTGCCTTTGGGAATGCATCCTGGAAACAGGGGAAGGGATATGCTTCCAGTCCCAGGAGACTCAGGTTCGCCAAGTACTTTGAGCAATTCCACCATCACCAGAGACGCCCACCAGACCGATCCGTCTCCAAGATCCATGTGTACTCGGTGAACGAGTTCAACACATCCCAGGTGTGCTCACATTGTCGGGAATTCAAGCGACTTGAGTCACCCGAGCATCTTGATATCGAGAAACCCCACTTTGTACGGAGCTGTGCAAGCTGCCATACGCTGTGGGGTCGAGACGTCAATGCAGCCAGGAACATGATCTCGGTATGCCAGTCGATCATCGCCACAGGAGATCGACCGGGTGTATTCAAGACTGTGCTCCCGAAACCAACCAAAACCACTCGATTGCCAACGAAGACAGGAGTGCAATGCCATGGCCTACCCGCTGGGCCTACAAGTCAGTCAGCGGGCTTCAGATATCTGAAGCCAGAAAGTGACTGTCCCGTTTCTTTCTGGATAGACTGTAAGTATATCGCACTGTTCCTTGAGTATGTCGACAGTGGATGCCGGGTCGCCCATATTCTGGGCAGTCCACTTCGGGGTTGCCATCCCTCTTGGGATGGTCGATGGGAGGTGTTTGACTCCCTTGTGCAAAGTGTGTGTGTGCGGATGTGTGTGTGTGTGTGTGCAAAGTGTGTGTGTGTGACGGCGAGAGGCTTCTCGCCTTCCCTCGGGGGTCTCTCGCCAGAGACTGCTCTTCTCGCCGACCGAGGTGGCTCCGAGAGCGCGTTTTTTCGTTCTCGCTCATTTTTTTAACAAAAAATTTTTTCATAGTGCATCTCCCTTGCCCTTTCATCTCACCTGGCTATCCATCGCCCCCTTGCGGCAGCCAAACAGTCCTTGTCGCTCCCTCCGAGCAAGACTTCAATCGAGCCTGCACGTCGACCCTACCACACGAAATGACAGAGAGTCGGAGGGTCATCGTCACCTGTATGTGTTGTCTTCTGGAAGCGTTTCGCATCCCGCCTCCTGGCTGTCTGACGCCCTCGATGCGCTATAGGGCCGATAGTTGCATCGACAAACCTGCCTCTGTCGATTGCCGTCCGTCCAACCCATGCAGAAATAAGGATCTTAAGGGCTGCTCAGAAAGGTTTCCATCAACCCAAAAGCAATGCTGACTCGCTGACCCCTTTCTTTCCATCTGGCCGTCTGGGCCCTGAACTCCTTCCCCATCGCGGCTCCCCATTGGGGACATCATCGTAGATGCCGACGAAGGCAAGCTCTGGAGCCAGATGGCCGACGAGATCTCCAGTCGCATGCCGCTGCGCAACATCACCTGGCAGAATCCCATGGACAAGTCTCGAACGATCTTCAGGACCATCGAGGCCCTTGATGTCGAGTTCAAGCGGTTCTCGGCCGACATTTTCCCTCGCCAGGCGCCGAACGGCTCCGTCCAAAACCCGTTTTTTGTGCATCTTTTCCTCGTAAACTGCGAGGTGAGTGTCTCTTTATCAGACAAACACCATCGCTATTTAATCATGTTACCTCGTTTTTCGATGCACCGAACGAAGGCTTTGATGGTGTGCCCGTGCCGGTTTCTTGACTCCATCCTGCGACTAAACGATCCCGTACGATCGTCCCTCCCTTCCCTGCCCCAATATCTTCGGATCCTGGTCTCTGCGGTTCATTTGTCCCTATGGTCCAGGATATGGACCTCTACAAGAACCAGGTGCGCAAGCAGATCCAGGACTGGCTGAACGTCATCGCCAACAAGAAGAGCCAGGAATGGCTGATTGTGAACGTGGTCCCGGCCGATGGGAAGAAGATCCAGACCCCAAGATTCCTGGGTGGCGGAAATGTGTTTGAAAAGATAAAATCCGATTTCAGTATGGGCAAGAAAGACAGGTCAGGCCGCGATCTGCAAAATCAAGAGGGTGTGCAGCAGATACCTCCTGGGGGAGCGCTGGACCAGCGCATCTCCTCACCTTTCCCTCGGCTACCATTCAATGGACGACTCCACATCACATCGACCCAGGAGCCCCGACTCCCGAGCTCGTGGTTGACATCACCATCTCCCTCTGGCCTCGATACTGTCTCTCCCCGCCTCAGATTTGTCCAGCTCAAGCTCGGCAGCACCGATTCCCAAGAATCCTGGATCGAGTTTATTGCCAAACTAAAGGAGGCACTCGTCACAAGCTTCAACCAGCAGATTCTGCAGTTCGAGGAGGATACTCGACGCCTGGACTCGCAGCGACTTATGCCGGGCTGGAACTTTTGTCAATACTTTATCATGAAGGTAAGGTGTATCCCTCAGTTTGGTGTTCGAAGAACTCATGGCATCTGTCGCAAGCCAAGTCACTAGCCATGCAACAGCTGCAAATAGGGGATATCGTCGCCGCTGTCGCCGATACTAAAGTTGTTCTCTCTCCGCCTGCCCCCTCTTGTAGGAAGCGCTGGCATATATCTTTGAGCTCATGAATCTGCTGGGCGAAGCCTTGCTCGTTTATGACGAGCTGGAGGCCTCGTTTTTCCAAACCATGGCAGGTACGCCTCCCCGTGATCGGAAGGCTCTGGAGTTCCGAGCCTTCCGATCGCCAACTGGCCCGCTTTGGCTCCGAAGAAGGGGCCACTTTCATGAGCATGCGTCGCGGATTCTACTGCTGTCTGGATAGAACCTTGGGCCTTGCTTTCCAAGGCGACTCGCTGACCGCTCGTTCCACTTTGCTCGTTTTCCAGAGCAAGGCGTTCCGTGGATCAAAAAGTTCGGCGGCACCGACCCCGGAGACGATAGCGGGGACATTTTGAATCTGAAGCAGAAGCCCTACCGCGATATGATCAGCCAGACGACCATCTCGATCTTTGACTTTCGCATCTACATGTTTGCGCGACAATGCCAGATCCTCTTCCGCATGAACATGCCCGTAGAGATCTGTCGACGATCAAACATCTTCATCGCCGTCTTTGGGCGGACCCTTGAAGACTACAAGGTCAGATTGTGGGACAGGCTGATGCGGGATCGCCGGCAGTCGGCCGCGTACAGCGCCTCACCAGTGCCGGCCTTCCAGTATCCAGCATTCTCCGGTTGCAATCCGTATCCTTGCCGCCATGTCTCGCGCCGTTAAAGTCAAATTGAATGTCCCGATACATCCACATGATCCCTCAGCGCCCTCAGCGCCCTCAGCTCCGCTGCTCTTGATCAGATCAAAGCTATTCGCAGTTAACTCACCTCCTGCTGATACTTCAACTGTATCCCTCCTTGACTTGCCGGACTGCTCCTCAGGTGGCGCTCGTACCCAACTTTTGCGAGTGCTGGATTTACTCGGCCTGCTTGAACGTGATTATGCACTGCCAGGAACTGGTCGCCGTGTCAAGCCACAGTCCCGAAGTGGTCGCAATCTACGAGGCATACAAGGGGGAGCTCCTCATGCAAGCCCGACTTCAGGTAGGAGCGTGTCGACCGAGACACCAGAGCTATCCACCGCGCGAACTGCATCCCAGGATCTCACACCATGGTTGGCCTCGACAGCTCGACCGCCTTGGCGCCCGCACCGGCCAGTATCTTTCGATCATCCACACGACCACGCCCAGCAAGCCAACCGAGAGTTCGGAGGCTTATGTTCCGTTCTATGATCTGGATCCCGAGGAGATCGATGCCAACAGCCACACTTTGCATCTCGATGAGGTCGCGTACCTGACTAACCAAGAGCTCAAGAACGCCTTGATGTCCACGTCGCACTTTGATGAGCTATACGCGGTACGATATCCATTGCGCAATCGTTGGACTTGTGTCCTGGCCGTACGGCGCATTCTGAAAGTTCAGCAAGAGACAGCAGCAACCTCCCCCACACCCCGCTTGCAATATTCGACAAATAAGCTTCCCGATGGGCTCCAGCAGACAGCGTTTCGTGAGAGCCACGCAATTGACTGACAAACTGCCTTTAATTCGCGGTATATCCAGCGAATCACAGGTCGTGCTATTACTAGCTTTGAGCTCACCACACGGGCCCGCACCGTAAATATGCTCAAGTGCGACATTGCACTCCTCCTCTTGTAAGCGCTACTGTGGTGCCCTATTCAGTGCAGTGAGTTTGGTATGAGGATTGGCTGGAGCTTTTGCGGCGTTCTGGCCTCCGAAACTACCTCTGATCGCGGCGCCCACACCGTGAGGACTGCCTCGCTCCTGGCGATCAACGACGATCGACTAACCCTGGACAACCATTGGCGACCTATCTTGTCCATGCCACATCAACGGCCCTTCCAGCACACGCGGACGTTTCCAGGACGCCATCAACATCCTCGTCCCGCTCGCAGCGTACTTCAAAGGACACGAGTGGAACACCATCCACACTATGATCGTCGAGAAGCTCTCGGTGTGCCAAAAGAAACTCGGCAGGTTGACGGACTTTGTCAACTCATGCATACACTTGATTACCGTCAACAGCGAGCTCGAGCGCACGAGCCATGTTTTGCGGAGTGGTGGCAAGGGGCAGCTCATTCGGTCGCAGTCATCTCGGTCGCTTGTGTTGATGTCGGGCCTCCAGCCAGCAGATATCAATGCATGCATCGACGCAATCCAGCAGACGGCCGGGGTAATGGAGACTGGTAAGACACTTGAATGTATCCATGCTGCAGTGAGACCAATTGCGTCAATCTAGATAGATAGCGTCGATGCCCGTGTGCCTATCTCGCCCTCGCCTTGCCATCGCCCTCACCATCGCCTTGTCTACTCCCTTGCATCAATGCAGGGCTGGTGTGCGACGACAGCATCGTGTTTGAGCCTGCAGTGCTCTCCCTGGTGCAAGAGCTTCATGAGGAAGACAAAATCAGCGCAACCGTTCGGATTCACAGTCGACTGATCAAGGTGGGAATGCATTTGTGTGCATCGGAGCGTGAAATGTGACTGTCCACCATCCAAGCCAGTGTTGTGTGCCACACCCTCCATCTGACACGGTTCCCGCGGAAATCGTTGCTGCCAGGACATTTGCCTGTCGTCCGTCAAAGTCATCCTTGATGGTCCCGAAGGGGCCCAGATGCTCTGCGGAGCCAGCGATGTTAGCTTAGAGCCCGGCTCGAACGAGGTCAAGCTCACGAACGAGGTATGGCTGGCCAGAGCAGACGACGCTACGCGTACAGTTAGAAAGTGCTGGGATCGCATCCGGGCGTTATTAGCCAGCAGCAATCGGGATAGCGGTGCCCACCTTGGATGACAGCTCATCGCAACACCTCCCCGCATGTGCTGTAGACAGTCATTCTCCCGGGCCTCTTCACGGTCTCGGCCATCGTGCTCGCGATCGGCAAGCTTCAGTTCCGATATAACACCAGCAAGCTCTCGAAGAAGAAACAAACGTTCCGAATCTACGAGAACCACGGCTCGATCAAAGTCAACATCTCGATCCCGGACCAAGGTAAAGCGGCAGACCCGAGCACACCAGCAACAGTAGCCCACAAACTGGCTGTGCGCAGGCAGAGATCGTGAATCATAAAGCGATGGATTCAGCACGCAGACTGCAAGGCTTGGGCTGGTTTGGAATCCGCTTCAATTCAATCCAGCTCACTGACTCGGAATGATTAGAAATATCCGCAACTCACTGATGCCTCCTCTACATATCCATACCACGCAGTGGTCTACGGAGAACTTGCGAGCTCGCTGACGATGCGAATCCTCACCAACTCCAACGCCATCGAACATGGCGAGCTGCTGCTTGCATCAATCAACGGCATGATCCTACACTATAGCAAGGCATCCGTCTTCCGCGTATCGTCGTGCCTCAATGCCGGTGCGTGCTCTCTGCTATGGATATTGATCGTGGCCCACATGCATCCAAGGAACCCTTGCCCTTGAACCCCCTGCCGCGACCGCGATGCCCCTACTGTATGGATCATTAATCTGATGATCGCCCTCACATCACAAGACGATGTCCCTCGAGAGCGGCCCTCTGAAATCGTTGGGGACAACAGGATCAGCTTGCCCAAAAGTCCGGCAAACTCCCTGATCGAATTCTCGATTCCCTATACTCTGCCGCCGGACAAGGCCGGCCAGGAAGACTATTATGTATGCCATGACCGCGGGCTGTGATCTGGAGCCGAGTTTGCCGACACCGCCGTACCTATGATGGTTCTGCTGAGGCAATAGAGTGACGATGGCATAAACGCTAACATGCGTCAACGCCATCTACCAAAGATCAAAGTCACACTGCCGTACAGCCTCGCAGATGGCTCCAAGCGCGTCTACTGCATGACAGAAAAGGTCAAGATTCTCCCGCCGGTGGGCTTTTCGAGTAGTTTCAACTTTGCCTCGGACAGGTATGCCACTACTGTGGTCACAGCCGCAGTCGAGCTGCCTTGGTGGCCCGGCGCGTGTGCATCTATCAGCGACCAAGCAAGACCAATGCAATGTTAATGCCGCTGACCCATGCCCATATGAACTGTAGCCTCTTTGCACAAGTGCAGTTGATCGGACTGGATTCGGTTCCCATTCGAATCACCGACACAACTATATCGGTCCCACGACACTACAAGTGTACCGAGTATCCCTTGGCGTCGACGGTATGTTGGTGTTGGCAGTGCTACTATGCTGCATCCTGACTCGCGGCGCTGCAGCGAGCCAGCAATCAGTGCGGCGAGGTAACAACCTCTAGACGTCGCCGAGATAGCAAAGCTAACCTGTCGCTCTTGCAGACTCTGGTGGAACAGCAGAAAATGACGCTGTTCTATCGCTTGGAGCCGATAGATGTCACCAGTGGTAGGATCCGTCAAGCGAGCATGCCAAGGCGGCACCGAGTGCGGCAGACGAGAAGAGGGGCAATCAAGCCATGCCTTGGCGACGCAGGTGGTGATGGACTTGGAGATGTCTGTCGGCTGAGCGAGTGGCATTGTCCTACTTTGTAGATTCTTCCGCCAAGCGACCGGCACATGGCGACAAGCTCCAGTTCGCGCTCAAGTACTACTACACCCGTGAAGGTAGGCGATCGCAGGTTGAGGTGGTGGTTGAATCAAACAGCGTTACGATGATATGCCAACGAGCCGGTTGCTATCGGGCCACCGGTGTGTGAGCCTATATCCACGGTGCTGATCCGCTGTATAACTTCATCCCTATCCCAGAGATCGAACAGTTCATTTTGTTCCATCTCGAGCAAGAGCTGCGTGCAAACCAGATGACCAAGTGCACCGGGTTCTTGACGCAGCTGCTGAAGGACCATATTTTCACCCAGATCGACTTTCACTCGTATGGGCTTTACAACGAAGTCGACGTCTTTCCAGGGATGTTTTCGTCCGACGACAGCAGCGATCGCAGCACTCTTGTGGGCTGGCTGCAAGACTCTGTGAACATGGACGACGAGGGAATCAGCAGCGAAATCCTCAAGTTTTTGCAAGGATTTGCAACAGTAAGTGCTGGCTGCCGAATCGGCCCCGCTGGGATGTTGACCGCCAGGCGGGTATGGTTCAGCAGCAACGATTAACCTGTGGCGCCAGTTGTTTCCGGTGGCTTGCGTGGTGCGAATATTGTCTTCCGAGGGCTGTGCAAAGGATGGTGCTTTGAAGAGCAGTCCACTGGATGGTGGATGGGCAGGGGTGTGATGTGCGTATCTGAGATGGTGGTGATGGCGCTGACATTTCAATTGATCCATCGCATACGTAGAAGTTCCAGAAGATAACTGCTGGCCAGGTTCGCGAATCGATCCAAATCAAGCCTCGCACACTGGTGTACAACTTTGCACCTCCTGTGTGTCATGTAAGTTGCGCAGTCAACCGCACAAGCCGGAGAGAAGGGGGGGGGCGCATGGGACTCCCTCTGGCCAAGAATGATGCAGGTCACAACTGACGTTGCTACTGGTCCGGCGGCTTTCAGAACATCATTACGTCGCACCTCCACCTGCATGGGGCCGAGAGTGCCAACGGCCAATACAGCGTCGCTCAGACGATCCCGTGCACCCTGGAGCTGAAGTTGAAGGCGTGGGGCAAGAGCGATCATAGCGAAACCGAAGAGTTTCTCGATATCACCATCGAGGCCCTCTTTGATCCCAACATTTGGATGCTCTCGGGCAAGCGAGTGAATGCGGTCCGGCTACAGGTACGAACTCGAGTCACGAGCCACGAGCGGATCTGATACCACGACTCTACGGGCAACCTCAGAGCGATCGTCGCTCCGTTAAGCCTCGACACCCGCTTCCTCACGCTTGCGTGCTTGATTGTTATGGTCCAGATGAACCTCGACGAGGCAAACGAGCAGACAGTCAAGCTTCCATTTGCATTGATTCCACTGACGACGGGCGAGCTGCCGATGCCGAACTTTCGTCTGGTGAACAAGTCGCTGTCTGAATTGGATATGCAAAGCAAACCGCTGAAGCTACAGCTGATCCACATCAACTCGGGCGAGCAAGTGATGATCCTCCCACGAGAACAGAGCGCGCAGCTGGTCCTTGAAATGAGTCCAGCGCCGGAATCCGCCTCAGCGTAGCGCGAGGTGTGCCTGGGCGAGGGCGCAAAGGGCCGAGGCGATGTCGGCGATGTGACCTCCGTGACCCAATATGAGATAGCTTGCTGCTACCAATGCAATGCAGCGATCAAGTGTGTCCTGTACCCTGCTCATGAGGCGACAATCACTGCATGAGAGCGGCGGAAAGGTACCGTGATGTGCCCTGCGCCGGAATGCCAAGACCGATGATGATTCGGCCACGTCGACCGGGTGCCTGCTGCTGGAGATGATATGTCCAATTGTGGGGTGGGGTGTGTCCCATCTTCAACGTGCCATCCGGCATACCGCTTGGATCCACAAATGGTCATGCAGAGCAGGCGGGTCCTTGTTTGAGTTGGCGGCGGGCTGGATTCTCCGGATAGCCGCGGCCCACATTTGTCAGGAATCGCGGATATATAGATTCCTGCACCCGACCCCACACTCCCTCGCCCCAACCAGCATCTGCATCTACATCCGCACCGCACCGCCGTAGCCATGACCGTGATCGCCAACGTTCCCATCTCGTCCGACTATGGATATGTGAGTGCATCATGGCTGCAGCACAGAAGCCGCCCGGCACCAAGCGATCATGCCTTGATCGCTAGTACGGTGCAATCGAGGCTCGAGGCCGCGAGATCCGTCGCGAGCAGCGATCAACGAGCGAGGAGGCCGCTGCTGGATCCAAGCGGCCGGCATGATCACGGCAGAGCAATCTTGCACCTTGCTCTGCGACCAGTTCCAGCCAAGCAGAACGAAGGAGACACTTCCACTGACTCGGTGCTTCGTCGTCTTCCTCCTCCCCTCCCAGGTCATCCTTGTTGCTGGAGCCTTCTGTTTTAACCTCTATACCACCGGTGTCAGCGTCGGGTTCCAGCGCCGCAAGCACAACATCCCCGTAAGTCGGATCGATGCCTTTGCCTTTGCGTCTACGGCACAGGGCAATTTCTGTGGGCAGTCAAATGCTGGCCATCGAGATCTGCCCTTTCGAGCACCCCAGCAGCCAATCTCACCGCCCTTTCTTCTCCAAAGTACCCGGATATGGGCTGCGGTCCCTATGCTAACAAGCTCGAGTAAGTTCACGGCTTCTGGCGCCGTAGATACGCCGGGGGCACAATGACGATAGCGGGTACTACTAAGCGAGTTGCCGTCACTAACGATACAAACCCTGTGCCTCTTGCTTCCGACCAGGCTGAAGGATTGGACCGAGTTTAACAACTACCAGCGAGCTCACTACGTAAGCCAAACAAGCATATAGGTGCATTGTTAATGCATGACTTTGACGAGATATTCTACTGATCGCTGTCCGTCCTCGTCTCGGATGTGCATAACAGAACTACATTGAGAGCTTTGGCATCGTCATGACCTCGCTCCTGGTCGGCGGTGTTTTCTACCCCAGACTCCAGGCCGCCCTCGGTGCAGCCCACTTGGTAAGCGGTGGGCAAGTGGGCAGATGGACAGGATGCACTCGGCAGGCTGGATAGCCCGCCTATGTGTCGATAGTCACTGTTGATCTTGAGTCTGCGCGATCCAGCCCTGAAGACAGCGGGCAGTCGATCTGGGATGCATCGTCTGTGGAAAAGTCATGGGCAGCGACTGGATTCTAACTGCCTGGCCCTGTGCCTCTCGACTCTGCGTATTCAGGTTGGCCGCATCCTGTACACTTATGGCTACCAGAAGAGCGGCCCCCAGAGCCGATACAAGGGCGCTCTGCTCTTTTATCCCGGCTTCCTCGGCATGGTCGGCGTCTTGTTCTACAGCGGCGCCAAGCTTGCCATTGGCTTCTAAGCATCGACAGAGATCCTCAACCCGAGCGGCGCATTGCTTCCATTAGACGAAGCGTGCGATGCACTGCCTGAGATATGGTCAGTCGGTATTTGGCCGATGCCTCATCGGGGGTCTCCGTGGCCTCATTCACAGCACACTCATATCCACAATACATTCATCGTGTGGAGCATCATCCGAGCTGTGGTGTTTGGAATAACCGGCAAACGCTGCGGTTGGGACCGGTACACAAGGGGCGACTGAATACGATCTTGCCAGGCCGGGCAGGCGTGGTGCCGCTTCATGAGGATACACTACTGAAAGACAGAGTCGCCGAATGCGGGCGGGGCAGCTCGGAAGATCGAGGCGGGGAGAGGCGGCCGAGGCATCCAGTCAGCGAGAGTGAGACTGGATGTTGGAGATCCTGCAATACATCATATTGTCAGAAAATGCAGCCCTGTTCATCCAGGGCGTGTAGATCAGTGGATAGATCGTCTGACTTCGGATCAGAAGGTCGCAGGTTCGAACCCTGTCTCGCTCGCAGTGTTTTGACTCACAGTCATTTTCCATCACTGACCTTCGGAGCCGCCCGAACCTGCGACAACCGGAGTGGGGACTGAGGATCGAAATCGCATGCTATTCTTCGGGTTTTGTCGCTTTCTCAGTACGCAAGCAAAGGAGCCAGCGAGCAGAAAACATCCGCAAACCGATGCAAAATTCGAGTCAAAATGTACCACCTCAAGTGCCTCCTGCGTGGATCGAACACGCGACCTTCTGCTTACGAGGCAGACGCACTACCACTGTGCTAAGAAGGCAGCAAGCTGTGCCCCCACCGTGGATTGAACACGGGACCTTCAGTTTACAAGACTGACGCACTACCACTGTGCTATAAGGGCTCACAATCATCGGATCGAGCCTGTGCATTCTGACACATGCCACGCCACCGAGTGCATCGCCACACCAAGCCAGCCCGCAGCCACACTCCAGCCAGCCCAAGTCAAATCAAATCAAATCAAATCCATTGGCGGAATTCACGCCTTTTGTCGCCTCCTGCCGCTGATCCGCCCTGGCTCTGCTGCGTCGTTTTTTTCTGCCGTCACACCAGCCGGACTCCGACACCCCCCAAGCAGCCGCAGATAAAATCCTTGCATCTCGCTTCCGATCGCCGCACTTTCAGCACATCTACAACACATCCACAGCACATCTACAACACATCCACAACCCAACGTCGCATCGCTATCACCCAGCACCATGGACGAAACCGAATCCATCCACTCCGAAACGGCATCCGAGTTCTCCGAAACCTCCTCGGGCCTCTCTCATCCCACGATGCAGGTGCCTGCTCCGATGGCCCGCTCCTACATCCATGCCCCGAGATCAAATCTCTACACTTGTCTGGCCGTAGGTATCGATATGCATCAGCCTAATCCATATCACTCCGTTGTCCATGGTGACGGATTGCGATGTGGTCATGTAGCCGCATCTCTGGGGCTTCGAAGATGGCTCGATCGGGCTCGGAGTCTGCGAATAGAGCCGCTTCGTGAGCCAGGCGCTCTGTCCCAACACCACCGATCCTTGTCGCTGTAATATCTTCTCACCTCCTCCGTACTCCTCTTCTGCCATGGCGGCGGTGGCTTTGATAACAGTGTCAGGTCGCCTTCCGCTCCGCTGATCAGCAGCGCGAGCACTACCATAGCGACTGGCATCGCTACAATCTGAAGCGCAAGGTTGCCGAGCTGCCTCCAGTGGCTCTCGAAGAGTTTGCCAAGCGCCTCGAGGCCCAGCAGTCCAAGCACCAAGCCGACGTAGCCCAGGCTGCATTCACGGCCGAATGTGCTCCCTGCCGCAAGGAGTTCCAGACCGAGAACGCATACCAGAACCATCTCCAGTCCAAGAAGCACAAAGAGCTAGCGGCCAAGCATGAGGCCAAGCGAGCCGGCCAGCCAGCCCTGGAGCAGTCGTCGACCGAATCCAGCTCGTCGGCAGACGACAGCATGGACACGGCCTCGACTACCAAGCGCAACTGGCGCCTGGAGCTGGCCTCGGCCACCACCGCCGAAGAGGCCGAGGCTCTCTGGGAAGAGAAGATTGCATCGGCGCCGCGCCTGACCGAGACTGACTGCCTCTTCTGTACCAAAAAGTCCGGCTCGCTCGAGGCCAACATCAAGCACATGTCTGCTGCCCACAGCTTCTTCATCCCGGACATTGAATACCTGGCTGATCTCAAGGGCCTGCTCCTGTATCTGGGCGAAAAGATTTCTGTCGGCAACATCTGCCTGTACTGCAACGGTGCCGGGCGTGCCATCCATTCGCTCGAGGCCGTGCGCGCGCACATGGTGGGTACAGAATATCCTGGGGTGGTTCTATGATTCGTGTTGTTTTGCAGGGGAGATGTGTTCTCGCCAAGCGGCGGAATGCAGTGGCCGGATATGCATCATTGAAAGGCTTAGCAGCGTGGCAAAACAGAAGCTCACCCAAACATGCTGATCATGGATGGCACGACCTAATGAACGCATTCGGGGAGCCAATTTACGCACAAAATCTGACATCTTTATTGGCATGGCTGTTTCCAGATCGACAAGGGCCACTGCAAGGTTCTATATGAAGGCGATGCCGAAATGGAGCTGGCAGAGTTCTACGACTTTAGCTCGACATGGGAAGATGTCGACGAGGACGAGGACGAGGAGATTGTCGATGCCGATGCGGACAATGGCGATGGAGAGTGGGAAGATGCATCAGAGGCTGGAAATGGACCATCGTCACGAAGGTAAGGCTATGCTGTGCTGCACTGTGCCGCGAGTGGCCGCTGTGGGATTCTGTTGCACGATGGTTGAACCTGGCACCATCCAAAGCTCGAGGCTGCTCGTCCAACGACAGTCACTTGGTCGAGAGTCGTGGGTTGGTGACTGAACAGCAAAGCCCATGTATTGAGCCACGGCGTTCATGTCATCGATTTACCACTCTTCCACTGCACCGAGTCTGACCGCTGCTTCCTGCTCATTGCCCTCCCTCCAGCGGCCCTTCGCTCGTGATCATGGACGAGACCCAGATGGTTCTTCCATCCGGCCACCGCGTCGGCCACAGACAGTTCAACAAGATCTGGAAGCAGACTCTGAAACCAGACGAAACTCGCGACGCCGCGATCATCAGCCGGCTTATGGGCCAGTATCGCGAGCTGGGCTGCCTGCCAACCAACTCGCCCGAGCGTCTGGTCATCCGCGACAAGATGATGCAGGCCAAGACCCAGATCAAGCAGTACCAGGACTACAAGATGCGCACGGGCATCAAAGCAAACAAGCTCCAGCGGCACTTCCGTCACCAGGTCGATTACTAAACGATCCAGGCGCCTTCACCCCATCGCGCGGCACCTCCTTCTGGTCAGCCGTACCTACGATGCATTCGGCTCTTCCGGAGCACCGACAGTCTCTGCGATCGATTCCGCGTCTTGCGCTGTTGATGATGGTCCTATTTGTGGGCCTCTGCTACATGTGTAGTTGGCGGTAATATACACCAGTATCGTTCATGCGACAGTGATCCTGTGGGCCATACGACACGAGGATGTGAAGCGGAGCGCAGGAAATGAACCGTATCAATCCGGCCCGTCGCTTGGGGTGTGGCTGTCGTGGAGGAACTTGTGTTGACCTGCAATGGGATCCGTCATCAAGCTCACATAGTCCTGTCTGACTCCACGACAGCGACATCACCAAGACGCCTACGGTTGCTCCAAGCAGAATGCATCGGCTGTGGGCTCGAGACCCATAACATATCGAATGCATGCACCGCACTCCCACATCGCGGAACATGATTTCGGTATGCCACTCGATCGTCGCCACAGGAGATCGACCGGGTGTATTCAAGAGCATTGCTCCTCCCCCCTCCCAAACCCACACCAAAACTTTGATTTCCAACCGAGACAGGAAACAGTCGTACGACTGAGACCATGCGGTCCGCAGATCATCGGGCTTCAGGCCATGATTGCAACAGGAGGAACGGAGACTGTCTGGGGGGGGGTCACCGCACTGGCGGTATGGACTGGTGGAAATACCAAAGAAAAAAAAAAAGGATATGGTAACGAGAGAGCAGAGGCGGGTTTGCTATCGCGGGGGCGTATCGGAAATGAGGGAGCGCAATAAATGCAATCGATGACGAGGGTAATGTACACGATGAAGCCATGGATGTCCAGGTTGATGAATCAGTGAGTCAATGAAGGTCGGTCAGTGCAAATGAATCGAGAATGGCGAGTCAATGCAAGTGAGTCACGGGAAAGCTAGTTCATGCGGCAAGACGATATAGGGATATAACTTGGAGGACGACGCGGCGCTCTGGAGAACATTCACCAGCACTTGTACAGAGCCCTAGATCCGGGAAACACTCGAGGATCCAGATCCAGGCGCTGGAGCCAAGGTGACTTTACGAAAAACTAGATCCAATCTCGAAGCGGATGGGGAACTCGAGCAAGACCGTATTCAGCTTGGGCTGTAGGGGGCGTTGGTGGTGCTTTTTCATGAACATCCCAAAGGGTCGCTTTGGTGAGAACGAGACAGACGAAGCCGAAGTTGTGGGCGCGATCGATGCCGTGGCAGACGGCGAGGACGAGAGTTCGGTTGCGACCTCGCTGTTTTGGGTCAGAGAGGTGTCGGAGCCATTAGGGTAGGTTTCGTAGACGACCGAAAAGACGACAACGTGGGTGACGGAGATATGCTGGGTCGAGACATCGGGCAGGGCTCGGGTTGAGATTTCAAGCTCAAAGCCCATCTGGCGGCTTAGAGAGTCGCCCGGAGTATGAGTGCGCACGACCGATGGACCGATCAGGATGGGCTGCGCCGAGAGATGGCGGAGGGTTTTGGTGGTTGTTTGGGTGATTTGGACGTAATCGGAAATGAGGCTCTCGAACCCGTCGTAGATGCTACCGATTCCGAGGGTTGTGAGGGACCATGATGCGAATATCGGCGAGGCACACCGCAGACCAAGAAACGACAGGGGCAGCGTTAGTTTGAGATGGTCTGTGGCGACGTTGCATCGACGGTGATGTCAGCTCGGTGAAATGCGGCGGCTTGTAATCCGAGCACTGTCCTCGACCACGGCGACCCAACGTCACGGCACAAATGAGGTGGCGCCGTCATCGGCAACACAATAATCCCAAACCAACATGGCGGCACCAATGCCCTCTCCCGAGCTTACTTGATGGAATGCTTTTCGACCAGCACGCCCTCGATTTCGGTGACTCGCTCGATGTCGACATTGCCGGACATGAGTTGGATGTTCATCCGCAGCAGCTTCGAGTTGATGGGGACAAAGGACGGAATGTCGGCGTCGAACTGAAACTCCGAGTCCGGGGTGGTGCCAGTGTAGCGGATAGGGCGCGGGACGATTGGAGTGAGCGAGTCGGCCAGGAGCTCGAGATTCAATGGCCGAATGTCGTGGACCTCGGGGAGGTGCGAGTGCAGATCGATGGGGTTGGGGTGGTGGCGATGGAAATGCGGGTGCGACTGGAGCACCAACGGATGGAGCACCAGCTCGGCTTTGAGGATGTGCTGGATCCGGCCGAAATCGACGGCCAAGGAGACGCTCGGGATCATGGCAGACACCGGCAGCTCGAACTGAAAGGCGTATTCATGAATGCCCTTGCTGATGATTTCATGGAGGGGCTGGCCGGGCTGGACTGTCTGATTGGCATTGGACTGGGCAACCCAGAGCAGGATGTTGTGGTCGGGGCCGGTGCGAGCCGAGAACAGCGAAGGCATGGACCAGAACTCGAGGAGATCCTTGGACTTTTCGTCAGCGTGACCAATCAGGTTGTCGGGACAGAGCTCCTCCATCTGCGAGAGGGTCAGCTTGAGCAGCGTGGCTTCGATAGGAGAATGGACGTTGAGGCGCACGGTACCGGAAATGCTGTAGATGCCGTTGCGGGGGGTCAGGACGAGGGACTCCTTGGCGATGGACTTGAGAGCAGATACGACATGGCTGGACGGCTGGCAGACAGGAGTCGGCTCGATGTGGATCTCGACAGAGGGGAGCAGGTGCGGGACATGCATCTTGGAGGAGGAAGAGGAGGAGTGCGACGACGCCAGCGGGCGGGGGAAGCCAAAGAAGGACGGCCGCTGCGAGAGACGCATGGAAACTGGACTGCGAGGATAAGAAGGGGAGTTTGGATGTAGATGATGGATCAAAGCAGAGGTGCAGATGCCGACGGAGGTGCAGATGACAATAAAGGTGCAGACGGGCGAAGGACGCTGTGGGATGCGTCACCTCTCGGGGGGGGGGCAGGGCGGCGAAATGGCCTCCTGGCAGTGGGGGGAGCGGCGACGGGGGGAGGGCGAGGCGGGCCGGGCAAATGGACGCGGGTGCACTGTCGGACAGACGGGGGCTCTGCAGGCGCCGGATGGGGCCGCGGTACTGCGGCTGTGGGAGTGTGGGCGACTGAGCAACGGGGATCTGCAGCAGGCGGAAGTGGGGGGGGGTCGAGAAACGAACAAACGAACAGACGAACGAATGAACAAACAAACGAATGAACAAACAAACGAATGAACAAACGAATGAACAAACGAACAAACGAATGAACGAATGGATGAATGGACGAATGGACGAACAAACGTACAAAACGAGCACACGAGAGTCAAGTGATCGCCGGCGGACGGGCATTGGAACGGAGCAGACGCACAAGTGAAACACCGAGCGAATGCCGCATCACACCACCGATATCAAACAAGCAAGTCGCCGAGCCGGCCGTGGCCAGGTGCCAGACCGGCGGACACCTTTGTCCATCACGAGACGATGTGGCCTTCAGTGCGTGCTTGGTGGTGGAATTCAGTCCGCGATTCATGCCTGCAGTTTATGCCTGCAGTTCATGCTTGCAGTTTCGTGGGAGTGGTTCCAACTCGTGGTTCATGTTCTCGCCCTTCTCTCGCCCTTCTCTCGCCCTTCTCTCCCATTGCTCTCGCCCTTCTCTCCCATTGCTCTCGCCCTTCTCTCCCATTGCTCTCGCTCCGTTCTCGGCTCTTGAACCAAATCTCCTGGGTCATCAGACACTATGAAAAAATTTCTTGTTAATAAAATCAGCGAGAACGAAAAAACGCGCTCTCGGAGCCACCTCGGTCGGCGAGAAGAGCAGTCTCTGGCGAGAGACCCCCGAGGGAAGGCGAGAAGCCTCTCGCCGTCACACACACACACACACACACACACACACACACACACACACACACACACACACACACTTTGCAAGGGAGTCAAACATCTCCCATCGACCATCCCAAGAGGGATGGCAACCCCGAAGTGGACTGCCCAGAATATGGGCGACCCGGCATCCACTGTCGACATACTCAAGGAACAGTGCAAGATACTTACAGTCTATCCAGAAAGAAACGGGACAGATCCTTCCTGGCTTCTGAAGCCCGCTGACTGACTGTAGGCCCAGCGGGCAGGCCATGGCATTGCACTCCTGTCTTCGTCGGCAATCTCCTTGATTTCGTTGGTTTGGGAAGCACAGTCTTGAATACACCCGGTCGATCTCCTGTGGCGATGATCGACTGGCATACTGAGATCATGTTCCTGGCTACATTGACGTCTCGATCCCACAGCGTATGGCAGCTTGCACAGCTCCGGACAAAGTGTGGTTTCTCGATATCAAGATACTCGACCTTCTCGAGTCGCTTGGCTTCCCGACAATGTGAGCACACCTGGGACGTGTTGAACTCGTTCACCGAGCACACATGGATCTTGGAGACGGATCGGTCTGGTGGGCGTCTCTGGTGGTGGTGGAATTGCTCAAAGTACTTGGCGAACCTGAGTCTCCTGGGACTGGATGCGTATCCCTTCCCTTGCTTCCAGGATGCATTCCCAAAGGCAATCACCACTTCGGTCTCCTTTGGTGCCTGGTCGATGACTTGCTTGCACATCTCGTGGACGGTGCGCTGTCGCTTGCTGTGGAGATCGAGTCGCTTGAATCGCCGTCGCCGGGTCAGGCTGAAGTACAGCTGTTTGTCCAGCATGTCTCCATCGAACACATGGCGAATGTATTGCAGGAAGGAAGCCAACCCAAGGATCTTGGGACTTGGTGTGGCACTCATCCAGTCCTGCAGACCAAGGATCTTGTGGGTGCTCTGGATCCACTTGGTCGCCTGGGTGGTGTCTTTCTCTTGCGGGGAGCCATCTGGCGAGAAAATAGCAGCGATGGCTGGTTCTGCCCTTGGGGAAGAAAGAATCTCTTCAAAACCAGCGCATTTTGGGCTGGCAGAGATACTGCGCAGTGGCGTCCTTGATTCAGATCCAGAAACGCATCGCTCGCTCAATCAGTCGTGGGAAGACATCTTGTCAAGGTGAGTCTTGCCTGATAGCCAAACGATCATGTCATCTCGCTGACACACAGCCACGCTTGACTAGGTTTCCAACCAGAGAGATTCAGACGGTGGTGGTTCTTGTCCGCAATCGGAGTGGAGCTTCCAACAATGATACAATTGGTCATTCCTCCACACCAATTGCCCACCACCACCGTCAATCGGCTCAAGGTGATACCAAATGCCGTCAACAGACCATGGCCGGATTCCAACTTTGCTGCGTCACATCCAACGTGACTTTCAGGTGACCGAGATGAGCAGCCGCGAGAGGGCCGGAAAAATTTATAGTGATGGGGGTGTCCAGGGCGTGATTTGCCAGGGACAGCCAACAGCCAGAGAACCCAAAGCCATACCCCACACCCAAGCGATGGCCGCTCCAAGCCCATACGGGCTCGATCCTTTGCGATGTTCGCTTGCGGCATATCCCAGGTACACTCAAAACGCAGCAAGGATGTGGGGTACGCTGCGATGCAGGGCACGGCAGCCTTGTCATCAGGATATGCTCCAACCACTGGATCGTTTCGAAGGCCATCTCCATCCACAGTGTCCAAGAGGACCAGGCGGCCATTGCCGATCGGATTGGGCCTCAAAAGTTTGGCGGCACCTGTTTTTTTATATATGATTTTTTTATTTTCAAGGAAAGGCTGTACACGCAAAAATCAGGGAGGAAAGCACCACAGTATGTACAAGAGCCAGGGATTGCATAGATGTAGGCACCGACATAGAAGAACGAGGTATGATCTGCGAGCGTGCCGCAAGAAGAGGATAGATATCATCGGAAGAGAGGGTAAAGGCCAAGGAAGAATCACGGAGGTTTGGAATAGACGCACTTCCCCGAGCGAAATACCGTTCGTACATGTCCGATAAACCGAAAGGGGGCAGATTCAGGGGCAGACAAGGCAGCAGAGAAGGCAAAGCATGAGAAGACACAAAAACACATGGCCGGCATGGCTGGAACGAAAAGGGGTTGGGTAAACGAAAAAAAGCGCAGAGACAAACCAGCTTATGAGTTGGTTGAGAAAGGTGAGGCAGCCGGGGGATTGCTCTTGTGTTGGTGGTATTGACGGAGACTCCTCGATTCGAAAGTGATTCAGCAAGTACTTCCACCGAGGCGCGGTGAGCTGCCGGCGTCATCTGAGAGATCGTAGTCCTGAATAATAACAGTTGCGGAGTAATTCGCTTTCTCTTGAGACTTGCCCTTGTCGTAGCCGATATCGGATACGGTATGATCATCGGTCGGCCGATTCGTGCGCCGGAGGTGATTCTGTCGGAAGCGCCACATAATCAGGCCGGTGCTCGCTATCACGAGCACACTGCCAGCTACGATGGCCGAAAACAGGCCGATATCGACTTGCAGATCGCCGATGCGGATGACGTTGCTTGACGGGATCAGATCAGCTTCGAGCTGCACAGACGACGTGCATTCGCACGTGCTTGAGCCGGATCCAGAGGATCCAGAGGATGGCCCGGACGAGTTCGTTGCTCTGGATGCGGCGACACGGACTTGGTTGTTGGCCATGTCAAAGATCGTGTAATATCTTCTCAGAAAAGGCAGACCAAGGATCAGGCCATCGACAAAGCCGTTGACTTTGATGAAATTCAAAAAGCAGCCGTCGCCTTGTCGAGAGACGTACTCGTTTGCTATGAGGCAGAGGAGGAGATATCCACGGAGCGAATTAGAACCATGGACGGGATAAGGAGGTACAGCGATGACGGAGAACACACGGCACATTGAGCTAGGGGGAGGGGTGCCTATGGGTCCGACGGAGCCGTCCGCGCTGCTCTCGGAGCCATCGTATAGAACCTACGGGAAAGCGGAAAGGCGTGTCCTCCAACCGAGATCGTTATGGCTGGCATCGAATCGACTTGGGAACAAGGCACTGCGGCTATGCTACCAGACCAGCCAAGGATATCAAACTGTTGGATGACGCTGTCGTATATGGAGTTGGGCAGACCCAGGGACGACGTGCCCGTGTCGATGATGGCCACTTGGTCGGTCGAGGGGAGGTCCAACAGCTGGGATCCTACGGTGACGTTGTCGACGGGGATGCGCCAGTGGTCGTAGAGGCCATATTGCTGATTCTGTACAATGGGAATGCTGTTGGATCAAGAAAGAAGCACGTCAAACCCCCGTTCTGCTGTCGAGTCCCACGTCCTGCTCAAGAACCGAGCTCCAAGTGTGTTGGAAAGAATCGATACCAAAGCAGGTCGCCGGCATAGTAGTCCGAGTTGCATCCGTTCAAAGTGAATTTGCCGAGCAGGGCCTGTGGGTCCGAGGCCGAGGCTTGATTGAACCAGAAGGAAAAAAGACCGTTGGCTCCGCCTTTGAGCATGTTGGTCAGAGGAGGGACAGGACGAAGCCCCTTGGCTGCGACGGCGCGGGACCGAAGTGAGATATCCGCGGGAATGGCGGATAGGTGAGCAGAGCGTGAGACCAGAGAAGAGTACATGCATGTGCATCGCCACAACGAGGCTGGGTCGAGCGAATCGGGTGTGGGTGCGGTGGGAATGTGTGTGTGAAGGGGACGGGCACGAACCTGAGGGAGTGGCGAGGCGGGGATAGCCGAGGCCAAGAATGCCGTCCCAGAAGCCGTCCAGGAGGTTGTATATCAGGCCATCGCACCACGTTGCCAGCAGAAACTGCTGGCCAATGACGCGGGCGCCGCTGATCTGAAAGGTGTCGGCGTAGAGCCCCCCATAGATATGACCTGTGCCGTATGTGATGTTGACGTTGGCGCCGTTGGGGACGACCTGGGCCGTCGACGAAGTGTTGCCGTTGAAGGTGCTCACGTTCTTGGATGGCGGCAGGACAATCGAGTTGGAAAAGACCCACAGGTTGGCGGAGCCGGTGTCCATGATGACACGGAAGGGCTGAGGCGGCGTGCCCAGCGAGATGACCGCGGCATACTGTATGGCGAGCGGGAAGGAGCAAGGCCGGCGGTGGTAAGCCGACAAGACGAGACGGGACAAATACACGGGCCCATCCGGGCTTGGCACGCAAGCCCGAGCCTGGACCACGGACCAGGAGCTCGGGCTCGGGCTCGGGGCCTTCAACGGCAGGATTCAGCCGTAATACCGGCGACAAGCGCCGCCACGAGGACAGGCGATTTTGCAGCAGGCATAGCCGACAGGGGTCTACCTCGAACAGGCTCGCGGGGTTGGATATGAGTGGCAGCTCGCTCTCGGTCTGTCGGACAGCACCGCGGGCACACGAAATCGGGCAGAGCGAGACAGGAAGCGATGCGTAAGCGGGGGCTGTAGTTGCAGGACGACTGGCCGGTGGGCCAAGCACAGGCCCGTAAACATCGGGATTGGGCAGACTGGGCCTGGGAAGACAGGCCGGCATATCGCTTTTCCGTGCTGGCCATGCACATCGAGCCCGTTCAAAAAGACTGCGATACGGAGGCGTGAGGGTTGGTCACTCACTTGGTTGTCAAAGGCCAGAAGCTCTCGCAGCGCTGGTGCCCGGCCGCGGCTGGATGCGCCGAGCTTGGCTTTGGTGAAGGCAGCATTGCGGTTCAACCGATCGACAAGCGAGTACTTGTCCGTCGAGGCCAAATGCACCAGACGGACCTCGGCAGCGACTGCCAGCGCCCAGGGCAGCAGGGCCACATGGAGCAGAGCCACGAAGACGGCGACGAAATGTCTCATAGAAGTAGCAGCCGGCGACGGCGGCGTCGCTCTGGGCGATGAGGGGATGGCCGGCAGACAGAGCGGCAGCAGCGACGGCGGCAGAAGACCGGGAGCCAGGCAGGAGCCGGATGGGTCCCCCCCCCCGCAGGACAGCCGCGGCGACCCAGGCCCAGTTCCCCTCCTTTCCTTCCTTCCCCCCGCAGCCTTGGGACGGAGAAACACGGCTGAGCAGATTGCGATCGACGCGAGCCAGGAAGCGGCGCCGCACCGCGTGGCATCGGGACGGTGGCGGTGGTGGTACAGGGATGCCAAGTGCGACCGCAGCGGCGCGCCAGGTGCTGGCTGATTGGTCCGGTTGCTGTTTTGTGCGTGTGCCGTTGCTTTGTGTGTGGCCTGCTGCTGTTTCTGTGGCATGCTGTTGCTCTCGCTGTTGCTGTTGCTGTTGCTGTTGCTGTTGCTGTTGCTGTTGCTGTTGCTGTTGCTGTTGCTGTTGCTGTTGCTGTTGCTGTTGCTGTTGCTGTTGCTGCTCCACCAGCCACCACCGTCGGTGGCACAGGCCGGCCGCCCGAGCGCGGATGTACAGACACCCTCAGCCGCGCCTTGCCTTGCCTTGTGCCGCTCCGTGTGTGTGTGTGTGTGTGTGTGTGTGTATGATGCGCAGCTACTTGTCGGACTGCGCGTGGCTGCGCTAATGGATTCAATTTGGATCGGAAATGAAAATGAAATCGATTCGTGTGGGCGGTTCGAGCCAGGTGTATGTGTCGGCCGTCCCTCGCTGGTGCCACGGAACACCCCCCGCCGTTTCTCTCTTTTTTCGAGCCCCCAACATCGGCTTCCTGTCGAGGGTTGCGTCCTGCAAGAGCTGCTGCCGCTATCTGTCGCAAGCGCCTCCACGAAACGAACAGCAGCAATGGTGCTCCCGCTCAAGCCCACGACCATGGCCCTCCGCATCCTCGCCACACGCTCCCGTAGTGCCGCGGCGATTCGCAGCCTCTCCTCCTCCAGCGCCGTCCGCGGTGGTGCCCACCACGATGATCACAGCGCCCCCGAGAAGCTGCATCCCGAAGAGTATCTGAAAGTCGCCCGAGAGTAAGTGGCAGACCAGCTACGGATTGAGTGACCATATTGGCAGGCGTCGAAGTCCGGTGGCCATGGTTTCTATGCATACGGCTCCGGGGATATCGCCAGGGCGATCCCAATCCATCGAAGCGACTTCCAAAACTTCCGAGACGAAACAGCAAGGAGGACGGGGGACATTTGAAGGCGGCCCAGAGTGAGGCGCAGGACTTTGGATCCCAGATATTGGATATCCACTGGGACATTCTTTCGGATGGAAAGGGGATCGTGCTTTGGACGGAATGGATTGGTTATGTTGCGGGGGTGGATCGTGGATCGGATGCCCGGTTTCCTTGCTCTGACGAGGACGGCAGCTGGGCCGCCATCGGAAAGCCGCTCAGTGTCGACAGTAGACACCAACTGAATGAATGCTCGGGCGTTCATTTGGGCGGTCGAGGATTGGGGATTATCGTCATTGTCGATGAACTTGGACAAACACCTTTGCAGTCCAATCTAACGAATGGATCTTGTTTGGTGCTTTTGATGTATTCCATCCCTCGGCAATGCCGATTTACAACGACCACTCTACGCCGAATATCGACACGCCCTCGGCTTACGCAACCGATCTATGACGGCTGCCTGACTGAACTGAACGACGAACAACGCTCTTGGACGCGGCGTCTGGACGTGGTGTCTGGGCGACAACCGATCGATCTGCTTGTCTGGACGTGCTGGCTCCGGCATCCGCATCCGAACCCGAATCCGGCGTTTCGACGTGGTTTTGTCATGGTCTTGCCGTACTGCAATGCATCATCATCTGGATATCTGCCGTCGGACCCCTCCACCGCGATTTGGAAATCCATCGCTACCGACCATTGATGCTACACAACACCCACGCGACATCCATCGGCTCTCCTCCGACATGTACGGCATATACATCAACACCTCAAATGTCGTGTTTGGCTCGTGGTCCTCAGATGGCCTCACGAAGAGCTGTACCCCGGTGGCTTCTGGCAAGACACGGTAACGATACCCCAGGCCCCCAAGCACGGCACCAACTCGCACGGCGTCATTGACGGCAGCGACACCGGCGCCGGTGGACGCGGCGAGAACTTTTCGTCTCCGTTCTGGACAAAGCTCCTGGGTACTCTGATCCTGGGCGTGTTCATCTACCGTGGCAACGAATACCTGTCGGCGGGCAAGGAGGTGCATCCTCTGGCCGAGTTCCTGAACTCGCTCGCCATCAGCAACGACAAGATTCATGCCGAGAACGAAAAGTGGTTTGCGATCCGCAAGCGCGAGGCCAACGACCAACTGATCTGGAACCTCATTGAGAAGCCGGTCATCCACCGCGTTGCCTTCCCCGATATGTTCCAGCGTGCGTCCGACAACCTGGTGGGCTTTGGACAGGACACTCATAAGGACGTCAAGGCCAAGCAAAAGTGGCAAGAGAACGACGAGCTCATTGGCGCCCCCTATCCCAAGGATTCGTAAATGGCCAAGGACCAGCCAATCCACTCGTCCAGAGACGATTGCTCCTCCCGGTCCACGATGCAAGGCTCCTTTCGGTGAGCAGCCAGCGTTCACGTCTGTAGGCGAGCAAGTCCGAAGAATATATGTCGTGCGCACTGCACGATGGCAGCCGAGCATATGGGCGCGATGGCGGGTTACCCAGGGGCAGTGCGAGTGGGTGACCAGAAGCACAGGCCAGAGACCGCAAGCCCCAGAGAGGGTGGGTGGGCAAGGGCACATGCACACATCGGGACGACCCCACACGAACAGAAGCGGGAGCGAGGCACGGGGTCTGTGGGAGCACAGGCGGCAGCACCAGGCCACGACACAGAATTCCCACGCAGCTTGTGGGCCGGGCAAGGGCGGCTGGGAACAGCGGAAGAACTCGGGCAGGACAAGGGGGGAGGACACAGAGTGAGCGAAGAGAGGCAGCACAGAAGTGACACGACCAGCGGGTGCAGCACAACATGCGACAGCACAGTGCACCACAACCCTCAACACAGACACAACCAGCAGCACAGCACAACCAGCAGCACAGCACAACCAACAGCACAGCACAACCTTCAACACACACAGCCAATCGCGGCGCAGCGCAGCACATACAGCGCACAGAACGAGGCTTCACGGAACCACTGCACAGAACCACTGTCGCTTGTCCCCACTCGGCCCGCACGTGTTCGCTTCGGTCACAGTGACGATTTTGCTTTTCGCCTGGTTTCGGGTTGGTCTTGGGCGCCGCACGTTGTTCTTCTTTGCCCTGACCTGCTCTCGTCCTGTTGCGTTCGCTGCCGGACCCGTCCTGTCCTTCGTGTTCCTGTTGTCTCGGCACCACTCTCGGCACCACCCTCCGCGGCCCGATCGGCCTCCTGTCCGCTGCCGTCGCCCCTCCCCTCCCCTGCCTCTCTTGCGAGCCACCAGCCGCCTTCGTCATCCCCCCCTATCATCCTGCTCGCTTCTCCTCGCCTTCCTCCTCTCTCGTGCATGACCTCGCTGCTGCCGCCCCCTCCAGAGGACTCGGTACTGGAAGAAGAGGACCCGTCCACCGCCGCTGGTGTTCCCGCCCAGTCATTTTACTCGTCGTCGCCTCTCTTTGCCGGCCCCATGTCTCTGCCCACCACCGCTGATCGATCGGCCTCGTCCGCGGCGTCGTCGCCCTCCCCCTTTGCTCCGTCGTCGCTTCAACCACTCTATCTCCAACCCTATCCTACCAGCAGTCAGTTTATACCCCTGCAGCAGATCACCCATCCGTACCCTTCCGCCGAACATTTCCACCCGCAGTCGCATCCCTTTTCTGGCTTTGTGCCTCCGCGACCCCAGGCCCAGCAGCAACCACAGCAACATCTTGCTGCCATCCAGCCCCAGAGCAGCTCCCTGGATCTATCGTCTGTCTTGTCCCGGATCCCGCAACGCCCTGAGAACGTCCTCGATTCGTCACTGATGGGACCATCAAGGTACTTGAACGTGTCTTTGACGAGCCTGATCTCGTCATTCACTCGGGCCGCAGCATGGTCCGATCTCGTCTCGTTGTCGGGCGGTGGTGGTCTGCCGACCGAGTGGCGCACCGGCTTGGTACCCGTACAATCGGATGTCCGATCATCGTCGTCGTTGCTGCTGTCGCCTGTATTTTGGATGGAACTCTTGGTCTTATTTTTGGCTTTTGTAAGGGTGGGCTGTTTTTGCCATTCTACCTTTTGGAGCGCACTCTCTTTTGTTTTCTAGTGTTTGCAGTCGCTATTGGCTTTGGCCGCCCAGCCTCCCCAGTTTGTTTCGTCTCCAGTGCCGACTGCTCAGCGCACACGGCTCATCTTCCCCTGTCGATCCTGCGGATTGGTGCGGGCATACCGCCGTGGTCGTCGAGAGCCACCCTGATGTCCGGTTAACAGCGCCTCGTGGGATTCCTGATCGCGTGGCCGCGATGCGTCCGTCGCTTTTGCTCGTTCCCCGCGACAAGCCTCCTCCGCGGTGCCAGCAGACAGGCCCTCGGCTTCGCCCGCTGCCATGAACGATGTGCTCTAACGACACTCTCTTTTCCTGTCCCACGCCATCCAGACAAGCAAGCTCGGCGACGCTGGTTTACTGTCCCGATCCGCTGCTGATCGCACAGTCCCCAAATGTCCAATTCCTCCAGGCCATGCAGCAACAACAGCAGCAACACCAACAACACCAACAGCACCAACAACAGCAGTTCCAGCATCCGCAGTCGCAGTCCCATCAGCATCATCGGCACTCTCAACATCCTCAGCAGCAACCACAGCAACAGCAGCAACCGTTCCCATCTCTGCCACAAGCTCTTCAATCGCCGCAACAGACGCTCCAGCAGTCGCTCCAGCAGTCGCTTCAGCAGCCGCTCCAGCACACACTCTCGCAATCGCTCCAGTCCTTCTCCCAGCCGCATCCCCAGCCGCTTCAAAAGTCCACACAGCCATTTCAACCTTCGTTGCATTCGCCACAGCAACTCCAGTCCCTTACACAGCCTCTGCGTGCATCGCAGTCGGGGGCACTGCCCCCCGACCAAGTTCTCGCAAAGTCTGCCCTGGGTTTGGCCAATCCACAGGCCCTTATGGATGCCTACAATGAATCCGACGACACCCTCAATAGTGTCACTTCGCTCAACAGCATCAGCGGCTCTCTATCCGAGCACGAGCTCGTCAGTGCCGGCGGGGGCCCGATCCGGAAACGGGTTCGGCGGCCTCCCCCTCCTGAAAAGAAGGTCTACCATTGCACGTTCGAAGGGTGCAACCGGTCTTTCCATCGACCGGATCGCCTCGAGAGCCACTTCATGCGCCATTCGTGTAAGTACGAGTCATCCATGTCCTGGAAATCGATGAGATTGTCTATCCGAGCGGATCGAGCCACGACCACAATGAGCTTGGCGCGGCTCTCAAGCAGCCGCTCTGTCGTTACTGATTGCCCAGCGCTCTAACCCTTCCGCTTGAACAGGCGAACGGCCCTTCAAATGCACAAGCTGCGAAATGAGCTTTGTGAGCAAATATGATCTGCAAGTGCACATCCGTCGTCTCCACGGAAGCACGTGCGCGTACCAATGCCACAAGTGCGGGCTTGGTTTCTATAGAGCACATGTGCACAAGGAACACTTGGATGTCTGCAATGGTATTCTCCCCCCGGCTCGAATCCGTAACCGAGGCAAAAACTCGGGCACGGCCAAACGTGGCTCCAAGTCCGAGAACGAGCATTCCGAAGAAGATGATCATGATCTGGAGTAGGCATGGGCCTCCTCCCTTCCTCCCTGACTTTTGATTTGAACGACAACTCGATGACTCGTGGAGGTGGCGGACCTGCCATCCGCTTCTCTTTTCCTCTACTCCTCTTCTCCTCTTCTCCTCTTCTCCGTTTCTCCGTTTCTCCGTTTCTCCGTTTCTCCGTTTCTCCCCCCCCCTTTCCCCTCCCTCCAATGACACATGTACATACCGTTGCTTTTACACACACTCCCTAGTAAGTAGCTCGTTTGTTCCTCTCCCATATCGATGTGGTGCCGGGATGCGCTTGGCTCTCTGTTGGGACAGGAGAGTCCTGGTTCTGGCTTTGCTGCAAGCCAGAACACAGAGTCGGGCGTGGCCTGGCAGTGTGAATGGGTTGGTTTGAAGATCCCCGGAGTGCGTAGGCCGTGCTAATATCGGTATATGGCGATGAGATGATTGAGGGAAATGTCGGCGTGCTGGACGAGCAATCGCCAGCAAAATGCACAGCGGGATCCGTCAGCATGTCCTTCCCTTTTTTCCAAGTAGCGACTGGGCAAATACATCTAATGCAGACCATATCCAGGCGAGCTGACAAAGGAGAGAGAGAGAAAAAAAGTTGTGTACACTGGATTCAGGGGGAAATGGGACACTGGGACACCTGCCAACAACCCATTTGTCAGCGTAGTATGCGATGGCATGCGTCTAACTATGCCATAAGAAATAGAACAGATCACTTTGGCAGCCTCCGAGTGCAGCGATGCGAAAATCGAGGGTGCTGTGTTTGGCCATGAACGCAATGAGTGGATGGGTGTATACAGGTCACAGAAAAAAAGCCCCGGCATGGCTCAAAACGGGGTGTCCCATTTCATTTTGGAAACGCTGAGAGACAGATTGTGAACACGGAGAGACTCGTCAGGGAGAGAGGAGCAAAACAATGCGAGCGAGACAGGGTTCGAACCTGCGACCTTCTGATCCGAAGTCAGACGATCTATCCACTGATCTACACGCCCTTGTGAGTTTGAACAATTTTGCCATATATGACCTATGATGCGCGGAGAAATCTGGACAATGTTGCGTCGCCGTTGCTTTGGCTTGTGGGTTGCATGAATACCAGCGCAGCGATAAGAATCGTATGGTGAGAGAGAGAGAGAGAGAGAGAGAGAGAGAGAGAGAGAGAGAGAGATGGAGCTTTAATAAATGCTTTGTTATTGAGACTGGAGGAAAAGACATAAAGTATCCTCGGAGAGCTGTTTGTCCAGCTCGCGATGTTCTAAGGCAACAAAATACCCGCTCAACGACCAATATCCGGGGTGTGCCGTTTTTTATTGGATTGGCTGTAAATCGAACCAGTATAGGCTGGCGATCAGAGTGCGGTGTGTCATTGATCTGGTACCGTGGTATCTAGCTACGTCCGGTGCGGCCAAAGATGCTGACTTCGGGATACTCCTCGTCCTTCAGCTCGCTCGACGGTTTGATGGGGTTGGGAAGGAAGCGAGCGTGGTTCAAGTAGCTGATACACTTCTCGACAACCTCCTCCAGCGAGGGACAGGGAGTCGGGTAGATCGAGCGGGTGTTGGCGTTGTCGATCTTGAAGGACATGTCCATCATGATGTGCATGAGCGGGAACAGGGCGTTGCTCTCGACGGCGGGGTGGGAGTGAAATGCCTCTTTGAACTGCTCGCGGGTCTCGAACAGGATCGGCCAGCCATGGTTCCTGACAATCTCAAACAGCCGGGTCTCGGAGAGGACACTGCGGTGAGTGAGTGAGTGAGTGAGTGAGTGAGTGAGTGAGTGAGTGAGTGAGTGAGTGAGTGAGTGAGTGAGTGAGTGAGTAATCAGAGTCAGGATCCACCATCCACCATATCGCACACCACATCGCACTTCACACCACATCACACACTCCTCACCTGTGCTCCGAGTCGCTGATGTGGAACACAAACTTGGACAGGGACTCCTCCGTGCCGGCAATCTCGGCAACCACCTTGGCGACGTGGTCGACGGGATCCATGGTCATCGTGACGAGAGTGGCGTGCGAGGGAGCAACACCGAGTTGGATGCATCCCTTGACATATCGCCAGATATAGTCATCAGAGTTGGACACTAGAGCGATGGTGGGTGTGAAGGTGTCAGTTGGTATTAGTTGGTGATGAGTGGCACTTGACAATCGAGACCATCGATTCATGGCCAGTTCATATGAGCGAATGAGACATCTCCATCACATCACACCACATCACACCACACTCGACTCACCTCCGTACTGGCTGTCGCCAGCAATGACGGCTGGGCGAATGATCGTCGCAGGTACTCCCCTCGATCGTGCCTTGTTGACCAGCTGCTCAGAGACCCACTTGGTCTGGCCATACCCGCCAGAGATGTTCCAGGCCGAGTAGATCTTCTCCTCGAGCGGCTTGTCTGCCTTCTTGGCCATCGGGATCGTGCCGATGGTCGAGATGTAATGCAGCGGCTTCAGGTGGTGGGTTGTGGCCAGTCTCAGGGCCGTCGCCGTACTGAGGACGTTGGGTCCCCTGAGTCTGTCATAGTCAAACAGCCAGTGGACCTCGGCGCCGTTGTGAACAATCATGTCGGTCTCCTCGCTGATCTCCTTCCATCGCTCGTCCGAGAGTCCCCACTTGTCCTGCGACAGGTTGCCGCACAGTCCAACGAGTCGAGACTTGAGGCTGTGGTCGAGGAAGGCTCTCTGGCTCGGATCGAGGACCAGCTTCTGAGCCGTGCTGATGATGCGCTCGACAGCCACCTGCTCGGTCGGGGCTCGGACCAGGCAGTAGATCTTGGCCCGAGGGAACTTGTGGGCCAGCTCAAAGACCAGGAAGGCACCGAGGAAGCCAGTGGCACCGGTCAGGACGATGCCGCGAGGGTCCTTGGGATAGACAAACGGAGGGAGACCCTCGGCCGTCACACTCGCATCGTCGAGCTTGGCGGCCTCGGCAGCCAGATCAACTGTCGGCGGAATCATCGGTCTGTCGTCGAGGATGTCGACAACTAGCTGGGCGACATCAGTCGGTGTCATTCCGTTCGACAGGAGGATCAGTGGCGAGATCTCAACATTGAACTCGTCCTTGATGGCGAGGGCCAGACGGCCGACACTCAGCGAGTCAAAGCCGACGCCGCCGATGTAGTAGTTGCGGCCGTCGAGGGCGGGGTTGTCGATGATCTGGCTGCCAAGTGTGGAGATCTTGGCGGCAGTGCGGGACAGGGGAGTGTTGACGATGTCAAGGGTTGGATAGATAACCGACTCGCCAAAGTACTTGGCATGCTCGGCGAAACGCCTGAGCTTCTTGAGGTCGCGCTTGCCCGAGTCGTTGAAGGGGAACTCGTCGAGCTCCAAGCAGTTGTGGATCGGGACCTTTGGGATATTTTGGAGAAGTAGAATACTCTCTGCAGCCTCGAGAACTTGCTTGGGAGTTGTAGCAATGTTTGAATCTTTGTTTGGTGAGTAAATCAATATAATCTCAAGCTCGGAAGTCTGAATGAAGATACAGTCGGACACCATGTGGGAAAGCGTGGTTGTCACGATGTTCTCGAGCGAATTGAGGTCTACAAAAACACCATTCACTTTGACTTTCTGGCCGACCCTGGAGCGTGAACGACGTGTTAATTGTGTTTTGTTTGGAGTACCAAGCAACAGTCTTCAATGCATCCACTTCACGTTACCAGGCACCCACCTTCCAAACACCACAAACTTGTCGTCATCTACAAGCTCGACATGATCCATGGTGCAAACGCGAGGAGATCCATCCTCAAGGTAACCGAATGAGGCGAGCCTGTCTTCTCTGTTTGACTGAACAAAACTGGGATGGTTCCTGACGGAGTCATCTTTGCCAACGGCAAAGACGAGTATTCCGCTGTTGGACACATTCCGATCCACTGGATTTCCGTCTTCATCAAAGAGAAGACAAGTAACGTTGGGTCGCTTGATGGAGTACACCAGGCGCTCTGGAGTAGGATCAGAGGGTCGAATCACGCAGAATCCAAAGGCCTGTATAACCGATGACTACATTGGTGCCAATAAATCATGTACGTTACTATTGCATCTTGGTCCGCAATTGAATCTTTTGTGTTGACATTGATCGGACAGTAATCGCCTTGAGTTATGCATGATCGCTTACTCACCTCGCTGGAAGCATATCCGCACTGAATCAGAGCATTCGGACACAGCTCCTTAACCCACCAAACCATCGCAATCGGGATCAGCTCCGATCCCATGCTGATCTGCTTAGTGTGCGGCCAAGTCTGGTGCGGTCGCTCTCTGGTTGCGACGCGAAAGACAATTTTGATGAAGGATGGCGTCTGTTCAGGATAAATTGAGTGGAAGACATAACAGTCAATTCGACCATGCCGATGCATTCAAGAGGCGGGGCGGAGTGCTGTGGATGCTGTGGATGCTGTGGATGCTGTGGATGCTGTGGATGCTGTGGATGCTGTGGATGCTGTGGATGCTGTGCCCGAGCCTCGGCCGATCGCAGGTACATTTGATCGTCACAATCACCAGCGCATCTTACTCCTTTGAGGATGTCCAGTCCGTCGTCAAGCAGGTCCACAACGCTCCGGGCTTGTTCAGCATAGTTCTGCGTCAGCTTGGGAAACCAAACGGAGCCTTTGATGTTTGAACTCATGGCAAGTGATCCAAACGATGCCGAAAAGGATGGTTTCTGCAATCAAGTTAGAATGAATTCGGATCGTTCAGAGATCTTGTTGTTGCACAGGCCTGTGCCATTTTATTCGAACTGCGGGCTCACCTGGAAGATACAGTTTCCGCGGTAGGGCCCACCATACGAAGGCCGCGTCATCCGACCAGCCGTATGAGAAATCGGGAAGCTGGAGCCACATCGACGCTGTTAATTATCACATCTCTTTGTCTGCAACCGACCTGAGAGGCCTAGCAGCGGTCCATATTTTGCTGATGCAGACGCGCGGACTGGCGGCGGGAACGCTTACGTCTTCGGGGTGCCTATCGGGGTGAGACCGTGATCGTGTTAGTCGATGGACATCTCCCGTGGAGTATATGATTGCGAAAGTAACCAGCGGCGAAAGCCTCTGTCCTGTAACTAAGTCAAGAGCTCTGCCTCGCACCGCTTAGTATCGTACCTGTTGTTCCTGAGGTGCAGAGATAGGCAAAGCTGTCATCGAGAGGCCCGTGATGCTCTGTCGAGGGTCGGGGGATGTTGCTCACCAGCGAGAACGACCCGATGTCGACTGCCTCGACGCCTTCGATTCGCCCTGGCGCCACGGAGTAGTAGAGCACGAACTTTATGCTCAGTCTTGTCACAAAGTTCACCGCATTGGTTTGAGTGGAATTGGGACAGACCATGATGTTGCATAGCATCGCCGTCAGCGAATCTGGCAGTCGAGGCCGATGCATGGGATCCATTGACTCCCTCCATGTGCTGGGGTGGCATGCTGTCCAAAGCAGCATCGGGTTGAGCTCATATGCGCTGCTCCTACCGCTTTGCTATTTCGTTGCGCACGGAGGCAGGCCAATTCAGAGCAAAGTTGATGACCTTTCTGTTGAAGGGCGACACGTCCGGGCGCCAATTCGAGTGCAACGGGTGGCAGGTCATGAGTCGTGATGAAGCAATACGAGGACGCAGAGGCAGCAAGATGGCCCGAGAAAGGCTGGCGCCAGACGAGCGGATGCATGAGATGCGGCAGGCGAACGGTTTGAACAAACGAGGCCCTACTTTCCGAGAATCCATGCGGCATATGTGGAGAATACCCAGTGCGCCTCGGGCTCAAAATGCAAGGCTACTGTTTCCATATCGTCCGTCCAGCCGGGGAGCTGCTTCAGGCACTGCGCAACGGAGAAGGCTCTGTCCCACAGTTGGCGATAGGTATATTTTTCGATGGGGCCAGCTTCGCGGGTGTAGATGGCCAGGCACTCTGGCTCGGTCGCAGCCAACTGGATCATGGCTGCAAGCGGATGAACCCAAGGCCCGAATGGATCCATAGGCGGTGTTTGGATCGGATGGTTGAGTGGGTGTGGGGGAGCCCTGGGCTTTGCGCTCGCAGCATCGTTGTCTGGGGGCTGGTCGGCGGCTTTGGCGAGTTCGTTGTGCTCGGTGCTTCTGGTTGCTGTGGCCTCTGCGGTTGGCATCGACACAGTACCCACAGGCGGGCAGCTGCGATCGCTTTCAGCGCAGGGCAGGCAGAGCCAGCACGGGAGACACCCGAGGACCATGTTGCTCGACGGGGGGGGGTGACAGATCCCAGGAGGAAGACGGATCGAAGAGGAAGATGGTCCCGACCGGGCGACGGGGCCCAGGAGATCAACCCATCAGCGCCGGCGCAACAGCCCCTGCGTCGGGTGGTGAGATCCCCCGACGCGTGGTTGGTGGATTGGAGGTGTCACCAGAACAGGGCATGCGCAAACATGGGGACACGGTGTTCCCCACGCGGCTGTCGCGTGCGGCGGCAAGATTCCGCCTGCTCCTGCGCCAGGCTCGAGACTTTGTTCATAGCGAATTGTATTCAGAAGCACGAGCGACCATGCAATCGAAGCAACAACATCATAGAAGATTTGAGCCCACAGGAGAAGAAACGACGCAGCTCCAGCTGACCACGCGGCCTGCAGATCGTCTGACTTCAGGTCCATGATTGAAACAGAGAGCTGATACTGCCCAGCTCGTTTTCCACACTGGTTTTTAGATCGGGTTGCCAAGGTAGTCTTGACCAAAGCAGTAGTAATCGGTGTATGTGGCCAAAGGATCAGGTCGGAGAAGCCAGTTGGGCATCAGGAAGCCGCCTACAGCATTGCCGTCTTCGTCGGTTTTTGTGAACAGCAGCTGGAGAATACCAATGACGATGGCGCCAATACCAACACCCGAATCGAGGGCGGCCGACAAAACAAAGTTGTACTTTTTCCACCACTCGTTCTTGTAGCGGAAGAGATAGTGCTGGAAGATAAAGGCCAGGATGAAAGGAACAATGATGACGACCTGGTTGCCGACCTGAGGGCCCATCCAACTGACCATGATGGGAACGTTGATCAAGTGCCAGAACGGATGCTTGTACATTTTGTTTCCGAGCCAAGGGAGGACGGGAAGGAGGAAGCCCACGGGGAAGGCCCAGAGAATGTCGTGGTAAAGAGCACCGGCACCGAAGAAGCGGGCCGGGGCGATGGCTCCCCAAATCGTGCCGGCAGAGTAGAAGACACCATGACCAGTGGCCTGCCAGTCGCCCTTGCCAAAGAGGGGCGAGAGCGTGAAGGCCGTGGCGACGGGGACGCAGACGAAGGCAGAGAGGATGGCACCGATGACCTGGCCAGCAACCATGGCGCGGGGAGGCACCTTCATGTAGTGGCCGATCTTGAGATCGTTGAGCAGCACCTGTGCCTGGATCATGGTGTTGTAGCCGAGCGACTTGAATGACATGACGGGGATCATCTGCCCAGGCACGATCAGACCAATGACGAACTCGGTCAGGACATTGAGGCCAATGTACTGGCCAGAGAGAGCCACGATTGTCGTGAGAGGAATCACAAAGATGACACCGATGGCCACGGCAAACAGCACACCCCACCACTGGAGTCTGTAAGGCGTGAAGGAGCCGACAATGAGCATAAGGATGGTCGAAAGCGTGAAGATGACGAGGTAGATCCAGTTGCTGACTTCGGGGTAGACGGCCATGAGCTTGTTGTGGATATCTTGGTGCTCGGGGTCCTCCTTGAGTTGCTTCATGGCAACGCGTGCCTGCTGGACAATGTCCTTGCCGTACCAGAGAGCAACGTGGGTGATGGCCGAGGCTATGGCCATGAAGGACGTGGCGTATACAAAGATGAAGGACATGCCGAGGTGGATGGGTGCAGCTGTGTTGTAGACAGCAATATCGAGCTCAAAGGTGCTGGGGTTCAGCAGGATACGGCCGCTGAGGCGCTGGCCGAGGTTGGAGCCGTTGAAGAGGCCGTTGCCATTGAGGAAGCCGCAGCCGTTGGGGCCAGGCTTCTTACAGCCGACAAACTTGCTGTCCCAGAGGTCGCTGACGTAGGCGATGGGGACAACAATCCATGACCAGATCACGTAACCCGCCAGGAGGACGCAGTTGACCCAGAAGGGAGCCGTCAGAGGCTGAACGAATAGGTTGAACTGAGACCAGTCGAGGGTGATGGCACCGAGGCCAACGCCGTTTGTAGCTGAGCCGAGGATGTTGACCATGCTGTTTGGGCCGGCGCCAAAGAAACAGAGAATCGCAATGGCTTGGAGAGCGGGCGCAATGAAGCCTGGAACAAAGTACCAGACGAAAGAGCCAACAAACGCGATCCAGAAGAACTTGAATCGAGACGTCTTGTACTTGGATTGCGCTGCGCTTTCGTTGGTGGTTTCGTCGTGGAAGGAAGCGAACATGGCCAGGATACCCATGTTGCCGGGCCAGTACATGGCAGCGGGCTTGATCAGGAACTCACGGGCCATACCAGCGAGGCCAAGACCGATACACTGGGTCGCGAGAATCCAGAGGATCGAGTGCCAAACTTGGATTTGTGTGTCGCCCAGAAACTGGGGGGCGATCTGACCAATGACGTTGTCGATTCCATAGGGGGTACCAGTGTTGGACATGATGTAAATCAGGACGTGCTCCTTGATGGAGAAGGGGCCGGGGTTGAGCGAGTTCTCGACGCCAAAGAGCTTGAAGCGGACATCGGGGAGGACTTTGGAGAAAAAGATGCCGATGGGGTACGAAACGATCTGGACATTTGGTAGGGGGGGGGGAGGAGATACGACCGGGGCATGGGTCAAAAACCCACACTGCGACAGCACACAACAAAGAGCAATGCCGAAGGTAGTCAAGTGCAGGTGGAGCGAGTGCCCAGTCATGGAGCAAGCGCCCAGTCATGGAGCGCCCGACCAGACAGGCGTTTCTAAAGAATGCACAAAGGTGCAGAGTATAGCCGACACTTACCACGGCGACATAGGCGGGGACGGAGAAAGCATTTGTGCGGAAGGAGAGAATGACGTTGACGGCCGAGGTGAAGACACAGAAGAACACCGCCAGGAACATGGCACGGACGGTGAAACAAGGAATCGAGGGATCATCCGTGGTCGAGACGACGGCACTGATCTGGGCGTAGGCATTGTGGGCATCGAGGTGCTCGACATCGTCAGAGTCGATGGTGGTGATCCCAAGGACCTCCTTTTCCTCGGTGTCGAGCTTGGGGGTGGTGTGGTGGTGCTCTTTGTGAGCGGGCTCGGCCATGATTGTGGACGGGATGGTGGCGGCTGGATGACGAGTGATGTCTGTTTCTGACCGGGCGGCACTTCATATTTATGTGCCTCGCGGGTCCAGAGGAGCCCTCTGGGGACGGGGCGAAGAGGGGGCGCAAGGAGAGGAGGTTGGCGGGAGAGCCTTCTGACCAGATAGGATAGATCACGCTGGTGACGCAGGAGTGCGTACAACATCGCAGGAGACATGTCCGGAGGCTACAGGTACCGCTTTGGCAAGCAAGTATGTAGCATGGCACGAACAGTCAGTCGGGCGTGTCATCAGAGTTGGAAGCAGAGTTTGGTGCGCCTTGGGAAGTGGTCGCTTTGCTGGGCCGAAGGTTGGCCTCGACGGCTCGGAACCGGTGGCACCCAACACCGCTCCCCTATCGGTGGCGGCACACAACGAACCAACCTTGGCCCGCGAGCCATCCGTCATGTGCAGGTCTCTGTCTGGATCTGGCGGCACGGGGCACCAGCGCGGTGATGAGGATGCATGTGCCGATGAGCCGAGCGCTTTCGTGGTTCGGCAACCGTAACTCTGTCTGGAAGCTTGGGGGTGTTTGGCCAGCAGAAAACCTGTACCATCTCAAGTCCATGTCGTACTGGCTCTGGCCGAAGGTTGCAGCGCATCCGAAGCGAACGGGAACCCTGTTCTGAGTCAGGTGTCCCGACTGTAAAATACACGCCTCCGTCCACCACTATTGCCGATGCTGAGTGAGTTCCTGGCTGCTGCGAGAAAGTACTGACTCGCTCTGGTGCGCTCGTCCCGCATCCAGCTCAACTGGATCGACGGATAGTCCCACACAACTGAGGGAAGACCCTCAATGGTCCTGCAGGACAGAACGCCGACGGCTGCTCGAGGGATGTTAGCACACGTCCGCATCAGTGTGAACACTCTCGAGCGTGCACAACGAATCCATCTTGCGAAGGATGCGCCTCACCTGTGCTGTAGACCGGGCTGAAGTAGAAAAAGATCAGGATGATGCTTGTCCGTTTCAGAGAGTGTCCCAAGCCTGTGTCCAGATACGGAAACCAATGGATCGTCTTTGCCCAGATCTTCTTGAACAGCGGGCCTCGATCAGGACCCCGAACGAACTGGATCATCGCGTGCCACAGACCCTGGCAAACGATCATGCCAAGAGCAACCACATATGGAGCGATCATCTTGTCGAACGGGCTCAATGGAAGCACGCATCCACCCTGACTGTTCTCTATGTTGAGGCTCAGGCTGAGAAACGACAGTGCCTTCGAAACAACAGTCGTGTGATCAAAGTCCAGCAGGTAGGCGAGCTGATATATCAGGACCTGCCAACAGAAGGATGGGTCAGCCAGTGGGGCGAACTGCGGCTGGGTCCAGACTGGTGATGCTCCTGCGTGCAATCCAGGGCAAATCTCTGATGCAGCCAGGCGAGGCTTGCATGTGCCCGATCCGTCAGCATGGCAAAGATGCGCTGCATACCATATCAAACACAAAGCTCCCCTTTGACACAGGAATCACACACAGGATGCAGACCACGAGAAACAACGCAATGAATGCCGCGATGCCAGCTGCAATGTTCCTTGCAGCGTCGTCGCAGCGGACGCACTGACGGCCCCATTCGTATTGCCCCTCTGGACACTGTCTGCAGAGCCTGCAGAGACATTGATCGGGCATGGTCACCGTCAGCCAGAGCCACAACCGTCACAGCCACGGACATGATCTCTCCAGATCTGCTGCCATCACACATCTGCCATCAATACTTACACTCCAACGTGGCCATTGATGCACTGGTTGCCGTCGTCGATGCGACATGCGCTTGCACAGCCTAAGTGCCCACGAAGAATTCGTGTCATTGTTCACAGCAACGGAGTCAGCGAGCGTCCACGGCACACGGCATCAAGCAAGGCGAGGGTGTGGCAGCAGAGCAGGCCCTGGTCGCAGTACGATTTGTTGACTACATACAGCCTGTTGTGGAATCGCACAGATAGAAGGCCGAGTCGATAGTTGAGGCGTTTGCATCGAACCAGTAGTTTCGCGACACCAATATGTTGCCGTTCTCGCATGTGGCGCCAACCGGACATGGTGTGCATGCCGAGTTGTAGTTGAGGTTGTAGGTTCCTGTCCCCGGGGGTCAGCAGTGGGGAGATGTCAAGAATGGCATTCTGCAAACTCGTTGGACATGCATGAATGCCATGGACGATCGTCTCCCGAGATAGGAGACACGGTCAGACCTACCAGCGGGGCACGGAAAGCATATCTGCGATGCCGTTCCGCTTGAATAGGGCTGCCAGCCTGGCGGGCATGCTGGAATTGATGCACTGTGGGGTCAGTTGAGAACGACTTCATTGAGTGGCGAGTGCTCGTCACTCACCAGCGGTAAGTGAGTCCGACGGAACCTGGACCAGTGATGCGAGTGGCGATGAGAAAACGCCGGGCGGTGGAGTTTGTGCGTGAGTGTGCGGATTTCAGGAGCTCACAGCCACGTGGTGCCAGATGGAGCAGAGAGATCAGGGTAGATCATGGAGGCCGACGGAAACTCAAGCGTGCGATACTACAGAATGGAGTGCGGCGCACCCAAGCAACCAAGGGAGCGGATGCTCACCTTCGACGATCCGTCATTGTTGACGAAAACACATCCCGGACATCCCAAGTCGATTTGATTTTTGAAGTAAGTTGCAACAGCTTGGGTCGTTAGGGAATCGTTTGAGATGGCATTTGTTACTTCGATCAGCATCTCACGCTATAGGGCATGTTGTGTTAATCAAGTTTGATACCGACAGCAGCACAATGAATCCACATGTCCATGAGGTTGCCAAAGAGTCGAGCTTGGATAATATAATATATTTGCGGCTGTGGCACCTGGCGCTGGGCTTAGACTTACTCTCAAATATCCGTTGGCACCAGCAACCAAAGCGACTGGAAGAGCTCGGTCAACAACAGAGGCAAGACCGCAGAAAACAAAAAGGTCCCACCGAGATTTGAACTCGGGTTGCAGGAGTCAGAATCCTGAGTGCTAACCGCTACACTATGGAACCGATATTCCGCATCGGGGAATCGAACCCCGGCCGTCTCGGTGAGAGCGAGAAATCCTAGCCACTGGACCAATGCGGATTGACGAGATTTTCTCACTGTGCAAACTTGACCCGATACCGCTCTCGAGCCTCGCAAACACCGCTGTAACATCTGACTCCAAGGGGTGATCATGATCAGTATGCAGCCAGATATTGCAACGGCGTTCGAGAACCAAGAGTGGAGCTGGGTGAATGAACGGGAAGCAAAAAATGCTCCGCACAGGGATCGAACCTGTGACCTTGGCGTTATTAGCACCACGCTCTAACCAACTGAGCTAGCGGAGCGAAAGAATGGTTTCGTCCGGGATCGAACCGGAGACCTTGAGTGTGTTAGACTCACGTGATAACCAACTACACCACGAAACCCCGTGACTTCCTATTACATCGGCTCACTCTATGAAACAGTGCACCCCATTTCGATCATCGAATGTTCCATCAACGGGCTCGACCACAGAGTGATCCAGGATTCCATGCATCCCACGCTCCTACGCACGTCGCGGGACTGACCGCACGCATGCAGACGTGGAGCTACTTTCGTTTCTCGCCAAGTTGGCCGGTCCTGTTTCAGCGCCTCTCGACACCGAGCCCATGGGTGCACGCTTGTCTGGCGATATTGCCGGAATTCAGCCCGACAGACCAGCAAGGATCACTGTTCGCTCCCCCCCACGCTCGGTGCTTCTCCGTGGGGAGGTTCCCGAGGTGGTCCTCCGTCAGACTGGGAGGCCAATCACTCTCATCTATCAAAACACAGTCGTTAGAGTTTCGTACTTGTCCCTGTTGCCCCGGCCTCATTCCCGTCGAGCCACCATCGGCTGCCGTCTTCGTCCAGCCTGCTCCGTTCCCCCTGTCGGTCCGAACCGCACGTCCGTTTCCAGGATCAGCAGCACCCTCGCCGACCATGGCCCAGCCCCAAGCTACCCTCGCCTCCGAGGTCGACCTGACCAAGACTGTCGCTGACAGCACCAGCGTATCCATCGCCGACCACGGCAAGGACGAGCCCACAAGCCCGGCCTCTCCTTCGGCACCAGAGGCCCTGTCCGGTATCGATTCGGAGCCATTCTCGCTCAAAGCCTATATCCGCAGCCGTCTGGCATTGCGTCCGCCCGTCACATCCGACCCCCGCAACCTGCCGTCGCTCCAAAAATCGCTGATCCTGCTCTGCATCACAAGCGCTTCCTGTCTGCCGGGCCTCTCGTCCACGCTGTACCTGCCGGTCGTCCCGCAGGTCACCGAGAACCTGAATGCGTCTCCCATGTCGATCAACCTGACACTGTCGCTCTTTATCCTGTTCATGGGGTGAGTGTTCTCGGCCAGCGATGTGTGGACAAGCATCGGGGCGGAGAAGGACGGTGGGATGGATTGCAGGAGAGAGCCATGTCCGGCCCGGTGAGAGGAAATCGGAGATTGCAGTGCTGTCTTGCTGGGGAGGGTCCCTGTTCATGCTCTTCCTCCGGCTCGCTCGCTTGGTATCTCACCCAGTATCTCTTTACTCGCATTGACCCGCTCGCATCCACCGACTCGCAGCGTTGCCCCCATCATCTGGGCCTCCGTCTCGGACTACCTCGAAATCCGGCGATGGATCTACCTCTCCTCGATCACCATCTTCTGTCTGTCGTCGATCGGCTGTGCGGTCACCGACAATGTCATCGTGCTGATCATCCTGCGTTGCTGCCAGTCGTTTGGCTCCAGCGCCGTCGAGAGTGTCGGCGCCGGCACCATTGCCGATTTGTGGGCTCCGACCGAGCGAGGCAGCCGTATGGGCATCTATATGGCCGGCGGTTCGGTTGGTCCGCTGATCGGCCCCATCATCGGCGGCTTTCTCGGCGAAGCCTTTGGCTGGCGCTCGACCTTTTGGGTCGGCACCGGCCTGGGTCTTCTGGTGCTCGTGATGATCTTTTTCATCTCGCCCGAAACATACCGCTCCGAGGCCAAGTTTGGCGAGCATCAAGCCGAATCGTTGCCCCAGATCCAGGACGAGACCCAGACCCAAGGCAAAGGCCATGCGGTTCGTGCCGGCACCAAGACGTTCAACCCGCTCAAGTCGCTCATCTACCTGCGCTACGGCTTTATCTTGATCATCTGTGTCCAAGGCGCTCTGTGCTTTGCGACCATGTTCACGTACGAGACCATCATTGCCGTCATCTACACCGAGGTCTACGGCACCCCCGCCAACTTGGTCGGCCTGACCTTCCTCGGTGGCGGCACGGGCAACATCATCGGCTCGCTCATCGGCGGCAAGATCTCGGACTACTATCTGCGAGAGGCGATCCGGAAGCGCGGAGCCGACTCCAAGCCGCTGCCCGAAGACCGTCTGTCGCCCTTTACCTTCTTCAGCGGCATTGTGATCATCCCGCTGGGCTGCCTGCTGTTTGGATGGTCGATCTGGGCCCGCTGGTCGATCGGCTTCCCGATCTTCAGCTTCTTCCTGATCTGCTTTGGGATGGTGCAGATCCTGATTGCCTCCTCGACCTACCTCGTCGACGCCATCCCCGGCAAGGGCGCAAGCGCCATCGCCAGTGCTGCCGCCCTTCAGATGCTGATTGCCAGTCTGATGTCGCTGATGGCCACACCCTGGGACAACAGCATCGGCGTCCAATGGATCGGCGTCCTCTTTGCTGCCGTCAACATCCTTGGCACCCTGGCGTACGTATATCTGCTGTTCAAGGGCCAGGAAATGCGCAAGAACTCCAAGATTACAGCGTATCCAAAATGAAGCCGTGCGTCCTGACTCTGAGACGACGAACTTTCTGGATCCCGAATACACTCACAGCCACACCCGTGGGAGCACAGTTGAGGTGCTTTTGCGTGGTGAAGGTCGTTCCAAGCACAGTTCCAGCACATTCAGAACGATACGGGTTCAGGGTGTCCCTGAGTGTCCCTGAGTGTCCCTCAGTGATCTGTAGACCTCGGAGTGTAGGCTACGTAATTGGACTCTTCTCTTCGTTGACAATTCAGTAGCTTGGTTAGTTTGGGGGGGCAGGGTCTTGATCGCGGCATGTCCATTAATCATCGCCGCAGGAGATCAAGCAGATGGGTTCATGTTCCTGACAGCCTTGATATCGCGATGTGGGAGTGTGGTGCAGGTACTTGACCATCTGGACACTTCTGTGGCTGCTCGATATTGATGTAGTCGGGTGACTCGAGGGGTGTCCCATTGCAACGCAGCCGGGGCTGTCCTCACAAGGGCGATGGCGAGAGAATGCACACGTGTCGTCGGTGATGGTATTGCTCCCGGTGGTTTCAAATCGCCCTGTATATTTCCGACCCAGAGGGAAGCATGCCTTTGGCCATCGGAGTGTTTGTCCAACTTGGCAGGCACCCGGGTTGGGCTTGGGCCTGGCCGCATGGCTGTCGCCTGGCGCTATCCTCTTGTTCGACTGACGCCATTTCGGCCTTGTCCTCTTGCCGCGTTGATTTTGCTGTGCCGAGCAGCCGGCACCGCCTTTCGGTTCCGCTCCCGCACGAGCCTGAAACCAGCCTCGTGGCGATACGTCCATTCCTCTGGCAGGTCAAGCCCAGGGCAGTGGCGACATCCGCCTTGTCCACAATCGCACCATCGTCCATGGCTGTATGATTGCGACTACAAGCCCATCCCACGCGAGCAAGCCGATGAGTGGGATAAATACTTCTTCGTTTGCCCCTCCGTCGAAGCCATCCATCAGCCGAGACCCGCCCCGCAGACCCTCAACAACCTGCTCTTGCCCTGTACTCGCAATGAAGTCCACCATCTTCCTCGCCTTTCCGGCCCTGCTCGCTGCTGCCACCTCCCTCGTCGCGGCCGAGCAGCAGAAACCCAACTTTATCCTCTTTCTCACGGATGACCAGGATTTGCACTACGACTCTCTGAACTACTTGCCCAACATCCAGAAGACGCTTCTGCAGCAGGGCACCGAGTTCACACGCTACTACACTACCACTGCTATGTGCTGTCCTTCGCGCGTCTCGCTGTGGTCCGGCAAGTTTGCCCACAACCACAACGTCACCGATGAGAGCCCTCCGCACGGTAAGCACCCTCGTTGCTCTGCATTTGTGCAATGGCATACTCTCGCATGCTCTTTTGCTTCAGTCGCCCCTGCGGCTGCGGTCCTATGGCCTACCCTTTGCTCAGTGGCTGTTCCAACATCGCATTCTCGGTATCTGATCTTGCTCTCGCATCTGCCAGGCTCGTACACCAAGTTCATTAGCCAAAAGGTTGATGACAGCTACCTCCCCCTTTGGCTGCAGAACGCCGGCTACCGCAACCACTACATTGGCAAGTTCATCAACGGTGTCAGCACCACTCTCCACCAAGCCCCCAAGGGATGGGATCACTGGGAACCCCTCGTCGCTCCCAACATCTACCTGTTCAACGACCCCATCTTCTCCCTGAACAACGGACCCTTGGAGCGCCTGACTGGTCAGTACCAGACCGATGTCATCTCCAACAAGTCGATTGCCCTGATCGACCAACTCGCTGCCAACTCGACCCAGCCCTTCCTGTTCGTCATCTCCCCCACGGCCCCTCATCAGGAGGTTTACTTCACCCCGAACGGCACCATCTTCACTCCCCCTGTCCCCGCCGAGCGTCACCGCAACCTGTTCAACGACGTCAAGGTTCCTCGTCGCCCCAACTTCAATCCCGCCGTCCAGGACAAGGTCTCCTGGGTCCAGAATCTCCCTCTTCTCACCGACCAGCAGATTGATGACCTGGACGAGCTTTACCGCAACCGTCTCCGTTCTCTCCAGGCCACCGATGAGCTCGTTGCTCGTGTGATTGACCGTCTCGAAGCCAACGGCCAGCTCGACAACACTTACTTGATCTATACCACCGACAATGGCTATCATCTGGGTGCCCATCGCCTGTATGCTGGTATGTATCTCCTGTGGCGATCTTCATTTGCCAGCAATCAACCACACAAACAGCCGTGACTGACATGTCCGTTTGCGTTTCAGGCAAGCAAACTCCTTACGAGGAAGACATCAACATCCCCTTCATCATCCGTGGCCCCGGAGTTGCCAAGAACCAGCAGCGCGATGCTGTCTCTACCCACACGCACTTTGCCGCCACCGTCCTGAGACTTGCCGGTCTCCCCATTCCAGATGATCTGGACGCCGCGTCCATCCCTGTTCTCGAGAGTGACTACACCCACCATGACAAGTGCGGCCCCACCTTTGCCGACCTCCATTCGCCCGAGGCGTTTGATGTCGAGTTTTGGAGCGATGCCTTCATCGAGAACTCCACCTACGTCGTGCCTCCTCACACCAACGCCTACAAGTCTGTTCGCCTGCACGGCAAGGATTACGATCTGCTTTACTCCACCTGGTGCACTGGCGAGCACGAGTTCTACGATATGAGAAAGGACCCGTACCAGCTCACCAACGCCTTCAACCAGACCAGCCCTCAGCTCCTGAATCGCCTTGATGCTCTTTTGAACGTCCTCCGAACCTGCAAGGGAAAGACTTGCCGGCAGCCCTGGTCGACTATCCAGCCCAGCGCCGATCCTCCTGTTCGCAGCTTGACTGACGCCCTCAATGCCACTTATGACCAGTTCTACGCCAGCCTGCCCAAGTTCACCTTTGGCACCTGCCTCAACTACTACCTCGCACCCAACGAGTACGCCATCCTTTCTTAGAGTGACATGCGCCTTCCGCACAGACTGCGCCGCCGTGTCCAGTACAAGATATTGCACAGGTCTCCCAACTTTGGGCGTCCCTACTTGGGGCTTCTCTTCCATAGCTTGAAAACGACTGACATCCGGTGCCGATGCCTGACTGGCTCGGCTTTTGGTCGATAAACTCTTGGCTCTATTTGCAATACACTAGATCTGCTTCGCTTGGATCTCGGGAGTGGGGCCAACAGTATCGCCGTGAGCAGGAGATATCGCGATTAGCCAGCGACACAGGATTTCTGATGCGCGAGGCGGAAATCACAGTAACGACAGTGTAGTTTTGCTGGTGTTGGGATTCTCCAAACCCAGCTTGATGAGTGAATCTCCCACAGTTCTATCGCGATGAGTACAGACATACGCCGATCACCATTCACAAATCTTGGGTTCCTCGTGGCCTCTTCGCCAACAACGCGTGGTTCAGCCGGACACACCAATGACATCATGTGGCGCATTGTTGTGTGGCACCGCCCCCAAGCCAAGCACGAGCCAGACGGCGAGCCGCTCCCGCCCTTTCCTCCCATCCGCCCCAAGATGCCCGAGATGCCCAAGATGCCTGAGATGCCTGAGATGCCTGAGATGCCTGAGATGCCTGAGATGCCTGAGATGCCCGAGGCGACCGACCAACCGACTGTCCGCCGACCCGATGACCGCCCTTCCTGGTGGATCTCCCCGAGAGATATCACCGACCGTTCCACCAGCCCCATCGGCCATGGCGGGTTTGGTCAAGTCTTCACTGGCACATACTTTGGCTCCAAGGTCGCCATCAAGCAGCTCTTCGCAACTCCAAAAGACCATGAGCTTACCAGCTTCCACAGCGAAATTGGGGTTTGGCAGAGTCTCAGTCATCCCCATATCCTCCCCCTGCTTGGAGTCTGTGTTCCGGACGATGCAGGCGAGGAGGTCGCTCCGCTCATAGTTTCCCCCTTCATGCCAAATGGCACACTTTGTGACTATGTTGCGAAGAACACTGTCGCTCTCGAGGAGAAGCTCCGGCTTCTATACCAAGTTGCATCTGCGCTGGATTATCTGCACACCAAAGAAATCATCCATGGCGACCTTAGGGCGACAAACATCCTTCTGGATGGCTCCTTCCAGGCCGTCGTCACCGACTTTGGTCTGTCCAGAACCAGGCTTGCTTCATCACTGATGGACCCCAGCCGGTCCAACAGTGCCATCGGAGCCACCGATAGATACAAAGCTCCCGAGATGCTGGACACCACAACATCCCTCACCACCAAGGCCGATGTCTACGCATTCGCCGTCACTATGTACGAAGTCCTGAACAACGGCGTGCCAGTTTGGGTGTCTGATCAAAACCTGGCGGTGCAAGCTCAAACGACCAAGAGCACGGTTTGCAACGCCCAAAGGCCCTACCGATTGGATGGTATCCCCAACGAAATCTGGTCAATCATCGAGTCGTGCTGGCATCAGAATCCTGCCAAGCGTCCGAGATTTGCTGATGTCGTCCACTCTCTGGCTGGATACAACGCCATCGCACCTTCTGCGACCAAGATCACTGCTGTTCTTCCACAAAATCTATCCATCACAAGCGACATATCCGAAGAGCGCGGCGGCGCCGAGACAGACAACACGCCGCTTCGACCTCCGACATCCCTTGCCTCACAGTCCTTTCTCGATCCAGAACTTCTTGAGAGTCTGAGCGTCGTCTATGGCCTCTCTCGGGCAACGGTTATCGATATCCAGCGTGGCGAAATTGGGGCCCATCTCACTGCCGCTCGTCAAATCACGGACGGCAAGTCGACCAACGACCCCGCCTGGACACTCGCGTCCAAGCTCTATCATACGTCCGCCGACAAAGGGAGTGTCGAAGCAGCGTTCGAGCTAGCCTGGCTGCATTTCACCGGTATCGGCGTGGCCAAGAGTGACACTGAGGCATTCGCCTACTGGCAAGCGGTTTATCAGCAAGCTTACGACGCCGCCATGAAGCCTATCGCCACATTCATGATGGGATGGTACTGCTACCTAGGTCGCGCGACACAACTGGATGTGGGAAGGGGATACCGGCTCTTGGCCGAGTCGAAGACGGATGATTTTGGGCTGAGCCAGGACTCTCTGAATCTCAACAAATCTGTCCGATCGTCTTCGGATGTCGCCACCAAATTCTTCAAGCTTTGCGAGTCTGGATCGGAGGGCGATTGGCTCTGCAAACATCTGGCCGCGAGATGCTACATCGGCGGGTTCGGTACCAAGGACGACCCGCTGCGGGCCGCTACAATGCTCCAAAAATTGGCTGACCAGGGACACGCAATCAGTCAGTTTCTACTCGGCAAATGCTTTGATCTGGGATATGGTGTCTCCAAGGACTATGCCAAATCCTATGAGTGGTTCACCAAATCGGCCAGCCAGGGCGATTCGCAAGGCCAAAACGCCCTTGGGGTCTGCTATCACAACGGCAACGGAGTCGACCAGGACTACTCCAAGGCTTTCGAGTGGTACACCAGATCGTCCAAACAGGGCAATTCCAACGCACAATGTAACATCGCCGTCTGTTACTACAACGGCTATGGCACTATGCAAGACCATACCGTGGCTTTCGAATGGTACACTAGATCGGCCAACCAAGGAAACCCCAACGGTCAGAACGGCCTCGGTCTTTGCTATTACAATGGTCATGGTGTCGATCGGGATTACATCAAAGCTGTTGAATGGTATACCAAGGCTGCCCATCAAGGTAACTCGCATAGCCAGCACAGTCTCGGCCTATGCTATGAGTACGGCAACGGCGTTGCCCAAGACCACGCCATGGCTTTCGAGTGGTACACGAGATCGGCCAACCAGGGAAACTCCAATGCCCAATGCTGCGTCGGTCGCTGCTATTATAGCGGTAATGGTATCGACCGAGATTATGCCATAGCGTTTGAGTGGTATGCCAAAGCTGCCAGTCAAGGTAACCCGTATGGTCAGCACAGCCTCGGCTTATGCTATGAGTACGGCAGTGGTGTCCGCCGAGATTATGCCAAGGCTGTCGAGTGGTATTTTAAAGCCGCCGAGCAAGGAAACGCAGATTCCCAGAGTGCGCTCGGCCATTGCTATTACAATGGCGATGTTGTCGACCAAGACTATTCCGAGGCATTCGAGTGGTACTCTAAATCGGCCAAACAGGGCAATGCTTCCGGCCAGAACGGTCTCGGTCTCTGCTACGAGTACGGTTATGGCGTCGCCCAAAGCTGGACCCAAGCATTCGAGTGGTATACAAAGGCGGCCCAACAGGGAAATGCAGCTGCCCAATCCAATCTCGGCAACTGCTATTACAACGGCGGCGGGGTCGACCGGGACTACTCCAAGGCTATCGAGTGGTATATTATGGCCGCCAATCAAGGTAATGCATCCGGACAGGGCTATCTCGGTGACTGCTACTATTTCGGGAATGGGGCAGTACAAGACTATACCAAGGCGTTCGAGTGGTATACCAGATCGGCCAGCCAAGGAAACCCCAATGGCCAGAGCGGCCTCGGTCTTTGCTACTACAGTGGTAGCGGCGTTAGCCAGGATTACGTCCAGGCTTTCAGGCTGTTCACAAAGTCGGCCAACAAGGGCAATGTGTTTGGCCAGCATGCCCTTGGCCGTTGCTATTACAGCGGCAACGGTGTCGACAGGAACTATTCCAAAGCTGTGGAGTGGTTCACCAAGGCCGCCAATCAAGGCCATGCTTCCAGTCAAGATGATCTCGGTGACTGTTGCTATCACGGCAATGGTGTCGACCAAGACTATTCCGAGGCATTCGAGTGGTACTCTAAATCGGCCAAACAGGGCAATGCTTCCGGCCAGAACGGTCTCGGTCTCTGCTACGAGTACGGTTATGGCGTCGCCCAAAGCTGGACCCAAGCATTCGAGTGGTATACAAAGGCGGCCCAACAGGGAAATGCAGTTGCCCAAGTAAATCTTGGTCTTTGTTACTACAACGGCACCGGAATCGACCGGGAATACTCCAAGGCTGTGGAATGGTTCACCAAGGCCGCTAATCAGGGAAACTCCTATGGTCAGGATAATCTCGCAGAGTGCTATTACACGGGGAACGGTGTCGACCAAGACTATGCCAGGGCTGTTGAGTGGTACAGCAGGTCGGCCAACCAGGGAAGTCCGGACGCTCAGAACAACCTGGGTACTTGCTACTACAATGGCAGTGGCGTCAGTCGGGACCCCGTAAAAGCTGTCGAGTGGTACATTAAGGCTGCCCATCAAGGAAATGCAAACGCTCAATTCAACCTTGGGCTGTGCTACCAGTTGGGCCAAGGAGCGGCCAAGAATGGGGAGACGGCTCGATACTGGCTCCAACTGGCCGCAGATCAGGGCCACACCCAGGCCCAAGACAAACTGGACGAGTTCTGATGGCCTTTACACAACGTGCAACCGGTAACAATCACCGGGGGGCCGTGCGGGCAGTATAGTTGTTTCGGGCTACACAATTGGATTACACCGCTCGACAATCTCGTCCTTGGCTGCCCCGAGGATGTAATGTCGAGTCCGTGGATCAAGATATGCGATTGTTATGGTGTAGAATTGTTTTGTATATTGGTTCATTGGCTGTCCAGTACGGCATCATTCGGCAATTGGTACTACATGTCAGCCACCCTGCAAGCCCACTGTTTGGTATCTTGGTGCCTGGGATGGCGTTGGTGGCGAGTAGTTTGCTTGGCGGCTCTGCTTGCATGTTCGGTCGTGTGGTATGGCATCCGCGAGCGCCGTCAAGGTGAGGGCCACTGGCCGAGTTTTATAAGGCTGTTGATGGCCATTTGATATCCCTGGTCGGCGGACTTGCGGTACCAGAAGACGGCGGTGTCGATGTCTGCGTCAACACCCCATCCATCCTTATAGCAGTCGCCGAGAGAAGCTTGTGGGTACCGGTAACCTTGCTCGGCCGACTTGCGATACCACTCGATTGCTTTAGAGCGATCCCGGGTGACTCCTGTGCCAAGCAAGTAGCACAAACCAACCATCCACTCCCCGAACCAGTTGCCTTGGTCGGCCGACTTGCTGAACCACTCGAATGCCTTCTTGCGGTCCGTCGGTCCACCCCAACCTTGGTAGAAGCACTCTCCGATCCAAAACTGGCTGTCGCTGTAGCCCTCGTTGGCAAGTTGCTCAAAGATGCCCGCTGCCCTCATTCGGTCTTGCATGGTTCCGAATCCTCGGACCAGACACACAGCCATGAGATGATTACTGAGCCAGTCTCGGTCTGATCCAATCCGACATAGCTCGAAGAACTCGCGGGCTGCAAGTGAATCGGACGAGGTAGTCGAGCTCCAAATGACGGATAAGCAATTGGTTTCGCCGAGCTTGAACTCATCCGATTCGTTATCTCGGATAATTTTGACGCCCTTCTGCTTATCTTGCTGGGTACCACGGCCAAGGTAGTGCATCCAGCCGACCATATGGGTGGAGATGGACTTGTGGACCGGGTTGATGGACTGGGTGCTGACTTCCTGCCAGTGGCTGAAGGCGTCGGCGTCACTCTGGTCGACATCGCGGCCGATGAACGAGAACCATCCACGGAAGAATGCAATGTGGAGACGACCGTCTTCGCTGGCCTGATCTGCGGCCTTGGAATACCAATCGATGGCTGTATCAAAGTCTTGATCAACTCCTTCGCCATTCTCATAGCATCGACCGAGGGCAACTTGGGCCTGCGCCATTCCACGTTCTGCAAGCCCTTGATACAGCTCGAAGGCCTTGGCGTAGTCTTTCTTGGTTACGATGCCATCGTTATAGCACCCGGCCAGGTGGAGCTGTGCCATGAGATGGCCGGCATCAGCAGCCTTCTTCAGATGGCGCAGGATTCGCTGGTTGATCCTTCCCTTTTTGGGCATGTTCGCCGACAACGGACCGATAAGATCGAGTTGGAGGATCCTTGCCATAAAGAACCATGCAGCAGTATTGCTCCGGCTGGCCAAGGCAACGATCCAAGATCTATCGGTTGTGCCTTGATCCTTGCAATGAAGCGAGATGGCAATCTTGTCGCTCGGTGTGAGGCCGATCCGCAACCGTCGGTCTGGATGGCACAGTTCTGCACTCTGACACCAGGAGTGGAGGCGAGGCACCTTGGAGCTCAGGAGAGACTGGGCTCGTTTGCACACTCGAAGGAGGGTCTTGATGGCGTTCAAATCGAGTGCGTGTTGGAAACCGTCATTGAAGCAGATGATGGTGAAAATGTCTGGGTTGTGCGCGAGTGAGAGCTGGGTGATATCGGGCATCGACGAGGTTGGCCTGGATTCATCTTGGGCTTGCTGAGTGTGAGATGGCGCTGTGTTCGAAGCAGGCTCGTTCATACTGACCAAGTTGACGGAGACAGGGTGGAGGCAGGTGGATGATGGCGATGGACAGGAGAGAGAGGCAGGTTGTGGCGAAGCAAGCCGGACCCCGGCCAGCCAAATCATGGCCAGCCAAACGCTGGCAAGCCAAAGGCTGGCCACTGACGACACACACACACATGCGCAGCCAGTGCCCAATCCATCAGAATCGAATCAAAGTTGAATGGAATCAGTCACCCAATCTTGTCTGGTGACTGATGATGGACTGAACTTGGACGATGAATCCCGTTTCTCACCGGCTCATGGGGGGGGGCTATGGAGGTGGAGATTCGAATGTTGGCTTCTCGTATCGTGACCATGATTTGTGCCGGTCGCTTTCGGTGTTGTTGCTGTGGATCCAGACGCCGAGGCGGCCGACATGTTAGACTTGGTTGTCATGGCAGATGATTGATACCTCTGTAACTCCCGCAGAATCGAGACCGGGCGATGGATTTGGAGTAACGAACGACAGCGCCTCGCCAAAAGCCGACAACAACGCAAGGTTCGATGCAGAGTATCCCAGAAGGACCGAGCGGATCGCACAGAGCCGACATGCGGGCGAAAGGACCTGGCGGCTGCACACAAACAATGGGCGAGAGAAGAAAAATAGCAAAGCACACAGCGACAGGCTGGAGTGGCCAATGCCATTCGTCAAATCTCCCAGATGAGGCGGGATCTGTCCAAATTCGAATCATCTCGTATCACTGGGTGTTTCAGAATCGCGTCGACAACATGAGATAGTCGCGCCTGTGTTCTCAGCTGATTCTTCTCTGAGTCGAGTGATATTGCGCCACTTCTGCAATCTGCTGAAGCGGTTCCGGGCGATAAACCCGAGGATTGCCCCCATCCCTCTCCAACTCGGTCTCGTCCGTTTGCACCAGCAGCTTTCCTCATCCTGTTCTCTCCCTTTTCGACTATGGCTGAGAAATCCTGGTACATCCCCGAGGATGCCATCACCAACTGGTCTGCCACCCCACTCGCAGCCGGCGGCTTTGGCGAGGTTTTCACTGCCTCATACTACGGCGCCCCTGTCGCCGTCAAGCAGCTCTATCGAGGCTACAACCAGAACGAGCTCGCCGACTTTGGACGGGAGATCGGCATCTGGCACAGACTCACTCATCCTCATGTCCTTCCACTCCTCGGTGCCTGCGATACCACGACCAAGCCCTTCATGGTCTCGCCGTTCATGCCCAATGGCACCCTCCACAGCCACATTTCTGCAGCGGATACCCCTCGACCCCTTGGCGAGAAGGTCCGTCTCCTGTATCAAGTCGCCTCTGGCATGGCCTATCTCCACGGCAACAACATTGTCCACGGCGACCTCAAGTCCCTCAATGTGCTGCTGGATGGCTCATCCAATGCCGTTGTGACTGACTTTGGCATGGCCAGAACCAAGCACACTTCGGCCACGGCCAACCGAACCCGCCGCGACCAGCCAACTGGTGGCACCCTTGACTATATGGCACCCGAGATGCTTGATGATGACGACCCCATGGGATCTTCAATAACCACAGACATTTATGCATTCGGCATCACCATGTATGAGATCCTCAATGACTGCAAGCCCATCTGGGTCACCAACGATGGCCAGCCAATGAGACCCACAGCCATCGAGCGCCAAGTCCTCCGAGGCAACCGTCCCAAGCAGTTCGACGGCATCCCCGACGACATCCGTGCCCTCATCGAGCGCTGCTGGCACCAAGACCCCTCCCAGCGACCCAAGTTCCCCGAAATCCTTGCTATCCTCCGTCAGTCCATTGAGATCTCTCCCATTCAAGACGTGGTGCAAAGACCCACTATCATCGCCCCTCGTCGCTTGGAGTCGTTCCAGCCAATACAAGAAGTATCCGCTCCCAGGATGTCCTTCCCCGAACCATTGACTCCCCAAACCCCTCTTGCTGCTGCAGTGCTCACGTCCAAGCCAATTCCTGTCAAGAGCCTGGCAGACGCACTGCAGCTGCTCCATGTCGATGCTGAGTTTGATTCAGACGAAGACGATGACGATGAGTTTGATCTGTGGTTTGCGGTCTCCGATGGAAACGACAGTACCAGCTACCAGCGGGCCTTTGCCAATATCTATGCCCAGTCCCGCAATCAGCAGCAGCTCCCGCTGTTCATCTCGGCCATCGCGACGTCACAGTCTCCCCTGACTATCCGAATGATTACCGATCTCTTTGGGGTTGACATCCGAATCGTCCGTCGGTGCATCAAGGAGCTCGAACCCGTTCTCGATCCCGGCAAACTGAACCGCGACAAGCAAGGCAGCTCAATGGCCAAGGCCCAGAAGCACAAGTCCATCGTCGCATATCTGCTCGGAGACGAGTCTGCCAGCGAACCGTTCCATGTCTCCCCCAAGTTTCACATGGCGTTCGCCTCCCAGTGTCTGCTGTCGATCCTCTCGCACGAGCCAGTGATCAATATCTGTGACATTTACGACTTTCACGACAAAATCCCTGACCTCGAGGGCCGAGTCAGAGCCAAGATTACACCATCGCTCCGATATAGCGTCGCCCACTGGATCACACACTTTGTGTGGTGCATCAACGAAGAATCGTTTGACCGGCAGATCTGGAAGCAGTACCGTGCGTCTGGCTTGGGCGACTTGCTCAGCCAGTTCCTCACCAGCCATGTGCTATTTTGGCTGGAAGCTGGTTCGCTGACTCATGTGATATCAGAGCTTACCACACAGCTTCGCTCGCTGGAGGAAGCACTCGCAATGGCATCGAGCACCGCCTTTGATGATACCACGAAGGAACTGGTCAAGGACACTCACCGATTCATCCGCGAATTTGCCGACCCGATCAGCAAGAGTGCACCTCAGGTGTACAACTCGGGGTATGCCTTCACTCCAAAGGAGACGGCGATATACCAGACATATGCTTCTCGGCTCGAGGACAAGATTCCATTCTTGGCTATTCTGGGTCTTAAGAGCCACTGGGACAGCCCAGTGCAATCGACGGAGGGACAATTGGAGGTGGGGTCATATGTGATTTCACCAGGTAGGACCTGGATTGCATCTTGGTCAAGCGATGGAACTATTAAGCTGTGGAATGCTGCGACTTGCGAGTTGAGATCGATATCAATGGGTGTTGCAGCCATGATAGCCGCACCCGATGCCACGACGCTTGTGCTTGTCCAGTCAGACTGCACAATCAAGCATCTGAACGCAAGCACCGGGCAAATCGAGAGAGCCTTCACCAGTCATTTGGAGATGAAATTCCAATCGGCAATCTCACCTGATGGCACGCTTGTGGCGGTGGTCGAAAGGGGAAACAACAGCAGAATCAAGCTTTGGGATACTATTTCATGCAGTTTGAAGTACACTCTAGTGGGACATACCAGTCAGGTGAACTCTGTGGCTTTTTCACCCGACGGCAAGTGGCTGGCCTCTGGCTCATACGACAAGACTATCAAGGTGTGGGATGCTACTACGGGCCGGCTGAAGCACACTCTCGAGGGACACATCAATTATGTGTACTCCGTAGCCATCTCAGCCGACGGCAAGTGGCTGGCCTCCGGCTCATACGACAAGACTATCAAGGTGTGGGATGCTACTACGGGCCGGCTGAAGCACACTCTCGAGGGACACATCAATTATGTGTACTCCGTAGCCATCTCAGCCGACGGCAAGTGGCTGGCCTCCGGCTCATACGACAAGACTATCAAGGTGTGGGATGCCACCACGGGTCAGCTGAAACGCAGCCTCGAGGGTCATTCAGGCGCTGTTAGCTCAATAGCCATCTCATCCGACGGCAAATGGTTCGTCTCTGGATCAAGTGACAAGACTGTCAAGGTGTGGGATGCTACCGTGGGCCAGTTGAAGTACACCCTCGAAGGACACACAGGCGCTGTCAACAGCGTGGCGATCTCATCCGATGGCAACTCAATCCTCTCCCGTCAAAACGATGGCAACGATATCATCTGGGTTCGTCGTGGCAACGGCTTTGTCCGTAGCTGGGATAGTCCGGCGTCCTTTGTCGCGGCTTCCAGCTCACTGTTATTCGCTGAGTGGGTTGAAATCGACAATCAGCCACAGTGGATCCGCCACGGAGTTCATGCCATCAAGATACCATTGAATCTTGGCCGCCCCAGCAAGAAGATCGTCAGCCATATTTTGGTAAGTCTGTCGGACCACCATTTCAGTGCCCACATCCCCCGACTAACCATTAATAAACATCAGCCTGTGTACCTGGGCATCCCTGAAATCCAAGTTGTGTTTGCCAAGTACATCAGCAACTCGAATAATCCCCACAACCTAGCTCGTGCAGCAGCGATCCTTGCAAGTCGGCTCGTGGCAGCATACTGCGAAGAACAGGCGCGAATCGCTCAAGAACAAACGATATATGCCGAAGCTAGAAAGTACGAAGAAGAGAGAAAGGTCGAGGAAGCAAGAGTTGCGCAAGAGCAGGCAAGAAAGGTTGAGGAGGCGAGAAGAATCGAAGCCGCCAAACCAAAGGGACTGGCAAAGTTCTTCCGTTGAAGCCGGTATGAATATGTTCATGACCAGCACAAGAACATCGATCGCAACCGGTGAACGGACGTCATGAATAAAGTGCAACTGTGCCATGCTATTATGCGCATGGATCAGTCTCTGTCGTCGCCATTTGTGTTCAAACTCCAAACCCGACCGCAGATGCCGTTTCAACAAAGCCGATGAACCATTCCGGCATCTGGAACATGGGATGGAGCGAGTTGGGGACGGGTGGCAAACGGCTGAATCAAATCAAATTGATCGGATGGTCAACTAACTCATTTTCGGGTCAGCATTTGGTGGGGAATTGAAGGTCAGACAGAAGATGACCTGGCCATTTCCGTTTCGTAGGAATCTCCTTGCTAGTCCACTACTGGAATCATGGCGATATGATGGGTATGCTGATATGGCTTGCTTTGTAGCTCTGGTTGCAAATGGGGCTGGAGGACCATGGCTGCTAGCGAGTTGGTATTCGAGACGGACATCAGGGCCACTGGTCGAGTTTCTTGAGACTGTCGATGGCCCAATCGCATCCCTGGTCGGCGGACTTGCGGTACCAGAAGATGGCGGTGTCGATGTTCTTGGGGACACCATACCCATCATGGTAGCAGAAGCCGAGAATATCTTGTCCATACCGATTTCCTTGCCCGGCCGACTTGCGGAGCCACTCGACTGCCTTGGTGTGGTCCTTGGTGACTCCGTATCCACGGTGGTAGCCGCGGCCAACCCTCCACTGCCCATACGAATTGCCTTTGCCAGCAGACTTGCTGAACCACCCGAATGCCTTCCTCCAGTCCCTAGATACTCCCCAGTCATCGTAGTAGCACTCTCCAATCCACAATTGGCTGTCGCTGTGGCCTTCGTTGGCGAGCTGCTCAAAGGTGCCTGCTGCCTGCTTCTCGTCCTCTATGGTTCCGAATCCATGGAACACACACACAGCCATCAAGTGTCTGCACAGCCATTCTTGCTCCGATCCCAACTGGCACAGCTCGAAGAACTTGCAGGATGCGGGTGAATCAGACTTGATGGCGTTCCATCGCGCTGCCAGACACTCGTCTTCCCCCAGCTTGAACTCATCCGATTTGTTGTCGCGGATGATCTTGGTGCCCTTCTGTATGTCCTGCTGAGTGCCCCGGCCAAGATAATGCATCCAACCGACCATGTGAGTGGCGATGGGCTTGAGGACCTTGTCATCCGACTTGGTGCTGACTTCTTGCCAGTGGTCGAAGGCGCTGCGGTCGTTCTTGGCCATTCCCTCGCCCAGGAACGCGAGCCAGGCCAGCTGGAAAGATGCTTCGAGGCTGCCGCGGTCGGCAGCGGCCTTGAACAGCTGGGCGGCGAGCTTCCAATCTTGGTGGCGTGCAGGGAGACCCTCCGAGACCATCTTGGCAGCATCGAGACAGGCATCGGGATCACCTTGCTTGGCGCGGGAGATAATGGAGGCAGGGAGACGAGTGGCCGATTCGATACCGTCAAACTTGAGCTCGGCAGGACGACTGGACTGGGATGGGGGCTGGTTGTTCACGCTGAGAGTGGTGAAATGGCTGGCAACCCGGTTGACGGAAGGGAACTTGGCGGCGGCTGGAGCAGCGAGAGCAGCGCTTGCAGGGATAACAGCTCGGTTGTATGGCTGGAGGACGGCAAGGATCTCGGTGAAGGCAGGGCGGGCGGCGGGATCTTGTTGCCAGCAGAGCTCGATGAGGGCCCAGATATCGTCGGGGATGCCATCGAGACGCTTGGGGCGCTTGCCGTTGCATGAAATGCGTTCGATAGCGCGGCTGAGCATTGCTTGTCCGTTGCTGGTGACCCAGACGGGTTTGGCATCGTTGAGGACTTCATACATGGTGATGGCGAAGGCGTAGACGTCGGTCTTCATGGTCGTGCCACTGGGATCATCATCGTCCAGCATCTCGGGTGCAATGTAACCGTCGGTACCGCCGGTGGGGCCCATGGATCGGTTGCGGTCCAGCGAGGCAGAGGTGTGCTTGGTGCGGGACATGCCAAAGTCGGTGACGACGGCGTTGTTCAAGCCGTCCAGGAGAATGTTCAGGGCCTTGAGATCGCCGTGGATGATGCGGCGGGAATGGAGGTATGCCAGAGCCGATGCAGCTTGGAAGAGGAGACGGAGCTTCTCCTCAAGTGGGACATTGTTGTTGGCAACATGGTTGCGAAGGGTGCCGTTGGGCATGAAGGGCGAGACCATGAAGGGAGGAATCGGATTGCCGTCGTCGTCTTTGTCGCAGGCACCGAGCAGAGGGAGGATGTTGGGGTGGCTGAGTTTCTGCCAGATATCGATCTCATGGTTGTAGTCAGCGAGCTCCCGGTTGTTGTAGTTTCCGAGGAGCTGCTTGATGGCGACCTTGGAGCCAAAGTATGTGCCAGTGAAGACCTCGCCAAAGCCACCGCGGCCGATGGGGTTGGCCGAGCGGTCGGTGATGTCCCTGGGCGAGATGTACCAGGACGGACGCTCGGGAGCGGGGCTGATGATGGCTCTGCTGGCCATGGTGAATATGGGAGACAATTGGATAGGATGACAGGGAGGCAAGCAGGAAATGGAGATGGGCAGGATTTGGTGAGGGAACTAAACCCTGGCCAGCCAAACACTGGCTATCGAGATCACACACACAAATCTGGCTCGATTCGTTTGTTTGATGGCTGGAGTCGTTGTTCCTCTTGCACTGCCACAGTCATTGAACATGAATCGATCATGAAATCGAATGTGGAATCGAAGCCGCATCCTGTCATCCAAGTATGTGGCTCATATATTCCATATCAGACCTGCCGGATCTATCTTGGCAACCACCTCTGCTTCGAACAGCCAGTCCTCATTGCCCACACTCGGAAGGATGTCAAGGTCAAATCCGAGATCAATGTCGTCACAAGGACACCGAACAGCCTACCGACTCCCCGAACTCCAAGACCATCACCTTGCTTCCACACCACAGTGCCCTGCCATGATGGCCCATGAAAGATGATGAAGTGTCAAAGGCGAGATTGTGTGCTGGATTGACCAGAGTTGATTGCATCGCCACCCGGCTCCAACCTGGATCCACCCTGGCTCCATTTGGCTTCGCTGGCAAGTTGATTCCCCAAAACTGGTGGCGTCTCCCTGCCTTCTCATTCCCCCTCGCCTTCTGTCAATCTGCCTTCCATTGACATCGCCTGTCCTGGGACTCTGCAATGTCGGGAGGTGAGTGCCGCATCGTGGCAGGATGGTGGACACTTGCACAGCAGCTGACTGGTGGCTTGCCCTGAACAGACGACTTTGACGCTTTCCTCAAACGATATGGACTGGAGAGAAACAGGCAATGTCTGCTGGACAACGAATACGACACCATCGACTCGGTATGTGCTGATGAGGTGGTAGAGTGTGGCCGCTGCCCGGTGGCTGATACCAATCCCCATCCAGATCCTGGATATGCCGGGCGAGGAAATGAGTGCAATCGGTCTCAAGTCTGGAGCAATCACCAAGATCAAACGAGCTCAGCGAGACCACAACCAACAAGCCATCACAACTCCCACTGCCCCTCCAGTCGTTGCCATTTCTACCTCGACCCTCACTCCTGCTGCCAACGAGCGAGAATACAACCCGCCTGTCCTCAATCCCGAGTGGACTTGCACCAACGGCTTCCATATCCACGACATCTTCATCAGGTTTGTTGGTGGCGATTGTTGTTGCCCACGATCCATTCACATCCATCTCGCATCCATCTCGCATCCATCTCGCATCCATCTCATCGATATTGCATCCATCCAGCTATCGTGTGGCCAGTGAGGAGGTGACTGCTGTCAAACTCCACTCGGCCCTCAGTGCTGGTCGTGTCGGCGAGCAGCATCCCTCCCATGTCTACCTGGACGCCCGATGCCTCGAGAACGGACTGGACTGGGAGGATGGCTTTATGAACGGCCTGGCCAACTCCAAGGTCATTGTGCTCCTCCTCTCCGAGGCTGGACTCAAGAGAACCAAGAATGCCAACACCCGTCCCGACAACCAGTTCCTCGAGGTGAGAGTCGTCGATCCAGTCCAGCACCATCCACTCGCCATCTACTCACCGACGATCCTGTCCCAGATTGAGCTGGCTCTGAAGCAGATGAAGGAGACCCAGAACACCCGCTCGCCCGTCCAGATCCTGCCGATCCTCATCAAGTCAAGTGTGATGATTGACGGCACCAAGTACACCAGGGACTGGTTCCCCAACACAAACGACTTTCCCAATGCCATCCACTGCCACAGAGCAAGTCCCTCCAACCTGCACCAGATCAGCCCTCCCCTCACCGTGCGCCAGACTCTCGAGGAGTTGCTCAAGCTGCAGGCGCTGATTGCCGCCGACGACTATGCCGTCACCAAGTGAGTGTGTCTGTAAGACTTGCTGATGGCATCCGTCTCATCCATCAGTTCATTGATGCAGACCATCTAGATGCTGACTCACACATCCACAGACTCGTCCCCGAGATCCGCGAGACTTGGAAGAAAACCAGCCTCGTTGCCACCGTACCAGCCTATCTGCCGAGTGGATCGACTGTCCTCACTGCCAACGAGAACCACGCCCTGCGACTCCTCCTCAGTCCCATCGACTCAACCCTGGACAGACAAGCACTTGAGCATCTGTTTGTCGAAGGCACTCGCCAGTGGCTGTTCGACCAGACTACCGAGTGGGTCAACCAGGACACCACCGACACTGTCCTGTGGGTCAATGCCGTTGCTGGTGTGGGCAAGTCTGTCGCCGCCGCCCAGATCGCCAACATCCTCCAGGCAAACGCACAGTTGGTGTCGGCGCTGTTCCTCAAGTACAACGACACTCGCAAGAGCGATCCACGAGTTGTGTTGAACACCATCGCATACGGTCTGTGCAAGTGGTACTCGCCGATCGGCCGCAAGCTGCTCGAGGCTGGCCACAAGAAAGACGATCTCGACAAGATGAGCATCAACGATCTGTTCAAGGCCGTGATTGCTGATCCACTCGAAGCCATTGGCGAATACAGACCCAAGGGATCGGTGATGATCCTGGTGGATGGACTGGACGAGTGTTCTCCGCGCGACCAGCTGCTCAGTCTGCTTGCCTGGCGCTTTGTCGAGCTGAGCAGGACCCGTCCGTGGTTCAAGCTGCTGCTGACATCCCGACCCGAGGAGGACATCAAGGCAGCATTCGATGGAGTCCCGACCAAGACAATCGAACCCTCGAGCGAGGAGAACATCCGTGACCTCGAGGTGTTCATCCGCCACCGACTGCGAGTGTATGACACTCTCAGTGACTTGGACCGCACCGAGGCAGTCGCCATCCTGCTGGACCAGTCCAAGACATTCGTGTGGATCAACCTGATCCTCAACACCGTCGACGCAGCATCCACGGACGGCCCAGTGACACTCACCACCATCAAGGACATCAACGACAGCGCTGCCGATGTCGGGCAGCTGTACCACAAGACATTCGCCAAGATCCACTCGCAGTCGAGCCACCCGGCCGAGTTGGTCACGGTGGTGTCGGCCATCGCCACGGCCCAGTCGATCCTGACCCCGCAGATCATCGCCGATGTGTTTGGACTCGAGATCGGCGTCGTTTGCGAGTGTCTCAAGAGCCTCAGTCTGGTCCTCGATCCTGGCGCCAATGGACTGGGTCCCCGAGGCAGCCCGTCCACCAACACCGAAGTCAAGTTCAACCACAAGTCGGTGGCGGACTATCTCCTCGGCGACGCATCGGCTGGCCATCCATGGCATGTGTCGGGCTCGTTCCACACGGTGTTTGCCCAGGGATGTCTCGGAGTGATCCTCTCGCACGAGCCAGTGGTCAACATCTGCGAGATCTACGACTTTCACGACAACACCCCAGACCTCGAGGACAGGGTCGCAGACAAGATCACACCGTCGCTGCGATACAGCGTCGCCCACTGGATCACACACTTTGTGTGGTGTGTGGAAGGAGTGGCCGAGTCGAGTTCGGTGTGGCAGTCGGCCGAGACTGTCGATGCTGCAGCGGTGCTCACTCGGTTCGTCAAGACGCATGTGTTCTTCTGGCTCGAGTGTGGGTCGCTCACACACCGTATTCAGGAGATTGCCGAGCAACTGGCTGTGCTGCGAGGAGTGATTGACAAGGCACCCAGCACCATCGTCGACGATACCACGAAGGAACTGGTCAAGGACACGTATCGATTCATCCGCGAGTTTGCCGATCCGATCATCAAGAGTGCACCACAGGTGTACAACTCGGGGTTTGCATTCACACCGAAGGAGACGGCGATCTACAAGACATATGCCGACCGACTCGAGGACAAGATCCCGTTCCTGGTCACGGCCGGTCCAGCACCCACCTGGGATCCGTGTGAGATGACAATGAGCGGACATGATGGTGGAGTGAACTCGATGGCGATCTCACTTGATGCCAAGTGGATTGTCTCCGGCTCCGGTGACAAGACAATCAAAATGTGGCATGCTGCCACTGGCCAGTTGAAGCATACTCTCGATGGACATGAAAATAGTGTGAACTCCGTAGTGATCTCACCCGATGGCAGGTGGATTGTCTCTGGTTCCGAGGACAGGACGATCAAGGTGTGGGATATCATCACTGGCCAGTTGAAACACACCCTCAAGAGACACACAAAAGAAGTGAACTCTGTGGCAATCTCGCCAGATGGTAGGTGGATTGTCTCTGGCTCCTCCGACAAGACCATCAAAGTGTGGAGTGCCGCTACTGGCCAGTGGAAGTACAACCTCAAGGGACACACAGGATATGTGAACTCTGTGGCGATCTCATCAGATGGCGAGTGGATTGCCTCTGGCTCTAGTGACAACACCATCAAGGTGTGGGATATTTCGACTGGCCAGGTGAAGCACACTCTCGAGGGACACGAGAAAAGTGTGAACTCCGTGGCGATCTCACCTGATGGCAAGTGGATCGCCTCTGGTTCCGACGACAAGACGATCAAGGTGTGGGATGCCACCACTGGCCAGCTGAAGCACACCCTCGAGGGACACACAGATACCGCTACATCTACAGCATTCTCACCTGATGGCAAGTGGGTAGTCTCTGGCTCTCGTGACAAGACGATCAAAGTATGGGATGCCGTGACTGGCCAGTTGAAGCACACTCTTGAGGGACACACATACTGGGTGTACTCCCTGACATTCTCACCTGATGGCAAGTGGATTGCCTCCGGTTCCCGTGACAAGACCATCAAAATATGGGATACCGCCACGGGTCGGGTGAAGCGCATCATCGAGGGACACACAAACAATGTGAACTCCGTGGCGATCTCACCCAATGGCGAGTGGATAGCCTCTGGCTCGACTGACAAGACCATCAAGGTGTGGGATATTTCGACGGGCCAGGTGAAGCACACTCTCGAGGAACACACCAATATTGTGACATCCGTGGCATTCTCACCTGATGACAGGTGGATTGCCTCCGGCTCCGGTGACAAGACCATCAAAGTGTGGGATATTTCGACTGGCCAGGTGAAGCACACTCTTGAGGGACACACATACTGGGTGTACTCCCTGACATTCTCACCTGATGGCAAGTGGATTGCCTCCGGTTCCCGTGACAAGACCATCAAAATATGGGATACCGCCACGGGTCGGGTGAAGCGCATCATCGAGGGACACACAAACAATGTGAACTCCGTGGCGATCTCACCCAATGGCGAGTGGATAGCCTCTGGCTCGACAGACAAGACCATCAAGGTGTGGGATGCTTCTGCGGGCCAACTGAAGCACACTCTCGAGGAACATACAGATATTGTGACATCCGTGGCATTCTCACCTGATGGCAAGTGGGTAGTCTCTGGCTCTCGTGACAAGACCATCAAGGTGTGGGATGCCACCACTGGCCAGGTGAAGCACACCCTCGAGGGGCACCCGAACTACATGAACTCCATGGCAATCTCATTCGAAGGCAACCCGATCAAGATTTGGGCCTGGGATAATAGTCGAACTTGTTTCGTCCGCCGTGGTGACCAGTGGATTTCTTCCAACTATAATCCCACCAACTTCATCGCCGCATCCGACTCAAATTCTTCATCCCAGTGGATCGGAATCGATAACGCTCCCCAATGGATCCGCCACGGCAGCCATCGCATCAAGATTCCACTCCTCCTCTTCAGCTCGGCTCATTGCTTTACTCCCCCATCCGGTGTATTTTTCGTGATGAGCAAGATAAATCCTGTCCGTCCCGTCATCATCCTGGTAAGCCCACCACTCCTCGCCCTCGTTCCTCCACTCATCTAACACTTCTTCCTCAACGACTGATCTACCTCAACGCTCCAGCGATCCGGCTGATCCCAGCTGCAATCGCAAAGCCAGATATGCAATCACTGTGACTCCTGAAGAATCAATAAGGAGGTCCGATGAAGCCCCTCTCAGTGATAGGAAGAGGACGAGCCCACCCTGAATTGCGACATAGTATCCTCGTCGTCCGGGCCGGCGTCCGTTCAATCAGTGTGTCGAATCTGCCTGATTTTTTTTCTTGGGCAAGGGTAAGAACGGGCCAGCATCGACAACAACCCTGCCTTCCATGAGCGATGAAAAATACATATCCATCCACAAACTCACCAAGCAGTTCGGCCTCGTCCCATCCACCCTGTCCAAGTGGGCCGATGCTGGGAAAGTGCGATACATCCGCCCCAACGAGAACGGACACAGACTCTCCAATGTGCGGGACATTGAGCGAGTCTTCTGCCTCACCCAGCCCATCACAACCAGGTCCATAGTTTGTTACGCCAGAGTCAGTTCATCCCACCAGCAAGCAGACCTCGAGCGACTCCAAGTCTGGAAACGAGAGCGAGAGCCATACATGGCTGCCAGCAATGCTCTCCAGAAGCAGTACCCCAACAATAAGTGGAAGAATCGCCTTGGCGAGATCCTGATTCCAGAGCCACCGAAACCTCATCCACCCAAGAAGAAGAAGACAGTCCTCCTGGAGCACCTGAGACAGCGCGTCGGTGTCCTTTCTTGCTACGACAAGGACCACTGGATCTGCCAGACAGGTGTCGCTGCCGATTTCATCAACGAAGCAGTCCGAGACTTTGTCAAGAACTGGTTCTCGAACCAGAAGCGATACCCCGCTTTTTTTTGGTAGTTGTATATTCAAGAATATTCAATAGGCCATCAGCATCGCAGGATACCCGGCAGTGGGTGGCCAAGCTCGCTCATACACCCCTGTTGCGGCCTTCGCCGACTCTCCAGCCCACACGGCGAGCCATGCGGGTGAACACTTCTTCTAATAACTCCCAGAGGGAGTCGCATGTCTCCAAGTCCCGCTCAGGGATGTCGGGGGCTGGTTTCTCCAAGTCCCTCTCTAGTATCATCTCGAACCCACTCCAGGGTTTGCTGTGCGGTGTTGGGTCTTGACTTGCCCTCAAAGGAGTGTGAATTTGTCTGTGGGAGGGGTACTCGGGATTTATCTCGTATCCTGGGGTCTGACCCAGACCCAAGTCATCGTCGGACTCTGGGATCGGGTCAGTACTTCGTCCTTGGGAGGGCGTGGGAACCTCTATGGTTTCGAGGCCAGAGACTATGTTTCTATTCGTCTCCCTGGCCCGGTTTCGGTCTCGGTTCGGGAGGGAGTCTTGGTTGCCATCAGGGGAGTACTCTGAGCCAGACTCTGAGACTGACTCTGAGGTTCCTCCCCAGTTCGACCCCGAGGCAAGGTCTGAGCTCGGTTCGGGGTGGTGGGGCACTAAGTCCACACTCTGGTCGGAGTGAGGTACTAAGTCCCCACCAAGGTCAGAGTGAGGCACTAGGTCCCCACTATGATCGGAGTGGGATACTAAGTCCAAACTCTGGTCAGTGTCCCAGCAGTAGTGTCCTCCACTATCGAGAGACAGTTCGTCAAGCTCGTCCCAGATTGGTCTCGGCGTTGGGTCGGTTCTTACCAAGAAGTCAAAGTCAATGTCGTAGTCTGACACTGAGCTGACTTCAGAGCCAAGGTCCGAGTCCACTTCAGGACCAGTCAGTCGGAGCCTCCCCATCCGAGCAATCACTCCCGGTAGGGAGCTCCAGAGCCGATCTCGATCATCAATGTTATGAACGTGACTGACAGTCGCGCGACACGTCACTCATGATCCACCCTGCATGGCCACATGGTCATGATTCATGACCGTGGGAAACATAGGATCGGAGACTAAATATATTCTCCGAAGGGCGAGCGGGGGGGGGAGTAGGCATAGACTTAAATAGACCACCCCGCTCCCCTCCTGATGAACGCTAGTGAATTATCACTTCTAATAAACGATTATCACTCTCCTTCTCTGTCCCTGTTCCCGTCCCGTCCTAGCTCCCCTGTCCCTGCCCTTGATTCCCCTGCCCTGCCCTCGCCAATTCCTGACATAATAATTCACTCCCCAACTTGCCATGGCTGACCCAAACCAGGCCCTCCTTGATCACCTTGCCTTGCTTACCGCTCAGTGCCAGCAACAGCAGGAAGCAATCACCTTGCTTCAGCAGCAACTCCAGCAACAGCTTCAGCAGCAAGAGCAACTTCACTTGCAGCAGCAAAACCTTCAGTACCAAATTCCCGCCGCGCAGGCCGTCCTACCCCAGCCCAAGGAACCCAAAGTGCCTTGCCCTGAGAAATTCTCCGGTGTCGCTCGCGACCTGGAGAACTTCATTGCCGGCGTGAAGAACGTCATCGCTCTACAACCGTCGCGTTTCCAGGAGGAAGTTGTCAAGGTCCTCTACGTGAGCACGTTGCTCACAGGCCAGGCTCTCGCGTGGTTTCGCACGCTTCCCGAACCTCCTGTGACCCTTGTAAGGAGTGAACAAGCGCAAGGACGAAGACCAAGTGCTTGGTATGAGCTTTATTAGCTTTTAGCCCCGAACACCAAAGAACAAGTTTTGTTCGAACTGGTGTTCAACATAGGCTCAGACATGCAGGGCTATTTATAGACCGGGAGAAGGTCGAGGGGCAAAAGTGGGCGAGAAGGGTGGAGCATCACAGAGAAGCGAGAAGGGGGTGCGAGAGTGGCTGGTGTGCAAGCGAGAGAGGCTTGGCACAGCCCGGGGACATGTGCCGAGCGGTGGGGGAGGCAGGAAACCAGTAGACGCGGGTGGCAACGGCGCGTGCTCATGCATGGGGGCAAACAAACACGTGGGGACTCATAATTGGTGCGGAGGGCGAGAGCATGCGGGACAATCTCATTGGTCCGTTGTGATGCTGGTCATCACATCTGGCGACTAACTTTGAAACCATCCACATCGATGATCGCACCGAGGTACTTGTATTCTTGGACCTCTGGCAGCTTCTCTCCGTAGAGATAGATGCCATCAGACCGATCGGGGTTTGCGGCCGAGAAGATGGCTTCACACTTCTTGGGTGCGAACCTATACCGATTGTCAATGCTGTGTTGTTCGCAGAGTGCCAGGAGTCTTTGGGTCGATCCCGGGGACCCGATCAGCACTCGGTCGTCTGCGAACCAGAGCGAATTGACTCTGATCGACGACCGGCCGTTGATTCTCAGCTGGACGTCTTGATGTGGGGTTGTGTCATGAACCGGCCGGGCCCTAGCCCTCCTGGTTCATACAGGTCCCTCACTGCGCCACGATCACTGCGCCACGATCACTGCGCCGTGCCGCAGCGACTACGCTTTTCTTCTCTTCCTTCGTTCATCCACCCCACGGACGAAGATATAAACCCGCCTTCGGCCTACAGGTTTAGATCTTCGTCTCACCTCCTGTATTGTAGTTAGGAGTGCACTTGGCACTCTAATACATTGGTTAGTCATTACGCTTGTGCCTCTTGCTGTGTGCCGTGAGGACTTGCGTGTGGATCTCAAGTCTGGCTTGGGGTTCGCTTTATTTCCTGTTGTTAGCCGTTTACCAGTTGAGGTCCTTACATTAGGTGAGACCTTCAACTACCCCCTGCCCTTTCGTTACTATCTATTCTTTCTCTTCAATGTCCACCCTCTCCGAGGTTGATGTCGAGGCGCTGCGTCGCCTCCTCGACACCGTCCGAGATCAAGCCAACCGCCTGACCGATCTTACCGGATTCGTCGCTCGCCAAGAGGAAGCTCTCAACCGAATCCAAGACCAGGCCGCCCAGGACCGTGCGGCACAAAACGAAATGCTTCAACGCACTGTCGCCCTCGGGATCCAGGCTGCTCTCCAGGATCTCCGTGCCGCTCCGCCCCCAAGGCCGGCCCCACCTGCCGATCAAAGGCCGATTGAGGTGCCTGTCGACCCGGCTCTCCCCCAAGACGACCAGCCCTGGAGACGCCGCCCTGCCCGCCCGGTGGCCGACAAGATGGGACCTCCCGAACGCTTCACCGGGAAGGACCCCAGTCGCTGCAACTCCTTCCTCTCCCACTGCCGACTGGCGTTTGCCTCCAACCCTCCACTCTTTCCGACTGGGACCGACAGGGTGCTTTACGCCCTCTCGTACCTCGACGGCACGGCGGCCGACTACATGGAGCCGTACATGTGCCAGCTGGAAGAGCCTTGGGGCACTCGTCCCGACATCCTTACGGATTTCGATGTCTTTGCCGAAACCCTCCGCTCCGTCTTCGGCCAACTTCAACCCACCTCCGCCTCCGCCCGGGACATCGTCAAGCTCACCCAGACGGGGTCAGCCGCCGCCTACTCCGCCGAGTTCCGTCGGCTGGCCGTCCACCTCACCGCTTGGGGTCAAGCTTCGCTCATGTTCCACTATGAGAACGGCCTCAAGGCATCCGTTCAAGAAGAACTCTCCCGTGAAGACCCCGCCTCCCTCGAAGAGATGATGCGCCTGGCCGTCTCTATCGACAGTCGCCAACAGTCTCAACGCGACCGCCACCGATCAAGCCGTCCAGACCTGTCGGCCCAACGTCCCGTGGCCACGGTGCCTGTTAGAGTCCGAAGGGGACTCAACGGCAAAAGAAGAAGTGAACTCGAAGTGAGCTCAGGGAAGGCAAGGGTAAAGTCCGAAGTGGACTCGGAGAGGGAGCGAGGGAAGCAAAGATCCGTTCAAGATAAGACTTGTCTCGAAATGAGACGTGAGGAACACTCAGAGAATAAAGTAGAAGGCACTTTATTTAGTCCTATTTTGAACGCTGAGGTTCGACTACACATCGCGGGGGTCAGGCTATTTATAGACAAGTCCGGACTTGGCAGCGAAGGGCGGCCAAGGGAGGGAAAAGTGGGCGATCGAGCAGGGCGAAGGGGGCGATGCACGAACGAGGGCCGAGGAAGGACCACCGAGACAGGCAGAGAACCAAAGCGAGAGAGGCGCAAGCAAAAGCGAAGCACCATGGCAGGAGAAACGTGCAAAGGCGAAGCAATGTGACTCAACGTCCAAGAAGCGGATTGGTCAAGTATAAGGTTGGGGCCAATGCATGCGAGATGAACAAGAGATCGGGGCGGTCAGGCAGGTCATGAGTCACCGGTGGGGGGACACATGACCGGCAGCCGAATTGCAACCAATCGCAGCAAGGCGCTGTGCACAAACAAACCGGCGCGTGCGAAGAAGACAAAGGAAGCGGAAGCAGCGCGGGAAAACGGAAGTGCGGAATGGGCGGAAAATGACAGGCAAAAGGCGGAAAATCGGAGGGGAACTGCAAGGCTACACACAAACAAACAGAAGGGCAAAAGAACAGCCAAGTGGGCAGTCAAAGTGGAGAACAAGCAGGAGCTATCCCTAACATCATCCCCTTCCTTAGCGACGAACTCCGGGCGTCGCCTTCGGCTTTGAGGGATAGCGAAGGTGGAAGTCAGCAACAAGATGTCATGAACACCCTCTGCCTTTGCCCTCTTCCTTCCTTTGCCTTTGCCCTTTCCTTTCTGTTTGCCTGCCTTAGCGCTTTCCCTTCCTTCTGTTTGTTTGTTTCCCGCGCTGTGCTGCCTTGTTGTCTTCCCGCCAGCACGCGCGCTGTCTGTGTTCCGTTCCCGCTTCCTTGCTGTTGGTCGTGGGTTACGCCCACGACGCCGCCTCGACGCCGCCTGACGCCTTGGCGCCGCCATGCCGCCGCCACTGACGCCCGCTGACTCACGGATCCCGAGTCACGGCCGCCACCTGCTTCGCTCGCTGCTTCGCCCTCCCCGCCGCTGCTTCGCTCCTGCCCCCTCGCTCTGCAACGTCGATCCTTGGCGCTCGCATAAATAGCCCTC